ATCGTGGTATCCAATTCTTCCCAAGGGGTGTAGAATCACCCTGAAGCTCTAGAACTCGCGCGGCCATTTCACGCAGACGTGCGTGGGTAGGGGGGAATCCTTGAGCGTCACTCTCAAGTATCCAGTCGACTAAAAACCTCTCTTGCACCGGTGTAAGGCGTTGGTTCGATTGTTGAGCTGTAGAGCGCGATTGCATGCCCTTGAGGCGGTTTTGAAGCGTAGCTCGATTGACCTTGAATAGGGCCGCAGCTTCATTTTGTGATTTGCATTGACCGGTCTCTACGGCATGGATAGCCTGTAGGAGTACCTCCTCTGAATTTGACATCGTAATACGATATGGTGGTTGAGATATTACGCGTTTGGTGATGGTGGTGAAGATGGTGATACTGGCCAAGTAGGTGGTTGGCCAACAGGCAGGGGTTCGAACTTACGTTAGTTAGTTAGCTGTCCTGATTAGCTTAGCTCCTTCCTGATCCCTGCGATCCCCGCCGCTATCGTCCCAGTCCAACGGCCCGGTATCTCTTCATCCCTTCGCCTGTTGCATTGCCTATCTTCATTCTTTCTTTGCAACACCAGAACTATTCTCTCTACGATCGAGCACGAAATATTTAAGCATCACGAATTCACGATTCCCGTCGATCCAACACCTTAATTTTGAAGAACCCCGGACCCCAAGGAATTGCCCGCCATGCGGGGTTGGGTGGGGTGCAACTGCGGTGTGGAGTTTTATGTCTACAAACAAGAGGACATCGCAGACCACTTGAGGGAGTGTGGTTATGGAGTCCCTTGTGAAGGATGTTTTCTAGGCTTTGACTCTAGACCTGGGTTGGCACAGCATCTTAAACTGAACAATGGGTGCCGCACTTGCCACCGTCATTTTAGTACTGAGAATGGCCTCAGACAGGTACGGTAGACCCTACGAAGGATACCCATCATAAGATTCGCGTGCATGCTAATGACTGCATTACGCTAGCATGAACAAGTGCACCTACCCCGAACCGTCGAATGCTTCAAGTGTAACGAGAAATTCATTTCATTTTCCGCAATGATCCTTCACTTAGAGCAGGAGATCTGTTGGCAGGATCCGAATCATGAACTTGAACATGCGGCGGCGACCTGCTTTCAATGGCGTCGCTTTGTTGAAAGGTCTTCCCGAATCGAGCTGTTGAATGGCGTTGTGGACGGCAACCCATTCTACTGTGAACGTTGCTACAGAACATTCCCATTTCTCTCAGCGTTGTTCCAGCATGCCACGTTTAGCAACCAGTGTGATGCGAGCATTGACGACGGCGCATTGGCGAAGTTGGTGCGTTGGCTCGAATTGGTGATTGAATACGGCTACGTCAGCAAGCGCTGAAGTTGATCCATGGAAATTGCATCCATTAGGAGCTTAGGAAGGGGTTTCAAAGTTTGTTCATGCTTGTTTCGTTCTAGGATACCTCTGGGGAAGTCTGCTCTGTCTGAACCTCGGTGCTCTTGTTGCAAATTCCATACCCTATCACCTTTTCATGTACTCGGAAGAGTTCTTTGGACTCGGAGGATAGTCTTGGTGTCGCGTGCTCGCAAATGATGCTAAGAAGACGAGGAGGGAGTGTTTAGGTGAAAATGGAATCCAAAACCAAAAGATTCGAAGCATAAGAGGATCTTTGAGCGAGTAGGGAGGAAGGATTCGGTGTATTTTCTTGATTCCCCTGTACGGCATTGATAACCAATGAGACTGTCTCAAAGTCCTTTTCATTCCATCCTTCCAACACACTGTACCTGTCACACGGAGGTCACCTGACTTCAGTGTGTGTTGGGTCACGTGGTTTGTGTTTGCTCGGAGATGTCTATCTCTATCTCTTCACGCTGTATTTTAGATAGATCCAATACATCGCTCTTCTCTCTGATACGTGATCTTTGCTCGATTGGAGTATTCTCCACAGCACCAATTTCATGCTCAAATAATCCCAATTCCCGGTCTCTGGTGCATTGTTCTCTATGTCAGTGGGCGACTAATTCTATTGTAGGGGATAATAAAGAATTATGACAAAGGGAGTTTTGTACTGTCCTGCGACCTTAGAAGAACCCATCGCCCTAGTTGCCCACCTGTTGCATACGTGAGCATAGAAATCTCGACACATTCTACTCTAAGACCAGGGCCATTTCCCCTTCCCCTCTCTTCGTTTGATTTCATCCCCTGCAGGCACCTTAATTCCTTCCATGTCAAGTTTGTTGAGCGGCACATATCATCGCCCCTGAAAGGACGATCTCCGGTTCACTAATCTTTATTCCGACCCTCTTGTGGGCTCAGAAGAACTCATCCCTATATATTCCCTCCTCATGCAAGTGAGTCTACATACCATCCAGCTCGTTGAGGACGGTTCAGTCAGCGTGGTCGCTGGTGTCCGCATTCGGAGCCTTCTCGCTAATCACATCCTGAATGCCGTCAATCTGCCAGAGGACGCTTAAGCCATTGCCAGCGCCTCCCCCGGATAGCGTCCTGTTCTATTCTTTATATCTCAACTTCTTACCCAAGACATCCAGCTCGTATTGGGCTTCCGATTCTAATTTTCTGCGTGGGGCGCCGATCGCGTGTTCCTGAAATCGTTCTGTGATTTCTGTCCCATTGCCATATGTTGGGATTGATTGGATTCGGGAGAGAAGCTGGAGTTGAGGAGCGAGCGAAGAGAAACATCGGCCTACTCGAGCTAGGGGCCTGGGGGTGGCTCATCGATTCGCGAGGTAAATCTATTCATTCGGACCACGTTGGTTGCACTCACTTTGAGATACAGAAGAAGAATTATGCCAAATCAAGATATATTTTCAGGCATTCTGTTCGTAATTGTTGGCTCCTGTACCGCGATTTCAGGCTGTTGATTATTTTCGAGAGGGATATCTATTGAGTGGTGGTCCCCCGGCTGTGATCATGTGAACCAGGCAACCTGTCGAGCATCAAGAGGGTTCCTTCGCGGTTAGTATCCTACATAGTATGTGTCCAGAATGGAGAACATGGCTACGTGGCGCTCTCGACGCAGTCCTCAACCTCTTGTTGGCTCCGCTTGAAGATTGAAGAGAGAGAAGGAAGAAATCTCCCAGCGCCTCCGTGCGCAAGATATAAACCCTTCTCTCTGCTATCCTAACATAGCTCAACATAGCTCCTTAACACAGCTCCGTCCTAACACATAGCTCCCATATGACTATCTCCTTGATAATCCTCCATGCCATCCACTAGCTACATCCCTGGCGTCAGCCATATAGGTACTCAAGGGCCCAGGCCACAGGCCCGGGACCATAACATTGAGGGTAAAAATGAAATCGAATCACAGCGTCCTCAACCCAATTCCACTAATTCCACTGATTGCTCGTCTCAACGTTCTGTCATGTTTCGACCCTCCGAATCTGACTGAGATTTTGTCTCAACTTCCCTGGTCGGCCAAGTCTAGGAGATTTCTCTGTCATCTTCGTATTCATTTGTGAATTTAAGAAACCACGTCTTTGAAATCCCCAGGAATGTCCGAGCTATCACTATCATTATCTTGGGGTACCCTTGCCCTGTCGCTGGGGCCAGCTGCGTCTGAATTACCCCAGTTTCGGAGAGGGCGACCATGTCCTTGCATAACTTCCAGATAAACTCGTTCGTGGCGTTTGAAAACTCCTTGTCTGTCATCTCCTGCATATTTTCAACGGCAACGGTAAGGCTGTATTCGTCTCCAGTTGTGGCGAAGTCTCTCACAATCACCCCATCCACTGTGGTGGAAACAATATGCGTCCTGCCAGGACATGGGTATTACCTTCCGGTCAACCGACGATTAGACTGAAATTTTCTCAAACATGGCTGACTTGGAGCCTTGAGTGTACTTGGGGTTTTTGAGAGTGATGTGGAATATATCTTGCACTGGAGAGATTTTATTTGGTTCAGATAGGGTGCGTCCCGGCCATTCCTTGCCGGTCGGTTAGCAAATGGAAACATGCTGGGTGCGACATTGAACGCTAGTTCCACAAGGTTTTCAAATTATAATGCGTCATATGTGCCTCTCTTTGCTTCATCCAGGTCAGTAAACATGCAACTACACCTCGACGATAAGTTGTACTAACGATTCTGGGGTGTCCCAAACTGATGAACATGGAAATATATTGTTCGTGATCCACAACTGCGATATAGTTTATCCATTTCTCCTGGGAGAGATCAGGCGCTGATGACAGCACTGAAATGGTATCTGGGTACATGTGCTCGGAGGATGATGGAGGCTGAAGACTGGGCCTAGCGCACAAATTCCCATCTTCCTCTGCGAACGAACTTCAATATTTCAATGTATTCCTTATTAGGCCTATCTTCTTTCTACTAACGTCGCTGTCTCTTGCGCGGGCTAAGTCCTTTCCAAGCATTTGAAGCCGTCTCTGCTGCAGCACGCTTAGGACGCTGTCTACGCACATCCCCAGACCCAAAAAGAGGATTTTGAGCATCGACTTGTGTAAATTTTTCGGCGTAGAAAGCTTGCATATCTCCAAAGTGATAATTCCATGCCATTGTTGGGGTGCAGGAAGCATATATTCCGCTTGTAGCGAGAGCCATATTCCGTGCTTCAGGTCGTAGTTTCGGATATCCAGCGCCGCCAAAAGCAAGAGAAAAGGCCAAAGACCCGACGGCATGTAACAATGGGCCTTAGCCAGACGGGTGCCTTGGATGTCCGACAAGCGAAGAGACATCTCGATGTGCGGGGCGATGAGGAGCGAAAGGCCAAGATTAGGAAGGCACAGCGGGGATGGGGGCGGGAAAAAGAGAAGGGAGCATCTTCCATACAGGAATTACCCGTGGAGGAGGAGAATTTGGGATTTAATTTTAATGCGTTGCCAGAATTCGAGTAATACGTCTCAGATATCGAAATTGAAAATATGGTATTGGTCCACCCACACCTTCGGGTTCGGTGTGGGTCCAAGGGGTTAGGGGCCTGGGGCGGTGGGGCCAAGGGCCACGGGGCACGGGCCACGGATACCCGGATAGTGTACTCGGGCCATTTACCCCTGTCGACGCCCCGCAAGATTGCCACCGTACCAAGCCGGACTAGAAATCCTTAACAAGCTTAGAGTATCCCTCTGTGACTATTAATGATGTTGCATTAGAGTATCTCAGCCGTCACAAACAGGGAGGTTTCGTAATTATTATTAGCCCTAAATTGGATCTACATGGTACATATATTAACGGCTTAGGGGATAACAGTAACTAGTTGAATGGGCGGAGTAATCAAATAGAGCCTTAGGAGCTGTTATAGGCCTTGAAGAGGGTGGTTTACGGGTTGCCTTATTGCGGTGACCTGCATTCGTTTAACTTCCCGAGTCCTACTTCTACTCGCCTTCCGCTCTCGTCCTATACTCTGCTCGTTGCTGGTAAGAATGATTTGAACTTCCATAGTCAAGAGCCATTCAGCGTTGTGCTTCTGATTTTTTTCTCTTCATATCCTCAACTCGAGCTTCCTAGTTTGCTGCAGTCAGGATGGCTATCGCATTATCCCCAGGCCTTGTCGCCCTTCTCGGTATCGCCATTGTATACGTGATCAGTCGCCTGGTACGATCGGAAAACCATGGCCTGCCGCTACCTCCGGGTCCCAAAGGCATCCCGATTATTGGAAATGTGAATGACCTGCCAAAGCCCGGAATGCTTGAGTGCGACCATTGGCTACAGCATAAAGATCTTTATGGCCCAATCAGCTCTATTACAGTACTGGGTCAGACCTTTGTGATCATCAATGATGCGCAAATCGCACTTGAGCTCCTGAGAGACCGGTCGGCTATTCACTCTGCTCGCCCACACATGGTCTTCAGTAGTGATATGTATGCTTAACCTAACGACAAATATAATTGCACAGATTACTGACGAAACGTCTAGGATCGGATGGAAGAATACACTTGCTTTCAGCGGCGACACAGACACCTTCAAGCTTCATCGAAAGAACCTTGCCAAGGTTGCCGGCAGCCGTGTCGCCCTCTCGGTGTTCGATCGCGCTCAGGAGGAAGAAGCCGTTCACTTTCTTCTTAATGTACTAGATTCTCCAGAGAATTTATTTGACCATATTAAAAAGGAAGCTGGTGCAGTTATACTGAAAATTACTTATGGCTATACAGCTGAGGCGCACGGAAAGGACCCTCTGGTTGATATGGCTGGCAAGACTATGCACGAATTCGCTGATGCAACAGTACCTGGAAAGTGGGCTGTGGATATCATGCCTTTTTGTAAGTACCTACAAGCAGACGTATACGACATGTCTGACAAAACAAAGTGAGATATGCGCCCGATTGGTTCCCTGGTACTGGATTCAAGGACACAGCTCGTCAAATGGCTGCTCAATTGAATCGAACTACGGAGCAGCCCTACCAGTTCGTCAAGCAGCAAATGCGCGAAAAGACGCACAAAATATCCTTCCTATCTCAGGCCATTGAGGATGTTGGCTCCGATGAGATGGAGAATATTCATAAGTGGTCGGCGTCTTCAATGTACTTGGGCGGCGCTGACACGACTGTTTCCTCCATGATGACCTTTTTCCTGGCTATGACTGTATTCCCGGAGGTGCAGAAGAAGGCTCAAGAGGAGCTCGACCGTGTTACTGGAGGCAGCCGACTACCTGTTAGCGCTGACCGCGAAAGGTTACCATATATCGAAGCAATTGTGACAGAGACACACCGCTGGCACCCTGTTGGTCCTATGGGTTTGCCCCATTCCAGCAATAAGGAAGATACCATTCGGGGATACAGAATCCCGAAGTGCGCGATCCTACTTACAAATACCTGGTAATACCCACACTCAAAATCCTTGCGTCTACTAACGAGACTACAGGTGGTTCACGCACGACCCCTCCGTCTACCGCTCACCCATGACCTTCTTCCCAGAACGATTCCTCGACACGCCCACCCATAAAGCCGAACCCGATCCGCGCACCTGGACATTCGGGTACGGTCGGCGTGTATGCCCCGGCCGCTACATAGCCGATAACGCGCTATTCCTCACCATCGCCCAGTCGCTGGCGGTGTTCAAGATTAAAAAACTGGTCGAAAATGGCAAGACGGTGGAGCCGGAACTGAAATTCGAACCAGGTATTGTGTCACACCCTATCCCGTATCGCACTTCGATTAATCCAAGATCGGATATGCATACGAAGTTGATCAGGGCGGCGGAGAAGGAATATCCGTGGGAGAAGAGCGATGCGAAAGCTTTAGAAACTGTGAAATGGTAAATGGCAGCCGCGTTCGCTGGATTCCTGGTGTACTGGACGACTTTATATGTGACCACGCTTAGATTTAGATGACCGTGGTGCGAATCGACAATCTGTTTTTAAATCCAGAGAGTGAGTTTTTGCGTGGAGGCAGCAGATATAGTGGATACACATCCACTAGTTACTACAAAACTACCATAACTACTCAACAACAAATAATTTCAGACGCAAACGATATATTATCTGAAGAAGAATGGATTGACGAGGCCGAAGATACCCCCTCCAACTTCTCTCTTCCTTACACCGATCATGATGCTACGAATACTACACCGAAAGCCTAAAATAAAGCAACTCAGGCCTGCTATACCCAAATCATGTCAATATTAAAGAAGAGACATTTTTCTAGGAAACAGTTCCTCCTTTATATGATCGATAACCAGGCAGGGTAAAGGAAGATTGGAAAGCACCAACTTGCAGAAGGGTTTCTTTTTGATCTTCTCCTTGATCCTGACACGCAAACCCATATCATTAAGCATAGGCCTAAGCGTATTCTTTCTATTCTTCGACACATCTTTACCCGCATCATCTCAGATGAATTTGAACAACTGATGCGAGACGAGTCTCAATCTTTTGGGGTACGGGATGCTGATAATGCCCCTGGGAATATTGGAAGTACGCATCAGATCATCCGACATAGGGCGCCATTATTCTTCTCTCTTGTTGAATCAGTTGCCCAGCCCCTGAGCAAAACCAAAAAATTTGGCCAGAAACCTCATCATGGACTCACTACAATGATAGCGTCCTCGTTGGCCTTTTCCCGGCATAAAAAGCTATCAAATAAGCTTCCTAGGAGAATTGGGATTACATTACAAGATGGAGGTCTGTCTCGCAAAGGTCTAACGTTTATCTCCATGCCTTTGGGATTACTCCTACATATGATACGCTCCGAGTTCCTACTCAGGAGACAATCAGCACAGAAAGGCATTTTTCTACAATCATGTAGTACTATATTCCAATTTTCTAACCACATCTAGCGTAGCCTTAACTAAACAGTTTGCAAAATATCCTGGACTGGCCGTTGCAATGGACAATTGTGATGGGCATGAGCGACAACCTTATCAGCGGATTGGGAATAGAGGCGAAATGTTCAGCTATACATCTAGAATTGCAGTAGTCTGTCCTCGGATACCTGAACATGGCCTTGTATAGACAATGCGGATACCATTTACTATCCGGCCTCCAGATTTCTTCAACTTTAATAGAGTCTAATTACCTGGTACTTTAGGTATCCAAAAACAGAACGCCTTCTTCCTAATCCGGAAGGCAATTGAATTAGCCTTCCCTGGCGCAACTCGACAATTGAAGGCGAAACGGACTAAGCTTCCTGGGTTTCCAACAATCGACCGACTCCGAGCAGAGAAGACAGTGAAGAATAACCTTAGATCCATACCAGTCAATCAGTCTACTACAAATGGGAATCATTAAATTCTCGAGAAGGTATTCTTAGGTTTTTTCAAGTTTAATATCGAGATAGTATGGCACTACGGACTGAGGTAGTTGGAGTTGAAGGATGGATGGCTCGCGAAAATTGATGTCCCTGGAATCCACCCTGCGCGTGAATGCGGCGCCCCCCGACAGTCTCTCTACCATCTCCTTGCATTTTGCCCGCAGCGGACCGACCAGAGAATCGCGCTCCTCCAATGAGCTGGAACAACGGACTTTAAGAGGATACTGCATGAGAGGGACAAGGTGCGTCATGCAGCAAGGTGGCTGATCGATGCGGGAGATCTAGAGCAATACCGGGTGGCCAAGGAAGTTGAGAAGGAGGTAATAGAGGACTGGAAACCGTTCCAGCTCCTCCACGGTGTGCTAGAATAAGCTCTCCGCGTAGGCGGAAACACCGACTAGTACGGAAAGATGATAAACTTTTGAGATAGTCTACTAAAGGGAGGAGGCAGGATTTTATGTACCCCCAGTCTCAGGGCTACGGGGAAACTTTTGCCCGCGGCAGACCAGATAGAATGCCGTGCTCATAGACCCGAAAGGGATCCAGATAGTATGTTAAATTGATTCTTATTATTATTAATATCGAGACAGACTTCACTGAACGCCTCTTCCTGGTATATGGAGATGCTAAAACAGTCAGACTTCTCCGGAGCTGCATCAAAGAGCGTGCTGACTCTTAAAGGCCCTTTTACGCCCATATTTAAGTTCTGCATGCATTTAATAGTCGCGGAGACCCTGATTTACTCAAAACGAACGAAAAAGTAAAGAATGAGGGGCTGGCAATATCGCGGGACGCATGATGCGCTATCATAGCTGGGAACACGGGAGTCAATGTAGGAAACCGGAAGACGCCGAAAAACAGTGACCTCCCGATCTCTGACAGGATCCTCCTTGTCACGTGCATTTCAGCAGCTGACAATACCATAATTACTAGCGAGGCTTGGATTGGAACTTTATTTTGACTTTAATGTCGCTTCATCCCCTTGACTTCATGCCTCTTTTCGGACTGTACACTGACTTGAGGGTCTAGTCTAGTTGTCTCATGTCTGGCATCAGCAAGTCCGAATCTTATCCCCTTTATCGAAAGCCGTGCTGTGATATCATCGTCAGTCTCAAGAAGATACTTTGCTGCTTGCCTAGGGTTTGGAAGACCATTTATATTGCTGAATCCTAGACTCCTAGTTAACCCTGCTTCGATGTATTGGATTCTGATATTCATTTGATCCTGACGAATATCCACCGTGGCCACAGGGACCAAGAGATTGTGCCATGCCATCTCAAGTCCCCAACCCGGCAGAGCGATGCTCAGCTTGCAACAGTATTGACCGCATTCTTCAAGGAGTCGCCCCGTCTTGGGATTATCGCTTTTATAGGAGCCTCCCTCTGGCGGAGTTGGCAGAGTCTGCTCGAGCGAGTGGGTGTCGAGGCTGCGAAATCCTTCGTTCTGCTGTCACATGTTGTTTCAATCGCATTGATCCTTCAATGCTGATGATTATTGCGCCAGCTATCCAAGCCTAGAAGCCATACACCGAAGGATTTGCTAAGCTGGATGTTATTGTCGGGAAAGAGCACCTCAACCTTGAAATCTTCCGCACGAGTGGTAACTATTGCCCTTCTGGGTATGGTGTACGTTGCAACTAATATTGCTGTAAAGATACTTCTGATTATACTGGAACATCAGTGTTTCCACGGATCTCGATGCATACATTTGGACCAGAAAGCATGTCATGGGTGGATTCGCACCTAAAGACTTGCGTGGCCGAGCATAATAATTGCATATGCGAGGACTCCCCTCTTTTACCTACTCGTGTTTTGCATATTCAACCTAGAGAAGGTATTAATGGTAACCTTCATGTCTGTCTTCATCAAAGTTTGCCGAATGAGCGCGGAGAATACGGTTGCTTGAGCCATTGCTGGGGTACAGAGGACCTGGGCCATCTATGCTTGTCGCATCGGAATATAACAAGCTTCAAAACCGAAATCCCATGGTCTGATATACCGAAAACCTTTCAAGAATCCATTCAACTTGCCCATAATCTGGGTTTAGAGTACCTATGGATCGACTCCCTTTGTATCATCCAGGATGATTCACAAGATTGGCAAACTGAATCAGGGAAGATGTGCTTTGTTTATCAAAATTCGTACCTCACGATTGCAGCTACATCTGCTCCCGATGGCACCGGTGGCCTATTCCACACTACCGACGTCGATCACCAGGGTTATGAACTAACCATAGGTGACAACAATAACAGTGGGTCATCCAGCTTGTACGTCCGCCGATCGCTTCCGCATAGGATATTCGAGAATGCGAGGACGATGCAGCATGTCGAGAAACAGGGATATCCCCTCCTAACCCGTGGCTGGGCTCTTCAAGAACGACTTTGTCGGACATCAGCGGTCTACTTAGTCATCCCATTCTGTACATTACGTAAGCCTGGGTATATCTACCCTGCGATGTATCCTACCTTTACACAATACAAGCATCTCACTGCCTCTGAACAGGTATCCTATTGTTTCCGTGATTGATTGACACGCCAAAACGATCAACAGACTTCTATCCCCACGTACGCTGCATTGTACCCGAGTCGAGCTTATATTCGAATGTTCTGATGGAATTTCATGTCAGTGCTATCCAGATTCCGTACATAGGAAACTGAATCGCACCTCTTCCAAAGAGTATCACACACACTGTGTGACGGACCCTCGGGCAGAATATTTCACTCCGACGAGGTGGTGGCTCCTGACGCAGGAATATACACAGCTTTCGCTCAGTTTCCCGAGTGATCGATTGCCGGCGTTGTCGGGGCTGGCGCAGCTTTGGTCCCTGCGGAAAACGTGCGCTTATTTTGCAGGATTGTGGAAGGACTCTTCCATAAAAGACCTTCAATGGTTCGTCCATCAAGAGAACAGAACACTGCAGCCAAAGGAGTGGTGGGCACCCTCATGGTCCTGGGTGGCCGTGGATAGCCATATTAGCTACTCGTTTGCCGACCCATACTTTTTTGAGGAATGCTGCACTGTCGTCGATATCGAATGCACGTTGGAAGGTCCCGATCCATATGGGAGGGTGATATCAGGGCGTGCCGTTCTATGTGGTAAACTTATCGAAGCCGAACTGGAGATAGGTGCAAATGCAGATGAAAATGGACATAAAGACCACGTCCACTCTGTCTCTTTGGGATCGGCCAATAGGACACCATTGCAGCCCGATGGATATGATAAGCAGCAGCAGGTTGGATATTCCTTGTTCTTCATGGACCATGACCCGAATTTGGAGCCTTTTCGATCCAAGACGTCCCCTGACACCCAGCAGGTGTATTGCTCCAACTGAGTCGACGGCTTTTTGAGCATTCTATCGAGTTCCTCGGCCCTAAAATGCACACTTTTACGCTGGTGCTAAGGTGCCTCGACCCGTCCGCGCAACTGTACGAGCGGATTGGAGCCATTTCTGAATCTCAGCCTGTCGATACTGAAATGTTCTCAGCCTGCAAGGATCAACGACAATTATGATTGTGTGATGGTAGGCGTACAGGGTTTATTTAAGGGACTTTGCCCTTAGATCGTGGATGAATGAATGGGAGACAGTAGGTAATGGACGGTTAGTGTTGAAATGTCGTGGACGGTTACGGAAAGGACAATTGTTTACTAGATAGGGAGCAAGATCGGTTTTCCATAGGGCTTGGGCGTCTCCATAGGGCATCCGAATACCTTTCCATCCCCTTTAGCAATGGAGCAATCAGAACGCCTGAGTCCAGACACTTAGGCGCTGGCATTTTGAAAAGAGATACCCTCATTGGTGCATTTACGGAATATCTATTGTACAGTCCCTTAAAAAGAGGGAGCCAGTTTATCAAGCCTAATAATATGAACCTTCTCGTTTGAACGCAATAAGGAAATGGGAGGCCATCCACGACTTTAATCCCCATGGCCCCATTCTCGATACCAAATTCGCCTTTCCGATCCTGACCCAGTCAACTTGCCCGTGGCACAATCATATCAATTTCAGTTTTAGCAAACGGTGTTCTCATAGCGTGATTATGTACTAGTGCCTGATATAGCCTAGCGAAGTCGATCTGCAATCGGACTTCCCATAGTTTCAGGTGGCAGCTATCAGCTGTTAGAACACGATACCTTCTTCCTGAGAAGGTCCATTTCGTCCATCTCAACCATTGCATCCGGATAGCAGAAGTCGTTGTCCTCGATTAGGAGCGGGAACGTGTACCTAGATGCAATACTGACATCCAAAGCACTCCTTTGCTGAACTGAATCCATCCCATTCATGTCGGAGTTTTGGCAGGAAATGCTGCCGGTGCCGCTGGTTGAAGGGCACGAAAAGTCCGAGGAATGGCGAAGAGTATTGTAACTGCCTTCTACGTGGAGCGCATCCGTTTCCTCCATGTCGGTAATGGTATCAAAGTAGATGAGGGTATTGGCACTCGCCAGACTCTTTGCTTGGCCCGATGTGAGGCTGATGGTCCGCCATGAGCTAGTTTGTTCAAAGAAGTTGATTTAAGAACTGGGAAGTGCCAGACTTAGGACATCGTCATTGGGGGACGGGAATAGACCATCCATCTCGCACCGGATGTGGAGATTTCGCTGATGAGGTGCCGGTCTGGGCTGTTCCTTTCGGCTTGACTTTGGGAGGATTTCAACCACCATGGACTCATTCCAAGCTCCCTGGCAAGCTCTTTCAGATCATCGTCACTCTCTGGATCTTGTGTGAGATTTCAGTCAATTCTCTCCACGTCATGACTAGCCACGTGTGAAGTCTTTATCAGAAAGATTGATGGCGCAATAGAAGTGGCCAGGCTGGGGAACGTGTCTCGAGGCGGTCCAAGGATATACGCAACCACAAACTCATTAGAAAACCTATGTCGCGGTGTCCCTGGAGGTGTCGTGGTCTCTGGCATTGAGGGGGGGTCTAGTAGCTTGGAATCCTTGCTCAGTTGACAACTCTGTTTGAAGTGGGTAATAGGTTGATATCGTTGGGGGGGTGACAGGCGGTGGTAATAAGAACGTCTCAATGTTTCGTGAAACTGCTTCGTCGGGGCCTGAATTGAACTTAATTGCAAGTGGAGTTCCCGGGGGGGTTGTGGAATCTCGTACTGCTTCGTCCGGGTTTCGATTGAGAGCGATTGCAAGGGTAGTTCCACGAGGGGTTGTGGAACCTCCCGCTGCTCCGTCGGACAAACCGTTGAAATGGTTAACCGGTGGCGATCCCGGTGGAGTCGTGGTCTCCGGGTATGATATAGCAATGTTTTCATTGCCCTGAAGGGTTTCGGGCTGAGGAGTATTCTCAAATACGTCGAATTCGATTGACATATCGGAATCTCGAACGCCACCGGAAGAGTAGGAACCTGACGATGTCTTGCATTGATCATCTGAACAGTCTGGGACAGCGTCATCGCGCCGCATATCGCCTGGAATGGCATCCTAAACTTGTTCATCATCTGGAACAACATCCTCTTGTCCTTCATTGTGGTGGCCTGACACGAGACGGAAAAGGTTCTCACGAGAAGCACAACCGAAGCCTGGGTCTATGGTGTCCAGAACAGCTCCAATTTCGTTCATGTTTTCAGCGTTGACGTCGTTCCACTGGGAAAAGATCCCGGCAAAATGCGGCCTGCGTGATATTCAATGCCTCTCGCGACTGTGGACGAAATGCCCGCGAATGCTTGTCTTAGATCCGCTTCTTCAGGCACACCATTGAAGGCCTGGTCAATGGAGTTGGTAAAGGTCTCCATAATACCAGCTTGTAGGAACGAAAAAGCCGATAAACGACGATTTTTGTTTAGGGCTCGACGACGCGTCAAAGGGCTCTATATCATCAAAACCTACTTAATTTCATCAAATTACTCACTGCAGACCCGAGCTATCCCCGGATCCATTGACGCCGCGGCTACGCAGGCGTCATGGACGGGTCGCAGGCGAATTGCGGACCGGATGTGGACCAGCAAGGAGCCCCAAACACCAGCAAAACCGGCGCGAATAGGGCCAGAATGCCCTAGGACCAGAAACCAGCGCTGAATGGCACGAGCTAATGAATTATATGCTACTCGTAAGCGGGTACCTTGCGAACCAGAAAGAGGGGGACTCCAGGAGCACGTTAGGAAGACATCACGTTCTGATCCGAATCGGGAGCGAGAACACAAGTGATTGAGGCGGAGAGCTGCACAATTTTCGTTGTGGAATAACTCTCAAGAGGAAATAAGAAAGCCACACACTTTAGAATAGGAGCAAAAAGGGCGCTTCTTAGTCGATCATCCAGGCACAAAGACCTGACTTTGCAGTCGTCGGAATTAAAAGCGCTGCTACGCATATTGGTGATCCAATGGGTCCTGTAGATTGGGCCGCCACAACCATCAAGATAAATGTATCCTACCGCGCCTACCAACCTTGGATGCCAGAAATTTCCGAGGGGTTTGTGAAAAGACTTGATTTGAACTTGGTTACACCTAATCTGACTTAACGAACTTTGATGATGAGAAAAAACTGTACTGAATGACAGCGTTAATGATTCGTATTGCAGGAGACATGTAGATAATAGCAAACTGTAAGTTCTTTGTTGAAAAAAAGGATGATGATAAACAAGATGTGATCAATGATGGAGCGTTTGCTGGTCAAGGGACTTTGGAGATGCAGCTTGTGCATTCAGCTGATGCAGAGATTGTTCATTAGAGTACGGGTACCAACACATAGTATGAGATCAACGGCCCGACCCAGGCCTATTTAAAACAAGTCGATGAAAAATAGTCTCACGAACAACGTCACTTTGCAATTTGATCTAATTATCCCCCAGCACCTATCATTTTGTGCTTCGGTTTCCTTGCCGTCATGGAAAGAGAAAAGAATCGAGCAGCCAGTCCCAGGAGAGGCTTCTCGTTCATGTTTACTAACTATCCATAATACGTTACTTATCCGCCGCTTCCACTCTTAGGTCCAAGCCAATTGAAACGCAGTCTAACCCCGCCCAACTCCGCCTGAAACATGTGGTATTGTCGCATTGTCAGCAAATGCCCAGATAAAGGTTCAAGTAGCGAGGCCATGCCCAAGGGATCTGATCATGATCATCCCACCTCGATGAGTGTCTCCTCTGAATTAGTATGAAGTGCGTTTGAAGTGCTACACAAGCCGTATCTTGCAGAGTCGTACATTTGCGACTTTGAAGTCAGTTACATCGAGTCAAGTCCATCATCGAAATGGCTGCTGTTCTCGGAAAGGCGCTCTCTCTTCCCTTTTCTCCCGTCATCTCCGGCGCGCTCCTCGTCCTCCTCACAAATGGCCCGGACACTTTGCGCGAGCCGCTCCAGCGTCTGATGGCGTCTGATGGCGCGACAAAAAAGGGGATCCAGGTGTTGAAATACCTCTTTGGCATCGGGATCGCGCTGAACGTGAACAACGCCTTGAGCTCCTGGGCGCTCGCAAATTGGCAGAATCCATTCCGGGCGAGGAAGGACAAGTGGACTGGACATGAGCTTGCCGTCGTCACTGGTGGCTCGAATGGAATTGGGTCTTTCATTTCTAAAGGGCTGGCACGGAGCGGGCACCTGGTCGCAATTATTGACCTTGTTGAGCCTAATGCGGAGTTGAGGGCCGGTATGACGGCCCCCCATGATGTGGGTACGAAGCTAACAGACGCGATCTAGTTGCGAATATCCATTTCTTCAAATGCGATATTACAGACCCAGAGCAAGTGAAGCAGACAGCCGATGCCATCATTTCGCAGCTTGGGAAGCCCTCCATCCTCTGCAATAACGCAGGTATCGGTCATGCGCATACGATCCTCGAGACGACCCCGCAGTATCTACGCAAGTTATTTGAGGTGAACCTATTCAGCCATTTCTACCTCCTGCAGTCCTTCCTTCCGCACATGATTGAAGCACGAAAGGGCCATATCATCACGACGTGCAGCATGTCAAGTTACCTCTCGCCGGTGGGCTTGGTGGACTACGCAGCCAGCAAGGCGGCAGTCATGGCGTTCGATGAGGGCCTGCGTCAGGAGATCAAGCACCGGTATGGAGCACCGGAGATTATGACCTCTTGTATCCATCCAACCTACGTGAAGACTGCACTGGTCAATAGTTGGGAGAAGGAGTTGGAGAAGACGAAAGCGCTGGTCCTCACGCCAGAGCCGGTTGGGAACACGATTGTCAAACATATCCTGCAGAGGAAGGGTGGACGCGTCTTTCTTCCAGAGTGGCTGGGCGTTGGTGCAGGACTGCGAATTTTCCCATTGTGGCTTTCAGATCTGGTGCGCGATTGCCGCAAGTCCGATATGCTTCCAGACTTGAAATGATCGCGATCGCAACTTCAAACCTCGGACTGAGTTGATTGCACGCAGCCTTTTCTTCTTATCCACTTCGAGCCGGCAGAGAACCCCTTCGTTTAGGGATCACCACTTATTTAATGCGCAATTTGATTCCTTTCGGGGGTCCTTCTTAATACTAAATCCCCGAAAGCTGCTTGATCGGCGAAACGAAGGATTGCTTTAATACTTTCGTACCGCTTAGGCGTATTTCCAAGCCCTCCGCTCCGTTTGCATTGTTCACCTTCCAACGCTTGGCATCCAGCAATAGCCAGCAGCTTCCCTTCCTCAGGTTGGGATCGTCCTGAAACATCAATCGCCAGGACTTTGGTGGTCCTAGAATCTATTGTTAGTCCTGGGGCCTGGGCACCTATTCTGGGCTTAGCGGGTTGTGGACAACTGTGAGCTGCACTGCTGCGCCTCCAGAATCCTGTCCAAATCCTTGCATACGGGGTATCCCAACACCTTGTCCCGAGCCGAGCACCAAGATAGGTACTCCGTATTCCGTATTGACGATTCTGTTAAAATGCCTTCACGAGCCTCTTCCGAAGGCGTCCTCGTTTTCGAACGAACTCGCCGAATCACTCGTTTTTGCGGCACGGATATGCAAAAGGTATGTTGAATCCTCCTATGTGCTGTCGCTGGTTTCGAGTTGCGATCGTGGATTTGCTATCGTGGAATTATATCGCTTCGCTGGCATTATATCCCTTGCTCTGGACCTGTGGAAGTTAATGTTTCTGTCGTTTGGGAATACGACTCGTGATGTGGACTTGCGATCCCTTTCTTATCTTTCTCTCGCTTCGTCTCCTATGTCATTGTACTTCAGCGGTCCGAGATCATGGTCTGTTTCCTCGACTGACCGCCTCTGCGACAGGTAGCGACGGAATTTCCAACGGACAAGTCACCCGAAGCACCCGTCTCCATTTTGTGCAGGAGACCTTTTCTATATCCCGTCCATACAGACATAGCGACTCCTTAATAGACCGAATACGATTTCCGAAAGATCGCATTAGGAGGGCCCACGCTTCAACAGATTTTCCATCGGAATCATCCAATTCAAGACGACCTCGAGTAGCAGGCGGAACTACGCAGCAACGACCGGATGATATCGCGGTGTTGCGAACAGGGCTCGGCGCTTTGAATTCGAGTCCACCTTTGTGAACCTCGCTGATACCCATCATCCCACACGAGCTTCAACCCCTCAAAGACCAGGAGAGCAATTCGTCGGAAATCGATCACCTGCCCCCATGGCGTCGATAATATCAAGAAGACCATTTGGCGACCCTTCAGCAACGGTGACGATAATACCGCAAAGACCGCAGGGTGCTCCAAGTGAGTCGGCGGCAACACCGACAGATGGCGGTGTCCCATTCGCATCGAGCGCCGAGAATAATCTCGCCAATCCTTCAGCTCTAGTGACGACAATACCGCAAAGATCACAGGGAGCTCCAAGTGAGTCGGCGACATTGCATCCAGATAACGGTATCCCATTCTGGCAATCTCTCGCATCGGATGCGTCGAATGGTCTCTCCTCGTTTACCTCAAATGTCGGATTTCCGACCGATATCCCCAATGTTGCTCCGCTACCGATACCGAGTTCGATAATCGAGGGCATCTCTCGAATCTTCTACCCGTCGTCGGGGTTGCCGAGCCTTAGTGCAACGGAAACAGTATCGTCCTGGCAAACGGGCCCGACTACGGCTGCATCGTCTCTATGGACGTGGCCGTTGCCATCTAGCGGATCCACATCAGGGGCAATATCTTCAATGTCACAACCAACGGGGACGTTATCATCTAGCGAATCCGCATCCGGAACAATATCTTCAACATCACAATCGACGGGGACCGTGCCACCTAGCGGATCTACATCAGGAACAATATCTTCAACGTCACAACCAACGAGCACGTTGCTATCTAGCGGATCTTCATCCGACTCCTCAACATCTAGCTCCAGCTTATCCTCAACCTCATCCCCATCATTGTCCTCTACTTCCTCAACCACCTTCTCAACTTCGACGCGCTCTAGCTCCACCTCATCCTCGATTTCCTCCTCGACTTCGTCCTCCTCGACTTCATCGTCCTCGACTTCATCGTCCTCGACTTCATCGTCCTCGACTTCATCGTCCTCGACTTCATCGTCCTCGACTTCATCCCTATCCTCATCTATTACCTCATCCTCCACCTCCACCTCATCCTCTACACAATCTTTAACTTCATCCTCATCCACCCCAACAACCATCGTCACACCCGCCGACGAACCCGTCCGCCCCCCTACCACCGCCTTCCCCGCCCCCTGGCTCGCCTCCCCCTCCGCTACTACCGGCCTCCCCGCCAAAGTCGTCGCCGGCGTCGCCATCGGCTCTGTCTTCGCCTTCCTCCTCCTCCTCGCCTCCGTCATCTTCTTCCTCCTCCGCAAACGCCGCCACAAGTACCAGCTCGCCCCCGTCTACCCGCAGGAAGCCTACCTGTATGACCCCCCCGATGTCAGCGGCGGATCCAGCGGCGCGTCGAAGCGCAGCTCGCCGTTTGGATCCGGCGCCGGTTTGAAGCGGAACTCACCGTACGGATCGGGCGGGCAGGGGATGACGGAGGTGGATCCGCCATTTGGACCTGCGGGCGCACCGTCGCAGCGAGCGCCGTCGTATGGCCGCGGTCCGCCGAAGGTGGAGTTGAAGAATGCGAGCAGTCCGCGGTTTGGTGCGGGGGCGCTGGGGGTCAGTCCTATGATCGGATTCAACGGACGAGGGAGTGGGCAAAGTCTGATGGGGCCGCGCAATGGGGGACTCGCAGCGGTGCCGGAGGGAGACGAGCGGGTGGTGGTGAGCAGAGAAGGTGCGGATGATATGGGTGGGCGGGTTTCAAGGGATGAGGGGGATCTAGGGATCCGAAGAGGGGACGATGGCATGGAACAGGTGCCGCTGACAGAGGCGGATTATAACGACTTGAATGGGCGGGTGAGCCCACCTATTGAGGATGTGACCGAACCACGGAGTTGGGAAAGGAGAAGAGGGGATAGTGGTGGTATATGAGCATTCTGTTTATTGATGTCCTTTTATAGCCCGGTGTTGTGGAAGACTTTGGATTTTCAAGCGATATGGCCAGCAGATACCCAGGCAGAGCTGAAGTAGGATTCTTTTGAATAATATGTCCTTGAGAAAGCTCCATTATTGATACCTTACCTTTACTGATATCAGTGATAACACCAATCCCATCAATTTATGTGCACGTGACCAGGACTTAAGAACAGCTGAGATGCCTATTACCCATGAACAATGCCTGGCTATCTTATTTCTGCAGTGCTTTTGCCAGCCTTTATACCAGTAACAAATAATAAGTGAGAGAGTATGTTATATGCATGAACAATAATAAGAGAGGATGCTGGTTTTCTCATCATGAAAGGCATCGAAAGTGGTGAATCAGTTCAGATCCGCACACCAACGAAAATCGGCGCTTCACCGCCCCACCTCCACTACTGAAACTTTCGAACTTTTCGGAATATCCGCCATCATCCATTTTCCAACCATACAACACCTGCAATTAACGCTTTCCTTTTCCTTCTCTACCGTAAATAATACCTTACCTCTCCTTCCATAGCATTATCTGCGGCCATTGCGCCTGCATTCGCTGATCACCATGCCTCCTACTACCCTAATATCCCCTCCCCCATCGCTCTCACCACTCACCCGGCCCTCGAAACCCAGCTTGAAGCGCAAGCGATCGATCTTGCCAACGCCTGCGAGCCAAGAAGATCTGCTTGTACCACAACCGAAGAAGCACAGAGTGTCCTTCAACCCACAGGCACATATCCGACACATCATACCCGCCACACGCGATTACGACGATGCCGTCAAGGGGAGGCCGATCATCGAGAAGAGCCTGGACCTTGTCCGAGCGGAGGTGCGACGCGATATTGAGAGACACCATGGTGGGATGAGCGATGGCTTTGAAAACTTGACGAGGGTGCTGTCGGTCCCATTCGGTGACGAGGATTGTCTGTCTGATGCCATGGTCCGGCGGCATATCGTTGCCTTGACGAGCATGGTCAACCGCCTGGAGAAGAACTGTTCGGCGCTCGTGTATGCGGTCCTCGACATGGACTGGCTGGGTCGAGATGAGTCATTCTACGACCTCTACAAAGGGTTTCTCGCCGCGCTGGTCTCGACACAAGGAGGGTACACAAGCGGGGTATTGCGAAAGCTTGTTGGCTTTTTCTCTGAATGTATGTTGCGCAACCCAGACTGCGCCCTATTCGCTTCTGACGTGTAGCAGTACCTCAATCAGTTGGACGACTTCCGAAGTACCCGATCGTACATCGTCGTGAACTACGACGACGCGTCCACGAGACGCTAAAGTACCTACTGAGCCTGATGCCAGCCGCGAGCTCGATACTTTCACCTGTCGTCCGGAGAGAGTTCCCGAAGGACGAAAGGAAGCCAAAGGCAGTCACCGATTACGTGTCAAACGTGCTCAAGGTGCTTGAGTACGCTCCTGAGCTGAAAGGCGAAGTGATCGCTTTAGTCATGGGTAGGGTCGTTAAGATCGATGTCCAAATTCAAGTGGATCTAGAAGATTTTGAGGATGAGCTAGGCGAAGCTCTCCTTGATGGTCTCCCAAAGAACAATGGCGTGAACACGATCGACGATGCAGATTTATCCGACGACGAAGAATCCAACGATGATGACAGTGACGTGGGGGAGGGGGAACCTGATGCGGAGCAGGAGAGGCTACAAGATCTGAGGAAGGCCATCATCAAGATGGATGGAGTGCTTGACATTCTGTTCACTCACTACCAACGCATTTTCGACAAGAGTACTGGCTTCGAGGTTGACGATGCATTCGACAGTCTCCTCGGACAGTTCTCAAGCAACTTACTCCCAACCTACCGTTCTAGGCACACCCAATTCCTTCTCTTCCGCTTCGCCCAAACCTCTCCCGACTTGGTTGACCGGTTCATCGGTACCTGCATTAGCATCGCATCCGACAAAGCCAAATCCCACATCCTCCGATTTTCCGCCTCATCCTATCTCGCCAGCTTCGTCGCCCGTGGCGCCCGCATCGACCCCTCCACGACTCTCGACATCTTCTACCTCCTTGGCGAGCAAACCAAAGAAATCCGACGACTCCAAGAGCGAACCTGCATGGGTCCCGACATCCAGCGATTCCCCGTCTACTACTCCCTCATCCAAGCCCTCCTCTACATCTACTGCTTCCGTTGGCGCGACCTCACCACCGTGGACCCTGTCGAGCTGAACATCTACGACTACTTCGACCTCAATGAGGACCTCCCATGGGGGCCGGGCGTGCACGAGGTACTCCGCGCCAACATTAACTCGCGGTTCAACCCCCTCAAAGTCTGCCATCCGAACATCGTCCAGCAGTTCGCGAAGATTGCCGGCCAGCTTCGGTTCATGTACGTCCACGACAAGGTAGAGAACAATCGGAGGGTAAAGCTCACACGGTCGCTACTCCTGCCCTCGGCGAAAAACAGCAGCCTCTCATTCGAACAGCGAGGAACCGCGCTGAGTGGCAAGGTGGATGAGCGAGCGTTCCAACTGGAAGCGTATTTCCCATTCGACCCTTACCGTCTTCCGAAGAGTAAGCGATGGGTTGAGGAGGACTACGTAGGTTGGCAGCCGATTCCTGGGATGGATGACGATGAGCCGCTGCTGGATGAGGACGATGACGATGACGATGACGATGAAGAGGACCAGAATCAGGAGACGGAGTATGCGGACTCGTCTGATGAGGAAGAGGAGGACGAGATTGACGACGAACATGTGGATACGGCAACTGATGCAAGTCCAGGAGAACCGTGATTTGGCTGACACACCTTGATTTGGGTCGGATACCAGCATTGTGGCGTTTTAGCGATGGTTTGGCGTTACTGCAGTGGTGGCCTTGCAATCGCATTCACGGCGATTATTGGTTGCGCATCGAAGCGCACATTGACCATAAAGTAAATTGGCTATCTTCAGATAGGTTCTGCGGATAAGATCTGAATACAAAAGTGATAATTCATTTCAAAAAGAGACCCCGAGCTTGGTGTCTTCATCATCGTACAATTCTCCCTCGCATATTCCCTTCATCGTCTTCTCCCACCACCATATATCTCAATTTCACATCCAAAGCAACCACCCATATCCCACCATCAAGCCTGCACCCTTCTCTCCATCATCCCCCTTCACCTCCCCAACCCCAACGGATCCCTCGCACTCCCCGCCGAACCCCCGCTCCCCTGCGTCTTCGTCCCCCCAACCACCGCCCGCGCACTCGCCGGCCCCCGCTCCAACCCCAATGGATTCCCCGCTGTCGGCGCCCTTGGCCCACTCGCCTTCGTGACATCCTTGATGCCATTCCCGTATTCGCGGACGCCATCGGCCCAGGTTTTGGTGGTGGAGGCGATGCTGTTTTGGGTGCTGGGGATGAGTAAGTGGGATTGGAGATTGAGGGGTTTGAAGGGGTGGGATATGAAGAAGGAGGGATAGGTGAGGAATGGTGATTGTACCTGTTTCCGAGACCTTTGCCTACACCGGAGACGCCATTGCCGACGGAGTTCACGACGCCGCCTGCGAAATTTCCTGCGCCGGCGACAACGCCAGAGATGGAGCGGTTGATCCAGGTATCGTTGTTTGATGCCATATTATGGGGATTGGCAGTATATAAGACTCTGTTACGATGTGTACTGCATTATATAGCGTATGTTAAAGATCCTTAAGGGATTCAAATTTGATATCTTTTATGCCTTGAATCACTGAACCCGCTGCTCTCTGCTCAATATCGACGTCATGGCGATCAGCCACAGCTCCCCCGTTGTCAAACTGTGGCTTGAACCGCACCCTTGCGGCTCGGCGACGGGGATTTCAGGAAAAGCGGGTTCCGGTTTGACGTCGCGCCACGCGAGGACGGAATGAACCGCCAGGAACATCATCATCGAGATAGAGCCGAAAAACACGTCGGCAGCGGTTATGTAGACCACAAGATGCGACAGACATTGAAAAATTAGCAAGAGCAAGGGAAAATTACAAGCGGAACGCATATGCGACTCTAAATTGGGTATCAGGTTCATGTGACTGGCGTGGGAGCCGTCTGAAGGGCCAAAAAGGGGTTAGCGCGAAAGAGCTTCGAAAGTTGGAGAGCATTGAGGTCGGGTTGCTCGAAAGTTGTATGTTTACTCTCTATTTCAGTTTCACTTGCCCTCTTACTTCCTTCCCCCATGTTTGATCTATCTATCAACATCGCGTTTTTCATCTCCCAAAGTTTTCGAAATCCTCAGCTTCATCCCTAGACATGGATGGCATCTGACCATGCGCTTGTTCGGTAGAGTTAAGCGGTTCTTTCGAAGAGTTTTTAGGAGAAACCGGGAATCTTGTTCAGTGGTTCTTTGCACTCCCGGTACGTTTAGTTATGCTACTGTGTCAGCGAAGCTCAACATTATGGCCTAACACGGCCGATACGAGTATCTCGGAACTTCATTGATCTTATTAATGTTGTCCTATTCCTAATCGACTATTGTATCTCTACTTTTAGTCGCATTCACTTCTAGTTTCGAGGAGCTAACGCTAAGAGAACACAGCTCGACGATCGCTGACTGCCAGCAATCGCAAGTCCATTCGTTGGACCCTTGACCAGAGTCGCACACCCTGGGATACAGTATGTCCTCCCACCCCTGTGTCACCCTTGGTTAAGTATACTGACAAAGTGCAAGCGCATTATCAATACACCCTTTGGAGACTATGAGCCTCTCTCTAGCAGTCCCTCGGACAGCCATGAATGGCTCCCGGGCCAAGCAGGATGCGGCCAAGGATATGGAAGCGGCGGTGAGGGAGCGAGCCGACCGCAAAGGCGTCGAGCCGCCACCATATGAGTTTCTGGAGTTGATCGGCAAGGGATCATTTGGCAGAGTTTACAAAAGGTATGTTTTTCATTCAGATCAACGTCATACAATGCTCACCACCGACCAGCATGAATCAGAATACAAAAGAGGTCGTTGCTGTCAAAGTGGTTGAGATTGACAGGGCCGATTATGCTGCTCATATGATGGACAAAGATTCCACAATCAAAGACACCATGCACGAGATTGACGTCCTCACACGCTTGAAGGAAACGGGTGCAGAGAACATCAATCTGATCAAAGACGCGTTCGAGTTTCACACGCAGTTCTGGATCGTCACGGAGTACTGTCCCGGAGGCTCAGTACACACTCTTATGAAAGCTTGCTATATTCCAGGACTGGATGAAACCTACATTATCCCGGTTGCACGAGAGTTGGCGAAGGCTTTGAAGTCCATTCATGCAGCAGGAATAGTTCACCGAGATATCAAGTGTAAGGGGACCGAATTTGCTATGGCAGGAAAGTTCTATCGCTAATTGGCCAATCACCTAGGCTCAAATGTCTTCATCACAGAAGATGGAAGACTTCAACTTGGTGATTTCGGAATCGCCGGGGTGCTCGAAACAAGCACGTCCAAGCGAACTACGGTCCTTGGAACACCAAACTGGATGCCTCCCGAGATGGTTGAGCATCTTTTTTCCGACTCTGAAGAAGCACCCACCGTCCACTACGGCACCGAAGTGGATTGCTGGTCGTTCGGCTGCGTTATCTATGAAATGGCTTCTGGTTACGCACCCTACCTCAGAGTTCACCCCATGGACCTCCACAAACACATCCGCAGTACACCTCTTACTCTCGAAAAGGGTAAATTCTCTCCAGGTCTTCAGGATTTCATCACTTTCTGCTTGCAAGAAAATCCTACCGAACGCCCGACAGCGCAGAAAATATTGGACCATCCGTATCTTGCTGGCTCGGAAGAAACCCATCCTGTTGGCAGTCTTCAAGATCTTCTTGGACAGTATTTCATGTGGGAGCAATCTGGTGGTCACAGAGCTTCGCTTTTCACTCCGAACGGTGCAGCCGGACCGGAAGATTTTACCCAACAAGAACCCGACGAGGATGAATGGAACTTCTCATTAACGACAGATTTCCAGAAACGAGTCTCTGTTGCTTATGGTGATGAAGGGCCGTTTGATTTAAGTTCTGCAGAAGTCGCTACACCTAGGGTCGCTACCAAGCCGTTGACTGGAAGAGATAAGCGACTCAGAGAAGCCCGCATCCAGCGCGGCGGACAGCTCCAAAATATGTTCAACCCTCCTGGCATGACCCAAAAAGGCGAAATGGGACGTTCCAGGATGGGCGCCAACCCAGTATATGGAAGTATGGACGACATGCGACGTATCTCTGACCTCCCGCTCCGAAACATAAGCAGCGAGCGCGCAGCGGATAGGACGACCATGATCGACCTTGACGCTGCCGAGGTGACTGGTGCGGTCCCAAGCATTGATCTCGATGTCCCGACTCTTCGCGCCAATCGGTTCCGCAACACGATCCATGAGTCTAATGATGACGAGGATGAGATCAACCGCACGGCTAAACGAGGAACCATGGAGTGGACATTCCCCACGGAACCGGAGCCGAAACTGAAGAAGGAACGGGCCACGATGGAATGGAGTTTTCAGAATGCACTGGCAGACCTGGGCGAGGACGACACTGCGGCGCCCAGGCCGCCAAAGCGGGATACCATGGCGTTCAAATTCCCGATGAGCGATCCATCTGCACACAATCGCGAGCCATCCGATACCAATCTCGATTCCGAGGACATGTTCTGGCTCAAATCAGGCATTGACATCAACACCCGCCCTCCTCTGAAACACGCAGCGACCATGCCCACCGACTTCGGCAGCCACTCGCCGCGACAATCCCTCATCGATCTCGACATGGCGATCCCGGATTTCGAAACCCACACCCGCCCCTCCACCTCTGGCACCGACTCCGCATTGACCGACGTGTCTCGCGGGGATCCGTTTGACCTCGAAGACTCCGCCCCTACGGACGACGCGACACTCCATGACGTCACGAGCGATCTCAACGCCATGCATTTGAAGTCGCAATCTGAGCCCTACCATAAAGCCTGGGGCCCCTCCTTCCCATCCCAGCCCCGCTCCCGTGCACCCACCGCGCTCCGCCGCGCCCCGGATTTCGCTGCCATGGGGTATACCCCATCCAAGCAGAATGCGCCGTATCCCAGCCAGTTCAACATATGGCAGAAAGGCGAAGTACCGCGACGGATCAATGCGGATGGCGACTATAAGCGGTCCATGGTCGCGGATTTCCCGGAGCCGGAGATGCCGCACCGGGCTGCGCTGGGGACCCGCGACGTGAGTCATTCATTCATGGAGGGGGAGGTCGGTCGGATCATGAGAGGGTTCATTGATCATACGAGGATGACACAGAGGGCCTTTGAGGCAAGTGAGGAGTTCGCGAGCATGAAGGAGCCAGATAATTGATTGTGGGAAGGACAGGTCGTCGTCCGGCAGGGCCTTTGAGGCACATGGGAGTTCACTGAGACGAAAGGGGATGAGATTGGTCGTGGGTGCATACAGAGGATAGATCATCACCCGACGATGCAACAGCAAAGATGCGAGAAGGATCATATTTGGTCTCTTCCATCCAAAGTGATAGCCCAAGCGTGGAGTATGGAGCAATTCAATAATGTTATAAAATCACTGCAATGTTTCGCAACTTTTTGATGGGAATAGCTATGGCATTAGATCTACTTCAAGAAGAATGCCTATGATTCCACCCGCTATTCCATCTCTTCGACGTCGCCGCTTTCCCCTTCCTGACCTCGCCGTTTGCGAAGGAGGCCAGTGGTATACAGCCTCTCCGCGACCTTCGTCTTGTCTATCTGATCCCTATTCGTCTCCCGGCGTTCATTGCTATCAGTGAAGAAGTCATCCACATCGAAAGTTGCTCCATCGCCATGGGGCTTGAGCACACACAATTGTTGTCCCTCCACAGATTCTCGCACCACGGAGCATGAGTTTTTGGCATGGATGCCATCCACAGATACGACTATGCTACTCTCCGACACAACAGTATCCAGGAGGTTACCTGGTAATGTGGTCCACGATATTTGAGGCGAGGCGCCTGCATTGAAAATAGGTTCAAGGTTCAAGAGGAAGATGCCTGCGACGCCTTCGCACGCAATCAGAACACACTTCGTGCCCGTTAGTTCGGCCTTGAGTTTGGAAGATTTGGGGTAGGAAACATACCTCTGAGCCAGAGACAACATATCGCCATAGTCCAGTAACACATATTGGAACTCTATCGGGGACTGATGCATTAGCGCTTGAGGAATCCTCCCCAGCTCCCCTACAGGCCTCAACTGGGCCTCTCAGATCGACCTTCCGGAGTAGTTTACTCTGTAGCCAGTCCCACACGAACAATTCGTCATCCCCACCACCTGACACGAGATACCTCCCTTTCCCAATAAAACATAACTTGCTCACAAACTCCGTGTGGCCGAGGCAGAAATTCTCAATTATGTGCGCCTGAGAAGGGCCTCTTGAGACGCGGATATGTTCATCTCGATCTGCCGTAACAAGATAGCTTCTTCGCTTTCCGCCGCCAGACTCGTTCTCAAGCGTCACGAATTTCAGGTCAGTCATCAAAGACACATGCCCCAGAAGCAGCTTAGCCTCGAAGGGGAGACCTTCTTTCGGTTTCGCTGCGTCTATCGCTTTCATTTGCGCTTCCAGGATCTTCCGGTTTGCAGCAGTATGCACGGTGGTGAGACTTGCTGCGGGTTTAGACTGGGTTTCGGTCCTGGATACCTGGGCCTTTGGAATGAAGTCTGCTGCGGGGAGGAGGGGGAGAGAGTAGGCATCTCCGAACTTATCTCCGACGAATATGGTTGAGTCATCATCTGATAGTTCGACTGTGCTCGGTCGTTTGAACATGCATCTGCAGATACTATTAGCGAATGACACGTTTTGATGCTACGGTTATTTTAGACCTCTTGCTCAACTCTTTCAGTTCGCCCGTCTTTTCTACTTCAAAAACACGGACAGCTTTGTCCTCGGCAGTGATTGCAACGATATGATTCCGATCATTTGATATTGTGACGCTCAACACATATGAAGGGGTCTCTGTCTTCGCGGACAACTTCTGTCTCTTGCCCGGTCGCTCATCATCACTATCGGCCGTGGTAGGTTGGATGCCATTACCGGTATGCTCGGGGATGTCAGAATTGCTGGGATTGAAACGAGAGATGTTCATTCAAATTATGAATTATTGGATTTGTATCAAGAGCTTACCTTTGGCTGTGGCTGTGGCCATGTTGAAACCAACCCTCCGGTTGACACTGAAAAGCTCAGAATCCGATGCCCGGAAGCTGCAATGAGAAAGGAGCTGGTTGATTCTCGAGGGGAGGAGATCGCCAGGCTCTGGAAGGGATGATCCATTTTGATTTTAATACTCCCCAAGATACCTGCTAGCTCTCGTTTCAAAGTTCAAAGTTGTCGCTATGGCTCTTGCTTCACGTTGGTGAAGCCAACGCAGTCAGTATCAAGGTTTGCTCATAGTGACCCTAGGTCACCTGTGATTGGTCAATTAATGACGACGTGTGGCTGGGAGTGGAACTGTGGCTTATACGTGCATGGTCAAATTTAGCGATGTCTTGGCACATCACACACCTTCATCTCGAATTTTCCAGCTTCAACTTTCTTCCTCAACCACAACAAATCGTAATTACACAGGAGTCTCTAGCTTAAACATCCTATATTCTCAACCGAAGATATGGGGGCTAAGACTGGAAACAAGGCCGCTTACTTCGACAAGCTCAAGGCTCTGCTCGACGTGTACAAGTCGATCTTCATCGTCAGTGTCGACAATGTCTCCTCGCAGCAGATGCACGAGATCCGTCACTCCCTTCGCGGGGAGGCGGTAGTCCTGATGGGCAAGAACACCATGGTATGTCTCTGAAGTTCACCGTGAGATGGAAGCGATGGATCTGACATCAAATAAGGTTCGCCGTGCCCTGAAGGGATTCATCGGCGAAGAGCCAGAGTACGAGCGACTTCTCGCACACGTCAAAGGTAAAGGAAATATTTACAGGCCTATAATTCTATGGACTCACAAGTTGCAGGCAATATTGGTTTCATTTTCACCAATAACGACCTCAAAGACATCCGTTCAAAGATCCTCGGAAACCGTGTCGCGGCTCCCGCCAAAGCTGGCGCGATCGCTCCTGACGATGTGTTCATTCCCGCCGGAAACACCGGCATGGAGCCCGGCAAGACCTCTTTCTTCCAGGCTCTCGGTGTCCCGACCAAGATTGCTCGTGGTACGATTGAAATCACGTCCGATTTGAAGCTCGTCCAGGCCGGTACCAAGGTCGGAGCTTCCGAAGCCACCCTGTTGAACATGTTGAACATCTCTCCCTTCACCTATGGTATGGCTATCACCCAGGTCTATGATCAGGGCCAGACCTTCGATGTGTCGATTCTCGACATCGATGAGGCGCAGCTCTTGAAGGCGTTCTCCTCCGCTATCGGCACGATCGCGGCGGTTTCCCTTGCTGTCAACTTCCCCACCCTTCCCTCCGTCATCCACTCCGTCGTCAACTCCTACAAGAAGTTGCTTTCCATCGCTGTCGAGACCGAGGTCGAGTGGGAGGGCATCGAGGAGCTCAAAGACCGCATCCAGAACCCCGACAAGTACGCCGGTGCCGCACCTGCAGCTGCTGCCGGTGGTGCGGCTGCTGCCGAAGCACCGAAGGAAGAGGCGAAGCCGGAATCGGATGAGGAATCGGAAGACGATGACATGGGTTTCGGTTTGTTCGATTAGAATCCTCCACCCAGCAAATGGCGTGGAACTTCGCATGAAGGATCCGTAGGGAGTAACACGGCATGGTCCAAGCCGACAATAATATCCTGTTACTGAAGGGTAGCTGATCGTGGTTTGGTCTGTGTCGTGATATGCAGCATTCTGGTCTATTGATCGTAATGTTTTCAAGGTACGTCCCTTTTTTCTCTTTTGCATCGTGATTTCGAATGATTATACAATTTTTAACTCCTACTTTCCGTGAGGACCAAAATATGCAACACAACTCTAATTTTTTCATGACACCGAACCTTTTATCTACATTTTCTGCGACACTTGGAAAAACGACCTTTGCTGACATCATGTCCAGGTTCAACGCCAGCAAAGGCATTTCCGTGCCGTGCCAATTCTCCAAAGTTTCGCCAAAGCTCCCTAGCCCACCATGTCCTAAATACACAAGGGTATCTTATAAATGCAAATGCTTTGATCCCGAACTATGGGTGTTCCAGTTGCTCAGGACGGTGAATTTTGTGCACTCCGCCGATTGTCTATCACCTCTGGCGATGACCTCGCCTTGATATTCTCAAGCACATGCTCCGCGACTTGAATAGCCTTGTCCGGAAGCCCTGCCAATCTTGCCACCTTCAGTGCATGCGAGCTCGTGTTTACTCCCCTCCGTACCTTATGTATGAATGTAAACCCTCCCTCTTCGTCCTCTGCGATGTCGGTGCAATAGCAACCAAGTCTTTCAAAATGCCGCGACATCTCCGCGAGAGAATGGAAATGCGTCGCAAACAATGCCCGACAATTGTTGGTGTAGTGTAAATGATGAAGGCACGCAAACGCTACAGCGATGCCGTCTTCCGGTGTCGTGCCTCGTCCCACCTCATCCATGATGACGAAGGATCGAGATGTTGCTTGCTTGAGAATTTCGGCAGTTTCGAGCATTTCAACCATGAAGGTCGATTGGTCCTGGTAGAGGTTATCCGCGGATCCGACCTGGCCTATCATCAGTATACAACGTAGAACGTGTAGGAGATGACTTACCCTGCTGAATATCTTGTCCACCAGGCCAATCTCCGCATAATCCGCCGACACGAACGACCCCGTCTGCGCCAGAATCGAAATCAACGCATTCTGCCGCAAATACGTGCTCTTACCCGCCATATTTGGCCCCGTAATCAACAACACCTCCTCCTTATCCCCCACCACACAATCATTCGCCGTGAACCTCCTCCCCTGCTCCATCAATCCCACCTCTACCGTCGGATGCCTTCCCCCCAGAATGTGATGCGCCGTCCCCCGATTTACCACCGGCCGCGTCAGGCTCCGCTCCCGCGCCAACGTCGCGAACCCGCACGCCACGTCCACCTCGTCCAGCACCCCCGCGTTCCGCCGCAGCTTCACGAGGTTCTTGACCACTTGCGTGCGCAGCTGGGCGAAGATCCGCGATTCCTCGGAGCGGATCCGCGCGGTGGCCTCGTCGAGGCGAGTTCCGAGCGCGGTCCATTCGGGGAGGTGGAAGGAGTGCGTAGATTTGCTGGAGGAGACGCTGCGGGCGCCGGAGAGGGTGGAGGACGCGGTGCGGGCATCTTTGCCTTTTACGTGGCAGATGTGGCCGAGGCCGGGTGTCCATTTTAGGGTTAATGTCGAGCTGCTAGCGCGCTCCCGAAGCTCGGTTTCGAGGTCCGTTTTCTTAAGATGGAGTGTATCGAGCTCGGAGTGTAGGCGGTTGAGTGTTGGGCTGGCGGTGCGACGCATGATCCAGACTTCTTCGTTGCCCGATACTGCGGTCTGCTGGTCCCTATTTGCTCGAGCGACTTCCACTTCCTTGCGCTTGAGGGTTTGTGGCGTGCCTTTCAGTTTGCCGGTTTCGCCTGATTGGGTCAAAACTTCTTCGGCGAGTCCAAGCATGTCCGCTGCTTCGCTATCTTCGATCAAATGTTGTTGCGAGAGCATGTCCTCGTCGATGGATTTTGTGATCCGGTTCGAAATTTGGAGTGGTCCGTCGAGCTGGATGTGGCGGACAAGATCTTGAATATGGTACTTGATTGAGCCGGACACCACTGAATGTCTCGAGTTTGGTTCCCCTTCGTCTCGGCGGGTGATATGTTCTTGTAGAAGATCTGCGATTTGCTTTGTGACTTGAATGGTCTCCGATAGGCCAAGGAGATCGTCGGCGTCTCCTTTCCCGAAAGCAAACTTCTGGACAAGACGGAAGGAGTCGAATGTACGCCGCAGGAGTAAGATGAGATGCTCACAAAGGCCTTCGTTCTCGTACATTTCTCCAACCATGTCTAGACGGTTGTTGATCTCCTCCAGAGACATGGAGGGTGACACTACCAAGTCAGTCACTATCATAGGTATGAAATCAGGATGGAGCATACTTAGTCTCTGGCGAAGTAACCTAGCTCCACTCTTGGTAACAGTTCTCCTAACCGACTGCAGTAGACTCCCTTCATACGCCCCATCTTTTAGCGTTTTCTGGATCTCCAACGCTCGTAGTGTATTCTTGTCAATCAACATCGCTTCTTTCGCCTGCCTTTGCATTGGTGGTTGAAGCTTCGGTGCAGCCCCGAATAGCTGTTGCTCAACGTACGACACGAGGAAATATCCCGCTGACAGCTCTGCATCGGAGAACTTGGCCGCGTTCCAATCCTTGGTAGGCTCATCTACCATGGAAGGCCACCTGCTCAGCGGAGGCGTCTCCTTTGGCGTGTCGTGGTAGCTCACGACATGCTGACCTTCATTTAGCGAAACAGCGAGCTGAGGATGCTGGGCATCGCGTAACGAGCTGTCGAGTAAAATCTCGCGCGGTCCAATTCGAGCAACGATGGAAGATAAAGTGTCGAACGTTGCCTTTTGAGTAAAGAAATCTCCACTAGACAAATCAAGCCAAGCAATCCCAACGTCCGCCAGTCCGGTCGAAGGAGTCTCAAGGGATCCATGAGGCTGGATGCACATAAGGAAGTTGTTCTCCCACGGATCCATGAATTTCTCATCAATAAGCGTGCCAGGAGTGATGATCCGGGTGACCTTCCTATCGAACAACAAACCTCCTGATTTAGCTTTCTCGGCGGGATCATTGGCGAACTCCTCGCTGATGGCTACGTATTTGTTCAGGTCCTGCACTAGGATCTTGAGATAGCGGTCAAGTTGGAAGAACGGAAAACCGGACTATCGGATATGTCAGACAAACTCGGCCCAGTATCAAATGAGATGAGGTGGCAGACCATGTATACCGGTCCGGCACTCGTCTTCTTTTGGGCGAGCTTGAGATTCAGCAAGGGGCCGAATTCTTCAGCTTGTTCGAAGTAAAGCTGTAATGTATCCGATCAGTCTATGTCCTCTCTATAAATGTTTCAATAGAAGATACCTCATAGAAGCTCCCGACTCGAGTCAACACCACACAGTGGTTGAACTTCCGCATATTGTTTCGCGCTTGCTGCACCACCGTAGGATATGCCGGCTCATCTTCTGGTTGGGCATCTTGAGCCAAAGCTGGCAAAGGGCCCTGAGGTAGCTCGCTGATCTTTACACGCGTAGACGTTCTTTTACTGCGAGAGTGCGGTTTTGGAGCAAGCGATGGTTTGATACAGGCTCTATGCAGCCCGACTGCGGCGCAAAGGCTTCTCCCGGACAGGACGGCTTTTCTGTGCGCCCATCCTGTCCGCATCAGAATAGCGCGCATCTTTCTGATATCAATATGAATCCATCTTTCCCCTTCATGAATTTCCGTCAACATGGACAGCAATGAAATAAATGTGTCGTGTGTTGAACCCCTGATACCCTGTCATGATATTGCCTCTTCGGGACTAGCGTTTTTGCCGGGTGTACGGATTTCGAGGTGTCATCACAAGCAAAAAATATTCGGCTTCATCTAATCCCAATTCACATGAATATTGAAAAATGTCAAATATGGCTCCAGAATTTAAGCCGTTGAAGAACGATTTGATACTGAGGGCCGCTCGCGGTAGGTATGCAGCAATGCGTCTTCTGTGGGCGTCCGCTGATCACGATCACAGGCGAAAAAGTCGAGAAGGCCCCGGCATGGGTGATGAGGCAAGGTAACACACACAAATTGCCTTGAACATGACGGATTGGCATTGACTTGTGTAGCTGGGCGGTATCTGCCCGAGTATCATGAAGCAAAGGGCACCCACGACTTCTTCGAGTGCTGCCGGGATGCCGAGATTGCATCAACCATCACGCTCCAGCCGATTGATCGGTACGCGGGAATCATCGACGCGGCCATCATCTTCAGTGACATTCTCGTCATTCCCCAGGCGATGGGGATGGAAGTGGTGATGGTCGACAAGAAAGGGCCGCATTTCCCCAATCCGCTCTCCAGTCCCCAGGACCCGCAGTATGCCGAGGTTCTCCAGCGCGATGTCGATGTCAAGGAGAGCTTGGATTATGTGTACAGAGCGATCACGCTGACCAGGCAGAAGCTGGAAGGCAGGGTGCCGCTGATTGGTTTCTGTGGTGCTCCTTGGACGTTGCTTTGCTACATGGTTGAGGGTGGCGGGAGCAAGATGTTCAAGGAGATCAAAACATGGATATACAAGTATCCGAAAGAGTCAAAAGCGTTGCTCCAGAAGATTACGGACTGCTGCATTGAATATTTGGCTTTACAGGTCCAGGCCGGTGCACAGGTCGGTGATACGAACCAAAATATAATGGCAATCCAACTAATTCACTGAATAGATGCTACAAGTCTTCGATTCATGGGCTGGCGAACTGTCTCCTTCTTCATTCAAGGAGTTCTCATTACCATATCTACGAGAAATCGCCACCGGCACGCAAGCACGATTAACGGAACTTGGACTTGAGAAGGTTCCCATGGTCGTCTTTGCGAAAGGAGCATGGTATGCATTAGAAGACCTGTGCAATTCCGACTACGACGTTGTCAGCCTCGACTGGCTCCATGATCCAGCGGAAGCGTACAAGATTGCACGCAGCAAAGGCAAGACGCTACAAGGAAACATGGATCCTGGTGCTCTTTACGGCGGAAAACCATCGATTGCCAAAGAGCTGGACCATATCGTGAGAGGATTTGGTGGTGGGAAACAAGGATGGATTGCGAATCTCGGACATGGTAATTGGTCTATTCTCTATTGTCTAGGCTTCGTTGCTAATGATATAGGTGTCACTCCGTTTGTGGATCCCGAAAATTTGAGGTTCTTCTTCGAGGAGGTTAAGCGGCTGTCTTCGTCGTAGAACACTAAACCGGGTTGGATATCATCAACGGTCCCTTGACTTCGATGTCTATCCCAGCCTATAATTGACCGTAGGGCCGCGAGGGACCATTGATTTCGGCCATAATGGAGGACAATTGCTGCTAGATGACCGCCACTACGGCTCACCGATATCCTCGTTCCTATTGAAAATTTTAGTCCTGCATTCCCGGTGGAGAATCTGGGAGATTGGTACCATTCCTCCGGCTTCTCGGCGATGAACTTCTTCATCAATTCCTGACACTCCTTGTTCTTCAAAACGACGACCTCGATGCCCCTCTGCTTCAGATATTCCTCGCCCCCGACAAAGGTCTCGTTCTCCCCGATGACTACCCGCTTTACTTTGTACATAACGCAAGAACCAGTGCACATGTCACATGGCGACAAGGTTGTATAGCAGGTGGCGCCCCGATACACCGACGCCGGTAGCCTCCCAGCATTCTCAAACGTCGATATCTCCGCCTGATAGCAATGTTATACAATGGACCACGTAGGATTGGGCGTGAAAGACGGCAATGTTCAACAAGGCAGTGATGGGATAGATTCAACATACATGAAGCGTAGCACTGCCCTTCTGGAGCCTCATATTGTGGCCTCGTCCCAGTATTGTCCCATCTGCAGCGACAAGAGCTGAACCAATGGGAACGCCGCCCTCGGCAGCACCTTTACGGGCTTCCTCCAACGCCGCAATGAAACCTGGATCCGTTTCCATTTCTTTGTTGCTCGTGCTATCTAGTAGAAAATAAGTTAAATCGAAGTAAGAATGGTAGTACAGCACGTGCTCGATACACAGTGATGTTTAATATCTGTATTCTTCACGCTGGAGTGACTCGGGAATTGGCACAGATTGCCGACGTCGACAATCTCTCCCGAAAGCAAAAGAAGCGTAGAAATCGATAGAAGAGTTCAGAAGCTTGGCGCCGAATCGGTGGGTCCGAGCCAGCGTCTCCCAGCTCAAGTTTTATCACCGATCCTCACAGCCCGAACTGCAGACAGCCTAAGGAGAGTCTAAGCGTGGTCTCCAAGGCAAAAAGAGGGAATCGGATTACAGAGGGACCTGCACTAAGAATTCACACTTTCACACGATTGCCTTTGCCGTTGCCTTGTCGATCCCCGCTGTCATCATTGTCAAAATCTTCGCCCCAAAGACCATCCCGCCCCTTCACTCTTTGCATCTCCTCCTCCCTTTTTATCGCCCCTCCAGATCTCTTCTCTCCAGACAAAATCGGTGAGTGAGCATCTTATTCGCGACTCTCCTAGAGCCACTCCGGATTCGCTTCGACCATCTGACAACGACGGGTGAGTGATCCCGCGCTAAACCTCCCTGACGACACACTCAACTTTGTCCCTTTGACCTTGATTGCTCATCACGATTCCCTGTTTCCTACCACGGGAATCCCTCCGCCTTACTTCCTCAAAGTAGAGCCTGGTGGCATCTTCAGCGCTTCTTACTAGACGGTTCTGAGACCGTTATCAGAGGTGTATTGTTTACTAACATCCTTCGCTGCTTGATAGATCTACATCAAGAGCCTTATAACCGCTTCGAAGACCTCCGACAGCCGTCCGAGATCAAGAGAGTCCTCCCCGTCACAATATACCGATAGCACATATTACACCTTCACGATGGTGAAAGAAACAAAATACTACGAAATCCTCGCGGTATGCGACTGCCGCCTTGCTTGAGCAAACCGAATATATCCTAACGATCAACAGGTGTCACCCGATGCCACCGAGGCTCAGCTTAAAACCGCATACAAGAAAGGTGCATTGAAATGGCATCCCGGTACGCATATCTCCATCGTCTCTCGCCTCGACCACTTCTAACGTCTCCCAGATAAGAACAACGACAACCCGGAAGCCGCCGAGAAATTCAAGGACCTCTCCCACGCCTACGAGGTCCTCTCCGACTCCCAAAAACGTGGCCTGTACGACCAATATGGTGAAGAAGGCCTGGAACAAGGCGGCATGGGCGGCGGCATGGCAGCCGAGGACCTGTTTGCTCAGTTCTTCGGCGGCGGCGGTGGCGGGTTCGGCGGCATGTTCGGCGGCGGCATGGGGGGCGGAATGCGCGACGCCGGCCCTCGCAAGGCCCGGACCATCTCCCACGTGCACAAGGTCACCCTCGAGGACATCTACCGCGGAAAGGTCTCTAAGCTCGCGTTGCAAAAATCCGTCGTCTGCCCGAAATGCGATGGGCGGGGCGGGAAGGACGGCGCGGTGAAGAAGTGCGCCGGGTGTGATGGCCGCGGAATGAAGACCATGATGCGCCAGATGGGACCCATGATCCAGCGTTTCCAGACCGTCTGCTCCGACTGCAATGGCGAGGGCGAGATCATCCGGGACAAGGACCGATGCAAGGCCTGCACCGGCAAGAAAACGACGATCGAGCGGAAAGTGCTCCACGTCCACGTCGACCGGGGCATCAAATCCGGCACCAAGATCGAGTTCCGCGGCGAGGGCGACCAGCTTCCTGGCGCCGAGCCCGGCGATGTGGTGTTTGAGATCGAGCAGAAACCTCATGCTCGCTTCCAGCGCAAGGAGGACGATCTGTTCTACCACGCCGAGATTGATCTGCTGACAGCGCTGGCTGGAGGCCGACTTCACATCGAGCACCTCGATGAGCGATGGTTGGTCGTTGATATTGTTCCCGGCGAAGTCATTGCCCCAGGTATGTGCACCCCATCCACCCTGGAAGTCCTAGTAACCCACTAACACCCACCAGGCTCCATCAAAGTCATCCGCGGCCAAGGCATGCCCTCCTACCGCCACCACGACTTCGGTAACCTCTACGTCCAATTCGACGTCAAGTTCCCCGAATCGCTCCCCGGCCCCACCGGCATGCCCCCCATGTCCGACGCGGACCGCGCCGCCCTCGAGCGCATCCTGCCACCGCGTGCCGCCGCCGATAAGAAACCGCCCGCGGACGCGATGACGGAGGATTTCAGCCTGGAGGAGGTCGACCCGGCGGGTGAGCAGGCGCGAGCCCGTGGGATGATGAGTGATGATGATGACGATGAGATGGGTGCGGGTGGAGAGAGGGTGCAGTGCGCGTCGCAGTAGACGAGGCTCCGTGTGGGTTATGAGTGGGTGGAGGTATGAATGGGATATGAGGGTTGCATCGGCGATGGAGGAGACAATGCGTTCGACGGAGTTGGATGACTTCGTCGGGATATAAACGAGTGGTGGCCGGGAAAGCGGCGGTTCATGTGGTGGATCAAACTTTCCGAGTTGTCGATCCTAGTCCTCACTCTCCAGACCTCTCTCCGCACACCGCCGATATCAAGGCACAGATATCTACTATCACCGATTCCCCGCTAGCTACCCACCCTCCGACCGCGTCCATCCTCGGTTCTACTGTCCTCTATCCCCCTCGCATTGCTACCCTTGTGCGTTCTATAGACCTTTGACTTCCGTACTTTGCCTAGCCTGATCTCGTTTTTCTGGCGTTCCGACCGGTTTGGGATGACGGACGGTGGGATGTGTGCATATGACGAGGTTGCGCGGGCTGGGATGGGCGGGCGGAGACTAGATAGTAATTGAATTTTGCTTTTTCAGGTTGAAGATTGAATTGTTTAGAACATCTATGATATGATTGTGAATGACCTATAAACTGATTCAAGGATGACCTATCTACCAGTGTCTTTTAGTGGGTGGGTGTACTTCCGTAAGCATATCAGATGCTCATGGCTAAACCGTAAACGCCGTGGAGTGCACAGACTTGGGCAGCCTTGGATGACCTCGCCCAGCTTGTAGCTTTCTCCAATGTGCCCCCCACCAACCCTCAAGGCATCATCCATTATCCTCCGCAATCCATATTAAACCACCGATATTCCTCTCTCCAACCACACCAATTCCCCTCCCCAAACCCTCACCATGACCTCCACCGACCCCTTCGACAGCGCCCTGTAAGCCCATCCCCTCCTTTCCTTCCACCATCGAACTAACCCCCCCAGCGACCTCCTCCGTCGCCTCAACCCCTCCACCACCGCCCTCAACGTCCAACGTCTCTGCACCCTCTCCCCCTCCCTCACTGATGACCTCCTCGAATCCGTCGACATCCCGCTCACCACCCGAAAATGCCGCGTCACCCAGCGCGACTTCCTCTGCTGCGACTACAACCGCGACGGCGACAGCTGGCGCAGCCCGTGGAGCAATGAGTTCGAGCCGCCACTGGAGGAGAGCGAGGTGAGCGAGGGGGTGACGCCGAGTGAGAAGGTGAGGAAGATGGAGGTGAGGGCGAACGAGGCGTTTGATGTGTATCGGGAGTTGTATTTTGAGGGGGGGGTGGCGAGTGTGTATTTTTGGGATGTAGAGGGGGGGTTTGCGGGGGCGGTGTTGTTGAAGAAGGGTGAGTGCTCATGTTTCTGAGATACCCAGCTACTCCACTGTGCATTTTCTTTGCATCTTCTTGGGCTTTGAATCGTTGGAGATATGGTGTATGGCTACATGTGCTGACCCCTTCTCTCACCCAGCCGTTTCCCCCGGCGGAAACTCCACGGGCTCCTGGGACAGTATCCACGTCTTCGAAGCGCTCGACAAGCCGCCCCGACAGGCACACTACAAGCTCACCTCCACCGTCATCCTGTCGCTCGGCACCGGCGCCGAGGGGCTGGGCAAGATGGACCTGGCGGGCAACATGGTGCGGCAGGTCGAGCAGGACATGCCGGTGGACGACGACATGAGCCACGTTGCGAACGTCGGGAAGATGGTGGAGGACATGGAGATTAAGATGAGGAATTTGCTGCGTAAGTACCGAATCGGAGAGGGGTTGGTTAGGAGGGACGCTGACGAGATGCAGAGGAGGTGTACTTTGGGAAGGCGAAGGATGTGGTGGGAGATTTGAGGAGTGAGATTCGATTCTATCTACCTGGACGACGAGTGGGTGCTAATTTTTGATAGGCATTGCGCCGTTGAGCGAGACGAATCGAGATCGGGCGACACAGAGAGAGATGATCAGTAGTATGGGCAAGTAGAGCACTCCCATACCCGACGGCTGCGATTCTGTCATGCCTCTGGACGGCAGGAAAGTCGGGGATTCAGCTAGGATGAACATTGATGTTACGGTTAAAAGCAGCATATAGCGGGGTTCACAGCGCAATTGAGGGTTCCAAAGACTCTACGCAACAACTTTCCGATTCAACTGCAATACGTCCGAAACCCTAATAATGGCCTCTGTACCAACCAAACATTAATCCAATACTTCCACTAGATCCCCAATAAATCCGAACACTCTTTCTCAACTTCCAAGCGACCGCTCCACTTCAAACCGCTTACAAGGCCAAGGCAGCCATGACGAGAGCACCGGCACCAGCAAGGACGGGGAATCCGGTCGCCGCAGCCATGCCAGACGAAGTGCCTGAAGCGCCCGCTGAGCCGGAGCCGCTGGAGCCAGACTCGCCAGCAGATCCTATATTCAGTCAGCTACCCATCCTTTCCTTCTATTACAATGCAACACTACTCACCAGTCTCAGACGGATCCGAAGAACTGCCCGAACCCGACCCGGAGTCTGAGCCTGAGCCTGAGCCTGAGCCTGAGCCACCGGTAGCACTCGCGCCGGCCGACCCAGTCCTGGACCCCGACCCAGACCCCGATCCGGACCCCGATCCCGATCCAGCCGTCGGCACCGCGGTTTCGGTCAGGGTGATATACTGTCCGAAACACGCGTTCTGGCACTGCGTATACTTATCGGTAGCGGCCGCGGTCCCGTCGCCCTGGTCGCACGCGGCGACGCAGACGGTGACCTGGTCCATGGCATTCTCATCGGGGCGCGGCACACCGACGCAGTTGGCCGCGCAGTTGACGTCGCCGGAGGGGCAGGCGGCAAGGCAGGTCTGGACGGGGGTGAGCTCGGCGGTGGCGGTGGGGGCCTCGGAGCCAGAGTCCTGGGGGATGGCGTGGGCGGTGAGGGCGAGGAGGGTGGTGAGGAGGAGAGAGTTGAACTGCATTTTGATGATGGGAGTAAAGACGCGTTTTTAGAGGCGGCGATCAATTAATGGACTTGGGATGAAGTAAATGGCGGATATGAGCGAGTGTGATGAAGACAAGTCGAATAGACTCTGCTAACGAACGACGGAGAAGTACTGATGGGATGATTCTGGAGATTTCACATATGACTGAAGAAAAGAAGAGAGAAGGAGGACAAGATCACAGCAAAGTCAGAAGAAAGGGAGAGATGTTGGGGCCCTTGGGGGAATTCAGGCCAGGCATGTTGGTATGGAGATTCCGGGGGGAGTGCATGCGCCATGCAGAATCGCTAGAAACACGGCAACCAGCCGATCTACTAGAGCGTTTCCAGCCCAATTCCCTGCATTGGCCGCTCCGTAGCCTGTAACATGTTGAGGTTTGTCGAGTTTTTCCTTTCGTGTCTTTGCGGGCTTGACCGCTTGAGCCGTAATGACCAGATGACACCGCTGCTCGAATCTCGAAACCAATTGGGTCCGGCGGAATAAAATTAGACAATACCTTCAGTGTCGTATTAGTACCCCCGAGGCCGGAACTCTGGAGTGAAACAGCGACGCTCAACAGTAAAAGGTCTGCTTAGCGGCTCGGCTCAATTCTGTCTGTGCTAAAAACAGGGAGGCTAACTAGTGGCTTGATAACTATTGACAATTGACATGGATTAATGGAGATGATCGGGATTCGTCGATTTCGGCGCGTCGAGCCACGACTTCACGCGTTCGAGTTCAATTTGGTGCAACGAGATTGAAGGCTTTCTGAGGAAGGGAAGGACTCCCTTATCGTCTGCTATTGCGAGAGAAACTGTGCGATGCAGTGAATAGCAAATAACTATACCTGCTAACACGAACAATTTTCGTGCCCACCTCTACCGTTATTTCAGGCGGCAGAGCGGCAAACAATAGCAGGAGAGAATGACACAACTTCTCATTTCTACTTTCTACCACCGAGTTTTCCCCTCGACGTGGCACTGCATTCTCACCGACATGTCGTGACTTCATCCCTCCTCTCCAGTGTGTGTTGGAATCGCAGTTGCGGGACTGGGTATCAGGAAAGAATAAAGATGTCCTCCGATGAATATGGATCTTTCGACATAGATGACGATGACTTGATCCCGATTGACCAGGTGACATTTCCATTAGCACCTCCATCAAATCAGATAGCGGGGTCCAGGCTGTCTGCACGGCCGGAGAAGCGGCGGAGATTGGATGGCGAGAATGGGTGAGCACATGCTGTATTCAAACTCCGGGAGTCCAGGCTAATATCCACCTCAGGACGAACAATATCAACGGCGCGGCCCTCCCTCCGTCGTCGCCACCAGCGCCTGGCACCAGAAACAATACTATATCCACCGATTCCCGAGACTCCTACCAAGCTCCGAACGAGAACACGCGTCTTCGTGCTCCCCTCACAGGTCTACGACAAACCACCTTATTCGGCCAGACACTGGACGGCGTCTCTCTCTCCCAGACCACCAAGCGGCATGCCTTCCCCGTCGCGAGAAAAGATGAACCACCTACGCATCACCTGTTGGATAAACAAGCGATGGAAACCTGGGTGTATCCCACGAACCTTGGGAGGATCCGCGACTATCAATTCAACATCGTGCAGAAGGCCCTCTTTCATAACACCCTCGTTGCGCTGCCCACCGGTCTTGGGAAGACGTTCATCGCTGCGACCATCATGCTGAACTGGCTTCGGTGGACGAAAAACGCGCAGATCGTCTTCGTTGCTCCCACGAAACCATTGGTAGCGCAGCAGGTGGAGGCATGTTTTAGGATCGCTGGCATACCGAGGTCGGAGACCACGATGTTGACGGGAGAGGTTTCTCCCGTATTGAGGGAAGCCGAATGGGAATCGAAACGGGTGTTCTTCATGACGGCGCAGACTCTGATGAACGATTTGCAAAAGGGTACCGCGGACCCGAAGCGGATCGTACTGCTTGTGGTGGACGAAGCGCATCGAGCGACTGGAGCGTATTCGTACGTGGAGGTGGTCAAGTTTATTGTCCGCTTCAACCAGAGTTTTCGCATTCTTGCGTTGACGGCTACGCCGGGTGCAACTGTGGAAGCCGTCCAGAACGTCATTGATGGGCTCAAGATCTCGCGAATTGAAATCCGAACGGAAGACTCGATAGACATCAGGGAATATGTCCATCAACGCCAAATGGAAAAGTATCTCTTCGACGAGACCGAAGAGATGGCATTGCTCATTGGGTTATACAGCAAGGCTCTACGGCCCCTCGCGGAAATTCTAAAGCAACAAAATGCCTATTGGACAACCGATCCGTCCAAAATGACGCCCTATGGGCTGACTCAAGAGAGATCCAAATGGATGGCGACCGCTGGGAAGAATGCGCCCAATTGGCAGAAAGGGCTGGTGGGCGCTGTCTCCGCGATCCTCGGGACCTTTGCCTTCGCGTTTGACATGCTCTTATACCACGGCATCACCCCGTTTTTCCAAAAGCTAGACCAGTTCCGGCAAGAGGTCCAAAAGGACCTGAGGAAGGTGAGTAAATACAAGAAGCAGGTCTACGACAACGAACACTTCAATAAGATGATGAACTATCTGGATACCTGGACCAGGAATCCGAACTTCATCGGACATCCGAAACTGGAGTGCTTGCAGCAGCGCCTCATGACGCACTTCCTCGACAACGGCGAAGGGAGCGAGCGTACCCAAACCCATGGCACGAAAGTCATGATCTTCGCCAACTGGCGCTCCTCCGCAGAGGACATCGTGCGCATCCTCCGCAAAAACTCTCCCATAATCCGCCCGCACGTGTTCGTCGGGCAAGCCAAATCCCACGACTCCGACGGCATGAGCCAGAAAACCCAGCAAGAAGTGATCGACAAGTTCAAAAGCGGGGAATACAACACCCTCGTCGCGACGTCCATCGGCGAAGAAGGTCTAGACATCGGCGAAGTCGATCTCATCTGCTGCTACGACTCCAAATCCTCCCCAGTCCGCATGCTGCAGCGCATGGGCCGTACGGGGCGTAAACGCGCGGGTCGGATCATCCTGCTGATGATGAAGGGCAAGGAAGAGGCGCAGGCGGAGAAGGCCAAGGTGAACTATCAGGACATGCAGGGAGTGATCGCGAGCGGGAGCAAGTTCGCGTTCCACGACGAGATGTCGCGGCGAATCTTGCCGAAGGATATGGTCCCCGTGGTGGATAAACGGGAGGTGGAGATCCCCGTGGAGAATTCGCAGGCTGATACGCAGTTGCCCATCCCGTCGACGCAGGGCAGGAAGAGGCAGAAGCGGAAGCCGAAGAAGTTTCATATGCCAGATGGCGTGCAGACGGGATTCGTCACTGCGAATAGGCTGGGGGATGATGAGGAGGAGCGGGGAGCGCCGGTCCAGGACCCCCCTGCGGATATCCCGACGCTGGACGAAGTGCTTCTTACCAGAGCCGACGAGGCGGACTTTGAGCACCGCTATCTGAACACCGCTGGCGATGATAACAATGTGGTATCTGCGCCCGCGCTGGATCGGTTCCCGGATCATCAGATGAAGCCCTCGAGGGGGTTCTTGATTCCCTCGCGGAAAGATAAGCGCACCTTATCTGGAATGATGAAGCGGATGCACCAGATGGGATCCCGACTCAGCAGCAGCTTTCCCAGTTCCTACGACAACCCCGATGAAATCCCCGAGTCCAGCGTCGTGCTTGACATCACCTCACCCGCGGAACCAAGCCCACCCAAACCCGCCAAAAAGCGCACAAATAATCCCGCCACCTCGAAAACCCGACCCCCCCCCTCCACATCCAGCGCATCCCGCCCCATCCGCAATTCCCACCGTGCCTACGCCTTCACCGACACCGACATCGCCTCCGAAGCCGAACTCGGCGCCTCGTCCTCCCCAGGACAACACACTAGCCCCCGGATGACGCTACCCACCCAGGGCATCGATCTTGGTTCCGACACTTCCGGAGAGGAACCGGACGAGGAACCAGACTCTGAGCTCGCGGCGTTTGTGGTTGGCGATGACGAGGGGTTGGAGGAGTTTAGCTCGAGTTTGCCGGTGCGGCCGCAGAGGTTGGAGAGGCGGATCGATCGGATCGATGAGGAGATGGACGAGGACGATGATGATGATGATTTGGAGAGTTTGGTACTGGTCGGAAGCTTTGGTACAAGGATTGGTGCAGCATTGGACGACGACGATGAGGACGAGTTGCCGGAATTGGGCGAGGTGATTAGCAAGACGACGCGGAAGCGGTTGGTCAATGGGGCCGGCAAGCGGAAGCGACGAGTCGTGGATGAAGACGACGATGGTGAATAAAGCGCACAGGATATCTTGACACGATTTGGCCGAGGTATTTCCGGATAGGGGCTTCGTCAATGCGCTACGAAACGGATGAGTTTACGACAATAGGACTTTGCATGCACTTCATAGTGCCAGCTTCGGATCAATTACGCAGTTACATACCTTCGGAGCCGTGTGCTACAGCTCAGTGATTCCGACGTGTTGTCTCTTGGAACTCTCCTTTTTATGCGCCCACGGTTGACCTGGGATTGACCGAGATACCGGATATCGGCTGTTTTCTCGAGGTTTACTCATGTCTTCGATTGGCACCATGCCTTCACTGTTTTCTTACGTCTTGTTTTGCGTCCCAGTGAACACCGATATCATTCAGTCTCTGCAACCACAATCCGGACAGTCCAGCTCCATGCTTCAATCTATTCCGACTCTTCCTAGCCAACGGAGCCGCCATCATAGCCTGCCCCTCCCTCCCGTACAGATATTTGACCTAGTCAAGCTTAATACTTGGCACGTATCGTGTCGAAACTAAACTCGCTGGAGCCAAATACTCGAAAATTAACTGATGAAGCAGCTCACCTAAGAACGCATCTATGGAAGACTCCATCGTCGCCTGACGTGGATATTGAACTTCGTGAGTGAACAAGGTAGGAACGGCCTATATGACATTGGACTGTGGCAGGTTTGACTATTTTAGCCCAGATATCAATACCACACAACCCGCCGCCGTTCTCGAGCTTCCATAGCCAGGGCGCAGCATCGTGTCTACTCCTATATTCGAATCCCTTAACATTTGATCCTCATCATACCGCACCTGTTTTGCGTCCAGTTTGGCATATATCGAGTCCATTTTCATCCCAAGCTCTTTTATATCTTAGAACTCTTCCATCTCGTTGTCGCATTTGATCGCCTCGTAACGGATTCTCTGCAGATAGAATCGTGCAGGTATACGGAGCACAGCACGGTGAAAGCGAACAGCGACAGCCACCCAAATTCCCTCCAAAGTGCTTTTACAACCAGCGCCATTCCTTCGACTGCATCTGTTGCACCCTCATCCTTACACCGTTCCAGAACCATCGCATCACCAACCTGGCTCAAAGCCAAGCCTTTGAGAGTAAAGGGAGGCAACCGCGCCGTGGCAACGAACTACTCGTCAATCTTACGGCCACACGTCAAGGAAAGTATCCGAACTGCAGAATCATCTTGCCTCTGCCGAATGTCAGGCGGCTCCTACTGCGAGAATTGTAAAAGGTTGGGGCTCTGTCGAGCGCAAGTTTCGAAACCAGAACCCCGGACGGGCTGAATCTCCCGGCCTTTTCGGCTACTTGCGGAGGGGGTTTCCTTTAGGCCTCCATTTGGCAGATCCGATTGAGCCTCCAATATTCGAACCTGGACAGAACTCCAACAAGCTGCTTTAGTTGAGGGACGGAAAATGGCCACGGCAGTTAAGCAACGGGAACCTCAAACTTTCCTGATCTACCTCCGCACCAACTAACTACGTACAGTCACGAATTTCTTGCTGCTCTGCCAACACTGGCTGCGAAATTACAAAAGCCTGTTATGAAAGGATATTACCAGTGCCGGGGAGCCAGCAAAAAAGCTCGAATCAATAAAATCCCGATCGACCTCCCTGACGACGAGGTGATGGGTCGCTTCAACTCCTGGTTTGTCTATTCAGTATGGTACTGGTTTTTCATATTGTGTCCATCCCCGTACGCCTTCTCGCGCTTTTTCAGGGGTCTCGTAAAAGCATTGGTCCTATCGATCGGATGGCAAGAATAATTCTAGTGTTCGCTAACCGTCGAGGGGCCCATACGTCATGACAATTTTGTGTGAACTACTTTGTCACTAAGTTACTATCAGCTCTACCGTAGACTATATATGATCTGAATCTCGACAGTTAGTGGGTACTGTCATAATTGAACCTCACACAGCCGCCTGTCTCGCGCAAGGCGAGTTTATCCGGGCTCTTTTTACCCCCCCAACACCTCATGTGTCGTTGTTCAAAATGCGCGTCATAATTGGTGATCGAATATGGGGCCGAGTCCGGTATTTTTTGTAAGAATCATCAATCATCATCTGTGATATTTGTCGCATCGCAGGGGAATTGGGGTGGTGCTCGACTGACGTGACTGAAAGCGAAGCGTGGACAGTGAGGAAGAAGGAATGTTATTCTCGTCCTACATCCATAAGAAGTATAATAATAAGAATCAATTTAACGTACTATCTGGATCCCTTTCGGGTCTATGAGCACGGCATTCTATCTGGTCTGCCGCGGGCAAAAGTTGACAGAGAATAGCTGTTCCTTTGATCAGGTGATCTGGAGATGCGACTTCAGCAGGAGAGCACTTGATTACCAAGAATTGAAAGTGTTGATTGATCTTGATCCTTAATGAGCGTACAAACTACAAGAAGACGCTCATCTTTTATGTTCTGTATATAATTGATGGTCGTGGGGACCTTGGTTTCCTCAAAGCGAGCGAAGAAGCAAAGAAAGAAGCATTGGTGATATCGTGGGGTGTGGGATGCTCCTCCACGGGGGAACCACGGGGGAACCATGAGGGCTAGACCACCTAAATACGACTAAGAAATGGGGGCGCGGTCTGGAGACCGGCGGGTCCCGAAAAATAGAGATATCCTGAAAGCCTGATCTCTGACAAATGTTGCGTGGCAGTAGAAATTAATAGGGGCATCCTGCGACACATGCCCATAGCACCTGACGCGCGTAGGAATAATCGATGAATAAATCAATCAATCAGGACAATAGAGACAGACTTGATTTCTTTCAAAATCATGTTTACACAATTTCCTATGGCAATACCATCAGGAGTAGAAAGTAACACTAATGTAACAGACTTTTCCAAACATCATCATCAACCACGCGTATACAAAGAGTTTTACTAGTTCCTATTTTTCCTGTGCATACAGTGCCTCAATCTCTTTGTTGTACTTCTCAACCTGGCCATACTTGTCATTAGGCAGTGTTTTGATTCCCCTCCGATGTTGTATCGCCAGTAAATTTTTCAAACGCGTTTCGGTTCGCTCGGCGCCAAAATATCTATACCCTTTTACTTTAGCCGCCAGAGATTTGAACTCCTCTTCAGATATTGCTTCGCATGACGAGATCTCGGCAACAACATCTTTAAAACTGGAACGTTTAGGACGACGACGACGACGACGGTCCAAATCATCGGTTTTTGAGTCATCGGCTTTTGAGTCTTCAGCTTCTGAGTCATCGGCGTCTAAGCCATCGGTTTCTATGTCTTCGACTTCTGAGTGATCGATGTCCCCCTTTTTTTCAGGTTGCTGGCTGGCACTGCCAGGGCCTGGTGCTTCCTGGACGATTTTCTGACTTTCTGTGGCCTTTATATTCTGGATATTCACAGCATCGTCCACCGCTGCATTAGTCTGTATCTTGAGATTTTTAAACTCTTCAAGCAACCCCTCAGTCAGCTGGATAGATGGTATACTCGCCCGTAATTGGTCCATCAAGCCGTCGGGATCTTGGATTGCAGTGAACGCTACTACCCATCCAATCGACAGGAATGGACCGATAAGTGGGATCCATCCGATCGCAAACGTCATAGAATCCTTGAACCAGGTAACGAACCAGGGACCTTTAGAGTTGCACTTGCCCCATTCAATGGTAAGACCCTGGTTCTTGCTGGCCACATTTTTCCAGTCGACCATGCTCCCGCTAGTCAAATTCTGCTGTACACGCACGAGAGGAATCAAGCTGGAATCAACCTGAATAATCCCCCCTGAGCCGAATGCATCATGTTTTCGTTGGCCACGCGGGACCAAAAGGGTGGTGACCAACTTAGAGATATTCAGGCCGAGCGCCTTTGTCTTATCAGGGACAAGACCTAGTGTTGTATCGAACTTCAGCTTCGCTGTAGATACTTCGCCCTCTTCGAAGTCGTATAGAAAGGCCATTTTGTTTGGAGTCTTGTCCTTGTGATACTCAAGTTCAACTTCGTTCAAGCTGTTGAACCTCACATGAACATATGTACAAAGATCGGGACATTTCTCGCTAGCCTGATGGGCCACTGGGATATAGATGGCACGAATGTAGGCCAGGCGCTTGGTTCAGAAAGAATGTCAGTAAACAGTTGATCCTGGCAGCTCCTTAAACGAATACTACTCACGTCAATAAAGACCCATTCTTCCTTTCTAGTCGGCATCGGAATGAACATGAACCACGACTATAATCCAACCAGTCAGTCTTCCGCTGAATAGCTACTTCTGACATTGATAGTACAACGTACTTCGTATGCGTCACCCCACTCTCTCTTCTTAAATCTGTACCCCCAGGTGCAGAGTTCATGCTGGACACGCCTGGTGGGATGGTTATATTGTCCATAGGAAAAAGGGAGGTGAGTCCAAACCCCATACTCTGTTTGCCATCCAGCATCACCATAGACAATCTTGTAGTCGGACCGTCTATGAGGATGGCCTGTTGGGATCTTGGCCTCGTTAGGGCCATGGTGAGACTCCCTGTTCCAAATCACTTCCACCATCAAGTTGCTGTAGAAGTGAAGAGGATTTTCCGCGTTGAAGCGTCCTTCCACTGCTGATTGCAACGCACTTTTTTTGAAGAAGCATTCTCCTTGGGGGTATGGAACGGCCATTGTGTCAGTGGGCCTTGGTTTGGGAAGATGAAAGATAATTGACTAGAAATAGCGTGGTTCAAATATCAAATGAGAATTGAGTGACTCGTGGAACTCGAGGAGCAGCGGGTTGATTGCGCCCTTATTATAACAGTGTTCTATGTAGCCTACCTAGTCGTGTCGTCACCGTGTCATCACCGTATCGTCACCGTCCAGTACCTGAGCCAATTGTCTACTCCACTGACGACATAGGCACATCGTTGAGGTGCGCAGTTAGTCAGTGGGCTAGACCTCCAGTGACCAGTACATACTTCACTACGGAGTACCTTACCTAGCTCGCGGGTGACAGATTTCGCGGCCCACCACTTTGCCGAAGTAGACCCGCCCCCATAGCCCAAATACGATATCCAGCTGAAAAGATGCCTTGATCAACGCTATTCATTAAATATGGTAGTTTCTACTCGTAATCATACTCAGTAGTATGATGCAAATCGAGATAATGTTCAAAAAGCCCGGGTCCGGGGCGCTGTAGAGTTCAATCAGGCCCTCAGAAAGCAGTATGGATTTGATCCATCAAGGTCTAAGAGCAAGGTTTACCAACACTTTGGCGTTCTATACCGGTCTGGAACACGCCTGGCAAGTGAAGATAACTGCGATGAACGTCGTTTTGAGCCCGGCGAGGACCCAAGGGGCCGCCCCCCGCTCGTCAAAACCAAGGATGTCAACGAGATGGAGAGGATCCTTGAAGAACAAGATGTCTACGGAAGGACTATGTCTTGGGAGGCCTTAGGGTATGAGGCTGGTCTAGACGTATCCGGGCGTACGATTGAACGGGCTATGGGCACGAAAGATTACCATAGATGCGTCGCATGTAACAAGACGTGGATCTCTCAAAATCTGGCGAAAAAACGAGTCGATTGGGCTACTTTGATGAAGGCCCGGTATCCTACCAAGTATACCTGGCGGAAGGTCCGTTTTAGCGACGAGTCCCACGCTGGGCATGGTCCGCAGGGAAAGTTGATAATCATTCGACGAAAGGGCGAACGGTATTGCCCCAAATGTGTACAACGCGAAAGAGACGTTAAAGAAGACGCCAAAAAGAAGGTACATGTATGGGGGGCTGCAGGGTACGACTTCAAATCAGACCTTACAACGTACGATGTACCGAGCAATACCACAGGCAAGATGAGCCAAAGCGTATATATCGATTCTATTCTGGATCCTATTATCAAACCTTGGATCCAGAACGGTCACGATTTCATAATAGAAGAGGACCAAGTCTCCGGCCATGGGCCCACACGGAGTAAGGGAAATATCGTGAAGGAATAGAAGGCCCAAAACGATCTGAAACACTACTTTAATTGCGCCTCATCTCCGGATGTCACAGCACGCACGTAGTGAGCTAGCGTGATACAAATGGTGGGCCACTCGCGACTCGCATACGACTCGCAAGGGAATAATAAATTCTGTATTGTTGCGCACTACGGTAATAACGAGACTGATCCTTCAGGAATCAGCAGGAACTGTAACTCGAACAACGGATGAGGGATATATAAGTAGCTGAGGTCCTGCGACAATAGCTGAGATCAGCTCTGTAGGCATCGCGTGATCTAGTCATATGATCTGCCTCGCAGATATCATGTATATGCCTCTGTGGTCTCACACTGGATCTCGCGATCATCGAGAACTGTTTCCAACCGATGAAGCAACACGTACGTAAATATACCCATTGGGAGCCCGACGAGACGCTACAACTTCTAAAAGCGGGATGGGACGGTATTAAGCAGGAATGTATCAATTCCCGCGTTGATTCTATGCCCGAAAGGCTTCAGGACGTGATAGACGTCGAGGGACAGCTGATTGGAGATTTTAGGGCGAAAACCTAGAATCTGTTAGATATAGAGAATTAGAGATTTTAAGCGTTCTAGATAGCATCATTTATATTTAACAGTGTTTGAACTTATGTTGGTTGAGATATTTGGGTTGAAACCATCAATATATGCGGTTTGGTATGGTGATGCCGCACATCACTATCCAGAAAGTCATCTCGATCGTTGGATTGGCCATCAGTGTCGCGACAACAAACGTCGACGCGCACTATTTTGCTTTCATCTTATTTGTCGGATCTACCTATGGTGTTAGCAATATCAGCCTTGCCTGGACGGCCTCTGTAATTGGACACACGGATGAGAAGAGATCTGTTGGACTGGCTCTCGTCAACAGTATCGGGAATATTGCGTTTGTTTATACGCCGTACTTGTGGCCAGAGTCCGACAAACCGCAGTTTGTGATGGCTATGTCATCTAGTCTTGCGTTTTCCGCTGCCGTTATCGTTGTTGTCTGGATCGTGAGGTGGAATCTGCAGCGGGAGAATAAAAGGATTAAGGCATCAGAGACTGAGGCAGTGAACCTCTCCATCTATTAGTTAGGCGATATAGAGTAATTGGCAGGGCAAACCCCTAGTTGAATTGACATGGGCTCTATATGTTAGCCGCTGTTGACTTTCATGATAATGACTGGATATTTCAAGCGTATTTCGGACTGGAGGGAGTGGTTCAGAACTAGAAGGGTGAGGGATAAGATCGGCACAGTATCAGTATGTTATTTTAAGCTTATTGAACAATTGCCGAACCTGGCACGTTTTATGGGGACTACCAATACCGTGGGTGCATTCAATCCAGCTAGGGTTAACCTGCAGGGAAACTACAGGGGGAAATTATGGAAGGACCGGCTAAATCCGCGCTCGCTTACCGCACCTGCGGAGTACAAACTTGGCACCCCTAACACCGGATTGATTGGCCGACTGTTGATACATGAAGGGCTCCTGAGCCAGGGGTGATGTTGGCACCAAAGCGAAGAGGAAACGCGCAACGCGTACTCGACTTCACGTAATAACTCGGACCCAATGTCGGCAGCATCCCTTTCGCTCCAAGAGCGACTTGCACGGGAATTACCAGGCGGGCATCGATTCGGGCTATATCACATTTCCACGCCTCCAACGAAATGTGCACCGATCTTCAATCCCGGCCCTGGCACGCTGCCGCAGCGGACATACCAAGAATCCCACTTCCTCTCCGTAACGATCCCTACGAACTCGTCAGACGATGGCACTGAGCTATGCATATTTGCATTGGAAGTCATAGTCTATACGACGAAACAGCTCACTACCGTATTCGTGTCGAAGGCCGATTCTACCGGCTATGTTGCGGACCTGAAGCTCGCTCGAAACCACCCTTCCGTTCTACGAACAATTGCGACGACATTCGTGTCATATATCATAGAACGTCGACAAAGGAAAGACAAGAAGCTAGTACTGTCTCTGTTCGCTCGAGCCCAGTCACAATATCTCTTTCCGGGCAGCGTCGAAAACCCAGGGAAGCACGTCGCAGACGACCGACAGCTCATCAAGTGGTGGTGCCGGGTTTTGGATCCGATTCTAGGGAAATATTCGAGAGAAGGGGTTGATGTGAATGGTACAAATGGTGATGGACAAGAGAGCGAACATACAACGGCTCAAGCGTACTTGATCGTGCCTGGTGAGGATGGAATCGCCCAATTCTTACCCCCGGATGTTCGCCTCGATCCCGAGTTGAGAAAGCGATGGACTGCCGGTCATCCCCTAAGGGATATTGCGCCTTCTCCTACTGTTCCCCCTCGATGCATGATCCCTTCATTCCCCGACGACCCCAAGTCCCGTTTCGTCGACGAGCTAGATGACGAACTGCGGGATACTCCAGGCATGCAACCCGGACAGAGCCCAACCAAGCGCGGATCGGGTATGTGGAGGAGCATCAAGTCCCTCGAACAATTCTGGGAAACGATGGCGTTCCGGCAAGAATGCTCCTCGGGACGAATGGTCGGATTCCTCTGGATGGTATTCACCCCAGGCGACTTGAACGACGATCACGAGCTCCTCGATAGCCAGGAGGCTGGTGGACGGGCTTTATCGCCGACGCCCATTGGTAGTCGCACCATAATGCAGGCATCCGCGTCCATGTTAGCGCGTGAGGGCCAGGATCTGGTGCAAAGGAGGAGTAAGGAGAGTAGACGCGGAAAGAAACTCACCGGACCAATCATCCCCCGCGTTCCACGGATCAAATCCAATTCATTGAGTCTTTCAAACATGTCTCAACCGGAGGAGTCGCCATACTACTACTGGCCCAGTGACAGCCGCGGTCAGATTGTCCTGGACGACAAAGATTACAAGAGGGCGGTGGAAATTCTCCTTCGTCTTGACTTTGCGAACCATTCCCTCGCAGTCTCAAGTACATGCCGCTGGCTCGAAGAGGTTGCCGTACTCGGCGGAATGACTTCGTGGGGCCAAAAGTTGACGGGACAGAGGAAGGCACCAGAGGTTGCTCCAGCGGGAAAGTCAGGAGAAAATGGCGGAAATGTCATTAACAACCTCGTACCAGTGAAGCGATCCGCGAAGAGGGAAGCAAACGAACCTCCGAGTTCATCGGGAACCACTAATCTCCTATCGGCCGGCCTGGTGCGCAAAAAGCCGAAAGTACGATGAAGAATTGACCGTTTCGAGTCGTTGTCCGCGCCGCTGGCAGCCGGATTTCGCCCATGACTAACGAGGCTACAAGTCTTCAAGACTGCACAAGTCCCCCGATATTCAGTTCATGGCATCCATTCCCCTGGCTTATCACCATTGTGCCATCCGACATCATTAATGGCCTGGCACATCATTCCATCCCTTCACGCCAGCCGTCCCCCTAAAGCTCCATGCGGTTACATGCTGACCACCAAGATTTCCTTCTCTCAAACCTTCTGATTTCTGGCGGAGGGAGTGAAGTCGGCTAGGCTGAAGGGAGTGCGGAGGAAATAGGGTAGCTCGATCTGGCCGTGGCTGGATCTGTGTCGTTGAACCAGATTCTCTATCTTTCTCAGGTTCTAGCTTAGAGAAGAAGCACAGTAGGACCGGGCATACTGGCCTCCTCGCTCTTGGAAGGACATCGGGGTTTGGCTTTGACATCTACCACGGGGTTATGTTTAGCATCCTCGTCGATGCCTTCCTTCATTCCGATCCGATAGGAGTCGGACGCTAAATTTGATCGCGGCATGGGAGGGCAAATATCAGAGTAGAGGCACTAGAACGATGGTTCGGGGTATGAACATTCTTCAAGGTTCATGGTATTCAATAGGAGAAAGTTAACGAGATTGTTCTGGTTGATATTGTGCCTTCAAATGTGATCGTGAATATGGCGCGACCTGACTCAGTATAGGACATACGTCTCTGGTATTATGGAATACCGTAACTATAATTACATTTGATTATATTGGAGGCTCTTTCAGTTGTCTCTTGATTCTACCGTTATATCATTGAAATTGACCTAATCCGTTGTAATATTCAGGCCAGATGAGACCCATATTCCTTGTTGATTTGACGACCTCTCTTCCCTCTTGAAAGTCAGCATCAGACATCCGGTCCAGGCTGTAGAGCTAAATGCCATCCAACTTTTGTAATCATGGTGAAATTGAATATATATTCCTAACAATAAGCTACCGCTATGAAGCCCAAACCATGGCTGAATGGCAACGTTTGGGCTCGGAATAATCCGTTCAAACATCGCCTTCTATCAACGTCGCGCGTCCGCTTTCAACCCGAACCATCGAGAGCTCCAAATACCCGAATTGCTAGAATTGCGGATCGCCGTAAGTTAGGATTGTCCAGCTTTCCATTCATCCTATTGCTCGGTTTCATGAATCTCCTGAATCTAACCTTTGTCGCAGTACCACCGCGACTCCGACGATACGTCTCCCCGCTGCTCAACGCCCCCGTATCGCACGTCACGTCGTTCCTCATCCTGCACGAGCTGACCGCCATTCTTCCACTCATTGGACTTACTTCTGCGTTCCATTACCTAGGATGGATACCGGAAGTGTCGGGGCCGATGGCCGAGTGGGTTAATCAAGGCACGGAGCGGTTTCGGAAGTATTTTGCGAGGAAGGGGTGGTTTGGATTGGGTGGGGAGGGCTATTCGGAGGTGGATTTGTCTAATGGGACTACGGACGAGGCGGAGTTGTCGAAGGGGTATGGAGGGAAGGTTGTCCTAGAGGTGGCTACGGCGTATGCGATTACGAAAGTCCTGTTACCAGCGCGGTTGGCTCTGAGCGTATCGGCAACACCATGGTTTGCACGTCTGTTTGTGCTGCCTATAATTCAAATCTTCAAGCGGTAACAGAAAATGTGGAACAGTCGTCACTTCAAAGAGATGGCCAATTTATACACATACTTAACCTATAACATAGATAGCCCACCGCTAATCTTGGCCAGTCCGCCGTTCTCGACCTCATACTGCTTGCCCTTCTTCCACCCAACCCATTCCTCCAAAACCTTCTCACCACCAACCGACGGTCCCAGTCCCTCCGCGCTCCATCCCTCGCCCTCAACACCCGCACCCTGTCCCTTCGCAGCGCGAATCGCCGGTTCCGGCTCGCTCGAGGCGTTCTGAACCTGAGCGTAGCCTGGCGTTCGGCGGAGCGTGACCGGTGGTCGTTGGTCGAAAGACTTCTCCTCTAGCTCCTGCTGGGTAAGGACGGGAGTACAGCACGCGTCGGTGCCGTCGAAGATCACCTCCCATTCCGCTCGGGTCTTCGATTTGAAGGTCTTGGTGAACAGGTCAACTAGATATGGCCATGTCTTTCGGTCGTCTCGTGAGCCGGGGAACGTTTTCGGGTCGATGTTGAGACCTTTCATGAGTTCGGCGAAGAACTGCGGCTCCAAAGCACCCCTACATCCGTTCAGATTAGCACTTTTAATTGGGATATGGCTGTGGGAGTACTCACACTGCCATGTACTTGCCATCCTTGGTCTCATACGTGTCATAGAACGGGCTTCCTCCATCCAACATGTTCGTCCCCCGCTCCCGACCCCACGTCGGCGTCTTCGTAGAAAGTCTCGGCATGGTGGCCAAATACGCGGCGCCATCTACCATGTTCGCTTCAACGACCTGCCCCTTTCCGTCCTTCTCCCTAGCGATCAGTGCGAGCAGCACTGCCAGGAAGCACATCGCGCCACCACCCGCGAAGTCTCCCAAAATGTTCCCGGGCGCGAGGGGCTTCTCCCCTTTGCGTCCCAACATCGACAATACACCGGACACGGCGATATAGTTGATATCATGGCCCGCCATGTCCTTGTACTTCCCATCTCTGCGAAACCCCGTCATCCGCGCGACGATCAGCCGTGGGTTGATCGACAGCATGACTTCTGTGGGACATAGTCCCGCCTTCTCGAGCACACCGGGGCGGAAGGGGTCGATGATCACATCGACGTGCGGGAGAAGCGCTTTGACGAAGGAGACGCCGCGCGGGGTCTTGATGTTCACGGCGATGGAGGACTTGTGTCGGGTGAGCCAGTCGCCGGTCGGTGGGGGCTCGATGTCGGTGTGGGTTTGGGACGTGGCGCGGTCAAGACGGAGGACATCGGCGCCAAAGTCGGCGAGAAGGAGACCGCAGAAGGGACCTGGCAGCACGCGGAATTAGCAGACGGCTGTGAGAATGTACGGAATGACCTGAGATCCATACCGGGAGCCAATCCCCCGAACTCGAGGACGCGGACGCCTTTGAGAGGTGGAGCACTGGCGGAAGACATGATTACAATGTTGTTGATTGATTACAGCTTGTGCAGAAATCAGACCAACAATATGATTAAGATATTCCAGGAGGATATATAATTGAATTGACAACCATCTTGCACGAAGGCATGGCTGCAGACGGCGCGAAGCTCCAACGAGAGTAAGTTGATCCGAATGAGGACCTCGGGCATCGCAACTCCAGTCCGGGGAACCTCGAGTCAAGCACGTGGCGGGGCGGCTCCGGGTCCCGCCATAACCGAACAGAACAGGAGTCAGGAGACATCAATCATTCTCACGATCTAACTGAATGTTTCCAGATGAATAATAATACAATTGTGAAACTATAGTTGGCTTATTGTTGTGCTTGCTACCTATTGTGCTAGTGCTGGCTATTGTGCTAGAATGCTATTCATCAACTGTCCCAGATTATTCAACTCGCCCACGCCTTCGCCAGTGAAAATCCTCTTGGGTATCTCATACTCGACTACCGGGACATTCTTCATCTCTTTGGATAGTTCGCTTTCAATAATCTAGAATTTCCATTAGTCTGTGAAACGGAAGTTGTCCATTGGGGTCTTACCGATGCATATGAATAGTCCAAGAAGTCCTCAAGGCTATACGCTTCCTTGCGGAACTCTTGGGCGATGATTTTGGCGACCGTTGCTACGTTTGGGTGATAATGCGTCGTCAGGGCGTCCAGCTCCCAGAGACAGCTGTCTATGGCACGTGTATCTAATGGGTCTGTCTCCGCATCGTCGAACGGATCATCCATCCCTTCGTTTTCGATCTCTTCTCGTGCTTCCGGATCCCTGGTCTCTCGATGGATCATGAAGGTAGTCGACGGATTCTTTCTCAGCAAGTTATACACCAGCGGGATCACGATCACGACACCTCCGGGGGGGCCATGGAGAGCCAACCGCGACAGTTTCTTCATAAAGCTGGCAAGGAGAGCGGACGGTAAGTGAGTGGATGACAGAAATGTCTCGAGAAGGCGGAAGAACCTGGATCGATGTTTCGAGTGGAGAAGGTCATCGTCGAGGAGACTGTAGAGTTTCTGGAAGAAGGAAGGGTACTCGAGGTTTCGCTCTTGGATTAGGTAGTAGACCCCCGACAGAGCAAGAAGGGATACCGAGCCTCCAGTATTGTAGGAATCAGTAAGGAAGTCGAGAAGGAGTTCTGGCTTCGAGAAACATGGCGCCACGAGTTCTGCTGTTTTTGAGAGCACCAGTTTCTGCTGAGGCTTCGATAGTCCCGTCTTGAACAAATCGAGCCACAGCTCTTGACCCTCCCGTTTCAGCTCCTGCTCAGAACCGGCCAAACGCGCTCGCTTTCCGTCCTGCGCAAATAGGAAGTTCTCCGATTCCAAAATTTGCGGAACAGGCTCGGTATCGATCAGGGTATGGAGCAGATTGGATCGTAGAAGATCTGCTTCGGTATCCCCGCGTCGCTGCTTTAACAGCTTTCTACATATTGTTAGCCGTGACCTCGGAAATGCATTATTTCAGCCGTACCTTGCCACTTTGAAGAGATGGAATGGGCTGTCCCGGTAGCCTTTGATGTAGTCTCCGACAAACACGGTCCGAGCATTCGCAAAATCCTCTCCCGATAATGACAACTTTCGTACTGTTCGAGCGAAAATTCCATCCTGCCATAATGCCTCTGGCGAAGCGTGCTGCGTCTCGACACGAGCCAGGCCAATAAGGACAGGAAGATAAGAGTTTTCATTGCCAGGCAACTGCTGGAGAAGGGCCTCCGTGAACTCTACAAGTCTCTCTCGGAGCCATTCCACAATAACAACCTCCTTCTGTGGCGTTCCTTTGCTCTTTTTGAAGTTTCCTGACTCGATCAGATGCGAGAAGACTCCGAATAGACTTGCGACTGCATGACGTTGAAGGCCTCCTTTGCCTTGTTCGCTTCGTTCAGCCGCTGCTAACAGTTCAATGAGATCATTATAGTTTTCTCGAGACTCAATAATCCCTTGGGCTAATTGATCGATGCGGTCTTGCTCCTGGAGTCGTTTGGCGGCCTTGGAATCGGATGACCCATCCCGGGTGTTGGGATCTGTTTCTCTTTTTCGTTTCATCGTTGACTTCGCCATATGGTTTTAGTAACCAGAAGAATTATCAAAGCGCACTGAAACGGGCAAAGGTTCTTTCGCAAGGCACATTCCGAAAATCTCCATGGTCGAGGAAATTTCATCTCCGGTCACGTGCACGCCAAGATCCACGTCCAAATCCTCAAGCTTCAACATCCGCAGGGCAACATCCTTCAAGCTCTCCACCGCATCGAATTCCATCGCAACCGCTGATTGAGCCTCAATTAGCTTCGTCGGTGCATCAATGGCTTCAAAACTCGCACGGAGCGCCGTTGGTACGATACCCCAATGGCCATTGCCTATCCAGAACATCCGAGACTCATTGTGAACAGGCGCCGCACGGTTGAGACCGACGATTCCGCTCCGCAGCATTCCCGCCGTCACCACCCCTCTGACTTCATCTCGATCCAACTCGAATGTGCCGGCGGAGGACCCCAAGAACAAGGCTCAATCGATCCTGAACTCGCTGCCCGGACAGAGCGTCCCAGCCAAGCTCGCGTTCCTCTCAGGCGGAACCGGTCTCTCGGTTGCCGCGATCAGCAACGAGCTCTACGTGTTCAACGAAGAAACCATCGTTGCCTTCAGCTTGCTCACGATCTTTTATGCCGTTGGAAAATATGTCGCCCCGATGGCGGGTACCTATGCCAAGGAGCAGACGAAGAAGCTAAGCGATATCCTGAACTCGGCACGCCATAATCATACCGCTGCCGTCCAGGCGCGTATTGCGAATGTCAAGGAATTGGAAGGCGTCGTTGACATTACGAAGACACTCTTCGAGGTCTCAAAGGTACAGTCCTAATGGTTTGTATATCTCAGAACGGCACTAACGGCCATAGGAAACCGCCAAACTTGAGGCTCAGGCCTACGAGCTCGAGCAGAAGACCGCCATCGCTTCCGAAGCCAAGGCCGTCCTTGACTCTTGGGTTCGATATGAGGGACAAATCAAGCAGAAGCAGCAGCGTGAGCTCGCCGAGTCGGTCATCGCCAAGGTGGAGAAGGATCTGGAGAACCCGAAAGTCTTGAAGCAGATCTTGGACCAGAGCGTTGCCGACGTGGAGCGTAAGTTGAGCCCTCGATATCTTTCGCAATCCGAACCTAACGTCCTGTAGGCATTCTCGCTGTCAAGTCATAATTGCCCGTCTGTATGATACCTCAAAAGCCATGTTGGGTGGTAGACAGAAGATAGATGTCGAATTGTTCATAGCTCCTTAAATGTACTCTATGGTCGTTTCGTATATATGACTGAAAACTCTCGATCTTTTGGTGACATTCGCCTCGCCGTTGTATACTGATCGTGTTTCGGCCTTCGTGAGGAGCCGTTGAACGTGCCAACATATGTCCAGGCCGGACACCACCTTTACAGAAATTGCAAACCAAAAACTCACACTTGACTATCCTCGAAGTCACTTGAAAAGAACTCTATTACAAGTGCTTATCGTACTACACGCAAGGCCTGCGAATCTTGTTCCATGTTTCTGAGTAGGTATTGTTCAGCGAGACCAAAGTCCTCCCCCGCCCACACTATGCAAATCATCAACAGAAAACTCGGATTAAATGTTTTGAACGTGCCAACATTACTCCAGACAAGAGCATCACAAGGAATCAGCAAGACATCTCAGTCGTGGCTAGGATCTCAAGGATCTCAAGGATCTCAATTCACTATTAACCGGCCAAGTTTCGTCCCTCGGCAGTCTCCGAATCTACCCGCGTACGATATCGGTCCGGTACGCCATTGTGGCGTCAAACAGCTGGAACCAGATTGCCGACATCGATTCCATCCAGATCAAATAAATTATCCGAGCTGAGATACGAACGGAATTCCAAGTCATGCACCGATGAGAAAAGTTGGATTTACAAATTTAAAAGAGCAAGGGAGCGTCGGACTCAGCCGAAGATGGCGGACGGCCAGCCACACCCCAAACCGGACAAGGGGAAAAGCAGAGAGGCAGTCAGTGATGGGAGCAATTCAGGGCCGAGTGAGAGTATGGCTTCGAAGGTGGTGAATTCGGCAGCGGTTTTGGCGAGGGATCTCGTTTTCTCCAACGCCGATTCGGGGTCAACGCTGCAGCAAGCAACATCGGCTGGGAAGACGTCAACATCGGGGACGAGAGGGACGACATCGACTCACGCATCAGGGCAGACAAATGGACCTTCAACGGAGTATTCAACACAGGCGGGGCCAGCGCAAGCGGCCGAGAGTTTTCGAACACCAATAGCCCAACCCGTGTTACAGAACGAGGAATTCGATCAATTCGCGTCGCTACGAGGAACCAGTCTGCTCCAGGAAACCCGCAGCTCTTCCAGATCCTCATGGTCTCAGGAGTTTCGACAGAGCCGTGCTGTCCTCCCCACCGATTTCCGCGCCGCCCACCAACTCCCCGACGACGGCGCCGAAGTGGCGCTGCTCCTCTCCGATCCCACGTTCCACGCCTACGAAGTGGACGAGGGGTTCTCGCAGCCGGAGGACCCCTCAGAAGCGACGATGAACGACCTGTTCGGCACGGCTTTCAACACCGAGCAGCAGCAGGCCGCGGCCTCGATGCGTGCGCAGCTGCCTCCTGCGCCCGTGCATGGAGTCGTGTTGCCGCACAATCCATTAAACCTCGTCCCACAGTTCGATAACCTCAATCTGGGAACTTCCTTCGACCCAGATATGCAGCTGTTCGGTCCCCAGCAAAGCAGCATGACCCAAGCCGAACCTGCCACTGACGGAGACGAGACAGCCCCCTCGGAACGGCAGCGATTCCTCACCGACTGGAGCGACGTGTTGAACGCTTACACCGACGAAGTTTGGGGCGACCTGCTCCCCGTCATCCGCGCCGCCCGCGAGCAACTCGAGGAGTTGACGGGCACGGAATCGACGGACTTCGAGAAGAAAGTGGTACCGCGGTTACGGATGATCCTCGGGCATCTGAACCAGACGGAGTTCCTCGACAAGGAGTTTCGATCGCTGGGGCAGGGACAGGAGCGCGAGGGCGCTCAGACGGGCGCGAGTGAACAGGTTCGCGGTTCACCGGTGTATAAATCTAGGGAGGTTGTGAAGCAGGAAGATGGGGAGATGGTGGTCGGGAAGGAGGAGGGTCATGGGCAAGACAGGTACAATTGGTGGCCCGGAAAATAATGTCCATACGGATCGGAATGACGGCAACAGGTCGAGCATCTTCGGAAACCGCCCGCACGTTGGATGTGGCGGTGATGGTCGACTGAGATGGTGTACAATACTAAAAATGAGTGTGATCTCAAAATGTTCAGTTATGACCCCTAGCCCATCGACGCGTCAAATGCGTTTATGTACAGGTCCGAAGATGCAACAATGGCCGGGAATCTAATATCTAGAACCAAACACGGTATCCAACAGGATGACCTCTATGGTCAACCAAACGAAGGCCAGAATCAAAGACTATAGTAATAAAGATGCCACCAACGCCAGGCTAACATATGTCCGAGAAACGTAATCAAAGCGCGAGCAACCCCCTCACTGATCCTGCTGCCACCCGCGTATCCGCTCATAAAATATCGCCGGATACGACCGAATATCCTCATCCGTCGGCGGTGCCTTATTCGGATCCCGAAACCGATCCGCCACGCGCTGGATCATCTGCGCCAGCAGGTCCTGCGAGATGCGCAGATCCGCCGCGTTCTCCGGGTGCAGGAACGGGTCCGCCTCGTCGAGCAACTCGAGCACTGTCGGCCGCTCGCTGGGGTTGCGATTGAGGCATTTCTTGAGGACGCGGCGCAGCTCGGGGGGGACGCGGACGCCGCCGATGCCCACGTCACGGTAGTCGATGGTTATGGCGGGGTTGATGATGGCCAGGACGCGATTGATGGGGTTGGGGATGTGGGCGAAGGGTGGGCGGCCGTAGGTGAGCTGGTAGAGGATGCAGCCGAGGCTCCAGACGTCGCTGGGCTTGCCGAGTTTCATGAGCTTGCCCATTCGGGCGGCGTCGTCTTTTAGACCGGCGTTGCTGTCCTGGAGGGATTCGGGGGACATGTAGTTAGGGGTGCCGACGTGGTTGTCGCGGTGCACATTCACGGTGTTCTCGATGTCAATGGCGTTGGCGATGCCGAAGTCAATGAGTTTCAGCTGGCCGTAGACGAGGAGAAAGTTGGCGGGCTTGAGATCGGAGTGGACGATGTCGTGGGCGTGCACGGAGGCGACGCATTCGAGCATTTCGTTCCAGTAGAAGCGGGTGAAGGGGATGTCGAGCTTGACTTCAGGACTGTTGTCGAGTTTCTCGGATCGAGGGGGGTCGAATTTAGTGCGGAGGATCTTGGAAAGGTCCATATCTCCGGGTTCCATCAACTTCGGAGAGTCAGTACATGTACTTTGGATCAATAAGGAAATCGAGAGCGTTAACTCACCACGTAGAGCAACTGTCTATCCTCATCCACTTGCCAATCATATAACCTCACCACCCTATCCACGCCGGCCAACTTCCTCAACAACTCAATCTCTCCCTTATAACCCACAATCGCACTCTCATCCGCCTCCTCCAACTTCACCCTTTTCAACGCAAACTGCTTCCCACTTTCCGCCTGCACTCGATACACATCCGAGCTACCCCCTCTCCCCAGCTTCCCTAGCTGACTATACGCCTTGCCATTCACCGTGAAGTGTCCCTTCTTCTTCTTCGATTTCGTCGCTGCCGGCGCCGCCGCCGCGCTCTCGATTACCGACATCTTCGGCTGCGGGGGTGGCGGCGCTGGACGACGCGGTGTGTTCGCGCTGACGGCCGCGAGAGGCGCTGGACGCTCGTCACGGTGGATGGGGATCCGTCGGTGGCTTTCCACGCCGATATGGCCCTCCTTACCCGCCGATTTCACGACCGACGACGTGATCAGATTTTCCTGATCCTGCACAGTGGTCTGGATCGGGTCGTCTTCGCTCTGGGGTGTCCGTTTGTTTCTGCGCATCGGCGCGCCCTGCATCCCGACGCGCTTGACCCGTAGACTCGGGGCCGGCGTGATGCTGTCCGTCTTCGCGGGCGTGTTTGTCGCACTTCCATCGCGGCTGATTCGCAGAACGGTGGGTTTCGAGGCTCGTTTGTGCGGCGACTCGCCGAACTGCCTCTCCAAAAGAGCGCGTGTAATAGGGTTCAGTTCGATAGGTGGAGCGGGAGCATCGTCGTCGGAACTGTCGCCCGCGCTGATGTTTTGGACGGCCGGCGCCTTCGATGGGAACCCTTGGGTTTGTCCGAGGGAGAGTGGAGAGTCGCGGCGGGGAAAGTGCCGCATTGACATGGAAGGTTGGCGCGAGAGTCGTCCATTCGCGTAGGAGGGGAGGGGTGTTGGTGATGCTGCGTCCATGACTACTTATGTTCGGTGCCAATTGGTATAGAAGAAGCCAATTATCGCTTCGGTCTGAAGATATCCAAGAATCCAGAGCAGATGTGTAAGGATCGTTCCTCTATCAAGTACCGGGATAGACGTGTGGTATCGATGCAGTCGGGCAGTGATCCAAAATGGGGTATCCAAAGTCCAGAAACGGCGGTTGCTATAAGATCTTCATGATTCGTCGCGCAAATTAATCGAATCTTTCGAATTGATAGGCGAAATGTGCAAGGTAAGGAAGTTGATGAAGGGTGGTGAAGATGGGGAAGTTCACGATGGTGGTGTAGGTGGAGGTGGTTGCACCAGCAACCAAAACAAACACACGCCAAGCTTTGGCTCACTAGCGCTTGGACTTCCACTGTTCTTACTGTTCCTTATTGTGCTATTGGTCGTTCTTAATGTAACTAGTTAGTTATTATTTCTCGCTGTATTAATGTTGAGATTGGATTGGATTGTACCGTTCCCGCTGGCCTTCGATGGTAAAATATACCTGCCCTAAATACAACTAGCCGTCCCACCGATATCCGTCCTTCTCGTGACCATATATCTCCGCCATCAATCCATCATGCTTGCGACAGCGGTCGACTGAAATTGTGCGCCGTCTTCTCTATCATCTCAGACGTGACCTCCACCTTAACCTCCTTCTGAATGACCCCCGGCCTTGTCTCCGGAATCTCACGAGGATGCTCGTACACCACTCTACTTTCCCGCAACGCCTCCTCAAACGTAATCGTATCCGTCCTCGTCGCCGAACCCACCATATCGCTCCCACTTTTCCGGCTCTCCATGCTCCCCTCCACAAATCCCGGACTATCGGGCCCCGGTGGATGGGACTTGCTGCCAGGCCGGAAGCAGTTGATCCCTCCGGGCTGGGATTTGGAGGTTTGCTGGTGGTACGGAAGGCTTGCGCTCTGGGAGCGGTGGGATCGCAGGATTGGCATCCATTCGCGTAATAGAGGCCAGATGACTGGGAGGTTGGCGACGTACACGGCGACAGATGCCTCGCGAGAGTACCACAGCATGTAGGCGGGGCTCCAGATGTTGCTGAAATTGAAGACCTTGGTCAAGATCGCCGCTGTGATCTGTCTCCTGGTGAGCGCCGCTCGAAACATATAGTCTCCTCACTCACCACGAAAATGCCCAGGCTGAAGATAAACCCAAGCACGATCTTCTTCTTCCACGGCATATGAAGCTTTACCACCATTTGGGCCGGTATGAACAACATGAGTAGGTCGCTAGAGATGTTGAAACACGCCTGGACGATCGAAAAGTTCTGCAGCGTTGCACAATGAGGACTACTCTTCATCGTTAGCCAGATTCGCGGCAATGTTTAAGGAAATCCTACTTTGGCGGCGGCACCATCCAGTAGCCCTTGAACGGACGGCAAATGGAGAAGAACGCGATTTGGCTCGCTATCCATCCGAGGAAGACAAAGATCGATACATACAGCAGCTGCTTGCGCTGCTCGGTGCCAATGAGCCTCGAGTACATGAACAGCATGCAAGCTTTCAGGGTGTATATGAGGTTCAACATCGCCTATACTAAGCATCAGTAAGGAAATATGATAGGATAACGACCTATGAACTCGTACCTGCTCAGACAGCACCACGATCTTCGAGCTGTGGATCCGATCTCGAATCTCACTCTCCGTGAAGAATGGAAGTTCTTCTGCCGGGAACAGATTACTCCCTCCGCCGGCAGCGATCAAGTTCAGCGTCACGACCAGGACGATAAACCACGCCTACAGAACCTTCGCTGTCAACTTCTGGCGCCCTAGAATAACTGCTGCAAACCTCTGGATCAACTTACCGCGGCCAGCAGCATCAGGTAGTCATCCCCTTTCAGACTACGCAGTCCGACCCGCGATACACGCGCATACCTAACCATTCGCAAGTCAATAACCACAACCCCATATCCCGACCAGCAGGCGCGAGATGACGAGGTAATAACCTACACTCGAAGCCAGATGAGAAGCATCCCGATCGCGAACATCGTCCAAGAATTAATCGCCAGATCCCTCTGGAAGCCCGCGTCCCACTCCGACGCGCTCGAGTGATTCCGGTGCGCCTCATGCGTCACTACGAGCGTCGCATTCTGCGATGCTGCGGGGATGGGGTTCGCCATCCTCGTCGGTCATTCGGGGTGGCGATGCGCATATGTGGGAGAGGTGGTTGGGTCCACTGCCCGTTGGGGTCGGGGAGAAGTTATGAGGAATACTGAAATGATATATTGATAAATGATAGCAGATGGATAGAGAGAAGAACTCATTGGATAGGGTATGAAGAGGGCGTGGGAACGGAAGATGGGCCTGACAATCCATTCTTCACAGAATAAGACTCAAACGAGTGCAGTGAACCACGTGCAGCACTGGACGCTTCGACTTCCGCAGAATCGACTCACATCGTGGGTGCGATGCACGTGTGATGACAGCCATATCAGAAGACGTGACCCGTTTGTATCGCTCTGTGGAGTGGAAAGGGGATGACGAAAGGGGAAACCTGGGGTACCCGATGTGACAGCGGGATTGTGTCTCCTTCGGCTTCATCTCACGGGATGAATAGGCGATGAACTACACCGCTCTGTGTAACTGGAATCAGGCACCGTACTCATGAAAGCCGTCTTTTTGAAACGCTTGTTGACAGTGAATTGGTAATAGACCTATTGTAACGTCGGTGAAGCACTAGACTCATTGCAACCCACCGATCAGTTCTGCAAAATGGATAATACAGTCTTGGTATATGCATGCGCGACATCGATCCACAAGAACAACAGCAACCAAAATGGACCTTCTTTCTCGCTGGTAGCAAACATTGCTACGATCAATCGAACCCCCAAGAACGCTCAGAACATGAAACGGACAGGATATCTATGGTGACAGGTGATGGGCGAACCCGAGAGCACGAGCGCGTCGTGGCGGATGCGCCGAACGGGACGCGCCCAATTACAAGGAAATAAAAAAAGGTACCCGGGAACGGTACGACGCGGTGATGCGCTTTCCGCGGTGCGCGAACCGAACGGGCCGTTGTGCGTGCACATCGACACCGGGAAGCCAAACCACGAAAAACGTCCGCTGAATGCACTAGGAACCGCGCGCGCGTCAAGGTGACCAGCGCAAATTGGCGTTCATGATAGCGATATGCGACGACGAGAGTTCACCACGCCCAACTCCCCCGCCTTACCCCCACCCCAAACCCCCCATCCCTCACCTGCACCGGCTCGCAGCTCCCCGGATTCTGCCTCGCCCACTCCCGCACATACAACCTTAGCGCGCGCCACCGAATACACGCCTCCCTCGTGATCGGCACGCCATCGGCGCAGAAGTCCTCGCCGAGGCGGAAGTACCCCTTCGATGAGGCGAGATGGTCGTCCTGGCGCAGCTCGGCGATGGGGATGTGGGTGATCTTGCTGAGCTCAGGGTCGAAGGCGCGGGCGACGGCCGGGTAGCCGAGGGAGAGGTAGTTGTAGACTTGGGTGACGAACTCGGGGTGGAATTCGGCGTCGATGAGTGCAGCGCGGGAGAGTTTTTCGTCGAGGCTGGTAGGGCCGGGATAGGAGGAGGGGGGGGAGGGGGGGAGTTGGTGGTGGTTTGAGAGCGGGTGGTCGGCGTGTATGAGCTCGTCTTCGTCGATGACTTTCGGAGTGATCATGCCGGTGGGTCCGCGAGGGACGGTGAGTGCGTCTTTGCTAGTACAGGAGCCGCCCCACAGGCCAGAGGTAGAAGGGCTTTTGGGGTTGTTCGACGGGGATTTCCGCCCGGTCCATATAGAGGATGATTCACGGCTACTGGAGATGAGGTTCGCCTCGGATTTATTGCGCCAAAGACCTTCGCGGTCGGGCTCTTTGGCTTGCTCTGACAGGTAGCACATCGACTGGCGGATGACATAGGAGCTTTGGGTCACGTCGAAGCGAGCTTGGTTGGGAGAAGGGCAGCGGGGGAAGACGATGTCTCCGCCGAGCATGGGCGGCCGTGCCTTGTTGCGCATTTGCTCCAGATCCGTATCGCGCTGCATGCCGCCGTCAGAGAGACCGGACATAGGGTGTCGCCAAGAATCGTTGTTCGAGGAGTCACCACTCGCTTTCTGTCGTCGTTCCGCATGTCGCTTGCGATCTCGCCAGGACGAACGCTTCCGAAACCCGCGGATTTGCCAGTTCGCTTCCGATGATTCTCTCCGATATTTGTAACGTTTCGTTGAGTCGTGAGTCGGGTGCCGGCTGGGATACGCCGTGTCAAGGTCTCTGTTGATGAAGTGTGCTACGGGTTCGTGGCGATCATCATTGGGGAATGCGGCCATGGCCTGTTCCCGTAGCTGTCGTTCGGCGGTCTTCGCTGCTACGCGGAGGAAATAGGCAGATGTGGTTTCGTCGGCGCTCTCTCGTATCCGCGTTGCATGCTTGTATGAGTTTCGTGAGGAGGCGGGCGTTGGGGGTGTGTTGGATAGCGAGCCGCGTCGTGAGATGGACTCTTCGGACTCTGAGGATTCTATCGTGTCGAGATGAGGAACTTGGTAGGAATGTGATCGAGCGCTTCCAACGGAACTTTGGCGAGACCGAGACAAAAGTGGTGATCCTATTCGTCGTGCTTCCTGTAGCTCGGCTTGTGATATTCCCAAAGGGCTAGGAGTGCGGGATGCAAGCTCTGAACGGCGTAGAACAAGATGGCTGAAACAGTCTCGATCTGTGTCGTCTATGTCTCCTGAGACATGTCTGGATGGAGAGGTTTTGCCGACACGACGTGACCGTACAGCTGTCTCAAGCAGTTGCGGTGCGAAGTTCCTTCTGGGACGTGGATTGGCTATGCTTCCGGCCTCTGTTTGCTGATTCGTCGTAGTGCTTGACTCTGAGCCTTCCTTTAGATCGGTCTTTGTCTCCACATCTGTGTCACGGTCCTTTGCAGCTCTGCGGTGGACAACAGTCGTCTCGATGGGTACAGGAGCGTACCGTCTTGGTATCTTCACCACAGCGGGCTCAGCAGAATCCTGCTTGCCTTCCTGCGTCTCGCCCGTCTCGTTCTCTCGTTCCCCTTTGCGTGTCGACCTCGTCGTTTCTATGGGCTCGACTTTGAAGCGTCGAGGGGGGGCCGTGGACGCCATCGTTTTATACGAGCCTGATGGCCAGTCCACCAGCAGCAGTTGCTCATGCGCCGACCCCAGGCTGGAGATTCATGCAACCCCCGCGATTTCGTCAGCCCATACGCCACACGGATGGTCCCGATATTAAGCACGAAATCTGTCGTACGGTTGCTCTTCGCATGCAACGATGCTCTGGGGCATACATCCAAGGCAGGGGTGGACGCCCAGTACGGGAGATATCGGAGGCAAGGGTCGAGGTAACTCTGGTGCAGATGTATCGGTCGCAATATCGAATGGGCGATTAGGGAACGGAGCGTGAGGATGAATTGGGATAACGTGTCGAGGATGGTACGGCGGCCCGCATACAGGGCTCGCGGGTATATCCAACTGAAGTTCGCAGGTTAGATCGAGTAGGTAGGGCATACTAATAGTGACGACAGAGGATCACATGTGGAGTCTCCGCAGTAGGGTGGAGAAGAACAACGCATTTCCACCACCTAGCCTTGGGACCGGACATGTTCTAGGGTGTTTGAAGGCTGACAATGCGCGGGATAGCATTGGTGGTGCAAACTCGAAATAATGCTCTCACCTGCAGCGATGTTTAATGCTGAGTATTCGGGTTCGGTCATCCTCAACCCGGGTCTTTTTCGAGCAACGTCAGGATCTGTGGCTCCTTCGTATGGGCTCATTGCAGGTGTCCGATGCGATATTCGAAAAGGAGGTCCGAGGCTTTTAGATGCTATTAAGGGTGCTATTAATGTCGGGGTCAGAGATGATATTAATGCAACCGTCCATGTATTGGATCACATACCTACTCAGATTCCGGACTTCTCCAGCCGATCTACTCTCCTTGAGAAGTAACCAGTGATTTGGTCAGATTCCGGTGGTGAACGGGACCAATAGATAGCTGATAGCTACCTTGCCACCAATGGAGCGTCTCCCAGACTCCCACCGTTCGTCCAAGTGGGAAACGACAATGAAAGCAATGAATAGCACGGTGAACCAACTCAAGGGAAATACTGGAGAGATGGAGGTGGATGACTTCTGAGTTCTGTTGAGAGACTTGAGAGGTCCATGTTTCCCAATGGTGGTCTCAGCACTTAGAGTGAGCAGAGTAGTTGTTCCCGTCCTGTTCCCCTTACTGGCCCCACAACGTGGCAGCCACCAGTCGTTGGCGAGAGGCTGATCTCTCAACCATCTCGATTCTCCAATTCTTCCTGGTTCAATTGTGTTCCAGCCTTAAGATGAATACTGTATTATTCATGCTGACTTTTCAATCCTAGTGTTCTAGACTCGCAAGGTATTGCGTCCTTCGGCCAAGGAACATGTGGATCGTCAAACTTCAGCCTTACGCATTCAGATCTAGTCTCAAGGTGCCTTGTTTTGGCACTTCGGATACACCGACGCTCTCCACAGCGCATCCCCCCCCCCCATCCCCCCCATTTGTGGCAAAGGGACCGTTTTTTAAATGGATGCTCATATATCCGTATACCAAGCCAGTATAAGTCATATCCTCAGTGTATTTTCTTCAAGTCAAAGTCCAGATCTGGTCTGGGTCCAGTCGTATTTTACGAAAGAGCCCGAGACGATATCACCACAGAACACGATGCTTTGACGGATATAAAAACAAGAAGATATTGTAGAGGGTCCCGTAGACTATCAGGGACCATATATGGCTAAAAGTTGTTAAAGAGAAGAATAGCAAGTCACTGGCCCCGGTGTTCGGTTCAAAAACTATGGAAATATACGCCATGACTCCCTAGAATCCCCGTGTCCATCCCATGGGTATCGCGTTACATAAGACATCCGGAAAATCCTGCGAGACAATGGAAAATCAGCAAATCCAATCGAGCTATGCATGCTCTCGCAGCCAAGCGACGGGTCCATATCCCGTCGCGCTCCACTCGCCAGAGCTGGTAGTATGAAATCCTTCCGAACGCCATCTCGGTCGTAAAGCCGAAAGCTGGAATCCGCCCATATCCCCAACCAGGACAACGAAACTCCAGCATGCCGCTCGCACATCTCAATCATCTACCGTCTAGCCATACCGTAACTCGCTCCAGATCCCCTGATCCGCCAGCGGACACAACGCCAACCGAGAACAAGGAACCAAAACCAGCGGCTCCTTCGTAAAAAAATACCCCGTCTCCCGCACCCGATGCCAGCCGTCACAATGCAGATTATGCAGCCCCACACCCCGCAGATCGTCCTCCATGTCGCACGGCGGCAACACCGCCGAGCACGTAGTGCTGCTATGGTGCGCAGCGGACGCGTATCCCCGCCCGCTCGATGCGGCGCTCGCCCCCGATGTCCCGTATGCGGGGGTGTTGGGTCGTGCGAAACCGCCGCGATGGTCGATCGGGTAGACGACGGGGCCGGAGGGGACGGGTGACTGGTGGAGATGTGGTGGATGGCGGGCGTGGATCTGCTGGGTGACTTGCTGGAGGGCCTCGATGGGGTTGGGGGTGCTTTCGGAGGTGGGGTTCCATTCGGCGTTGCCAGGGAGGGAGGAGAGGGTGAGGGAGGAAGGGGAGGAGTGGGAGTAGTGGTAGGGGAGGTCGAGGTGGGCACCGACTGCGTGGATGACGGTGTGAGCGAGATCGTAGCCGGCTTCCTCGTTGGCGTGGGGACGCTCGGTATGGCTAGAGGGGATTGCAGGACTATTGAATGCGTCTCGAGACGATAAATAGGTACAAGAGTGATCGTATTGCTCCATGGTCAGACCGGCGCCTGCTTCTGAGCTCTCGACCGTGTTGTTGAGTTGTGGAGATCGATTCGCCGATCGTGGCGGCTCCTGGGGAGCCCCGTACTCTTTCCCCATATGCTTCTCATAAGAGGCGTGCGGATTCGGCGACATATTGAGAGGACAGTCTTAAGTTCCCCTGAGGAGCGAATGTGTCCTGAAGTAGGATGGCAAACTATCCTACAGAATAAAGGGAGACGCCTCAAGACAGCACAAGCCTCAAACAAAATGGCAATACAATTGAATGGAAACACACGAGGTAAAGACCAAAGCCATCTAGATATCCTAAGCTAACTAATACAAGGGAGATTGGATTGAATTGCAAAAATGTCGAGAAGAAGATGAAAGAACCGGAAAAGGACTGGAAACGATTTTGGAAGACTCGACAGAAATGAAGATATGGCATGGCTTTTATCTTCATCCCAATATATGACACTCAGCGAGCTCGGTGGAGGATGTGTATTATGACATATTGGTAAACCAACATGACCCAAATCATCCTCATGATCACTCGCCCAGGCCGACGCCTACTTGTGCCCGACTGATTGTAAAGGCTTTCTCCCCCAACTCCAAATACTCTTTACCGGATGTCTACACTCATGCATTGTCCTATGAACGATATCGAAGTCAGCGCTTCACCGATGTCACTGGACCTGATGCTCCGCCTTCATCGTAGGGCACACAAGGTACCACAGTCTGGCAGTGCATGATAAGCGCAGCCCTGTGAGACGAGATGCACAACATGCTGATGAGCAGGACGGCGAGAACGCTGGGTTTGTCGGTGAAAATCGCCGCGGACAGCCGTCTCACAAGCACATTGAGCCGATGGAGGTGAGTGACTACGTGATTGAACCGAGGAATTCTAGCTTTGCTGTGTGAGGATGGGAGGAACCAAATACGGCACCACCACGCTGAGAGCCGATACAAACCGCAAAGCCGCCTGCGAGCTTATCGTCAAGTATAAGTATTACGTGAATTATCAGATATTGATGCCGTATATGAGAAGGACGTCAGATAGTAACCGACGCCTAAGGTAACACAAATCATCCTATCGTGTCACCGACCTGTATCCCGTAGAAACATGGTTGGATGTTTATCCCACAACTGACAAGATGGAGCGGTTCACCGGTCTGGTGCGATATCCGGCGCCGCGGCGCATCGGCCTCCCGACTTCGGGGCCTTCGGGCTGGCCCGTCTTCCCCGCCTTGGGTCCTATGGTACCAGACCGAACCAAGTAAGGAATACCAACATCATGACTGCACTGCTAAACCTTGAGACAAATCGAACCCCCTCGCAACAACGAAGCGGAATAATCACCAATCGACCCTGTGATTCACGCCCCAGAAACAGCTGACCGTTCTAATCGGTTTCCTGATATGGTGCGAGCACACGACACATGACCTTGTGTTTGACAGTATCCGACATCGCACGCACAAGGCGCAGAAACCACAGGGTTCTGTCTACCTGGACTCCTCACCGGGAACGATGGCTGACGGGCCGAGATTAATTCCAATGGAGCACTGACAGGAAGCCATCTGGATTTGATCGACAGCTGGGGATCTGAGACGGGATTTCGCAGAATGTGAGAAATGCATGCAAAAGGCATGTCATCAGTATAGTACCTTAAATGCAACTCTGGATGTTCAACACTGACCAGCCTAGTTAGTGTACACCGACCTGGTCCATGTAGAACGTTAAATTTACTCTCATCCGGTTAACAGCTCATCAACGATGCTCAGTATGCGTCCTGGAGCCACAGTTCCACGATACCTGCGCTTCTAGCGTTCGCCGCCTCGTAAGCGACTCGGAGCCTGGCACATATATGAGCTAGCACTTTGACCTGCTCGGCCCCGAACTGTCTTTAGCAAGAGAAATAGCACCGGCCTTAGAGGTCTCGACAACTGACGTGTACCTACCTGTAACGATATATGGAAATAAAAACCTGCCTTGAAACTCCCAGTGAGAAGCAGTGTATCCCACAAACGGCTCACCATGAGTCACGAACCTGGATCGAACCCGGTCTGGGGAAAAGCATCCGCTACCCCAGACAAATCTTTGAGCGACGTTCTGCACGAAATGATTCGGTGAGTTTATGTAGGATGGCCTGTGAACACCCATCTCCGCCCCGGACTCTCTCGGGGGTGAAGCATCAAAGAGGACCTCGGTGACCTGACTGGATTCGCCCAGTCGGGTGAATTGCAATTGGAATTTATATACCCAGTTTACAAAACTCATATCAGTGGAAATAATCTGGGTACATGGTGTTGTGTTTATAACCACTCATTTCACAGTCCACCGGTCAAAAGTACAAAAGTAGAAAAGTACCGGTAGTACTTCGGAAAAGTCCAGGGGGTTACCCAGGGTCTCGAGACTTATAGTTTTGCTCTTTTTCTGGACATTACCATACCTCATCTCGTTCTCTTTTGCTCTTCGGTACTCTTTTGACGCAATTCAAGCGGAGGTAGGCCTGGAAAGGTGTCACAAAGACTATTCAGGGCCTCGCGTGGTCGCGGGTTCGAGTCTGAGCATGCCTATTCACACTTCACCACGGCACCGTCCAGTTACACAGGTCTCCTCCTATTTTCGGCATCGAAGTCTTTGTTCCGAACACGTTGTATTCGGATATGACGCCATCGACGCCGGACACTAGATGCGTTGTAGATGCTACCGGTAAACGTCTTGGCCAGCCGGCCCTCGCGCCGGATTGTAGTAAACAGGGGGATCGGACATTCGCTGGCCCGGTAGTCAACAGGACGAGATCCAACCCAGCGTAAATATCATACAAAATTTCGTCTAAGCAGCTCGTTGCCCCGATCAAATAAAATCAAACGCCGAGATATGCATCTATTTGTTCCTCCATAGGAACGTGTCTAACGAATCCCAGTGGTCCGAGTCCACGTAGCTGCACACTAGTTAGCAACGCCGTAGATCTCGCAGGGAGAGTCTGGGGAAATACGCACATATACTGCATCGAGCTTCGCAAACTCGACTGCACCGTCTCCGGATGCCACCGGAAAACATACATCACAAACGCCCAACTCAAACTCGCAAACGCCGGCCACGCATTCTCCTTCACCCACTTCCTCTTCCCCTCATCCTTCACCAACCCCCACCCGCCCCGCCCCCCAGTCGCCAGCGTCTTCGGCCCGCCCGCCGGCTTGATCAGGAGCTTCGCGCTCGCCAGCATGACGCGGGCGAACACGTAGATGACGATCTGCTGGGAGACAGAGGACTGGTCGCCGCGACCGAAGACGGTGTAGCCGCCGATGAGGCCGGCCATGAAGGTGTCGAAGCGGCCTTCTTGGCCGCGGACGGAGCGGAAGAGGATCATGCAGAGTTTCCAGACAAGGGCGAAGAGGCCAAGATTGCGGGCGTGTTGGCGGGTGGCTTTGAGGACGAGGAGGAGGCGGTGACGGAGGCTGTCGGGGGTTAGCTTGGATGTTCTTTGGGATCCGGAGGGTTGCTGGGAGGTGTTGGGGATGGGGTGGACTTACGAGCCCTGTCGGAAGAGTAACATGATACTATTCGGGAAATTTGGTCAGCGCATGTCCTATCTATGCTCCTTCTATCCATACTGCGCAGTACTCACACTAAAGCATGCGGAAACCGCACTTTTGTTCCGTATATCACTCCGTTCCGGACTGCTTTCACTAGCGATAGGACATCATGATAAGCCGGATCCATCACGATCTTCGTCGCGACCGCCTGTAATATCGCCATCAGCACCATCCACGGCCATATTTCCCTTCTCTCGTTTCCATGTACATACCTCTAACCTCTTAACAGCCTCCATCGTCACGAACGCCCTTCTCGTTGACACCTCTTCGCGCAAACGATACCGTCTCGAGTGGACCGAGGAATGACGTCTGCGGCACCGCTACCGCTGGGCAACACCGAGATATATCTACCGCCAGGAAGGAGCTCGTCGGATCGCACACGTTGCACCGGACTGCATGGAAATAAACCGGCTGGAATAGGATCAACAGTCGTTTCGAAAATTGTATATGGGTTGCAAGGTCATAGGGAAAGGTTTTGGAGCGGCGAATCTAATCGACGGTCAAATCCTGGATCTTCGGCAACTAGAATCTGGGGTTGTCACGGTCGGTGGTGAGGCGCCGAATGGTCCCGAGGCTGTTTGTCACATGCGAGGTGAGGGATGGGCGAACGGAGGGCGGGGTTTCGAATTAGGCAATGTGTTTATCATCCTGTGCTTCAGCTCATCTGGACTTCGGATTCGATAATAATTTCCATGGTAGATTTAGGGGATTGTTCCACATGTGATTGTATATTTCAGCCACTATTCATCGTGGTTACCGGTATTGTTTGACGACATTGTGCAAGATCTTATCTCTATTATTGTGCCGCCACACCGTAGTGCAGTATCCCTAAAACGCCCGATATCAACGTCCATGTTGGACTCCCAAGAAATCCCCTCATGCATCCAAAACCTCATCACTGATATGTCCATGCAAATCCTCGCCAACCGTCTAGAACTCTATTATGTCGGCTTTTGAAGGAAAGCGCCGCGTCAATGCATCATGGATATAGAAAATAATCGCCGACCCGGGAGCCGACCGCATCACCGTCAGCCCGCACCCTCGATACAACCCCTTCAACCCCTCCGCTTTCCAGAGCGCCTTCCCCACCGATGAGAAGGTCCTCCGCTGCCCCGGTAGCAGCGCGGTGAGATCCCCCGTCTGCATGCAGGACTTGATCGTGTCCGCTGGGTAGAAGATGAAATTGTAGCTCATCCCCGCCGCCGCGCCGGCCATCAGCTGCTGGTGGACCGGCAGCGCAGATCTCGGATCGGTGTTCCCGTTGTATTTCCGGAACCACATCGACACGCCTTCTTGGGCGCCGAACCACGCGGCCGAACCGCCGGTTTCTCGTAGTAGGGTACCTAGTTGGCCGTTCCAGAAGCCGAAGACGCCTTGGGATCGGTAGACGGTGGAGATGGTGGTCAAGACTCCGGGGAGGCGGGTGGTCTTGGAGCTTTTGTCGCTGGGCATTTGCATTCGGCATTTTACCAGCTCGATCGGTGTGAGGAGTAAGGAGGTGAAGGCGCCGGATATGGCACCGCATGTTGCTTTCGTCGAGAGGGTGAGCTCGTCTTTCGTGGTGTTGTGGATGTAGGATGCGAAGAAGGTTTGTGCGAGATCGTACTGTGAACAATGAGTTAGCTGAGTAGAACACGCCTGTAATATCCGGGATTGCATACACTGAAGAACAAGCTGCTGTTTTCCACAGCTGCCCCAACCATCGGAGCAGTCAACCCCCGATACAGACTGAGAAACCCATCTCGCCGAATTGACTGCTGAAAGCAATCCAACGGGCCTTTGTACTGTGGAGGCAGCGTATCCGGCTGTGCTTGCAATCGAACTTTCACCGTATCAAAAGGATATTCGAAGAGCTTCGCACACATCCCCGCTATCGATCCAAAGACGATCTCCTTCGTAGCCTTCTCGCTTCTCCCCGTCCAAGCCTTGTGTGTCATCGCATCGGTTGCCAGGGTGGGTTGGCCATGATGGGCACCCTCAGTCGAGACCTTGGTCCCGGAGTAACTCATCAACGTAGGTAATACACTCCAGAGACTGGAGGAGGATATCGTGTATGTCAGGAAGAAAATTGGCTCATCGTTAAACAGGTCGAAGGGGATGGGGAGAGGGGGGGGAGTGGACGGTCGAGGGGGAGATTCGGAGGATTCACCGCTCCTTATCAGATCAAAAATCCGAGGGGCAGAGAATCTTTCCTGTTATCACTACGGAGCCGGCGGCGGATCTAGCCAAGCGAACGTTTCGTGCATGTGGGAGTGGATCCAAAACACGCGTGTTGTGGCGGTTTGATTTGCAGACGAGAATAAGACCGACGACGGGGGCGTGGCAGGACGGAGGGGTGCAGAAATTAGCTGGAAAAATTGGGTGGGTTGGGCAATTGGAAGAGGAACCCCATGACGGAAGCGGGCATATTCGCGTTGATATTGCAAGGGTAAGATCAGATTATTCGGAGCATATCCCTTCCGACTCGCTCCAGACCTGCGAGATCGGAATCTTGGTAGTGTTTCCATCGAATAACCAAACAAAGAGATCAAGCTGGCTTTTAAGACAGACATAATCCATAGCTCAATTCCTACGACGACATCGGACGCGCTATTTTTGACGTGAATCACTAAGCCCGCATTGCATTAATCACGCATGCACGATGGCGGAAGAGGAGGACGACTACATGACCATGTTGGTTGAAGATCCGACGGTCAAGCCCAAGGAGACCTCGATCCAGCGACGCGCCAGGAAGCAAAAAGAGGTATGTCAACCTGCGTGCATAATCAGCTACCCCCGCTCACCAGCTAAAGGGAACCTAGTCCGAGCAAAAAGGCCGCACGAAATCCAAGAAAGAACTCGAGGCTGAAGCCGAAGCCGCCCGCGATGCAGCGCTCAACACCGCCCTCGACCCCTCCAACAAAGGCTTCCAGATGATGGCGAAGCTCGGCTTCAAGCCCGGGACAGCGTTGGGGAAGGCCAGCGATGCGAGGACAGAGCCGATTCAAGTGGCGTTAAAGGAGGACCGAGGCGGGATCGGGCATCTGAATGCGAGGAAGCGAAAGTTTCGTACGGAGGCGGGAGAGGAGAATCTGGCGAAGCTGGCGAAGATGGATCCGGAGGCGTATCGGGAGCGGATCAGACTGGAGCGGGAGCAGAAGCGGTTCGAGGGCCAGCTGCATGCGGCGCAAAAGGTCGCGGAGCAGTTTGCGGAGTCGGAAGAGGAAGCAGAGAGAGCAACGGGGGCTACGAACGCTGAGTCAAAGCCTTTAACGTCGATCAACGTTCTTTGGCGCGGGCTCGTCCGCGACAGGTTAGAGAAGGAGCGCGAAAAGCAGTTGAGGTTGGAGATGCAGGCGAGAACGCTTGACGATCCGGAACACGACTCGGATGAGGAGGATTTGGGTCCTGGCAAGGGTCCCTCGGAGGAGGCTATAACATTCCAGGAGCTAGATGAGGAGGACCCAGAATTGAATGATTTCGAAGCCATGACGGTGGATGAGCAGTTGGAGAAGGTGGTGGAGCATTTGAGAAAAGAGAGGCAGTATTGCTTCTACTGTAAATATCAATATCCGGACCCCGAGATGGATGGGTGTCCAGGACTGACTGAGGAGGACCACGACTGAGAATAAAATCCACTTCAAGTCATCTTAATACGTAACCACAGGCAATGTACAAGAGAAATATCCCGTTTGATAATTGAATCGGAAATCGTCCTTGCCCTCACATGAAATCAATGTATCTGGCGTAGACAACCATCCTTGCCTTCTGATTGGTTCACCGTCACCGATATCTCGACGTCGAACTTTCTCTCCCTTGACCTCCTTTTCAGACAGATACCCTTTGTCAGTCATCGAACGCGTTTCTACGCGTCATATCATCCATGGAGCACGAGAAAGTCTACCTCTTCCAAGGAGAGCACGCAGCAGACGTGTCCGACGACGATGATGATGGTCTCTTGCTCGGAGACTCCATCCCGCTTCGCGAGCAAGCCTTCCAGGAATGCTGGCAGAAGTATCAAAGATGCATTGACGTCGGTAACAGCGTTCGGTCTTTTTTTATCTGCATACTAACGTTGTTCAGACCATCTTGGAGAACAAGAATCAATCCGTCTTAGACGACGTCATATCCTTCGTCTCCTCATCCCTGGAAGAATCAGCGACGGACCAAATTCCCGCCGCGTTCGTGGTAGCAGGAGCGGGTGTCTCTTCCCAGAAACAGTTCTTTAAGAGTTTGTCGGATCAGCTATCTCACCCAAAGAGCTATCATCTCGTCTCCGTGTCCGCCGGCAGTAGCCCGAACCTCAAGGCGTTCTTGAAACGGATTATCACCGACGTCACCTCCAGTGCGGACGATTATGCCAATGGGGACGAGGTTGAGGTCTTCTCCGGACGAGATGTTTCCCTTTTAAACTATGATTTGCGGATCATGCATGATTGGGCGAAGCGGAATGAGAAAGAATGCATCCTGGTGGCGTTTGAGGACAGCGAGGCGTTCGATTCTTCGCTATTATCCGATATCATTGATCTCTTCAGGTATATTATATTGTGGGAGCACTTAAGTCAAAACTTACGCAATGTAGCTCGTGGTCTGATAGACAATCCTTCGCAATCCTCTTCGGCATCGCGACGACTGCCGAGAGCTTCTGTGACAAACTCCCTTTCTCCGCAACGCAGGCTCTAGACGCTCGAGTGTTCGAGCTCATCAAGCCTCAAGCCCTAATCGAAGAGTTTGTTGGAGCTATCATTGATCGAGATGATATTTTACCAAAGCTAGGGCCGGGAGTGTTGGGAACGTTAGTTAGCTGGCAAGCACAGCATACCTTCAGCATCCAGATTATCTTCGATGCGTTCAGGGTAAGATCAGACCCTGGCTTTGTGGATGAGAACTAACAATAAGGAAATAGTTCTCCTGCTTGTCGCACTTCATGGCAAACCCCTTGAGCGCCCTGTGTAGAGCAGATCTAACCCCCTCCGACCTCTCGAAGGATCATTTCGATGCGTTGCGCAATGTTTCCTCTTTTCGAAGGTATGTGGCTAAGCCCTATCTAGCTGAAGAAATTCTAACGATCTAGGCTTGTCGAAGCCTTGCTAGAACAACGAGAAGTCTTGCCCGCGAAGGCCCTCCTCAAATCAAATACGACGTTGTTCGAGCACGCTCGTGAAGGGGTGAAGGAAAGTTGCTATGCGCTATCTCAAATTGGTCTTGCGACGAAAGCCATATTCTCCCTTCAAACTTGTCTCAACAAGTCTCACCATCGAACTCTATCATCTTTGTACATCGATGCTCTGGGCAGCGACTTCGCCAGTTCACCCTTCGTGAGGGAACTACTGTTGACCATCAAGAAGTTGTCATCAAGCGCTGCAATGCCAGTCTTGGAGAGCGTCTCTGTGATAATCGCGCAGATGGAGGACGAAGGCCTCCAAACTGCGCACGAATCCCTTCTCACGTTCGTCACGGATGCCAGCGGATCTTCCAAGCCGCTGCGGAGCGAGTTTAGCATTACCGGTGAGACACTCAGGATCTCCGTCGTTTCACGACGAGCGGGTATACATTCGCAAAAGTCGACGTTGTCGGATGAAGAGTCGAATTATTCCAAACTTCTGCTGGCTTTCCACAACGCCGTGCACCAGTACCTTGAAAGTGTTTTCGTTGACCCCAAATTACTCTCCTTTGCGGAGGTTATCATGTTCGACTATCGTGCCATGCACCGGGCAGCTTTCATGCCTCGAACAAGGCAGGTCATCGATCGAGCGCTGGCGTCGCCGTATGACTATCTGAATTGCGAGTGTTGTCAAGATACGCAGGTAGGTACCTTTGGGTCTATTGTATCGACAATGGTTAACCCCCTACAGACAGCATTGAGTTCAACTCAACCTGACACCTCGATCTTGTATCGACTGTGCCTCGAGTCAGGGCAACTAATTAACATGGCAGATTTACTCTCTGCATTTGAGAACGTCAAGGGCGACAATGAAGGAGATGACAAAGATACAAGGTATGTCCAGGACTGCCTCACCACCTACACGGTGTTGCTAACGGACTCGAAGCGCGTCATTTCAACAGGCCCTAGCAGAGCTCCTGTACCTGGGCATTGTCAAAGGCACACGTAAACGAGTGGACCACATCGCACGGGGAGTTTGGAACGGGCTTTGAGCACGCAGCATCGTGCCAATGTCCTAGTCGAACAGATCTTTCTTCCCAAGCCGGCTCACTCCACCTTCGGCACCTGTCTCGGCGTCAGATCACATAGCTCCCCGCAATTCCCACACGTCCTCGCCTCCGTATCCTGCGCAAAATCATTAATTGCATCCTTCAACTGCGTCCCTAGATCCACGCAATGGAACGCTTTCTCATGCACCCGCTCCCCGCAGCCCTGACAATACCAGCGCAGCCGGTCGATCGATTCCGCGGGCCGCTTCTGCTCGATCACAATCCCCACCGTGTCGGCGAAGCGGACAGGATTGTGCGGCACGTGGGGCGGCAGCAGGAACATGTCGCCTTCGCGGATGGGGATGTCGCGGAACTGGCCGTCGTCAACGGTGCGGAGGAGCATGTCGCCCTTGTACTGGTAGAACCATTCCGGGGTTTCGTTGACGTGGTAGTCGGAACGAGCGTTGGGCCCTCCGATAATCTGAGGGCGAGATAGGGTTAACGCCTCCGCTCGGGAATGGGCCGGGTGGGATCGACCTACCATGACGGTGATGTGCTCGTCATATACGCAATAGTTATTTACAGGGGGTTTCAGCAGGTTCGAGTTTTCTTTCAACCTGTGCGTTGTTAGGAGTCTCATCGCATAACAAGAAAGAGGTTCGGCCACCATTTCGGGATGTTCATTGGGGGCGCTAACGATGCTCGTGGCTCACTGGAGGCGAACCATCTTCGTGATAGGTTCGAGCACACTATAGCTGGGCTCGACGGCTTCCTGACCCTCGATGATAATAGTAGAGCAGCCCTTTGCATTCTTCGGTTCAAATGTTATCAAATATAAGCCGACCAAATTCTCATTAAACTTTAGATGATGGTATCAAGTGTGAGTCGATGGGCCTGAACAGAGTAGCTCCAGCTATGTCCACTTGGTCGTCGCGACAGCAGGGCTGAGATCAACAGGGGTTTGGCTTGGCAAACACCTTCAAATATCATCCAACGCGCCACTTCAATAAAATAATTAACTTAGCTAAGTTCGTTATTAGTTACTGTTTGTCGGAAATCCGCGGCTATTACTTAGTCACCGCACCTTGTAGATTACATAAGATTACATAAGTCTGGGTATATATACCCGTCACGGTAAACTATGTACTTCTGTCGCACGTGACGTGCTAAGTGGTTGGAAGGCAAAATAGTTTGATGAGCAAGCAGCAGAGTTGTATTGTTTTAAGTTCTAGGTATCTGAAAATTGCGTTCAAGTTGCGTGTTCTTATGTCAATGCCTGGTCCCCTGACCCTCCAGATATATGAGATTCGTGGCAAGTTTATGAATGCAGTTTGTAGCCTCGAGTCCCTTAGATGAAACCTTGGTCTGCGACAACTTCTGACCGAATACAAGCATCTCACTACCTCTGACAGGTTACCAATTGTTTCCGTGATTGATTGACACGCCAAAACGATCAACACAAGACAACAGCTTCGAAGGAAGATAGGAGACGCTTTCAACAGTATCACCGGAATATTTGGAGGGGGGCCTTAGGACCAAAGAAGAACCAAGGGATGGACAGTTGACAGCGATGTCCTAGACGCAGTGCTTGACTTTCCGGAAGCATCTAAGAGATTCACATCAAGGGCTCCAAAACGGCCTCAAATCAGGGGTCGCAGACAAGGTGATCACAGTAGGCCTTAACGAGGCAAAAACTTCATGTATGAAGCGGTACAGTGTAAATGTAAATTAGCTTAGAAAGGGTAGACCTCAGTGGTGGTAGCCTGCGTATCCCACGTGAGAGGTCAGGGCATCCATAAATGAATCAACATCAACAACGACTGTACCTAACCGTTTGCGCCACAATACCTCAATCTTTGTACCCTAGGTCGTTGTTTTTGGAAGGAATGGGAGTTCTTCTATGTATATCGTCATGTTCATCATATAGCACACTGCTTGGCGGATCGTATTCTTGGCTTCCACATTTGTGCAAACCGTACTTTGTGGTCAGTTTGCTCAAAGTTACGGCTGTCCAGACTTATCGGAAGTCCGGGGAGCATGTAGTCTATATCCTTTCTCCTGCTACATGCGAAACTCTCTTAGTATAGGAAGCCAGTCAGCCCTCTTTATCGTATAATGAGTTCAAGCCAATCCGGTTTCCGAGAGCGAACGGGGGAATTCAGTCACCACTCCGAGTACAAACCCAACGACGAATACAACAACCACTCGAAAGTCGGGACCATCCGACCGTAATTTTCAACAGAGTCTCATCGACGGCGGTATTTATTTCCATGTATACGAGTATCCGGATGAGCGAATTCCAGCGAAGCCAAACAACTGGGAAGAGATCAATCAACGATTGGCACAACGTCGACCCTCTCTTTCTCCCTTTGCTTTTACCGACGAGGCGCATGGCAGGTTTGTACGAGCTGACGCCCACGCCGCAAAAGAGAAACAAGTATCGGAATCAGGGATTCCAATTATTGAAGGCGAGATCGAGGACGCCAGATGCCGATCGGGAGGAATCCCGTTCACCAATCTCGATTATCTGACGGATGACGCGATTGTGCCGGGAAACCCAGACATCTACTATGGGGCGCGCCCGGAACAGCTCAACCGTCAGGTCCGCGATGGACTCGGTGGCCATATTGTCCCATCTACGCAACATGATCTCCCCATATTGCCTAACTTTATGTTAGAGGCCAAGGAATCAGGCGGATCAGCTGCTGTCGCTAAACGACAGGCCAGCCACGGTGGTGCATTTGGGGCAAGAGGCACGCAAAGTCTACTATCATATGGACGAGATGAACGGTATATGATAACAAGGCTTATATAATCGTGTCAAATTGTTACGATGGCATGCTTAAGATGTATACTAGCCACGCTATACGACCCAGCACCCCCGGAGGTCGTCCAGGGTACCACATGACTCAGATATATGGATAGATAATGACTGGTAGTTCGGAAACCACCTAGAAAGGAGCTACTGAGTATAGGAATGCAAGAGGCTGGGCAAGAGAGCATATGGACGGGGTAATTCATGAAGCAAACACAAGAGCAAGTGGAACTCAAGCCGTTATGAAAGCTGTCGATGTGAGCTTTGTAAGCGAAACCTCTATGGTAGTGTCTGACAGGCTCTACACAATCTGTCAAATGAAAAATCACCTGATTTTGGTAGGGGATAGGTCCCATCAGCAAAATGGAGGGAATTCCATCACTGAGGAAAATAGATCTAGGATGTGGGTGCGTATAGAGCGGTTTTATATATTTAGATATAGGGGTTATCAGGTAAGACGAAAGGGGGTAGTAGGTAATTAGATCCTTTTTCCTGTGACAGGTTGTCCCCTCTTGCTTCCCCAAAAGATTCCGGAACACCCTTGTAGGTGCCGGAAGCATCAAGGCCCAACCAGCACTGAATCACAGTCCATTGTTAAGAATGACCGTGTCAACAGAAAGTATGTCGGATTAATCAACGGGATGGGCCAACCCACAGTGCCCACGGGTAACTGGTGTTTGTGAGTAATAATGGTTGGATAACCTCAGCCGTTACATGCCGTAGGGCCATCGAATGTCTTCATGTCATCGCTGTCGTTGAGCGTGCTGTGGGATCACTCTTGGGATTTTCATGATTCGCTTCCCTCGGCCACGGCGGTAGTCTTGCAATGCTACCATCACGGCGGAAGAGGCGTGGCAATAGCCTGCAGAGACTGTTGTGACCACGGGGGGACTATTTTGTGAGTCTAAGAATTTGTAACTCAGAGAAAACAGTGGCACATGGTAATACTAATTGTCAAGAAAATGTCTAAACTGAGATTCGATTTTAGTGTGGAGGTAATGAAGACGTAGAAAATATTCCCAAAATGGATGTCAATATCCAGAAGACTGCCTAAATGCAATCACCAATCTAAGGTATCGTGGCCGTTCGGAATGCAAGCTGCACTCGCCCTAAGATTGGCGACTATCCTTTCACCTTTTCTGCCGGTTTTCATTTTGAGAATATCGTCCAGTTTGTCCAATTGCCCTGGAGTCTGTCCAGCCCGAACTTTCCATCTTTCTGTGCCTAGCGCTCGGTCGAGCTCATCAACAGGAGGTAATTGGACGTATATCCATCCATCCTCCCTCTCTTCAGCTGCGAAGGTGGAGATGTTCATATCATCATTTCCGCACTTTCCGGCCTCAGGCCCTGATAGTTCGAAGTTGCGTTTGTGGTGCGGACATGAAACCCAGAGCTTGTTGTCCCCTTCGCCAATAAGCCCATCAGACAACACGAATGCGCGTTTGTGTGGACACATTTGCTGAGTGGAGTAGTATTTGCCACGGACTTTGAAAATAGCAAGCTGAGTTCCTCCGCGCTTCACTTGTTGACTGTCACCGGTGGGAAGGTCTTGAAATTTTGAAGCCTCCACAAGCGGCTGCCAGGACAAGCTGCTCCACGCTATGTTGAAGTCGGCCTTGATGGATTCTTTCGGCCAGTTTGAAGGACGCTGTTGCCCGCGTTCTGTTATTGGTTCCACCCAGTCAACAGTTTCGTTAACGTTGGCGAACTGCTGGAACTGCTTCCGTCGCTCAGGGTTTTTGATCGTCTCGGTCCATTCACAGAAATAAGAGGAAACGAGCTCCTCCATTTGTCCCTCCAATTCAGCGCAGATCCCAAGCTTATCGTCTAGGATCACTTGGCGTAGGTATTGTATACCCCCTGGAAGTCCTTCAATCCATCTTGCAGTCCGTTGGAGGCGGTCCGCGGTACGAATATAGAAAGATAGGTACCGATCCAGGATGGGGAGCACGTCGTCAACGGGAACATCTTTGGCTAACAGTTCCGAGTGTCGGGGTTGAGCTCCTCCGTTTCCGCCAACAAAAATGTTGAATCCCTTCTCCGTTGCGACTAACCCAAAGTCCTTGTTCTGAGCCTCTGCACACTCTCGCACGCACCCAGAAACTGCTCCCTTAATTTTATGCGGTGCCCGAATGCTCTTGTAGCGGTTCTCGATGCGAATTGCCATACCGACGGAGTCTCCAATCCCAAATCTGCACCATGATGTGCCAACGCAGCTCTTCACCGTTCGCAACGCCTTAGCGTAGGCGTGTCCGCTCTCAAGTCCGCCCTCTTCGATCAATTCAGTCCAAATAGCAAGAAGATTCTGCTTTCGAGCGCCGAACATATCGATTCTTTGGCCTCCTGTAATTTTACAGTAGAGGTTGTACTTCTCCGCAACCCGAGCAATCACAGCCAGCTTCTTCGGGGTGATCTCGCCACCCGGAACCCGAGGAACAACAGAGAAGGTACCGTTTCGTTGGATATTAGCAAGAAATTTGTCGTTTGTTTCCTGAAGACCCTTTCGGCTAGGATCAAGAATATGCTTGTTGAACAGCGATGCCAGAATCGAAGCAATCGCTGGCTTGCAAACCTCACATCCAAGAGAACTTGGTGTGCCATATTCACTCATGATAGCTTCAAATGATTCAAGCCTCTTTACCATCACCGCGTAGAAGAGATCTGCTCGAGAATGCTTGAAATGAGGACAGAGGTGATTTTGGATTGCCTCACCACTCTCAGCCATGGTTTTGTTGACAATGGTTTGGACCAGAGGCAAGCACCCGCCGCAGCTTGTTCCAGCTTTGGTGCATGATTTTACATCGCCAATGCTCTTACATGAGCCCTCTCTGATGGCGGTAGTAATGTCCTTTTTGGTGACATTATTGCAAGAGCATATCTGTGCATCATCGGGCCTAGAGAAATAGTTAAAATGCTGCCACTGCTGGGGAAAGACTGGGGAGCGTACAGGGTATCGATCGCCTCATCGCCTCCTGGTTTGCCAATTATCAATTCCCCTGGAGGGGTGTCAAGCTGTTTGTGCTGCTTGGTGATAGCCAAGAGCTTTGCGTAGTCTTTTGCGTCGCCCATCATCATTCCGCCAAGTAAATATTTTCCGTCCAACGTAAACAGATACTTTTTGTAGATGTTTTCGAATGGATCATTGTAAGTCAGGGCCTTGACTTGATCTTTCCTATCTGATCCTGAAGATTTGTCGGGTAACCACTTCGGACCGAATTCATCTGCGAAGCAGTCTCCAAAGCTGGCAACTTCGATCCCCAAGAGCTTCAATTTGGTACTCATATCAGGCTCTGTGAAGGATTTTGGCTTTCGGTGGGTCATTCCTTCGGTCAAATTGAAGGCAAGGAGATCAGCCATCTCGTAGCCCGGGCCAACTAAGCCGTAGCACATGTTCTTCCAGTTCGCGCACTCGCCGATAGCATACACATCCTTTGCTGTGGTCTGTAGGTCGTCACCAACGCGGATGCCCCCTCGTTCGTGGCATTGGATGCCCGATTTCTTGGCCAAGTCGTCCCTAGCTCTGACCCCGATCTAGAAATACACATTAAATTCCGCGCCACAATGATAAGGCACCTAGACTTACCGCGAAACATACGCACGTGCCCTCGATTTCATCACCGTCCTTGAATTGGACTCCAGTCACGGTGCCGTCAATAGCCATGGTCAGCTTGCTGACCATCTTCCCTAGAACAACATCGACGCCTAAATTTTTCACCTGCTCAACCACCATCATTCCCGAGTCACTGTTTAGCTGGCGACCAAGCACATACGGCATCGCCTCAACCACCGTGACTTTCTCATACACCTCTAAATCCAACATTGCTTTTGCAGCCTCCAAGCCAAGAAGGCCTCCTCCAATTACAATTCCCTTCTGACCCTGACCTTTTTTCGCAGAGGAAAAAGAGATGAGGTTTTGAAGATCTTCAATGGTCCGATAGACAAAGACTCCCGTCGCGTTATACCCAGGTATAGCGCGTGGGAGAATGGCCGTAGAGCCAGTGGCTATGATCAACACATGATAGTCAACCTTGTCACCGCGGTTCGTTGTCACTCTCTTATTTTCTGTGTCGATATCTGTTGCAACGGTATGCAAATGATAATCGAGCGATCCGCTTGGCATCGATTTGTACTGGAAATGGTAAATGTCTGGAAATGGTCTTTGGTTTGGAACGTACCCATTCCTCTGACTTCATATACAGCCGTTCAATCTCTCGGTGTTGGAAATAGCTGGTAAGGCCCACCCGATTGTACGCTAGATGGGGCTCTTCTCCGATGGCGACCACGTCATATACTCTCCTCTTCGCGTCGAGCTTTAGAAGCTTTTCACTCCGGCGAGTGTTAGACGTAACCGCATAGTTGACTCTGGCTAACCTGGCAACAAACTAACATGAACGCAATTCCCACCATGCCAAGCCCAACTACCACAACCCGTTTCCTACTCTCCGACTCCAGAGGCACTTCACGAACGAGAGTCATTTCGTCCGCCTTTTGCAGGGCTAGGTCAAAAGCCAATCTTTGACAACTTTAAGACGAGAAGCAAATGAGGGGAGTAAAAACACAAAAAATTCGAAAGAGCTTGGAATTCTAACAAAAGGAGACACTTTATGGTAGAGAAGATGCCCTTCCTGCCTACTCACCGCATACCTGAAAGGTGCCTCATATGTGGACACATTAGAACATTAAAATTAAGCCTGCCAACACTAGAGATCGAGATGAAAGAGTTGTATCTCCAAGGAATTCATCGACTTTGGAAAGCAAACGTGGGTTTGATAAATATACGCTGGCCAATAGAAAGACAGTTTAGATGTGTGATCCTTATCGGGATGGTACAATATGATAGATAACGACTCCGAGGAAATGCTTGCAAATTCCAAAATACCAAAATGGTACCTCCGGCTACGCTGAGTATCATAATTCTATGACTCAATGTAAGGATTTCGAGGTCCTTTGGACCTTCTCCGGTATCGATCTGCCGCCTAATTTGAATGTTGGTAGAGTGCAGAATTGGGGGTGGCGTGTTACGAAAACAAATATGACGAGAGTCACGTGAAAAGACAACCCAATCTGCAAATGCGGCGCAGCACAATCAGCGACGATCAGTCAGTATCATCATAATCAAACCAGCCAGGACTGACCGAGACTGATACAACTGATCGTACTCGAGAACCACGCGGGTACTTAGCAGCAAGTAAAGACAATCTGGAGGGGGAGCAATATCCTCTATGTTTGGATCTGTGAGAGAAAGAATGAATTGAGCGTTGCAGTTGTACTACGGGTATCAGCATAATATGTTACGTAGTGCGACACTACTGCAGGGGTTTTTGCACTAACCTATTAGGGATTGATTTGTATGAAAGTACTGACTAATCACACTGTTTTCTCTCTGACGCTTTTACGCGTTATTCCTCTCATCTTCAATACCATATTATGGAGCCTTCAACACCACAGCGACGTCAACGACGCTCTGAATTAACTCGAGATGAGTGTATTCGAGTTCAAACCCTTCGATCGATCGGCTAGACCTATGCAAAGATCGCAGATGAGCTTAAAATCTCACAGCGACAGGTTCAATCGCTACAACACGAGATCATCCTACTCCATCAAAGAAGACCGGTCGCCATGCAACCCTCATAAACGAGCAGATCGACGAGCTCGTCGAATACGTCATTCACTCCCGTACGAGTCGTCTTATGTCCTATCTTCAACTCGCATCAGGTCCGTTCGCGCATTGGCACGTAGGCGAGTACGTAATCCGCGGAGCCCTTCGAAAGCGAGGCTTTAAAAGATGGCTCGCGCGAGCGAAACACCCTCTCTCAGCCGAAAACCGTGCGGATCGGCTTCAGTGGGCCCAAGATCACGTCAATTGGACGCTTGATCAGTGGAGGCTTATTCTCTGGACGGATGAGACCTGGGTCACTGGTGGTAGACATAAGCGACAATGGGTCACTCGTCGTACTGGTGAGGAGCTCGATCCTACCTGCGTTCTGGATACGATTCGACGTCGCAGGGGCTGGATGTTCTGGGGCTCATTCAACGGCTTCGAAAAAGGCCCCTGTTTATTTTGGGAGAAGGAATGGGAATCGATTAATCAAGAGAGTTACCGCGCTCGAATAGTTCCTCTAATCGAAGGCTGGATTCGAATGAATCCTAGCCTCCAGCCTATGCAGGACGGAGCCCCTAGGCATTCCGCTGGAGACACGTATCGCGAGCTATTCGACCGAGGAATCATCCCAATATTCTTGCCTGCGTACTCTCCAGATTTAAACCCAATTGAGGCTGTATGGAATTGGATGAAGGATTGGATTGAGACTCAATACGGTGACGTTCGGCTCTCATATGATCGTCTGCGTACGGCTGTAAAAGAGGCCTGGGAGGCTCTTCCAGCCGAGTTTCTACAGGACTTGCTTCAATCGATGCAGGAGCGATGTTGCGATGTGATTGAGGTTCAAGGCGGTCATACGAAATGGTAGCTTAGAGAGTAATTTCATTCGAATCGATCCCTAATGAGTTGGTGGATACACTCCTGCAGTGGCGTCGTACTGATATTACGCCTGAGACGGTAGTACATGGGGCCCACGGGGCGATTCAAATGAGCTCATTTGTGTAACGAGTTAAACTGCACATCTTTTGGATTGATACCTTTGGGAGAAGATATTGATGGCCTCTGGCTGGTCGTTTGTACAAGGATTTGGACTGCGGGCTTAGCGTCCGTCATGGACTGAGACAAGATGGAATTCGGTCCATCCGTCCCATTGACAGCTGCAGGGGTGTCAATCCCTTTCTAGCCGAGAAGCTTAAATTACCTACCGTACTCCGTAATCTGTGTGCTACAGAATTACTATTTATAGTTTAGCGCCATCGTATCGGGTATAGCTCCGTTTTCGGGCTTTCCGTTTTCTATCCTCACATCCCTCAAAAAGCATATACATACCCCTCTTCACTCCCGATAACCCTCTTCCATCTCCTCCACCCTTTCCACACTTCGGCTTCGCCTTTCCTCTTGCTTCGCCCCGTCTTAATTTCCCTCTTCTCAACACCCTCCCTGCAGGCGCCATCTACACCGGCTGAATTCCGGCCCCCCCGGGAATTGCAAGATGATCCAATGCCTTCGCTTACTCTCAAGATGAACGTAACATATCGGTGTTGCCAAGTCGGTCCAGAATGTCACAGAAAGACAGAAGTATTATCCGGGTCGTACGCTCAATGGGTGTCGGGTATTTCTTGATTGAAGAGTCCAATAAGACATTGCCGGTTCATAATTCAGCTGCAAGTGTTGTATCTTTGGCCAAGTGATAAACAGGCGTAGCTTCTCAAACTTCAAGAGGCAGGGACGGGACTGGGCGTCTAAGCAAAGTCTTTCCGCCTCTTTGAAACGCTGTTGAGCAAAAGTGCTTCCGCAAGAGACAGCTCGAGAAGTGCGCTGCCAGCCAAGGATGTTCCGCGCTGGATCTGGTGTGTGATCTCCGGGCGGAGGACATGCTCGGCGGATTTGGGTTCATCAAGTTCTCGAAGTGTATCAGCCAGGTCGCAGGTAAGATCTCGGAGATCTTTATCAAAGACAAGCTCTTTACACTTCTCTGCCATTTTGCGCGCCTTCTGAAGATGCACCAGGGATTCCGCAAACTCTCCTTGAAACCGCAAGATCCTCCCAAGTATCATTCCCTTGCGGAAGAGCACGACCTTCTTCCATTAGGGATATCCTCGGGAATGGATTCCAGGTTTTAGTGCGCTCTTCGCACCAGAGAGATCGTCATCCTGGATGCAGTGGCGCTTGATCAGAGGAGACGTTGAATGTGCTGACTCTCGGAAGAGGGAAGGGTATCAATCTCTGATGTTATGGTGCAAACCGAGAAGGATGAGTTGGTTATGGCTCGTATTTAGGAGGCGGAGGATCATGGTCCTGGACACTATCTGCATTGATTTTCGATTTTCCGACCGGCCCCAAGGCCACCAGGTTCGGAGTAGCCATGTTCGACGAGTCAGCTGCGATGCCGGCCAGTGCTGTAGACGAGCTTGTCGCACTGTGGTCGAAAGAGGGTGGCATCCCGTAGTGATCGACGAGCGAATAGCTGTCCGAAGCACCACTATTCGCGTCCTTGAGTTTTGCTTTGCGCCTTGGCTTGCAACAGCACTTCCAACACCATAAGATGGCAAGCAACAAGAAGAGTACACCGAGGACCAGGCCAGCGACATGCCCTCCGTTGACTCTGGAAGAACTCCAATATCCGAGGTGGCTAAAGAGCAAATTAGCAGCGACAACTTTAGGAATAAGCACGTCTTACGTTTGCAGAGTGATGTTGTTCTGATGTAGATAATCCAAAACAGCAGTGTCAGTACTCTGGTAACCAACTATCACACCGCTCGCCCAAACTCGGACAGCATGCAATCCATCATATTCGACGTTTCCCAATGAATACGATGTAGGTTTGACAGTCGGCCATCCCGGCGTCATGGTCCAGACATTTGCCACTGAAGTGGGAGTCGCTGAACATAACAAATAGTCGAGTGAGGGCCAGGTTGTCGTATAGTCGCGGAATGCACCACCCTTCACCGACGAAGTGATGCGGAGATTCGGCCTATATCCAGATGGACAGCAGAAATGTTGCGTGACGCTGCTGGTGGGCAATGGGGTCCGAAATATGTAATATTTCTCCCAGCCTGTATATGTTGCGGCATACGTGTAACCCGACGGGCAGATCCCTGGCGAGTAGTAGGCAACTTTTGAAGTATACCCTGTTTGAGAAAACAAGGGATCGGCTTTGAAGGGCCCAGTAGGTGTCGGTGTGATTGTAGTAAATCCGACAATCGAGGGAATGGGTGTTGGTGTTGGACCGGTAACAGTGCTGAATGCGATGAGAGCAGTTGTAACTGGCGACCCTGTGGGCTCGGCTCGATGAGACGGAAAGCAGTCGGCATCAGGACCTAAATCGGAATGGTAACCAATGAATAGGGCTCCGGTTTGGCCCAATTGGCCCCATTGTGTGGTCGTGGATAGGCAGCTAGCAGGTGGAGTCCAGAGAGTGGTAAGCGGGCCAAGGGGGACGAGATTGGTAGACATGATGAAAACGCGCTTTTGTCATAGATATGTCCGAGATGAAGAAGATATCGTTGCTCGGATGTCCTGCCAGGCTCTTATGAAAGCTAAATCCAGGGGTAACATGGTGATAGCGCTAGGGCCTTCTCAGGTCGCCCTTCTTTCCGGCCAATTTTATCTGGGAAGCAAGGGACTTCTGCTTTGGGGTGCCCGGAAGCGCCGGAGAATCCGGATAATTGTGGCGCAAATACGAGGCGTGTTTGTTGTTGTCGCAATACGAACGTCGTGGTGGAGGTATTAAATAGCTTGGCGTGCACTTGTTACGAATGTATGTATCCATGGCCCCATGACCGGTGTGGGTGCTCCCAGGCCAAATCTCAAACCCAGACCAAATCTCAAATTCTCAGTTCTTTCATCAATTCTACCTGTCACGGTCCTACTTTTCGTGCTTTGAGGCGTTAATAGATTGTTGCCTTATGGCCTGATATGAATGCCTCACGATACGATATGATGTGATGCCTCCGATGTGTTAGGGGTTATCACGTGGTGATTCACAATCCTGCTTTGTGTATATTATATCTCTCTCTCTGTTCTGGTTTCCCATTTCCCTTCTTCATCTTTCGTTTCCTCGAATACAAGCTGTTTTACGATAGTGATCCATATCCATGGTCCTCCAAAATAGCGCCGTGACAGGTCTATTACATCTGCTACTACTACTCAGGGATTGTCGCCCGGATTGCGACGCATTCCCAGAATTCACCCAGCTACCCCCATGTCGATAGGAACGCGTCGCGATCTAGAGGACCAACATGGGGGTAGCTGGGTGAACTCTGGGAATGCGTCGCGATCCGGGCGACAATCCCTGAGTAGTAGTAGTTAGTAGTACGTTAACTAACCTTGCATCACAGCGTTGACCGCTTAAATAGGAAACTGTCCGTTATGTTTCCTCGAAGGTGGAGCCCCTACCAGACTGGGTGAAGGACAGGAAGCTTGTACCTTTGGATCACCCATGGATCTCACCAATAGATCTCACCGAACCAGTCAGCCAGGAAATGCGGGAGCGGGTCCAATGGATGCAGCAGCATCCCGACTACTATATAGGGTGGAGGAACCTTCCTTAGGAGGAATTCAACCGATGGACCTAGAGATTTATCCGTGACGACCATCTTGACCGTCCGGATCAATTCTGGGGACTCTATATCTACAGGTAATAGGTCTAAGTCGGACAGACGTCAGTCCGTCTCCAGAATTCTTTTCACTAATGGGAGGCAGGACGGTGTATACACCTGGGTCAGAAGAGCTTTGTGACAGGGTTTTAGATCGTATTCGAGCGGCTGTGAAGGAAGATGTTTTCCATGATGTTACGGACAAGTGGAAACGAATCGGGATCTTTTCGGCACAGAGGGGAATTCCCTTTAACGAGGCCGCCTTTAACGAGGCCGAAGGGCATCCGGACGTTCCAGAGCGTTTAGACGATATGCCGAATCGACACATCTACGAACGCTTCCGCCTGGTGCCTATATCTGATGCTAATGCTTTTAACAATGCCTCTATTAACGACAGTAAAGAGCATGCGGCATCTATCACGTTTAATCCACGGCCCATTGAAGGGACTGAGGCTAAACCTTGGTCATGGAATATTTGCCTACTGGTCAACGAAGAGTCATTGGACAGTCTGACAGCGGCGCAGCCGAAGCATTGGAAACAAGCCAAACCAAGACACAGAAACGACGACAACCGTTGGGTTAAAGTAGTTGATGTTGGTTTTGACGAACCGTTCGTTGATCAAAATAATTTTGACCCTCCCTACCCTGCGTGGTTCAAAACCTATATCAGTTCTCTGGTGGAGTTGTGGGATATAAAGCATACTTTTACGCTTGAGGAATATTGCGTGGTGCCGGCAAAGGAGAAGGTAGTTTTCTTTTACAAATTTGAATTTGGAGCTGGTCTGTTGCGATGATCATAAGATGCGTAGCCAAATTGTATTTGAATGAACATTTGCCAACACGATCACCTTGGTTGTATTGACATTTGACAAAATAGTATTAATATGTTGATTTGGAAAATGCCTTGCTTATATAAAATATATTCTGCCGTGCCTCCACTGGATTGCATCTGTAGCGAGGCAAACAGGAAGATCTCCGATGTCGTCTCCGTCGGTTTTTCGTCGCAGAATGAGACTCTCGAGACAAGGTCCCCAATTACATTGTACTATTGTAGAGATCGTCGACTCTTCAAATTTCGGAGGTATGACGGTGAAGCTCAATATCAAATAAACACTGCATTAGGCATCGGGAAACTGTCAGCCTTATGAACCAATACTGAGAGATCAGCCGAGTGAGGATAGGTGGCGGTTTGTTTCTATCAAGGATCATGGCTCGTAGCGTCGGCTACGCTATGTTGTTTGTGGCTAGTGGTAACTAGTCCTGCGAATCCGTTTCTAATGATTCCGTACTCCGCAATTAGCGTAACTAGTTAATATTTAAACTATAAAGTTGGTTGGAATCTCCAGCCTCCACCATTCATGACTTCCGGATATTAACATTCCAGTTCCACCAACCTTCTCCCGACTCAAAGGATCTCGGACCCCCAAGCTAACTTGCGTTCAATCGCACGAGATCTTGGGTGTTCGATTCCAATCGAATCGCATGCTGTCCGTCCGTGGGCTAAGCGGGTTCTTGTCTCAAGCCGTGGCATGTACCCGTCAAATCGTCCTACCACCCAGTAAAACTCAGACATCTCCATCCTCCTCTCGAAGAATCCGTCGCTGGACGTCGACTCTGGTCCCGGCACCTCAAAATGGCGATGGCGGATACGAAGAATCGCGGCTAAACCCCCCGCCGGAGTCATACGCGTTAACCCCATTCCAAGACAAATGCTCCATCCTCCTGCATGCCGGCGGCGGCGGGCACGGGTGCATCTCCTTCCTACGCGAGAAGTTCATACCCGAGGGCCCGCCCAATGGCGGTGATGGCGGCAGCGGTGGCAGCATCTTCATCCAGGCGGTCCGAGGCGAGACGTCGTTGCATAAGATCGCACGAAAACGACAATACAAGGCCGGGCGCGGGAAGAACGGGCAGGGGAAGGCACGGGGCGGTCAGCGCGGGGACGACCTGCTCATCACCGTGCCGGTAGGGACGGTGATTCGCGAGATGTGGCGACATGACCCGATGGACGAGGCAGAACACGTCTGGTACCGGTTGAAGCATGCGGAGGGCGACGAGAAGACGAAGCAGCGGCGGGAGAAATGGCTGGTCTATCCCGGGATGCCGACGTCTGTTTTCGCAACCGCGGAATTCCCCGAGCTGCCGCCGGTGACCAAGTCGTCCTTGGTGATGATGCAACCACCGGCACCCATTCGGCTGGATCTGGACGAGCATATGGAGACACCGATGCTGTTGGCGGCGGGGGCATCTGGGGGTGTGGGCAACCCGCATTTCACATCGCCCGACTTTCCACGGCCGAAGTTCGCGACAAAAGGGGGCGACGGTATGCGACTTCTTCTCCAGCTGGAGCTCAAGTTGTTGGCAGATGTTGGGCTCGTGGGACTTCCGAACGCGGGGAAGAGCACCCTCCTCCGAGCACTCAGCAACAGCCGCGCAAGAGTGGGCAGTTGGGCTTTCACGACGCTACAACCGAACATCGGAACCGTCATTCTGGATGACTTGAAAGGCAAACCCACGGCGCCCAACCTTACCAAGGGGGGAAATGTCCGAACACGCTTCACGATCGCCGATATACCTGGGCTGGTTGAAGATGCACACCTAGACAAAGGCCTGGGGCTCGACTTCCTGCGTCATGTCGAACGCTCTGCCGTTCTCGCCTTCACCATCGACCTATCTGCCGGCGACGCAGTCCAAGCGCTCAAGTCGCTCTGGGTTGAAGTGGGCGAGTACGACATGCGGAACGATGCGGATTTCAATACCGAAACCGAAGAACGACACGAGCAATGGCGTCCGTCTGTATCAGATTTAAGTTTCGATGGCGAGGGAGTCCCATCCTTCGAGGAAGAGCTGCCGGCTTTACCTCTCCCTCCGGTCTCATCCAAACCATGGTTCGTGGTAGCCACGAAGGCGGATTTGCCAGGCACGGAAGACAATTATCAGCGGCTACAGGAGTATCTGGCGGCGCTCACGAGAGGGGACGTGAAGCACCCAAGCAGACGGCAGAATGCATGGAGAAGACGTCCAGTTGCCGTTCCGATTAGCGGCATTCGAGGAGAGGGTATCGATCGTATACCAGAGGTTGTACTAGACTTGCTAGATAGTTAATAGAAGCATCCCTACTCACTCGAGCAAGTAACATTTTCCCAAACACGATTCTCGTGCTGCTGGCATCCCTGATGAATGAGGCGGATCAAGGTAATCCAGCTGCCGATACAGACCATATGTGCACAACGCGTCCAACACGCGACAGTTCGTGCGGATCAGTTGCCTGGACAAGCCGCCGCATATAAAATCCACTTTCGTCTCGCATTCAAGATGGAGCCCGTCAATCGCACAGAAACAGTGACTCCGGCACCCGCAATCATCCACGATCCTCCCTCCCTACCCGCATCTCCAAATCCAAAACGAGTCAAATCAACAGACCGCCATTCAGCTACTCAACCAGGTAAGAATCCTCCCCCTATAGCCGTGAGTTCTTTCGGAACTCAGGCATCATGTTTTGAATACATTTTATCAATTGGAATCACTAACCCAATGCTAGGCCCTGCCAACTCAAGCGGTACTGCGACACCAACGCCTCTCACCGCACCGATACATCTCGACCTCTACCCCCATCATCACACCATGGCCGCCACTCCCGCCGAGATCACAGCATCCTGTCCTCCGCTGCAGGTGCAGCTTCTCTCAGACAAAGCACGCGCCCCGACACGAGGCAGTGCCTTCGCCGCTGGCTACGACATTTATGGGTACGTCTTCTCTCAATTGGCACCGAAATATCAAACAACAATAACAATAGACTAACGTCTCCAGTGCCCAAAACTCTATCATCCCCGCCCGCGGCAAAGCCATCATCGAAACTGACATCGCCATCGCCGTCCCCGCCGGCACCTATGGCCGCGTCGCCCCGCGCTCCGGCCTCGCGGTGAAGCACAGCATCGACGTCGGCGCGGGGGTGATCGACGCCGACTACCGCGGGCCGCTGAAGATCCTGCTGTTCAATTTCTCAGACGTAGACTTTGAGGTCAAGGAGGGCGATCGGTTGGCGCAGTTGGTGGTAGAAAGGATCGTGACACCGGAGGTGGTGGTGGTGGGGGAGTTAGAGAAGACGGTGAGGGGGGTAGGTGGGTTTGGGAGTACCGGGGGGTTTGGGGGGAATGGCCCGGCGGCGGCGTAGGTGGGCTTAGCTTTTTAGTATGACATGCCTTTTCGGTTTTGGAAGGAGTATCTGGGGACGGCGAAGGAAGTCTAGGTGCTTCGAGCATATATAGATCAAAGGAGTACATGGGTATGAGTTTATCATCGTCCTTCCTCTCTCGGAGGCTCTCCAACCCCTCAGCTCCAAACAACCTCGGTGTTGATTGCCCACAATCCAATACGATTACACGCCAAGTTTCATAGCCTCTATTTCCTCCATTTCCACAGCCCTCGCTTTGAACTTCTCCAAGTGGGGTGGGTTTCTCAAATCCTCCTGGTTCCGGATCAACCTCACTTCACTCGCCTTCATCTTCGCCAAATGCCTTTCCTTGTCTGCTTTTCCTTCTTCCCGAATCCCCTGTTCTCTATTGATACCCTGATCCCATGCTGCCATCTCTACTTCCATCGTTTCATACGTCTTCGCCAACACTGCTTGCATACTCGCAAGCACTTTCTCAGTAGATTTCGCCAACGGCAACTCCGTCGCCGGTACCTCATCCGGCGATTGCCAACGCGCGGTATTCGTGATCGCCGGCTCGGCGTGCGCAACCGCTTCCCGCAGCCGTGCCACGGTGAGCGCGGCGAACATGTCGCCGGTGCCCGAGAAAAAACACGGGATCGCGGGGATGTCGATCCGGAAGAGACGGGGGGTGTGGTCCGATTTGGCGGTGGAGCCGACGATGGTCATGGTTGAGGAAACGGTAGAGGGGGGCGGGGTGTGAGAGGGGGTGGTTCGTGCGGATGTCAACGTGGATAAGTCGCCATCCTTCAGGCGGAGAGAGGTGATGATGATATGCGGGATTTGGTACTCTCGGTGGAGTTTTTCGACAGCTTGGGTGAGATCGCTTATGGAATTGATGGTGGACTCGGAGAGAAGTCTATATGGTTAGACTTGGACGTCTAGACGGGAGATGTGAGACATACTCGACTTCAAACTGGTTCGGGAGTATCAGGTCTGCTTCGCGTAGCAGTGACCGATAGACGGGTACTTCATCTTCTGGGATGTACAACCTGCCTTCATCGCCCATCACCGGGTCCATCACTCCTTCAGTTAACCTCAGCACCAGGTCGACGCAGGTTCAATACGTACCCCAGAAAAAGGACCCAGGATTCATCATCGAGCGTAACCGGAGTTCTCGTCCGATCTTCCCGACGGTCGCTACTCCCTCGGCACTAGGAATATATCCCGACAGCAAGACATCGAAATCATCGAGGTGGGATTGCTTGAGGCCTTCAAACAGCTCTGCTATTTGCTCTGCGGAGGTTTTGGTTCCCTTGATTTGCTTGTATGCGGTATGATTGCCTATAGCGAAGACGCCGTTAGATCTATCCCCGGCACATCGTGGAGACGGATACTTGCTGTAGTGGACGGTATTAATCGCGGAGACTTCGCAGCCGAGTAGCTGGAGAACGAAAGTGGCCATGGTATTTCCAACGTAGCTGAGAACGACATTGTCAGAGCCGTTACGAATGGCAATTGGTATTTGAGTTCTCACCCATAGGTGACCTGCAAACTGTTAATATACCGAAGCGGATATATACTTTCGGCGCTGTCTTACATGGCTAGCGATAGCCAGGACCTTGGTCTCCGGCACCAGTGTCAGGGCGGACATCGTCTATTTACTTTCAGGTCTATGACCCGTTAATCTATCAGGAGTATGTATAACAAATTCCAAAGGCCAGCATTAAAAATATTAAGGGAAATATCACCTCGCCGAACCTGGGAAGTCGATGAGTCGAATAGCACTTACCATCTTTGTCACACTTCCATCGAACAGAAAAACGAAGGGTTCGGGCCGAGCCGATCGGCCGATGCTGGGATTCTCGGTCCACCTGCCGAGAGTGTGGTCCGAAATATCACGGGTAGAGAGAGGAAGTTCTTGAGGGATTTCCACCAATACAGTAATAGAGTTAAGTCTCAGCATGTGTATACTTAGTAGCCAGTGAATGGCTAGGACAGCAGAGATAGCCATCAGGCGAACTCCTGCTACACGTTTCCACCAATTTAGGACCGATGGTCATTGAAACTACTAACTCCTATAGCCTCAAGCCCCTACAAGATGGCAGAAATATATCTCATCAGTCTAGTTTAAGGAAATACTGTATACCAATGCACCCAACTCCACCCATCACGCTTCGATAGGTCTCAGTCTGAAGTCGCTTCCAAATCGTCAATCATCAGAGAGTGTATGCTACTCCGATGCTTAATGGCACGCAACCGACTTCGTCGATGAAGAGCTGGCAAAAGCCATATAGCCAAGAAATGCGCCCACCGCAACAGCTAGCATCACCCAGCCATTGTATGTCATGAAGAGAAGCCTGAACGGTCAGCTCGACCCATCCCGTAGGACATTGCCATTCCCACTTACATTATGAAGAACGAGTAGAACACTTGCACGGCATAAAATAACCCTTTGACCAACTTCGCTTTCTTCTCTTCTTGCACAACCGATCTTCCTAGCCACGGGAATGAGCGCGGTTCGTTATCAGGATCGCCTTCGGAGAGGAACAACTGTCTCAGCACGGGGCGTCCTAAAGAATACGAGGGGGGTCGCGGTTCTCGAGAAGTGCTCAAAGGCAGTGTCGAGCGGTGTCCACTCACTATGTAAAGCCTCTATCCGCCGCTCCGATCGTGCCTCATATCTCCTCGCGAGCTCTCGGACAAGCTCATAGCCTGCGGTGAGCAGGATGACGCCGACGAGGGCGCCGATTAGGGAAGCGGTGTTGTGGACGCGCCAGCTTTTGAAGATTATGCAGAGGTTGTTTGTGTCCCATGTGAACAGCATCTATATTATGGATTGTCAAAGGTGGCGGGGGAGACAAACAAAGCGGGGGCTTACATTCATGCTGCACATGGGCGAGTCATGTCCCTTGTGTCCGTGGTCCATTTTGAAATTTATGAGGTCGTCGGATTGTCAAGATGCAGTAACAGAAGGTAGTAGAGCAGGAAACTAATGTATTTAGTAGTGGTATGGTTTGGAGCTGGTTAAGGGATCATTCGAGATGCATGTTGTGATCGGACGACCGATGAGGCGGACGAGACGAGTCAGACGTGAGACGACAGTGATGATGGTGCACGGACCTCGTATATCAAGCTTCTCCTCCCTAAGTTCTATCTCCCTCTCTAACTTGACTTCTTTGAAGCACTTTTCGTGGATGTACGATTATGTACACAGATCTATTGCTGCTGGCAAGTTTTGTAAGGGGTTCACAAATTGGGCTTGTCACATGACACATCGATTCTAATATTATGTCCACTTTCCACAGTCCTCCCAGGTATCTAAGTCTGTCCCTACCACCTACTATTAGTACAACAGAAGTCCCTGGTCGAATTGACCTAGAAGGAGGTAGCCAAATGAGTGAGATATGTCAACATACGAAAAAGCAAAAGCTTGTCCACCTCGGTAGTGACCCTGAAACCCAAACGAAGGTTTACGAATTATTTTTCTATGGCACTCTGGAGAAATACTCAAGGCACTAATTCAGGACCGATTTTGTTATGTGATGCTAGCCCCTGGAATCGAAACCGCGTACACAGGATTCGAACCCACGTACACATTTTACAAGAGAAACCCGGCCTGCGTGTCGAAACTTGAGAACATGATGCGAAACTGATGCACCACACTCCAAAGCCACCCACATACAACTGGATTGGTAGATTGGGGGATATAAATCGAAACTGCTTTTGCCCTGGATTCATATGTCTCCTAGTCACCGAGTTCACCTTCCTATCTGCAATTTGTTTGTTTATCAGTCATCATCTGTTGACTTGGCCTCGTTATCCATGTCTAGATGTCTAACTGCAGTATTTACTTTTGCGCAACCATCTCACAAGCGTATACATGGTGTCCTCTATTCTACTGTCCTTTTCTATCATCCTAGTTCCGACATCGACTAGAACAAGTCAGCAAGTGAGCGTCCTCCGTCCTCTCTCGGTATCTGGATTTTTCTGGTGGTTTTCATGAATGTTTCACATGCTATCTTCTCATCACTCTTATTATGTCTAGTTCAGTCGACCGAATAGCTACTCGTTAGTATTTAATAAGGGCCTACCTCGCTCCTTCCCGTCAACCAACCATACAGTAGTGGCGCCGTAACGTCAGGCACGATCACATTTCCTATTGATGCTCACGTTTAGTTTACTCTCAAGATACCTATACTTGCTCTCAATTGCCATAACAGTGTAATGCATGCACCGCCACTGTAGTCAATATTGATATATTCAAACAGTACCCAAAGTCCCTACTATTTACCTTGATTCATCCCCGTCCACGCGATGTATGAATTCGACGCTTGCTATGAATCTCTAGGGCAAGACCACCGCGGCGTCGAAGAGCTTGTCGCCTTGTCATGTGACGTTAGAGAACCCGATCACTCTTCATATCGACAAGATCGCTTCCGCCTCGTCTTTCGACTTAGCGATAATCGTTGCTTATTCCTGTCCTCACGCCCCTATATTCACCGGAATGATGATACGTTACGTCCCCTGCGACTAGTACTCGACTGTAACGCGGGAACGTCGCCCGATGTATATAGTCACCGGCTGCTAGGCGGGTGCGCCTCGCCATTGATCCCTCATTCGGTCTGGAGACGAACTACTGTTAGTCGAATCGTGTCCTTCATCAAGACGCAAGTGCTGTGGTTTACCGTCCATATGAGATAGACACGACTGGACGGTTATTCCTGTAAGCATGGATATTAAGCCAACCGTTAACCCGCACCTAATAGGAATTCAGGTTCTCGATCATCCGTCAATTGACATATGAAGCCGTAGTATGCTTCCCGGAGGGAAGGGAAATGACATTGGCCAAGTTCAAGAACTTCTTTTCCCGAAAGTTTCATGAGGATGGGATTCATCAACACGGTCCTCTGGGCAGCGGCATTTTCGAAAAGTCTACTAGGATTGGCATTTTCGAAAGAGAGACGCCGATTTGTACATGCGGTGATGAAAACGGACAACCTGTGAAAGCCGAGAATTGGTCCCCGTCCATGGTGGTTGGGATGCCCGAACACCCAAATTCCCAACTGTGGCCATTCTTGCGCTCACGCTTGCCAATATCCGCCGTCACGTCGGAACCTAAACAGCAGAAACAAGAAAGCGCTTTAGACGTTGGCGAAAACAATGAGCAGAGTCCACGCTTGCCAACACTCGCCACCAGGTCGAAACCTAAATGGAAGAGACGAGGGAGTGCTTTAGACGCTGGCGATGACAATACGGAGAAGCCACGCGTGCTCCGATCTACATCTCGAGTGTGATAGTGTCACCGTCTTTATTACAAACAAGTAAGATATCACACTACCAACCCATGCATTATTTTGGGTGTATTAGACTGGCCGCCTTTGTGTTCGCCCTGACCTTTCAAAGTCATTGGGACTTAGCACGGTTCTTCTTCCAGCAAACCTGACGATCTCCTACTGTCCAAATCGAACTCGCGAAATATTATTATCATTACTTCCAATGTCTCGCCTCTACTTCCAGTGTCTTACCTCTAATTCCAATGACCTACCTCTAACTGCCAGTGTCTTCCCTCTGAACTCTCCCTTACTTGTGTAGCAACCAAAGGTTGTAATAAGACAGTAGTATGCCCCTCTATCAACCGCAGCGTGCATGCCCCTATATATCCCACTGAGCCGACTGATCCCACCGTCCATTTCTTGTTCACCATCAAACTACCTTAGCACCATGGACATCCACTCCTCATCCAATCTCGACTACCTGCACAACCCCTGCCTCGTCAAGGATATCTTCATCGCCTGCTACGACGCAACCCCCCGTTTTACTCGAAATCTCCTATCCCCACAAGCTCCCCTCCCGCAACCTGTTCGTCCTCATCCTACATCTCAGAGAGGGTGCGCTGATCCGGCTTGTTCTTCTCCCAAAGGGCCCCTGTGGCCCTTCCGGTGTGATCCAAGGGATGCGCGTCGAAGAAATCGAGACGTTGAGCTCTGGCACGGGGGCGCCGCGCCGAGTGTGTATCGGCCCTCCGTCTCGCTTTTATCCTTCATGGCTCGGTCATATGGCCGCCTGCTGGGGCCGATTGTCGTGAGCGTTGGGATTATCATCGGAAGAATCTGGTGGGTGAACGAGACGCGGGGTGATTATGGGTTGAGTGGCTACTACGGTCGAAGCAGGATGTATGCGAGTCGGATATATTGACGTCACGTCCTCGGAGGTTTTTGCTGACTTTGTTAGATACCCGACCTTGAACGCATTGAACGCTGGAATAATTCTGATGGCTGAGTCGAACGATCCCTCCTCATTCCTATCTAAGAAGTACGGCTCGGAAGTCGTTACTCCATGGCCGCGAGCGGAGTAAGATTCGGTAATATCCAGACTACGGAGATTTCCACACTATGGAGTGCCGCCCATCGATCAATTGACGGGGACACATAGAGTGCAGTTATGCAGAATGAAATGCCATTGATATGCGACTCTAACATGATCCTATCCCACATGTGTAATCCTACGCCGCCTCTATCACATACATACGACCGGGTATTCGCCGCTTACACACGTCCCCGCGAATGAATTACACACCGTAGCGAGCTCCGTCATCCTACCGTAACGTCCTCCATCGCCTAATGCTACTCATGGCTTCGAACTGGAAACGGTCCCAATACCCTGAAAACGATATGTATGATTCAGTTCCGTCTACGCGAAATAGCTCTTCCACAACACGCCTTCCAAATCCGCCAGCTGCTCCGGCTCGAACGCCTATAAAACCCCGTTAGTTCCAATTCCCAAAGTGCAATATCGCAACGAAAAAAAAAGAAAGAGATGAAAACAAGTAAGGGAAAAAACTCACCTTAACATCCACATGCCACGTATCCTGCCGTGTCTTTTTAAAATCCGCCAAAATCCCCTTCACGCTCTTCCCCACCGTCCCTCCATCTCCACTCGCCTTCGTTGCCAACGTCGCCAACACTTCCGGCAACCACCCCGGCGGCGGACTATGGTACGGAAACGCCTGCACCAGCGCCCCCAAACCCAACACCGCCGCGTGCCGCCCGATGGTCGTCTGCGCCTGCGCGGGCGTCGGCGTCCCGGGGACCCTCCGCTTCGGCAGCGGATTCGCGGCGAGCATCTCGGAGAAGCGGGCCTTGAGGGTTTTCACGACGGCGTCGCGCTTGGCGATTGGGGAGCAGCGGATCATGCCGGAGAGGGTGGTCGAGGCGCCGAGGCGGACTTCGTATTGAGGGTCGCGGAGCATAGCGGAGACACTATCGAAGAGGGTTTGCTGGTGGGCGGGGGACATGAGGAAGAGTTCGCGGTAGAAGAGGACTTGGATATTGATAAGGATGCGAAGACGCTGGTGCCAGGAGGAGGCGGTGTTGCCGATGGAGATGAGGGAGGCGATGAAGGGGCCGTCTTCGCCCGCGCGGTGGGGGACGTTGGCGATTTGCTTGTAGACGTGGTATGCGAGGGATTGGAGCTCTTGATCTTCTTTGATGTCCATCATGTGGAGGAGCTCGACCGTCAGCTGCGTGGGGATGAACGGGATCAATTCCGTGCACTCGAACGACGTGAGTGCCGAGTCCAGCCACAGAAGCACCGTCTTGCCGCCTTGCGTGTACGACGACGGCGACTGTTGTCCCGGTTGGCGCTCTGCCCGCCACTTTTGCAGGCGCTCGAAGATGTCGTTCATGGTTGCCGTGAACTCCTCGGTGGGCTTATATGGCTGTAACCCAATTGACCCCGCCTCTTTCTGCGCGTTCACTAACGCCGTCACATTAGGATACGACTCATGATACCGCGTCCGATAGATCGTCGCTAGCGTCTGCCCCATCGCCTCGCGGACACCCTTATATGGATGATCCAGATGTGCCAAGAAATCTTCGAGGATCGGCTTCTCCAGCTGGAAATGCCACCCTGTCTCCAGAATGCACTGTTGCAGCGCCTGAATCTTCGAGCTCTCCTTGAACGCTGCGTTCGACGACATGTCCAGCTTGAAGCTCGCCAACCAGTCCACCAGCGGCCACGCCCGACGCGGATCCTTCGACTGGAATGCCACGTGCAGGAACGTCTGCCAGTACGACGACGTCTCGGGCGACAGCCCGTCGCGCAGGATGCCGCGCACGATCGGGAACGCGTACTCCCAGATCTCCACCTTCTGCTCCTTGGGTAGGTAGTCCGCGCATGAGATCAGTCCGCCCATGATCTCCGCAGTCGCGCGATGCTGGTGCTTGTCGCTGCCGTCGCCGAACACCGTGCCGCTAAGCTCCTGGATATCCGCAAATGTTGCAGTCGTGAGACCCGCGAACACGAGCTCGAACGCCGCGGACAGGGTGTACGCGGACGACACGCGGAACCGGTCGCTGTGCGGATCGCGCGGCTCCTGCTTGATGTATGAGAAGTACGTCGAGAACCACACCCGATCGAGATGCTTCGCGATCGTCTTCCGTACCTTATCCTCCACGTCGTCGAACTCCAGCGCCGGGCGATCGGGCAGAAACCCGGTGATCTCCTTCTCCCAGACGAGCCACCCGCAATGGTCCCAATCGATGTAGAAATTCACGTCCGGCTGCGCGAACCGCTTCAGGAAGCTCTCCGTCCAGTGCGGATCCGACGAGTTCGTCGGCGCCTGCACCATATCCGGCACGTCCTCTTTTAGGAGTAGCCAGTTCTTGTAGCTGTGCTTCGCCACTGCCCGTGTCTGCACGAGCCCGAACAGCGCTAGCAGCGCCCCGGAATATAGCGACCGCAGGCTCGGATGCTGGTCGACGGCGCCCTTCGCCAGCATCTCGATGAGCGGCTCGCTCGCGATGAACTCGAACCGCATGCCGAGATTGATCACGATGGCGGCCGCGCGGGACGCTTTCTTCCAGTGCGCCGTCTTCGCGACCTCGAGCAACTCGGCCGCGAGCTTCGCTTTGCGCCCTTCGATCTTTTGCCGCTTACCCGCGATCTTGTCGCCGCGCCGCTGGATCTTCACCGTCATGCGCTCGACGTGTTGCTCGTCCGCGTCCGTGGTCGTCAGCAGATCCTTCACGATATCCGCGTCGACGATGACCATGCGATCGGTGGGCTTCCCCATGTCCATGATGGGGAACGCGGCGTTCGCGGCGAGTTTCTGCACGGACGGCTTGTCGACGCCGGTGACCTCGACAAAGCACTTGATGAGCCGCGGGGTGAAGCGCCAGTCTTTACTGATGGTCTTAGCGAGGGAGCCGAATAAGAGGGAGTAGATGACGCCCTTGATGCGCGGGTAGTCTTGCGCGGCGATGGCCGTTTCGAGGGTGTCGAGGAGCGGAGGGACGACGAGGGGACGGGATCCGATGACGCATTTGACGGCGTTTTCGTTGGCGGATTGGGCGGTGCGGCGGATGTCGGTGTAGAGGGAGACACTGGACTTGGCGAGATCGAGGAGGAGCATCTCGTCGAGCTTGGTACGGAGGCGGGGGTTGGCGTTGTGTCTCAGTCGTTGGAGGTGGTAGACGTTTGCTCGTCTTGCTAGCAGCGGCCTGGGATATTCCTTCCGTATTCCACTGAACTTGAACGGCAGGATATCTGCCGAGTAGAGCCTCGACACACGATCCAGGACATGAGCCGACCTCTCGATGCCAACATCGACGAACCACGACTTGTAAGCCGTGTACAACGCATTGAAGCAAGCCACATCATCCTCCTGTTTCTCCGAAAGGAACACATGGACCCGATGCAGTGTCTCACCGACATCCCTTCGGAGCTGGTGGATCAGTTTATACTGGTCTCCCTCCCGGTCAAGCGAGTATCCCGTTTCATACTGAAACGTCGGCTTCACCTCCTCATCTTCCGCCTCACCCAAGTTCGCCTCGGTCTCATTCGCATCGCTTTCCGGCTCCTCCGCTGCGGGATCTTTCATGACGATGTCGGTTGACCCATTCGGTAAGTCCGTGTCGCCATGTCCGGCCTCAATCTCATGGATCTCATGCGCCGGATCGAAGAGGACCGAAATTCCCGACAAAATCAACCGCAGAAGCACTAGATGGCGCGACACCTCGTCGCTCCAATCTTTCCCCGTGCCATCCCGTTTTGTCGGCGGATTCTCGCTCGTCAACGCCGTCAACGACTTCAGCGCATGCCGCGTCTCGTTCTGAAACACCTCGATCGCGAACTCGATCTCCGCCGCCTTCGGCACGTGCCAGCTGATCTGCATGTTCTGCTTATCGGGAAGCTTCCCCCAATCGGCGGGCGTCAACCCGCGCTCTAACTCCGCCTTCTCGTAGATCGAGAAATCGATCGTGTAGGTCACCGTCAAGTTGAGCAGCAGATGGTGCACGAAATTCGAGATGTGGACTGTCGGAATCCCTTTGCAGGATTTCTGCATGTGTTCCGCGATCCCGATCAGCTCGTCCTTCCATTTCAGCACGCTGTCTCCCACGTGCACCACGCACATGCTTAATAGACTGATATTCCAGACGAGCGCGCGGTCGCGGGGGAGGACCTCGGATCCCGTGGTACGGGTGGAGCCAGCGCCGTTGTCATCGATCTCGGTGCGGATGCCGGCGATGAGGGTGGGGAGGAGGCGGTCGAGGGCCTTTTTGGGGTTGATTTTGACGAGGGCATTGCAGATGAACGCCATGGCGTCGCGGGCTTGGTGGATGACGTGGTTGCTGACGAACTGGGCGATCTTGTTCAGCGCGATGTCGTAGAGCTCGGGGGAGAGAGTTGCGAGGAGCGGGGTGAAGGTCGCCGGAAGGGTGTTGACGACGCTCTCCTCTGGCGATCCGCTCTTAACTCGGGATGAGTCTGGTAGATTCTCAAGGAGGGTGAAGACTCGGCCGATGAATTGCATGACGAACTCCGCGAGTCCCATCGTAGAAGACCGGAGGATCGCTTCCTCTTGTTCCGGCGTCATCTCCTTCTCATAGTCGATCTCGATATCCCCGCCTTCTTTTTCCAGTCTTTGTAGCTGTTCTTGAACCCACAACACCGCGGTACCTTCCGAATCCTCGGTCGAATACGCTGAATTCTCCTCGCCGTTCGGAATATTTTCATCCGTGTGGGGCTTCTCTTTCGTCAGGTCGCAGAGTGGAATGCAGTAGCTCACATTTTGGATGTAGGCCAGCGTCTGCAACGTCTTCTCCAAATCGTTCGGATCGATACCGGGGAGACAGAGCCCTAATAGGGACATGACATGGCACCGATATCCTCGCGTGCGCGCCATGACCTTCGCGAGCATCTGGAGCGCTCGGATGGACGAAATCGTGCGATGGACCTCGACCAACCCCTGCAGGGCCGGGTAGATCCTCTGGAGCGCGCCGGGGATGATTAGATTGGGTTCGAGGTACGCGAGGCTCTGCAAGCTCGACAGCGCGTACGAGATTGCGGCATGGCTCTTCGAGAAGATGGTCATGAACGTCACCTCCCGCAGACACAGGACGAAGCGCCGCTTCACCTCGTCGGTCAGCCGGCGGCCTTCCGGGACTTCCATCTCGCCGCTGTGCTCGCGGTTCCAGCGCATGACGAAGAAGTCGGTCAGGTAGTATACAAGCTGTGAAAGCGAGCGCGTCCAGCTCCCGGAATTGGAGGGGTGGAAATACGTTTCCACCGCTTCGATCAGTCCTTCCAAATTCGACAATATCGATCGCTCGTTATCCAGGCACGCTGGGGAGAGGGACATCACGATCCATCGAGCGATGTTATGCGTGATGGGATGCTTTCGAGGATCCCGCTCTAGGAGCGCCGCCAACCCCGACGTGTTATCCACATGTGAGCTATACGGCGACGAGGACTGGACGAGTGGGATCTCCAGCAGCCGCAAGATGGCCGTGAAGATCAGGTTCGATTGGTCTTCGGTGTAGATGCCATGCTGCGACCAGGGAAGATGCTCGGTGATCAGACAATCCCTCGCGAGGCGGGAGAGCAGGTCCAAGAAATGCATGTCGAACACCCGCGACCGGTTCACGAGCGACCAGAGATGGAAGAACGTCGGCATGTAATGCTGCGGCTGGAGATCCGGCCGATCTTTCGGGCCCGGGGTGGTGGGAAACAGCAGATTTAGGAGGCCGACGACGGTGAAGGCGCCCTCGGTGAAGGAGGTGGTGAAGTGCGGGAGGAACTCCTCGAGCATGGCGGGGATCTCGCGCGGGTCGAAGTAGAGTTGGGCAAAGGTGCACATCTTGTTGAGGGTGCGGACATTGCGGCGGATGGCGCCGCTGGACGAGCCACCGGTGCTATTGGGGAGGACGAAGATTTTGAGCTCCTTGAAGAGGGGACGCCAGTCAAGGGTGAGGTCTTTTCCGTTACGGAGGTAGTGTTTTCGTCTGGACGGATGGTCAGTCAGTTTGGGCGCTGGCAAGGCTGAGCGATAGGATGTCAACATACTTTGTCAGAGTCATAAATGTGCCCGCGAATCTCTCCGCCGTCAACACTTCCAACCCCGGAGCCAGTGCCAGCTCATAATATAACCTCACCAACTTCACCCTCGTGTCTCGCGGCAAGTCGAACTTCAACGACAGCCATCCTCGCAGCTCCCTCGTCCAATGGGTCGCACCAGGGGCGAAATCCCCTGCCGACACAGCGACATACAGATGCTCGACGATGGTGTTCAAGTTCTGCTCGTGTTCCTTGGTCGTCTCGGTCGGATAGGGAAGATGCTTGAAGTACGGAAACGTCCGTGGTCGCGATCGGCTCTCCTTGGGGCGATCGAGGCCGTTGGGAACGTTCGATGCATCGTGCGGGTTGCCTCCGGGGGAGGTGGCACGTGAGATGTCGGAGTTTAAGCCTATGCCAGAGTATGTGCTCACCAACTGAGCTATTCTATCTGCTCCTGCCATGGTCTGCCGTTGTCGTGGACCTCACTCAACTGCGGAGCTGTCGGGGGAGTGGTGTGTGTGTAGGCAGAACAGCTCGGACTGCATGAGAGAGTCCGGAGATGTGGACAAGAGTATGGATTGAATGGGGGAATCCGGATCGGATGGTGAGGGAAGAGGTATTGATTGGATTCCAGAAAGAAGAGAGGAAGGAGCGATCAGGCTTTGAGACGGTGAGATGGTGGGTTGGATGCAGTGTGATCAATGGTAGCAGTAATCACAACAGCAGCAGGTGCATGTGTCGTTCGTTACTGCAGTGTACGCTGGACTGCGGTGCTTCAAGTGCAAGGGGAAAGAGCTATGGCCACTTCTGTGCTTCCAGTTCTGTACCAGTGCCGTCCAGTGGAGGAGTCCAAAAGTGAGGCAGTAAGGCAGTGAGGCAATACCGCAGCAAGACTGCCTGATGCTAATGTCACTCAACAACTGACCTCTCACAGCAAAGTATTTCCCAACACAGAAACTCTCGCTGCACAGAGGGCACAGTTGAACCACCCTTCTGGATATTTCACCTGCAGTCGGCGCTTATCCGCAGAACCCGAAGCGAAAAAGAGAAAGAGATCGGTCGAAAATCAAAGAACGAGCGGCTGTTCGGGGCGTGAGCCGCTATTTGAGGTTTTCGAGAAGCTCAGGCATCAACGTCAATACGCAAGCAGACGAGACCAGAGCACACGACCAGGGCGGAAGCCCAGAACGCGTCGCGGGTTGACGGCGAAATCGGCTCCTAACATAATCCTCTACCTTTTTAATCTGGAGGATTTAGTCAGACGAAGCCGCCTCCCTCGGATTCGAATCTACACGTAATTCCGGAGCCTAACCGGCGCTGAACTGCTGATTCACCGCATCCGCAATGTCTTACTACGATGTGGACGCCATCTTGACCGATGCACAGGCAAGCCAACCCGCATGCCCATCACGAGAAAAGATGCTAAGTTTTGGGAAATAGAAAGTACCGTGTACCTTCGAGTTGACGGTTCCTGGATTGGGTCACCTGGAAGGCAACCCTGGTGCTGAAGTGCGTTGCTATCCCCCATCCTCCATTTCTTCTCTGACGAATATACAGGTAAAAGAAGGCACCAAACTCGAGCTCCCCCTGTGGCTTGCGCAAATGCTCGCAATCACGTAATGCTCATAACATAGTATTTCCTATCTACCTCCCGCTAACCAACCACAGCCCCGCCGGCACCAAACCCGGAATGATTACCCTCGACCTCCCCGACTCTCTCTCCCAGAAAGTCACCAACGCCCTCCGCGCCGACCCACGCACCGTCGAGCTGCGGTCGCTGGCGCCGCATTTCTTTAACTTAGGCACGCGGATGCTGGATTTGTTTGAAGAGGAGGAGTTGAGTGATTTGTTGACGGAGGTGAGTCGCATCCCATCCGAGCACGATGGGCTGGAATGCAGCTTGGGTGATGTGGATCCGAATGGCTGACGTTGATGATCCATTGACTAGTCCTTCAAACTCCGCGCGAAGGAGTTGGCGGACCATGCGCATAATCCGCGCGGAGCGCTCGGGGAAGGGGCGGAGTTTCTGCAGGGGTTGGACGAGAATGAGCGGCGCTGTAAGTGCACCACTTTCCCATCTTGATTCTCTTTATGGTCCAGTCATCTGATGCAAGATAGTGTTTCGTGCAACGCATGAAGGCGCCAAAGCCGTCCGGGCATGGCTGGTGGGGATGCAGAAGAAATAATCTATCTTTAATGGATGGCGCGGGAATTGTGTCGAGCAAGTAGTCCGTGAAAAGACCGTTCATTTCTGGAGAGCTTGGAGGATGGTTTGAGCTTGCTCGGCAGAATAACCGAAGAACACCGGTCCGTTGAAGATCATCTGCGGCCGCTTCGCCCCGTCGTCCTGCTGGGGTTGAAGGAGCTTCTGGCCATCTTCGTCCATAACCACAGCATGTAAGCCGTTTGGCTTGTCGGCCGAAGCGAGCTTTTCAGTTGCCTTTCCCAGCGGGCATCCACCCTTATCTGCGCCCTTCGATTCCTCCCGTTGCCGAGCCTCCGCCTTCTCCTCATATTCAACCGGGATCGGCACCCCCCACGGCCGCGTCGGCGACTCTCCCAACCGCACCTCCCGCAGCGGCCGATCGAACCGCTGCTCTCTCCCATCCTTCACCTCCGAGCCATCCCTCCGCTCCGGCTTGCGCACCTCCTCACTCCACTGCTGCACCCGCTCCCCGCTCGCCTCCATCTGTAACTCCTCCTCCTCTTTCGGTGGTAGCAGATCTTTGTGCTTCACGCTCAGCCCCTGGATCATGCTCACCATATTCCCATACTTCGCATCCAGCCGCCGCACGCTGTCGGAATTCGTCTGATACCTCCGCACACACACCTCGTGGCTCCGCGGGATCTCGTGCTTGTGCTTTTGGAAGTACTCCGCGATCTCCTCCGGGGAATGGAGGTCGAGATACCGAATCGGGCACACCGCCGTGGAGCTGTCGCCCGAGCCGGAGGGACAGGAGAAAGGGATGCTGGTGGGCGCGGCGGTGCCGAGTTCGGCGGCGATGGGGTCACCTACGGCAGAGCTAGCATCGGCGGGGTTTGCAGAGATATGGGCGGATGGGAGGGTTAGTTTAGATTGCCGCGACGCGAAGGGACATCCGATAGCGGGTTGAGCATTATTTTTCGGGGACGCGGGTTTCCCCGAGACGGGACAGCGGGCGGCGTTGTTCATCCCGTCAATGAGATTATTTGCTATTTGAATGTCCAAGGCTCGCTTTCTGCGGGTATCATCCGGGTGGTCTAGGAGGACGGACAACCAGTTCGTGCAGGTATCATGCGATGATCGTTGACATGGCTCTTTCTTATTGTCGATACACCCCCCTCGACTATGTAAGTGCTCTTCGATATCAGCCGGCTGTGAAGGGGTCCCTTGTGACCCGACCTAAGTATGCAGCGTCAGTGATCGGTTCCATCGAAGTTTGCATGGAAATTTCAGCGGCAGGATATTATATCAGAGAGTGTGTAAAGTGTAGTCGGTCACCGCTGCGTACAGCTAGCGATCTAGAGCTATGTTTGATCATCATAGAATATCAAAGGGTATATAAGTACGATAGGAATGTTCAACGCTTACCGGGCATCGTCCGTCGAGCTTTGCTTGGAGTGCACGACATTCCTGGAAAAGAACCTGCATCTCCTCGTTCAAGGCCGAATAGCCTCGAACGATTTCATCGAGTGTGGAACCCATGATGATATTATTGCAATCCGCTAAAACTTAAAAGTAGCGAAATGAAAAGGCATTAGTGTTCGTCAGTCATGATTGTCAGCTGTTGCCTCCGAGTTGAAATGTGAAGGAGGAGAAGAGATCAGCGGAAGTCGAAAGCAATATAAATACTAGTCACGTGAATCTCCACTTCGACATCCTACCCCTGCGCATCGTCCATTGAAGGAAATCTTGACTCTTAAGCTTCGTATCAAAACTCGAAAGTCCACCCTCTATCACACCACAACCTTCATCTACCCAACACCAAAAGAGCATGGAACCACACCACTTATAGTCGCTCGACTCTCTCAAAAGCGATGGCCTCGTCCTTTTCCCGCGCCTTCTGGCGCTCCCGCGCTTCCCTCCAATCCTTCCACCATCCCGCCCGTCGAGCTACCCTCACCACTACGTCGCACTCCACGCACCCGGAATCCTCGATCCTCTCTGCCCTCAACACGCGGACCACCAAACCCGCCAAATCCTTCCCACCAATTCCCCCGTTCCCCAAACAGCCGACATCCACCATCGCGAAGCAACCCTCCGCGACCTCGACTCCGGCAGCACAACCACCTGCCGCGACCGAAGCATCACCCCCGGAACCGAGCTCAGCAACCCCCAAGGAAACCTCCCAATCCATCCCCCAACTCCTTCCCCTCCTTCGCTCCCAACCTCCCTACTACATCCAAGCCCACATCCACGGCAAACCCTACCTCCTCACGCAAGGCGACACCCTCCGCCTTCCTTTCCACATGTCCGGCGTCGCCCCCGGCGACGTCCTCCGCCTGACCCGTGCTTCCGTCCTCGGCTCGCGAGACTACGCGCTGAAAGCGGGAAGCGCGCCGAAAACCGAGGGAGCAACGGCGCAGTGGGTGGATGAGCGGCTCTTTGTGTGCAGGGCGACGGTGATGGGGGTGGAGAGTGAGCCGATGCGGGTGGTGGAGAAGAAGAAGCAGAGGACGAGGAAGACGAAGCATGTTAAGAGTAAGATGAAGTTTACGGTGTTGAGGGTGGGGGAGTTGACAGTGAGGAGTTTGGAGGAGGCGGGGTGGACGGAGGGGGTATGAGAGATTGTTTCGTATACGCCTGTACGGCCATAGTGAATTTTTGGGCGCCAGAGAGCAACTGGAGAAGCTCGGCTCATAACTTTGTTGTACAGGACGTTTCTGTACGGGTGAATTGTATAAGCATCTAGCATTTTCCATATGTATCAACCCCTTCATGAGAATCTTCCGTGGGACAAGACTATTCATATCATTGCGTAAAACAAGATGGGACGCATTATTGTCTATATTTCAGGTAAAATCCCATGAACCCAAGGTCCTATTATGGAATTGTGCTACATTGGCCGATCTCGGCTGACCAGGACTACCAATCTCACTCCGTCACCACCACCGGAGTCCACCCATTCAGAACAAACGCCGGATTGCTATAATCCTGAATGATCTGCGCATCCTTCGGCAACTTCAACTGCCGCGACACATTGTGCCGTTTCGACGTATCCACCAGCACGCCCTCCAGATCCGTCGTAGCATACTCCCAGAATTTCACATTGCTCGTATCAAACGGCGGCCCCTGAATCGGGTCCCACCCCTCCGCCGACACCCCGCTCGTCTTCGTGTTGATCAGCACCATCTCCGCAAAGGGGAAGTTCGCCGTCGTGTTCCCCTTTCCGTTGTTCGGAAGGCGGCCGTAGACCGATTTGACCTTCTGGCCGGCGGGGTTCTCGGGGGTGACGGTCCACGGCAGCGGCTCGTCGATGGCGGCGAGGGTGGAGTTGACGAAGACGTTGCCGTGGCTGCCCTCGGGGGTACGGGTCCAGGTGAAGGGGCCGATGGAGTCGATGCGGCTGCGGAGGTAGTAGACGGCGGCGTAGCCGAGGACTGTGTCGCCGTGGCCGATGATGCTACTGTCGACGAAGTAGATGGTGCCGTAGGTGGTGAAGGCGTCGCCGGAGCCGTTGAGGGACACGTGGTCGATGATTATCCGCTCACCGCGGACGAGGAGGGCCTCGGCTTGGCCGATGAAGTAGTTGTTAATGGTGAGGCTGCTGAGTTGGATGTCCGTGGTGTTGTACAGGGTAAAAGCAGGACGTCTAGATGGGCCTCCGCGAGACGGATTGAAGGCGCTGTTATTGGGATATCCAACGATGGTCTTCTCACGGCTTTGGCCACGGATGACGAGGTTCCGCTTATTCTGGATGAAGATGAGCTCTTCATAGTTCCCGTCCTTGACATAGATATTTACGCGCTGAGCGTAATTTTCCGGAACGAAGTCCACCGCCCCCTGTACGGTGTTGAAGTCCCCACGTCCATCATTCGACACGGTCAAGCGCTTTGATTCGAGGGATGGGGGGAACAACTTGGTCGAGAAGATCCATGGTGATCGATCCGAGAAACCGTCAAACGTTCCTTTTGAGGCCTTCAACACCTCGGGGTCGACGGTCACCTTGTACACCCTCCCGTATTTAAGCACATTGTTATGCGGGTAGATAGTCGCAACATTGCCACGGACAATGATTGGGAAGAAATAGAAATCCAGACCGCCAATAATGTTGACCTGGTATGGATTTTTATCATTGGGATCTGCAGGGGGTGGAGATGTGGTTGATCCATCGGCTGTCGGAGCCCTGCCACTTGGATTCGGTGACGCCGGGATGCTCATGTTCAGCGTATCGACCACCTTGTTGGCGAAGACATCGTAAATCCGAATGAGTCCAGAGTTACCGATCTCCGGAGGGCTGTCAAATTCGAGGACAAGGTGCGTGTCCGGATTGACGGTGAAATCTCCCTGAGGTGGGAAGGTCTTCACCTTATTCTGAGGCTTGGTAGGCGGCGGATGGCCGTATGCGTCTTGCGCCGTGGCGTGGCCCAACGCCAAACAAATGGCGGTGATGGTTCCAATCTTCATGTTGAAGGGATCTTACGATTGCTTTGGAACAACTGGACAGGACCATGAACGCCATCTTGAGAAACGGACTCGAGCACCTATAAATAATTCAAAGGCAAGAGTAATTTGATACGGAGATATAACTTGAGTATAGCATGACTCGATATTATCTCGGTCTAAGCGCTGTACGAGAGTACGACAAGACGGACAAATACAAGTGAGATTAGATTACCTATCATAAATGGTAAACCCAAGTTAGCGGACTCCTCCATCACCACTTACCAGCTTCCCCGGATGTTGAAGTGGGTCAATTGTTGTCAAACCAGGCTTGCGATATGCTAGTAATCGAATACGAAAATTATACACCAATAGAAAGGACTCTGAGAATATAAACGATCGTTAAGCCATCGAAGACTACGATGGCATGCAGGCGGATGCAAGCACACCATCATGTCAAACATGCGATGACAACTGAACTGATGATAGGACTAGCCACTAAGGACTTGGGGTTCACGTCTGCCGACTGCCGACTGCCGATCGCTGTCCAATTGACAGAAAATACCTAGGCATCTTTCGCGCCTAAAAGAGGGGAGAAATCTTTGCAAGTCAAGCTCTCTACCCATACGCTTGACGCAGTTGAGAATGATGGGATTCTTCACCACTGATGGCAGAATACAGGAAGGAGGCGGAGATAGTGGTTCGACTAGAAGCTCCTCCACACTGTAGGTATGGGAAAAGAAGAACATTATGAATACCGTGGATTTTGAGGAGAGACAAGGAGTGATAAAAACATTGAATCCCAATTGAACGCACAAACATTCTGTGAGTGATTGTGTACGTATATTTGGCGGCACGAAAATCGATCTTGCATTAACTACTGAGTTGCAACTGCAAAATATTTAAGGCAATAAGGCAATAATCCAACTCGTGTGAGGCACCCAATTTTAGCGGACGACGGGGACAAATTGCGCTATCCAAGCAAGTTGAATGTTTGAAAGTTTCAACTTCATCTTGACCAGAAGCCACAGTCTCCAAGATACCCAATGCCGCATTATGGCCGAATAGTCCTCCGCCCATGGAGGCAATTGCCTCTTCGATATCCCAGACAATTACCCTCCCTCCAGCCTCTCCACCGACAACAATGGCGCAACCCCGCCGATTCTTCCCGAGGAGCTCTACTGCCTCCAACGCTCAACTATCGTTGCTATAGTTCGGCGAGCGCGTTTCCCTCCTCTACCGCGTCTGCCAATGGAAACACAGCAATTGCTCCTGTTACCGCCGTCAATGCCCCTCCATCCGTACCAGAACATCTCCGACCTCTCTACCAGGCTCTGGAAGGTCTCAAGACACATGCTGGGAGTTATGTCAATATCAGCCGGCTGCAATTGGCGCTTGCCGGTTTAAAGAGCGAGAAGCCGGCGTTGCGAGTTGCTCTATTTGGTACGGCTGGGACCGATAGCCCGAGGAAGCTGGCGAGGTTGCTGTTGGCAGATTCGTTAAAAGAGGAAGAAGGGTGGGAGCGAGAGGTGGTCGACGACCAGAGCGGAAATGCGGTGGTGATTCGGTATGGCGAACCGTCAGATATTGTACCGCCACGGAGTGCGATCCCGACGACACTTTCTTCATCACGCGTATTGAGGGATCAACGGCTGGAAATCCTCGTCTCAAACCTGGATATCCTCCGACCCTCCACGTCAGACACGCCGACCGACGCCATTCTGGTGCCAGCTGTTGAAACTCGGACGTCCACGACGGGCCTCACGAGTTTGATTACGTATCCGGTACATCGGGCAATTGTCGTTTTGGAAAACCTTGACGATGTGCTGAATTATGCTCGATACGTCCTAGCCCAGGATAGCCGAGATCTGCCACCGGAGATGGTGAAGATTGTGGTGAACATGAAAGAGCGTGGGATAGATCCCGGCCCGGCCGGAAACTCATCCTCAATAACGATGGTCAACCCTGAGATCGCCCTTTCTGGGTTGAAATCAATACGAGAATCCGTCGCCAATGCTCCCGAGGCAACTCAACTACTCAATGCCTCGAACCTCACTTCGCTCTCCGACTGGCTCACGAACGATTCGTCCTCGACCTCACTCGATCCAACAATTCACACCCTTATAACCTCCCTATTATCCGACACCCTCCATACCATCAACACCACTCCATCAACTCTATCCCCCACATCCTCCCCTCCCATTGACTCAACAACCCTCAACACCCTCCACCAAGCCCTCTCCACTTGGTCCGCCCAAGCCCACGCCCACCACCAATCCGCTCTTCCCCACCTCACCACCCTTCCCCTCTCCCGCCTCTCCTCCCCTCTCCTCCTTCTTCTCCCCCTCCGCATTGACGACGTCCGCTGGATTCTCGAAGACGCCGTCTCGCGGCACTACCTCGTCCAGCCCGAAAAAGAGCTAATCTACCTCACCGCCCAGCTCACACGGCTCGGACTCATGCCGGAGGTGCCGATACTCAGCGAGGCGGAGCTGAATGCGCAGGCGCGGCGGATGGCATGGTCGGATTCCGAGGCCGGTGCCCAAGGGAAATCGACCGAAGTCATACCCGATACACCGTCCGAGACCCCCCGCACATCCCTCCTGCCCCCCTCCACCAATCTAACCGCCGCCACCTCCTTCGCGACCCTCGAATCCCTCCCCCTACCACAGCTCCCCACCACCACCCACTCCCCACACCACCTCACCAATCCCCTCAACCTCCCCCCTCTCTCCCGCACCCACCTCCTGCACGCCATCCCCTCCCTCCACCGCCGCGCTCAATCCCTCCTCACCACCTTCCTCACCACCACCTTCCTCACCACCTCCCTCGGCGCCCTCAGCTACGTCTCGTTCGCCAGTGTGCGCGCCACCGATGCGGTCGTGATCGCGGGGCTGGGAGCGGTAGTGGCGGCGAGGCGGTTTGTGAGGGGGTGGGAGGGTTGGGTGGGGGGCTGGGAGCGGAGTGTGAAGGAGGAGGGGAGGAGATATGTTGGAATGATTGAGGGGGTGGTAAGAGAAAGGTTGGAGAAAGGGGGGAGAGAGATGGAAGGGAAGGGGGAGGGGGAGGATGGGGAGGTGAGGAGGGCGAGAGAGGCGGTGGAAGGAGTAGGGAGGGAGTTGGAGATGTTAAGAGAAAGGAGATGATCATGTATTTTATATGTGAGGGTGGGGTTGTATGATATAGATGTGCCGGATGGGTTTGCCATCGGTTGGATAAGGGCAGATGGAATGAAGACCTGTGCTCTTACTAGTCATATGTCAAGGCTTACTCGGCCTGATAACAATGGTTCGATCCATCGCGTAATCTCCCCCCTGCTCCATCCGTTATATGATACCCATAGGCATCGCCGCATCCTTTCATGTTACTTCACCACACCAAACTACCAGAATACTTCCACCTCACAACCGCACTCACTCCCAACCCGAGGCGCAGAATATATCTCTCAATATTCAACCTCAAATGCAAGCTAAGCATATACTATACTACACCTTCCGTCCGAACCCCCCATCCGATAACACTCCGGCACCTCACCATCCTTTAATTATCCCACAAATAAACAGCCCAGCACGAACGTGCCCCATCAATGCGTCCTGATTACCACCGTCCTCTCCCTCCATGAATCTACATTCCGCATCCCTATCTCTCCCACCGTTTTAGTCCGTCCTTTCCTACGATCGGAAGCCCACCACCTTGCTCATGCTCCACTCTTCTCTGCTCCAGTGTCCTCGCCTCCGCACGGTGGCACCCGACCCATCCTGCCCTGTCTCCCTTTCGTACATTCACCACCTTCACCATCCCAGCGTCATCGACTAGACTGGACCGGCTGTGCTGCAGCAATTTTCCGCCGCCAACTTACAACGTCACATCCATCGACGATTGTCTGCCACCTACGACGTCGCCGCATCCCCATTCACCGCCGGCGCTTGCGGCTGCTTCATCTTCAGCGTAAGCGGGTAGACATAGTCGTCCGGATCTTCTTCTTCCCTATAAATTTAAAATAATCAGCACTCATCTCATCTCTTCCCTCGCTTCTATGCTTCAAACCATGTATATGGACAGGGGACGTACGGCAATTTCCATGCGATGTAATCCTCCGTGCTGAGCCCTTCTCGGCCTTCTTGCAAGGAGGCGAAGTCGCCGGGGGTCATGAGTCCCGAGCGATCGCGCGGAGATCCAGGCTCGGAGAGGGGACGGGTAATTTTAACGCTATCGGTACCGAAGAAGTCGCCTTCGTCGGCATCGGTGTCGAAGGAGGCAGGGTATGCTGATTTGTGATTTACGTTAGCTGTGAAATGCGGGAGAGGGGGGGGAAATCGAGGGGGACGAACCTCGTCGTAAAGCCAGCTGCCGCGCCTTGACGTACTCCAAGCCCATCCGCTTCCAATCCAGCAGATCGCTCAACCGCTCGGTCCGGTTCCGCTGGTTGATACGCTGGCGCTTGCTTTTCTTGGTGAAGTCGAACATGTAGTTGGTGAGCTGGTTGACGCTGTCGTCGACACCCTTCATGCGGCGGTCGACGATGTAGATACCGTAGTCGGCGGCGTTCTCGATCAGCTCCTCCATGTAGCAGCCGAAGCCGGAGAGGTTGGTGGTGATGGAGGGGACGCCCATGACGGTGCATTCGGCCGGGGTGTAGCCCCAGGGTTCGTAGTAGGAGGAGAAGACGCCGAGGTGGGTGCCGCGGACGAAGTCGTCGTAGTCGAGGGGGAGGACGGGAGAGGCGGAGGAGAGGAACTCCGGGTGGAAGACGACCTTGACGCGGTCGGCGGGGTGGTTGAAGAGTTGGCAGCGGCGGAGCTGGTTGAGGATGGGGTCTTCGGAGTCGTTGGCCATGTTGTGAGTTACGATCGGGGGGAGGGTGTGGCGCTTCATGGCGAAGAGACGGCGGCGGAGAAGGATCTTGTCGGCGGGGGAGACCAGCTCTTTGTCTTCGGGGAGGTCCATGCCTTCGTGCCAGAGGAGGGACCGCTCGAAGAGCTTCTTACCGATGTTGTCGGTGACGACGTTGATGGTGTCGTGGAGCGATTTGATGACCGCTTGGCCTTTCAGGGCTTCGACGGTGAGGGAGTGGGTTTGCGCCGGCATGATGATGAACGCGACCACAGTGACGGGGGATCCGGCGGCCTTCATGCGGTGGTTAAGTCGGGCGAGCGACTCAATGAACATATCGACGCCTTTATTCCGATATTCGTAGCGGCCGGCAGTAAAGAAATACAGCGTATTGTCCGGGTCGAAGTCGTTGTGGCCGTAGAAATGCCCGCGCACGAAGTCAGTGATCTTCATCTTGTTCTGCTGGTGCAGGTTTTGGAATTCGTGGGTCGCGGAGAACTTCTTGACGTTGAGCCCGTTGGGTAGGACGCCGTCGGGCTTCCGCTTCAGCAGGTGCTCGCTCTCGAACGCGGTGATGTGCGAGACGGTGGTGAAGACATCGGCGGCGTGGGTGGCAGCGCGTTCGATGCAGTAGCGGTGGTAGATGCCGCGTTTCCCGGCTTCGGCATCGACGTCGAAGTATTGGAGGTTGTTGTAGAAGTCGACAGAGCCGGCGCAGAGGTATCGGCCGAGGAGGGTGGCGTGGGTGGTGAAGATGGTGGTGACGTCGATGCGGCGTTTCTTGCAGAGGGGGAGGGCGACACCGGCCAACCATTCGTGGAATTGAACAACAACAGCTCGTTGTTTTTCGTGGAAGACATACTGGAGGAGGAGTTTAGCGGGATTGCAAGAGTGGAGGGTGCGTCATACCTCGCCCAAGAACCATGCGATCAGATAGCCAAACACGATGGCCTCGTTGGTCTCGTCGTCTCCTGGTGGTGAAGGAATACCGGCGACACTCCATAGATCACCCTTCCACTCATCCAGATAGCCATAAGCTGACTTCGTATCGAAGAGCAACACTCGTGGAGCACCATCGATCAGCCATCGTCCGTACAGGGTAGCGATTCCCCGCTCGTTCATGGACTTGATTGTCTCTAAGAGAGCGGGGTCTTTGGGGGTGAGCTCTTCCACTTCGGTCGCGGCCTGATCGAACGTCAGTTTGGTCATATAGCTAGGGGTTTGCCAGACATACGGATCCTCGATTGAGAGGGCCAAGTAGTGTGTATGCGGCGCCATATTCGGCGGTGGTGACTTGAGCTTTGGATTTGAGGACGGAGTAAATACCGCCAACTATTTTTTCGGCATCAGCACTATTTGGGATGGTCTCATTCATAGAATCGTACCTCTATGAGCTACTTCGGTCGCAACCTCGAAGAGCAGGTGGTTATGCACGTCTCGTTTCGGGGCGTCGGACATGGTGACGTCTTCAAGTCACGCTCAAGGAGCGAGGATAATTGGGGAGATGAGAATGCAATTGAGAAAGAAATTAGTCGAGGTTATTTGAAGAGAATTCCAGGAGGTAATTGTCAATTATGGAGAAAGCACAGGATGGAAAAATTGTAATGTGAGAGGCGGGTAAAACGTCCAAGCAGCGGAGGAGGTGGTGGTGATGGAGGTGGTGGAGCACGAGGAGGAGAAGGATGCAATTAACCCTCGAAGCTTCCCCACTCCGGATATTTTCACGTAAATGGTGAAGATGTACAATTGATAATTCTGTGCCAAAGGACGAGGGCGTCGGCGGATTATTTGAAGCCCAAAGGTGGTGAAATCTCAGTTCCTCACCAAAGACTGTTGGATGAAGAATGGTGGTGATTGTTGAGGAGGAGCTAAGATCTCCATCGAATATCGATCAGTCCAGGCCGTGCTGCGCTACGTTATGAATTATGAGTTTATGATGTAATTGCCATTCAACCACTCGACGCTAATAATTAAGCTAATGTCCATTAAGTATCGTCAGGTAACCCTGACTTCTATCTCGACTGCAGATTTTCTCTCTATGGAGTAACAATAGTATTCATTTCATTCCTGGAGCCTATTAGAATGGACAATGGCTCATCATCTGAACGATGGATTTTCCCAATTCCTCATCTATTATTCAGTCTGTACTCACTACTTACTACTCAGTACTCACTCTTCGGTGATCAGTGGAACAATTGATTGTTCCTCGGAGTGCAACTGACCCCCAGGGTCCCTGGTCAATATCGATCTCAGCCATCAATTGTTGAGCGTTGACTGTTGACCCTCTTCTGAGTTCTGACTCCTCATCTACTCAACTCCTCAGGTGAAGATGAGTCTATCGTAAATGAATGCCCTCATCAAGTCTCCATCTCAGCTTCCTTAATCATTCCCTCGTGGTTATCGGAGGTGAGTCATTAGGAGCTGTCAGATCAGATTATGACGCTGTTATAAGTGTCCTTCCCGTGGGTTCCCAAGGATACGTGCATGATCATATAAACACATCCTATTGATGATCAAACTTCTACAACCTACAACTCACGAGTCACATAATGACCGAGAACGGAAGTGAGAACTAGCACAACTCTACCTGTCGACATTCTGAGCACATATCAGCTGTTATTTCTTATCGGCTTTTTCGGCCATCGCAGCTTCTCTTCGCCAAGCCATCAGTTTTGATTCATCTCATCTCCGCCCATTCAAATTCACAAGTCACAACTCTTGCTTCTTTACCTCCAAAGTCGCAATGGGAGGCAACGCCTTCACCCAGCCCGGTCCCAACGACCAACCTGCTCTCGTCACTCCTCGATTAACTCCACAGCAATACGATCTCCTGAAAACCTATGTCTCCGACAAACTCGCCGCCCTTTTCGAATGCCTCGCCGTTCCTAAAGAAATGCCCGGAAAAGAGTCCTTTGGAGACCTGGATTACCTCGCAGTAGCACCAACGGTCAACTGCCCGGAAGATTGGGTGGCGGAGGTTCAGTCCCGACTATCCGCCCCGCAAGTTCGTGGCCAAGATCCGACGGCGAGCTTCGCCGTGCCCTGGGATATCGCAGGTATAAAAGATGTGATCGAACAACCACGCGCGACCAATGGCGAACCACAAGCGACTAATGACGTAAATCACGAAGACGTATCCACCCCCACCCACCACGCCCAAATCGACCTCTCCCTCATCCCCCCTTCCACCTACCCCTGGCAACTCTTCCTCCACTCTCACGGCGACCTCTCCCGAATCCTCGCCCACCTCCTCCGTCCTCTCGCCCTCCATCTCAACCACCACGGCCTCCACCTCCGCCTCGCTGAAATCGCCGCCTCCGTCCCCGACAAGAAAAAATCTCTCCTCTTCCTCTCCACCGCCCCGGACGCCCTGTTCCGCTTTCTTGAGATTGATTACGCGGCAGTTGGGGGGGCGGGGTCGTGCACGGAGATGTTCGATCAAGTGGTGGCATCGCCGTTTTTCGGGGCGGGGGTGGTCGAGTGGGCGGCGACTCCGCGGGAAGATGGCACAAGAAGCGATCGGCAGCGGCATGCGAAGCGCCCGATGTATCGACAGTTCATGGAGGAATATATCCCCGCGAACCTCTCGAAGTTCAGTAGCAAGGCGGGGTATTCTCGCGAGGAGGTGCGCGAACGCGCGGTGCGGTGGTTCGGGAAGGAAGCGGAGTTAGCGACGATGCTGGGGGAGTGGGCAGTGGAGGAGGCGGAGAAGGCGTGGTGGGCGGACGTGGTGGGGGTGTTTCCGGGGGAGATGAGCGTAGAGAAGCGGCGAAGGGTGGTGAGGGGGCTGAAGCGGTGGGTGGAGGTGGGAGGGGGGGAGGCGGTGGTGAGGAGGGAGGCGAGGGCGTTGGAGGGGAGGTGGGTGGATGGGATGGGGGTGGGGAGGGAGGGGTGGGGGGGGAGGAGGGAAGGGGTATTGGAGTGGGTGAAGGGGAATTGGGAGATGGTGAATGCGTTAGAGAAGGGAAGGGTGAAGGGGGGAGGGAAGAAGTGGGTGGAGTAGCGAGTTTGGCTACTGTCGCATTAACAAGTTGCAGTGATCAGCGTTAGTGCAGCGATTTCATGATACTCCTGGATTGATTTTCCCATCTCCTCAGCATAGCGCGTATCCTATAACTATAGCATCCTCAACAAAAAGAACCATCACCCTTCCACCCACCAATCCCGCCCATCCGCCCCAAACACTTACCTCAAACCTAACTAAAAAAGCAGTTCACATAGGGTAATAAAACCATAATGATCCAACCCATCGTTGCGAAGGGGTAACAGAATCCCGTGATTGGTCACCATTTCTCTCCCAATGGCTTCGGCACCACCAGCGTCCCCGAATCAAAGATCTCATCTCTTCACCATCCAAAAATCACGCGGAAGGGTACCAATCGGACGCATCGTTTTGGATGAACTTCGAGTTTATGGATCGGGTAAGTAGGTTGGGTGGGATTTAAATCCGACACAAGGCCGCCGTCTCTCGGGCAAGTTCACGAGCCAAGAAGTTACCCTTTGACACTTTGATGCGCCCATAGGATGTTGGACGGCGAAAATATTCCTTATCGATAGACGGCAGGGTTACTTATTGCCTTCTGCTTACAGGGTTTCTTACTGCTGAATTACGTCTACACCGCAGGGTTACCATCGGCTCTTCGCTGTGCAAATTCGGTGCATCATTCAAGTCATCATCACCAATCTCTGATTTCGCTCCATTTACTCACTCCCAGGGTCTTTCTGGTCCAATTACTCATTTTTCATTCAAATATATCCATCTAGAACACCCTTCGACTTCCTTTCCATTTCTTCGCATATACGCATTTACGTGCGTGCGATTTGACGTTCGGTCGGCCATACACTTCAATAGACCTACCCGATGGCGGCGTCGTTGGGCGTAATGGAGGAGGCGCCGGAGAGTCGTGTACTGATAATCATTACGGGCGGGACGATCTGTATGAAGCCGTCGGCGGACGGGCTGGTTCCGGTGAGTTTAAGATATTTTGTTCGAAGTCAGAAAGAGGTGTTGCTCTGGTTTTGGTGTGGAGAACGGTGGTCCGCGGGAAACGGAGGGCATGATATCTGGTTGTGTCTGAGGAGGGCACTGCACAGAAAGAGTTGGGACGGTTAGCGATTGATCGGTTCCATTATGTATGGATCAATCGTCCCGAAAAAGATGGTGCTTCGATCAGGAGAATGAGGACGTTCTATACTCTGGGGATCAGTGATGGCCACTGACGATGGACGTGCTTATCCAGTCTCCTGGATTTCAGGTTTTCTGAATGCATGGAGAACATTAGAGGTGCTCTGATGCGGTCCATTCGGCGGAATACTCTGGATTCAGAAAACGGACCCGGGTACCCCGAATCTATGTAGTGACCAATATCACTCCCCTTGGGTGCTTAGGAGTAGAGCAGAAAGAGCGCCATGGGGAAATGCTTCTTCTGCTTGTTAAAGTTTATTTTCCGTTTCGAGTAAAGACTAACCACTAATAGGCAACTGGCTTCCTGAAAACCGGTCTCGCTCCCCAACCCTCATTTAACGACGGGTCTTACCCCGAACCTTTGGAGATCGCAGTCGACGATGCAGGAACTCGAAAAGCAGTACAAAGTCTACGGACACCCATCAGCACATATCATCGACGAGTGCGTTACAGCGTCTACGAATTTCCCACCCTCCTCGACAGTAGCTCGATCGACGCAACAGGATGGGACCTGATCGCGCGATCCATCCAACGAAATTACCAGCTCTTTGACGGCTTCGTCATCCTCCACGGCACCGACAGTCTAGCATACACCTGCTCCGCACTATCATTCATGCTCAACAACCTTGGGAAGCCCGTCATCCTCACCGGCTCCCAAGCCCCCATGCTCTCCCTCCAAACTGACGCGACCGACAACCTCCTTAACTCCCTCATCATCGCCGGACACTTCATGATCCCTGAGGTCTGTCTCTTCTTCAACTTTGCTCTCTACCGTGGCAACCGCACCACTAAAACGTCCTCCGACTCCTTCGCCGCCTTCGCCTCCCCCAACCACCCCCCCCTGGCCACCGTCTCCGCCACCCGCACCCACGTCAACTGGGACCTCATCGTAAAACCCACTGCCCCCCTCCCCTTCCACATCTCCACCTCACTCTCCACCGCCCACGTCGCCTGCCTCCGCGTCTTCCCCGGAATCCTCCCCGAAATGCTCGACGCCGTCCTCCGCCTCCCTTCCCTCCAGGGCCTCATCCTCGAAACCTTCGGCGCGGGGAACACCCCGGGTGGACCCGACGGCACCCTCACCCGTGTGCTCGCCGCCGCCGTCCAGCGCGGCATTGTTATTGTTAACGTCACCCAATGCCTCTCCGGCTCCGTGTCCGCGCTCTACGCCTCCGGTACGGCGCTCGGGCGCGCAGGCATCGTGTTCGGACAAGACCTCACGACCGAAGCAGCATTAACCAAGCTATCGTACCTACTAGCACAGGAGGACGCGACGCCGGAGAGCGTAGCGCGAGAGATGGCGCGGGACCTATGTGGCGAGCTGACGGAGCGGGGGGAGGTAGCGTTTGCGCATCCGGGGCGGGAGAAGCGGCGGGTGAGCGGGGCGCTGACACCGGAGGTGGAGAGCTTGACGGCGCTGGGGTATCGGATCCAGGAGGGGGATCTAGACGGGGTGAAAGGGGTGATGAGGGAGGAGCGGGGGTGGTTGTTGGGGGAGGGGGATTATGCGGGGAATACGCCGATGGTGAGTACCGGTGTTGGTTCCTTGACCCGTGCGATGGGGGCGGTGAAGTTGGAGGGGTTGCCGGATGTGGTGGAGGATGTGGAGGCGGAGGAGGTGGTGCCGGTGCGGTTGGTGGGTGGGATTGGACACATGCGTCGGTCGACGAGCCACAGTAGTGTCTCCAGCGGAGGTGGTCGGCGATTCTCGAACGTTTCTCGCTGAATCCCTTCATTTCATTTCTTCGGGCCCTCAACCACGACGTTTTTGGAATATTCTATTTCGATGCTCCCGCATCCACCATACCTGTACTATACTAACCAACCCCTCTTTTCCAACAGCATATCGCCTCCCTCTCCCCACACCCCCAGATCCTCTCCTACCTCCTCGCCTCTGGCGGCTCCGTCCACCTCCGCAACCGCGCCGGTTTCACGCCGCTGTTCCTCGCCGCGCAAGCGGGGCTTCAGGAGAACGTGGCGTTGCTAAGGGAGGCAGGCGCGCATTTGCATGGGAGCGAGATCGGAAAGGCGAAAGCGTGCTTGAAGGAGTTGGGGAAGGGTCCAGAGGGAGAAAAGGAGTGGGAGAGGGAGGAGAGGGAGAGGAGGAGGGGGGTTTGGGAGGTGGTGGGCGCGGAGGGCGCGGAGGGGTATTTAGATCGGAGGGGGGGAAATGAACAGTTCACGAAACATGGAGATGGGTGTTTAGGGGTTAGCGGAGAATGAATACACAAAGAAGTTAGATCCCGACCTTCATGTCGTTGGTATATGCAGTATTACATATTCATCGTTCTGCATACTGCGGGCAGATATGATTCGACGGAGTCAATACCTAGTGTCTTTTGTTCAACCATGAAACCAGAAATTGTGCGACATAGAGTGTCACTTGTACTTAAGTTCGGTAGGTTCTGAATGACTTGAGAGTGAAAGTAGGTATTTAGACTTGATCCGAAATGGCGGCCGTTAAAAGTTCTAGTTGTTTTCACCAACCTCCAACTTGCTCATCACCTACGAAATGAGAACCTCCTGCGCAACGATATCCGCCGCTCTGCTTGATCCAGTGATAGCCCATGGGGCAGAGGCCCATCGTCTCCAATTTCCTCAACATCTCCTTCTCCTTTTCTCTGCGCTGTTCCTCCTTCCGCAACCGCTTCAGGATTTTCTCTCGCGCCTCAGCTGTAGCTGTGCGCTTGGCCTTTTGCAGCTTCTGATACTCCTCCTCCCGTTCCTTCTCTGCTTGCTTGTCCTTCTGCAGCTGCTCCCATACCTCATCGCTGACACCCGCATCTCGCTGAACTTCACGATCATGGCGTACCAGCTCCTTTATTTTCTCGGCTGGGGCATGTGATTCCGGAGGCAGGAGTTTCGGGTCCGTATCCTCAGCCTGATTGGTTGTTGAGACTGCCGAAGCGTTTGGCTGCACATTTGAAAACGATGCAGATTCGGTCAGGAGATCGCTGGCTAACGGGGATGGATCGGCAAACTGGCTGCGGCCTTCACGCTCCTTGATCATCGAGTTGAGCTCCGCCTCTACAGACACTTCCGATACAACCAGCTGGATCTTGGCGGCTGACTTCTGCGACCGCAGAGTTGTGTTGAAGACGTTCTTTGCCACGGTTTGCACGTCTCTCGCACTTGCCCAGTTAGCTTGCTTGGTGAGGTCTGAGAAACAGTGCTCCATCTTCTCCCGGAACTCGTCCGACGGCATCTCGAGCGAAGAAATGTCTAGGACGACGGCGGCGCTCTTCTTCAGCAGGATTGCCTTCTGCTTCTTGAAAAACTGCACCAGTAGCGCGACGCATTCGGGCGGCGTCAGGTTCCGGAAATCGACTACCTCGGAGAAGCGAGAGGTGAGACCGGGATTCGTCGACATGAGCCGATTGATGTCATTTTCGTAACCGGCGAGGATAATGACTACCTTCTTCGCATACTGGGGTTTGGTCGTTGAATCGGTCAGCTCGTCTACCGCTTCTTGGGCGAAGGCCCCGCCCGCGAGGCGGTACGCTTCGTCGACGAACAGAACCCTACCCAGTGATTTGTCCAGAAGCTGCTTGACCTTGGGGCCGGTTTGGCCAACATATTGTCCGATGAGGTCCGTCGCTGAGCACTCGACCACGTCGGCGCTGGCAAGGAATCCCATGTCGTAGAACACTTTGCCCATTTTCTTGGCTGTGGTCGTCTTTCCGGTTCCAGGCGGCCCGCGAAAGAGGAAGTTGAAGGGTATACCCTCTTTCATGTTTAGGCCCAGAGACCTTGTGACGCGGACCGTTTCCTGGTAGCCTTCCAGTCTGCGGACAATGTCCTCGCACCCGACTGTGCCTTCGAAGAGCTTCTTGGTGTTGGTTTCTGACCGTTCCGCGCGGTCAAAGTCCTTGTCAAAGTCAAGAGCCTCGAGGGTGCTCGCGGACTTTGTTTCGCCGCGGGAGAAGCGGGACTGATGCCGCCCCTTTGAAGCGTCGAGAAGGATGTCAATCTCGCCCGCGTTGCCGAAATTGGGCCGGTTACGCGCTCGATCGAGCATCTCCATTGCCACGTTTTTCGCTTGGTCGGTTGCATCGAAGCCCTGAGCTTTGAGCTTCAGGTCGAGAATCTTCCGAAGCTCAGCGTCGTTAAAATCATCAAAGATGAATGCCGATGCTAGTGGGAAACGCCTACTAAGCCCAGGATTGGCATTCTGGAACATCTTCTCCATTTGGTCTTTATAACCCAGAAGCAGAACGCATCTGTCGTCCCCTGGGACGCTTTGCACTTCGGCGACAAGAGTGTCGACGACGGTGGTCTTAAATGGATCAGATGTGGAACCGTGATCGCCCCCCGAGTGTAGGCCATAGGCTTCGTCAATGACCAACACTTTTCCCAGCGATGCAGCAAGGATTCCTTTTGTCTGTTTCTCAGATCCTCCGAGGATGGCGCCCACGAAATCGGACGGATTCTTTACGACGACTGTAATGTGTTAGCCTAGGAAACAAGATGCGCTTTCGTGACCCAAAGCAGAACCGCAGAGTGAGAGAGCAAAACCGACGTGGGCAACTTGCCTTCTCCTCTAGAGAGCAGTCCTAAGTCAACAAGAATCCCACCGTAAAGCTTTGCTACTGTGGTTTTGCCAGTTCCTGGGCTCCCCAGGAGCACTTTGTTGAGCGAATATTCGATCGGAGGCTGCTCCTCGAGCTCACGGACGTAGTTTTGCTGGATGGAGTCGACAAGAGCCGCTACTGCAGTTTTGACCGAGTCCAGCCCGATCATGGCTTTTAGCTTCTGCCACGGCTTGGACTTTTCGAGCGCACTCGACGGTTCCGGGCCGATCAGGTCCTCCTTAGTCAGGAGAAAGTCATCGGGATGATTGCCTACGCGTTGTTCTCGAAAGAGGCGACCTGACTGTCGACGAGTGACTTGAGCCAGAGCGTTCTGGACGGCTCGCGCATTGCCAAATCCCGCCTTACCCCTTCCGCGGCCGATTCTCCGGGAGACGATGCGGCAGTATAGTCCCTCTATTCCGTCTTCGCATTTCATCCTGCCAGAGTATTTCTTATGGAGGCTCAGCTCAAAAATATCGAGGAGCTCCTCGTCAGTGTAGTCGGTGAACTTCATTTCAATGGGAAAGCGACTGGGCAGGCCGGGATTGTGGGCGAAGACGCTTTCCATCTCTTTGTTATAGCCTGCAAGAACGAAAACCACCTTTCCCACAAGGTTTTCCACTTCCGGAAGAAGGTAGTCCAGCACCGCACCCCCACCGCCACTGTTACCGGAGGTCAGCTGATACGCTTCGTCGACGAACAGCACTCCTCCGCCGTCATTTTGCAACTCGTCGATAAGCTTCTTGCACTCAGATACCCCCCCGTGGGCAAGAGCTGAGCCTGTAGTCTCTTTAAAACACTGGCCCGGGATGACGCCAATCGAGCACAGGAATTGCGAGTAGAGACGCGCAACAGTTGTTTTCCCTATCGGAATATCAGCAACGCCGTTTGAAGGGCTAGGAACGTACCTGTCCCTGGATTTCCCAGCATCACGCAGTTGAAGCGTTCGGACGCCAGAGATGCATTCTGCCTCAGCATCGTGTCGACCTTAGTTTTGATGGCGAGGAACTCCTGCTTGACAACGTTCAGCCCAACCATGCCCATAAGGTCATCAAGAGCCTGGCTTGTAGCGCCCGACTGCTCCTTGAGCCACTTCCAGTCTTCCTCAGCAGAGTCAAGGGGATCTAATCGGCTTCTGTGCGTTTTAAGCTCCAGTCCTGCTGGATCACTCGCTTGCATGCCGCAGTTCTCCTTCGATATCCGCAACTTTGCTTTCTGTAGCCTCGCCGCCGTGGCTCGAAGCTCTGTGGCATCTCTCCGCTTCTGCGCCATATCCTTTTTCTCGTCCTCTTCCTCCTTCATGTACTGTATCTGTCGACGCTGATGGTCAATTTCGTCTTCGATCTGCACCAGCTCCTGAATATATGCCTCTTGGCGAGCAAGCCGCTTGCTCTCCAGCTCAAGATCTCGTTTTCGTTGCCGCTCTTTCTCCTGGTCTTCGCGACGACACTCGCGGCACCTTTCGTCCTTTTGGCTGCACCTGGTCCTCAGCTTGTGGTTCCTTTCGCAGGTTCGTTCTATGACGGCTGTACACTTTCTTTGGGAGTGGTCAGCGATCCTGTGGCATCTGAGCGGGCATTCGTGCACCCCACATGACAGCTTTGCTCCACTATACCATATTAGCTATACACTGTGAGGCGAATTCAGAGAGAGGATGGACTCGCCAAGGTTCAAAGCAGCCGCCGTCGGGGCAGTGCTGCTCGAAATCGAGAGGCATCTGCAGGATGGCCTCCCTCTCCGGGTGCCGGACGCAGTGCACCGGAAGCCCATCGTACAGGTGCCCACCCTCTTTCAGCAAATTGAAAAATGGAATCCACGCGTCTTTGCCTCTTCTAGCGCTCATGAACGTGTTCATATTCCCAATCATAATGATACAGCAGCGAGCTCGAGACAGCAGCACGTTGAGTCTTTCGGGCGCCGACATGAAGCCAATATCTCCGCTAGAGTTGCTTCTAGTTAGGCTCGCGACAATGATGTCACTCTCCTCACCCTGGTAGTTGTCTAGAATGAATTAGAAGCGAAGAAGCGAATTGTAACAATGCTTACCGATGGTGGATAGCCGAAGGGGCTGCTTGTCGACCTTTGATGCCGCTTGCGTCATCAGACCCGCCCGGATCAGATCGTGGGCGTCAAGATCGTTGAGTATGGGGTTGTTTTCTTCGACGAGCTTATCTCTCAAAAGCCGCAGCTGGCCGAGATACGGCGTCAAGAGAGCTATCCTGTCCGTCGTGTAGCCCTGCTGGCCCAAGTACGCGACGACCTTGAGCACCATGTCGGCCTCGAAGACGTTTTGCTTGCTCGAGACCACAGACGGGTCTCTGCGATCGACCAGCTCGTCGACTCCGACTTCCAGATTTTCGTGGTGCACGAAGATTACTCGGTTGCGAATCCCGTCGATGGATGGGCGATCAGCGGTCTTTGGGTCATCTAGTAAGTCGGGATACGTGAGTGCGCGAGGGAATGCCGAAATAGTCGGATGCATGCGGTGCTGCTTGCGTAGTGTGGTGTGCGGGTGACCCTGCAGTATCAGTCTCTCGAACAGCGACCTGTTCAGGTCGTAACCAAGGCCCTTTTCCACGGACAGCTCGTAATTGTTGATCTTTGGGCGGAGCTGCTTGTGGTCTCCAATCAGCACTAACTGCTTCACTGTCGGAGCGAGCGCTGTGAGGATGTGACACTCAAGAATCTCGCCGGCTTCCTCGACCAACACCATATCCGGCTTTGCAGCGCGGATAAGCTTGTTGTACATGGCGGCAGCAGTGGTAGTGCACGCGATGACCCTTTTCGAGTTGAGAACCTGGACCTTGTGCTCGTTGAAGAGCTCGCTCAATCTTTCTTGGTTGCGGTCGAGCCTCTGAACGATGATCTGGACGGACTCGGCGCGCTCTGAAATCATCGCCTTAGTCCATTTTGATTGCAGGTTCTGCCGTTCGGCGGGAGCAATGGTCCAAATCGTTGTGTCGGTCACTCGTTCTCCTAGAATTCCAGCGTCTAGACCTTTGATCCAGCGGCTATACAGGTAGTCCGGTCCGATTTCTCTTCCCCTCCTTCCCACCCTCTTCCACTGGGTACTTTCCGCTGGAAGCGTAAAGGTTTCGTGGAAGCGTTCAAAGTCTTCGGAAAACTCCAGGTACTCCATGACGCCGGAAAAAGAAATTTGAAATTGCTGGTAATTATCCCAGGCCTGTGCGAGCGCTCCCTGTATGAGGCGCCGTTCGGTCTTCAACTCATTGATGACAGCCCACGAACTTTGAGACGGCCTATGCCGCCCCTTTTGGTTTGTCAAGAGAAGAGGAGCCGTTCTAGTAGTATGCTTCGAACCGAGTCGAACCATGGCCTCGTCGGGGATCCCAACGTCCTGAAGCTCCTCAAGGAACTGGTCAAGGGCATGGTTAGTATAGCTGATGACCATGAATTTCTGATCCGTGTATTTGAAGAGGTACTTCATGATTTGCGACCCTATGAAGGATTTTCCGGTGCCGGGCGGACCTTGAATAATCGACACTGGCGTCGACAAAGCGTTGAGAAAGGAACTGCACTGTGAGTGATCCATAGTTGTTGTGCTACCGATTCTGATAATCTTGTCGTCGGAAAATTCGACAGCACGCAGCTTAGAGACAAGGGCCTGTAACTTAGGGCTGAATTCGAACTCGAAGTCTTTAGACGTAGGGTCGAGGAGCCGTTCCTCAAGAGGAAGATTGCTGATGTCCTTGATTCCCTCCAGTACTGGTTGGTAAGCGAAGACGGGGGTACCAACAACAACGAACTGAAGATCTTCAAATGATTTGAGGGCCACCAGCGATTTTTCCAGCGCTCGGCTATCCGTGAACTGCAGCTGGACGACCGGAGGAGAGCGTACGAGCGAAGCGATGTTCCGGTCCACGAATGCGAAGCCGTAAATGACCGGTCCCCGACACAGCGCACCGAACGCCTGGTGCTTGAGAAAGTTCTTGTTGCCGTCCAAAAATCGTTCCCGAGCGGAGGGCTCCATCTTCTTTAGCGACTCGAGGCCGCTGAAACATTTCAGAGACAACGAGCACCTTTTTGCTCTGGCTTCGTCTCCAGGGTCAAGGTTCACCGGAACCAGCTTCCCGAGTCGATGGGCGCTCAGTTTTCCTTTCCCCTTTCCGGTTGCGCTCTGTAAATCCTCTCGGAGCTCGGCCAGCATGTCTTCTCGAAGGAGACGGAACTGATTGTCAAGATGCACCCCGGCTCGCTCTGCGGGCTCGGAATCAAAAGCCTCGTTTACGAGGCGATAAAACGGCTTCGTCGTCGAAAGAAATTCGTCACTGGTCGGGAAGATATCGATGCGTCGAAAGTCGGCAAAGTCGTTATCGTGGCGTCCTCCTGGGGACTCCGCCGAGGCGGCCAAGGCTGCTGGAACGGACCGCAATTGCACGGCCTTTTGGATCTTGTATCCGAACTCGCGGGTCTCCTGTGACGCCGTCTCCAGTAAGCGTCCGTTCTTGATGACTGCCTGGACATCATTGAGCAGGTCGATTTCGAGCTTCGCGGGAAACAAGACAACCTCGTGGACCAGCCACGCAAACGGTCGAAGGCTATCCTCCGAGAGCTGGTGGTTCAGGAACAGGCCAACTAGCGCGTTCCAGACGGTCGGTGGATGAACGACGGCGATCAGAACCTGTAGGAGAAACTGTCCATCCGCCAAAAGCTTCACTTCCGGATCGGAGAAGTAGTTCAGGAGGGGAAGCGTGTGAGTCGTTATAAATTTGAGGTTTATGTCGGCTCGCACGGAGTTTCCGATAGCTTCCATTCCTGAAGGGCTCGATACTAATAGCTCGACGCAGACTCTTGGAGGATTTTTACACGGAACGGCTTCGAGAAACAGCCTTGCGTTTGCAGGCGTGTTTATGGTCCGCCGACCGTGGATCACGTCGTGGAAGAGGCTTAGCAGCTTTCGAACGCGAGTAGGTTCTTCGAGAGTAGCCATTCTTCGTAAGCAATTCGTCGTCGATTGGAAGACGATTCGTCGTCGAAATCCGAAGCAGGATCTGAGCGATATTTGTACTCTGCCTTTCTGGATTGATAGCAGAAGGTAGAGCCGTAGAGGTGAAGGGGGCGCGGCAAAGGTGACCCAGGCCAGTGGATATGGAACTGCAGTGTAACACAAGATGTACTGCCATTCGCACAGAACCTGGAAAGACGCAGCAGCCGTTGACCGGTCAGAATAATGCCAACAACGCGGCAGCAAACGAACGCAAAGGATGTAAGGTATAACTCTTGACTGTTAGCCTGATGAAGCCCAGAGGAGGATCCAAACTTTCTTTCAATGTTCCATAGCCACGATCATCATGCTAGGCCAGTACAGAAGAGGACCAGGCGGGAGGAACTGGCGTACATCGGCGCCGAAAAAGGTGGAAACTCCATCTCCGCCTTATGGGACGCTGTTGAAGTCCATAGAAGTGAAAGATCTGGATGGGGAGTCGACATCTTTCAGTCAAACGGCTACCATCACAGATAGCCGTCTCGTTGCCTCTTACAACTGGGTCGACGGGAATACAGTAGAACCAACCATTCTCGTGCCAGGTAGGAACAGAGTTTATCACTGTGGAACAGACTTACAAGGCTACAGGGAAGCCACCGCGGTGGACACCACTCACGGAGGCCATGAATCTCGCTCAGGACTCCGGGGAGTATTTTCGAGACAAGAACGCTGCTCGGTACCCCAAGCACCCGATGGAGCCGGCAGTTCTGGCCCTCCTCGCGACCGACCCGGCAGTTCGAACTAAGCTCGACGTTATCGGGTGCGGAAGCACGATCGGGAACCTGCTGCGATTCGTTCGTGGGAAAGACAAGCCGTTTCGTATGCTCGTCGAGTTGGTTCAGGACACCGTCTTCTTCATCCGGAGGGAAAACTCCCCAACCGAGCTCCTTCATGACGTCTACGGATACGGTCACACGTTTCCGGAAGTGTATACGAGCTGGGAGCCCGACGTCAAGGGATCTGCATCGCACCAGAGGCTGGTTCGGTACTCGTTCGGAGGGCTTCAGCTTATCGTGAGGTTTGAGGGAGATGGATACCTTGCAAAGTCCCCATCGTCGTCCGAGGCATCCCAAGACGCCAGCGTGGACGACCTCATCTCGGGTCTTCCGGTGGCCGCAAACATCTCAGAGAAGGTATCATCGGGAACCAAGTTGAAGGTCCAGCGCGCGGGCGAAGTGGTAGACCAGGACTTCATCTTCGACCTCAAGACTCGAAGTGTTAATAAAAAGAACGACCAAGACACATTGGGAGAAGAGCTTCCTCGGATGTGGGTTTCGCAGATTCCCAACTTCATCCTCGCCTATCACACTCGTGGAGTCTTTCATGACATCGAAGTCAGCGATGTGCATCAGGACGTCGAGGAATGGGAGAAGACTCATAACCAGCAACTGTCCAAGCTGGCGGCTTTGATCCACCGAATCATCGTCGAAGTTCGCGGACGACCAGACGGAAAACTGGAGCTATGCAATGACGGCTCCGGCGAGTTGGAATTTCGAGAACAGCGATCAGAAGCCGGCGACGCGTTGTCGGTCGAAACCAAAGCTCTGTGGGTGAAGGACGTTGATTCTGACGAACCTGATATCGTTTGGGCGGCAGATGATGACTACACTGCGTGTACAGAGTCCTGCGGGTACTGCGGCCAATGCACCTATTGAACGGCTATAAGTAATAATATTTTTCGCCTTGTACGCCGATTACCGTAGCTTCCAATAAGAACACGAAGTAGAATCATGGACAATGGCATCTCGGTATTATCTCGTGCTTACTCTTTACTCCTTGAGGGGAGTTGCAACTCCGGCCCAGAGATCGTATATAACCTGGCTAGGAGAGGAAGCATGCCGCAAACACCGGCCACAGCTCTTAGATGCCAGGACCTAGGAAGATATCATGATAGTATAGTATAGTCAGCGCGGCAGCGTATCTCATAATAGAGGTATTTGAATGAACGTGTTCGTTCTGGGGGTTCCCAAACAGCAACATAAGATGGAGACATTCCTGTGGATCAGCTTCAACTTTTGCGTACTCTCCACGACTGACTTATGGGCAAGGAACGAAGGACTCCCATCGAAACAGTACCAAAAAATTACCGAAAACATCGCCGGATCCAGAACGATGGTTAGGGGGTGGATAATCAAGTAAAAGACTCAGAAGTAAGAAGTGTGAAAGTGAAATCCGCATGTAGCACCTCATTAGTAGCCGGCACTAACAAGGCGACTAAGCAGCCCGGATAGCGACCCCGACAATCGAGACTCGGGGCCCTCGGGGCCCTCCCGTGCAGCCAGTAGGATTGGCGTTGATACGCATCCAGAACTAAACTCGAACTAAACCATCGAACTCCAAACATGGAAAATTAGAACCCCATCAGCTAGTTAGTTTCCCCTAAAAATTAGCCACACCCCACAATCGAACAAATCCACCGCCGATACACGTGTAACGCGCAGCGGTAGCCCACTCTGCCCCTCCGAAGTCGAAGCCGGCGTGTCGAGCGGAGGTGGAGTGACGTCTCCCGGTCACGGCGACGCTTGGGGGGAGCTGGGAGTGGGGACCTGATTAGGCGATTTCGGGCGAATGGGGGAGGATATATAAAGATCATGCGATGTCCGGAACTTGGTTGCGCGTAGCGAATTTGGTGAATTAACTTAATTATTGATGTCTAAGAATCGAAATTTAATATACGAAGCACTATCCACAGTGAGTACGGGTCGTTTTGAAGTTTATGGAGGGAATTGGCGGTATATCCGACTAACTGGTTACAGCTCCCAGTATCTTCAACAACCTAAGTACCTATCACCATGTCAAAACTCCTTGAAGGCAAGGTAAGCCACCATTCCATCCCATCCCATCCCATCCCATCCATCCCCCTTACGAACCCCAACCCCCCTCCCCTTTCCCTCCTCCTCCCATCACCGATCACCTAACCCTCCCTAGGTCGCCATCATCACCGGCTCCGGCGGCGGCCTCGGCGCCACCATCGCCACCACCTTCCTCACTCACGGCGCCTCCGTCGTTCTCTCTGACATCTCCACCACGCGCCTCTCCGACAAGCTCGCGTCCCTCTCCGCCCTCGGGCCCGTCCACGCGGTCACCACAGACATCACCTCCGAAGCTTCCGTGGCAGCGCTCTTCTCGGCCGCGAAAGAGAAGTTCGGACGGGTGGATATCCTCGTGAATAACGCGGGGGTGATGGATAAGTTCGACCCGGTGGCGGAGCTGGAGAAGGAGTTGTGGGATCGGGTGATCGGGGCGAATTTGACGGGGACGTTCCTGTGTAGTCGTGCGGCGGTGCGGGAGATGTTAGGAGATGTCGACGCAGAGGAGGCGGTGGTGGAGGAGACGAGGGGGGAGGGGATGCCGGCGCCGGCGCCGCCGACACGGGGGGTGATTTTGAATATCGGGTCGGTGGCGGGAGTGCGGGGCGGGAGCGGGGGAGCGGCGTATACGGCGAGTAAGCATGGAGTGATTGGGTTGACGAAGAATACGGCGGCGGCGTACGCGAGGAGGGGGATTCGGTGTAATGCGATTTTGCCCGGGGGGATGGCAACGAATATCAGCGATTCACTGGCGAAGGGGATTAATACGGAGGGGTTTGGACTGGTGCAGAAGACAATGGCGGTGGGGGCACCGTTGTGTGAGTTAGGGGATGTGGCAGAGTTATGTGCATGGTTGTGTGGTGGGAGTCGGGTGGTAAATGGAGCGGTGGTGGCAGCGGATGGGGGGTGGACGGCAGCGTAGGGTGGAGATAGGGATGAAGATGAAGGGTTGGAGGAGGGGGTAGATGGATTTGTTGTCATGTATAGAAACTTGTTCTATTAGGGCGCTGGTACACCGGTTATGAAAGACTTGAGCGGCAGAATCGTTCGGAAGGAAAGGGGTATTTAGGAGCGCGGGTACATATTCAATCAGACCAAATGCCTTATGATGCCAGGGACCTTTCTTCAAGAAGATTCATTCGTAGCGTCAAAGACCGGTGCGAACTCAAAGCTCTGCCTCTTCGATCCGCTAGTCGCTCTACAGATGAATTAGTACTGATGGTTGGACGAATAACAGATGAGACAACATACTTTCGGATGACCCTCTCCATCGCATCCAATCCTCGTGCCAACACATCCATCTTCGGCCCATACGACAGCCGAACATAGTGGTGACACGTACTATCAAAGAGATCTCGTCGCTTCGCCGGATTCAGATCGAAGAAAATGCCCGGGACAACGATGACCTTCGCCTCGAGGCACGCTTCGAAGAAGTTGAGGCCGTCGTTGATGGCTTCCGGCAGCTCGGACAAGTTCAACCAGATGTAGAACGTACTGGAGACGGTCAGTACTTCCCAACGGAAAAAAGGAGGGTCGGGTACCTGTTCGGGACGTAGGCGAGATCGAATCCCATGTTGCGCAACCGCATCACCACGTAGTCCCGCTTATCCCGGAAATGCTTCTGCAACGCCACCATCTCGCACCGCACCCGATCCGGCTCCAACATCGCAACCGCTGCCTCCTGAAACGGAACATTCGTCCCGCCGTCCAGATACGACCCACACGATCCGATTGCCTTAATGAACTCCTTCGGCCCCAGAATCCACGCCACCCGCCACCCCGGCAGCCGAAACCGCTTCGTCAGACCATCGATAATCAACACATCGTCGGCATTCACATCCACGATGTTGTCGGCCGCCGAGATGACAGTGCCGTCGCAACCAGAGGTGTAGTTATACCCGCCGTAGAACTCATCCATGATCAATGTCGCCCGCCCGCGGCAGATCCCCTGGATCTCCTGCAGCTCGTCGGACGGCATGACCATGCCGGTGGGATTGCGCGGATTGGACGTGAGGATGACAGAGGTGCCGCGGGCGATCTCGTGGGCGATGGTCTCGGCACTGATGTGATAGCGGTCGTCCTCGGCCAGCGGGATGGGGAGGGCGGAGAAGTTGCGGAAGAGGGAGAGCATCTCGTTGTAGGCGGTATAGTCCGGGATGAAGAAGCCTAGGTAGGCGTTGCCGAGGACGGCGGCGATGCGGATGAGGCCGGCGCGTCCGCCGGGGACGATGGCGACGTTCTCCCAGGTGTATTGGCTGGGTTTGCCTTGGCGATGGTGGGCATTGTAGAGATGAGCGACGGCGTCGCGGAGGGGTCTGATGCCGGCGGTGGGGCCATATTCGCGGCCGCTGACGCTGATGGGGATGGATTCGGGACGCTTGAAGCAGCCTTCGATATCGTCTTCCACTTCGGGAGCGCCTTGACCGAGATTTGCCCAGGCATGCGGTTCGTCGAGGTAGCCGTGGTCGTAGGCTCTTTCGCTCGTCCAGACCACGCCGGTCGAGGCACGAGACGGATCGAGGCCGGCATGGTGTTTGGGGGATTCGTGATGTTCTCTGAAAAGACGATGGACGATTGAGGATTGTTCTAGTGAATGGTAAGTTGTCTGACTGGGGTTTAGATTGTAGATGTTAATATCCGGAAGGCTTTAGAATCGAGTAGTTCAATTGATGTTACAGGGGGTGTAGCGGGCAAGAATGGATTACAACGTGGATATAGATTGCAGTTCATGGGTTCCCGTACACCGAATGTAGGTATTACTGCTCATGGGTAGCTATCTCGCAGAAGGCCAAGGCGAGCGATGGGGAGCCGGGCTGGCATGGCTGGGCCTTGGCAATGCTTCGCTTTCGATCCTCGAGGGTTTTGATATGTATTGTAGCAAGATGTTCGCGTGGATGGACTAAAAGAAAAAGAACTGCGATAGGAAGAAGCTGACGGTCAAAGTCGTATTCACACGCTTACCATTGTTAGAGTTTGTCCTTGCTAGTGACATGCGCCGCAAGGTAGAGGACATGGACTCTGTAGCGGTATGAGACATGTTGAACGGCGAAATCAATGTCTGGATATATGATACTGAGAGTGTAAGAAAGAAGGAAAAGTTTAGGGAATAATCTGATTGCTAGATGACGACGTTGGACATCTGAAAGAAAAATGACACAGGATTATAAGGACGACGGTGGATGCTGCCAACCGGGTAGGGCCGCCAAAGCGTTTATAACGTTACTGTCGGGAGACCGAAATGCTAACTGATCATCATTTACCTAATCGTCTGGGTACTGGCTCTTAGCAGTAAATATATTGCTTTTCTTTGTTCTTGATTGTACCAAATGGACGGTAGCGAGGGAAGGTAGCGAGGGAAGGTAGCGAGGGAAAGTATGCACCGAGGAGAGGAAATGGGAGGGGAGCACCCCACAGTTGCATGACATGCCGCTACCAGTCTGAGGTGGGAAAACCAGCTTCTGGATTCGTCAGGATGGTGATACTCCCCCCGTGATCGGGTATTTGCAGCGATGAAAGATGCTAATTCGGTGCAGCGGAAGCGGAGAGAATGGGCATGCAGCCTGACTGGAAGGATTTATCGATTCTGGGATAAGTACCCGAAGCATGTGCTGGTTCCGTCCAACGCGTCAATCGAGGTCGAATGTAGGATATTAGGAGGATCGGAGGGATTTGATTTGGTAAAAAATGGAACACAATGCCCTGGAATCGATATATGAAGTGGAGACGAGACTGGTCGTCCCATGTATCGTGAAGGTATTTTAAGGGTTGAAAGAAGCGGAGTTGAAGTCGAAGGGACGATGACTGACGCTGAGGGAGCGGTGTGGCCTGAATGCCTCAGGTTGCATTTTGTTGCGTTGGCCGATGTCCGATACGAGCGACAACAATGTTATGGTACTCCCGTATGGTATCATTTCATCCTCCATCCTCCATCCTCCATCTTCAATCAACAAGATCGTTTCAAGATACCTAATCCTGTTTATCAAGAACCCCGATTCGGTGGTGGAGAACCCTGGAAAGCCCGTCCAGACTCCAGAAACCCGGAAACTCGGTATCAAATGCCACTGGAAACTGTGGGATATTGTTAGCTGGACCCCTAAGACGCCCCCCCTGAAAGCCCCGATTCCCCCAATTCCCTCGATTTTCTCCCCCCGACCGGCGGATAGCCGCCCCTTAAAGCTATTAAACCCCCCTCAACCCTCGTCCGCGTTCCATTCTTCGTTTTCTTTCCCTTTTTCTCGCCCAAAAACCCGTAATTCCCTTACCCACATCTTCACCGAAGAACTCTAAGTGATCACCATATCCGTGACCGCGACCCAGCTATCCCTAACCTCTCGACGTCTATACTACACTTAACAGATAATATCCATTTCGTTTTTCGAGTCGTCATCTCGAGGGGCAATTCACTCGGGTCTGTCAACCATGGACATGGCTCCAGTCCGCCCGCCTCCCGCCATCACCACCGCCAACAATTCCCTCCCTCGCGGACGCGCGCCCAAAGACCCCAATGCGCAGACCTTCACGTTCCAATGCAACGCCCTCGCCGACCTAGAGAACACCCTGCGAGCATACCTCTCCCATCCGCCGGGCCAGCCGGAGCACAGCACCTGCGAATTGACTGTGTACGGCACCGCGTCGTTCGACGTGCATCTCTCGCGGAACGCCCACTTCCAGCCGGGCCCGGTTGCCGACAACTTCGACGCGAGCATCACCATGCAGGATGCCCTCGACGCGAATCAGCACCCCACCGAGGCCATGAACAAGCAGAGGGCCATTGCGAAGGCCTGCGTGGAGGCGGTGCAGCGTGTGGATGGGTTTCGGTATAGCTTCCATAACAAATGGAAGAGCGGGGAGGACAACGCGCATCGCTTTTCGTATTACTGTAATGATTCATTTCTCAATAAGGATCGCGTCGCGAATGGTAAGGCCGGTACGCAAGGTACGTGTTGTGACATGATCCGTATTGGAACATGGTTTTACTAATCCAAGCTGCAGGAAAAAGAGCGACCAAGCCGGTCTATGACTGTAAAGGAGTGTTGGCGGTCAAGTTCTCGTCCGCCCAACAAAGTCTTACGGTGGTATATCGACATATTCCATTACACGAAACCTATGAAGAACGCGCTCCGATCCCCCGGAAAGATTCGAAGAGGCGGACGGTATGGGAACAGAAGAACCCCGAGAAGTATGTGTGTTCTCACAATATTTCGAACCCTACTTACTAATTTATAGTAGGGTACGCGGCGGCACACTTCCTCGACAATCCACCGGAGGAGCAGTCGAAGTCAATGGTGAGAACCACTCGGAAGTCCGCGCGGCGAAGAAGCGAAAACGAAACACCATCGCCGCGTCCAAGCCATCTAGTACCGCCGAAGCCGATCTTCGACAAGAGAGCCTCTACTCCCTCCTCGAACTGATCCGCACCGACAAGGACGAAGTCCCCGGTACGCCGTCTCAAGAGAAGGAGCAGATTCCCCCCCCTACCTCCGACAACCCGAACGGCAACCCTAACCCCAACCCGACGAACAACTTCGATCCCGTTCTCCAGGCGCAAGCCTCCAATCGGATCGTCTTCGTCGACGGGGACAAGTCGAAACGACCAAAGATCAGCTGCGGCGTCTGTCGAGGGAAGAAGAGTCGCTGCGACGGCGCCCGCCCCACCTGCGGTCCCTGTGCAAAGCGATCCCTCGCCTGCCATTACTCCGACCCTCCATCCGACCACCCCCCCCAACCCGTCCACAACGGCCACCCTCCCGTCCACACCCCGCACACCCCCTCCTTCGCCCAAGGTCAAGCCCACACCCACGCGCAAGTGCAAGCCCAAGTGCAAGCTCAAGTGCAAGCTCAACAAGCCCAACTCACCACCACGACGCAAGAAAACCAAGACCTTAAATCCGCCCTCCAAGACCTCCGCAACGAGATGAAATCCCTCCAAGAACAGCTCTCCACCTCCCAAGACAAAATCAAGCAACTCGAAACCGACAAGTCCAACTCCCAGGCCGAATCCGCCGCCGCCCAAGCCGCTGCGCAACAAGCCGCGCAGGCCCAAGCCCAGGCCCAGGCTCAGGCCCAAGCCCAAGCCCAAGCCCAGGCCCAAGCCGCCCAGCGCGAACGCACCCGCACCCCCCAACAACCCCAACAATTCCCACAATCCGTCCCCCGCACCCAACAACATCAACCCCAACGCCAACCCCCGCCGCAGTTTTCCCAGCAATTCTCCGCCCAGGCCGTCGACGCTAGCCACTCCGGCCACGGGAACCACGGGGTTAATAACGTCGCGCCGGTGGCGGGGCATGGGGTGGGTGCGGTGGGGGCCCATGGGGTGAGTGGGGTGGGGAGCGGGCACGGGGTGAATGGGGCCCATCGGCAGCCATTTGGGTCGGCGGCGGGGGTGGGAACGCAAGCGCCGGGGGGACAGGCGTATGGGGGGGCGTATAACGCGGGTGTTGGGCAGAGTAAGTTCCTCCCCGCTCTCTTTCCATTCCCCCTGATTTCTTTGATAACCTGATTACTGACGTGTGATGTGGGCAGACGCCGCGCAGGTGCGGGGCGATATATACGGGCAGCAGATGCGGTGGCAGAGCTCGTATGGGTATCCGGCGCCGACGCCGCAGAACGGAGATCCGAATATGTGGAATTCGTCAAGGATGAATCATTCGATGATGCGGTGAGTCTAGGAGGACGAGGGAGAAGGGGAATCTCACGACTTCATGATATGAGCTCGACGACGGCGGATCGATATCCGGAAGACTGGGTGCTATTGGGCGGAATCCGGTGGGCTTGTTTGGTTCGTGTATTTGTTTTTCGTATTGGTATGATATCCCCTTTCGTTCGCTACATGGAGGATTGGGTCGGATACAGATGCTTTGACCGGGCGATTATTATTCCTGCTCGGCGTCTCGAGCGGTACTTTCTCTCTGGACGGGGTTTTGTTTTCAGGGGCAAGAGCGGGATTTTTTCATGAATGAGTGGCCATACCATACCGCACGACGGATAAACGATTTACGGCTGACTGTGTTCATCTGGTGCTGCTGTTTTTTACCGCTTCTCGAGTAACATCGAGTCGAAACTGGGATGGGTCGAAAGGGACGTATATATGTTGGCGAAGCACTTTTGTAATTCACGGAAGATTGGGGATTGCGAGATTCATTGTTTTGAGAATCAGAATTTGATCTGATCGGTGGCTTTGAGGGCCGGATATGACTTGTACCTGTTGCGCCATTGTTTAGCCATGTTCGGGTATGCCACTGAAATCCCAGAACCCAAACCAGTAACGCCATCGTATGCAACTCCATTTCCAACTTCGATCGGCCATCCCCTCACTTTCGCTTATGCGAATAATCCCTCAGAATCCCTATCATATGCGTATTCGTCTGCCGCCCCCCCCTCGCCGCCTTCCTCTTCCTCTCCCGCGGCGCCACCACCTGCACCACCTTCTTCGCCGTCGTCGGCTTCAACCCTGCCGCTTCCAACTTCTCCCGCACCTCCTCCCCGTTCGCCGGCAACTTCACCGCGTCCCACATCCCCCGAAACGCCTCGTCCACCGGATGCCGCAGGCTCGCGTCGTCCAACCACACCTTCTTCGGCGCGTTGTCTTTCTTGTTGCGCACGACTAGCACCGCACCCTGGGCTGCCAGCGACTCGATCGCCGCCGGCGCGCCCGGCCACCCGTCTTTCAGATCTTTGACCAAGATGCCAACGGCGGTGGACTGTTTCTGGAGGAGGGCGAGCAGCTGCTCCTGGGAGCGGACGCCGTATTTGGAGCGGAACTCAAAGGAACCCTTGCCGGCGAGGCCGTCGCGGGAGTAGAGGACGCGGGGGTCCTCAAGGAGGGCGCGGCGGAGGGCACCGCGGAGTTGGCGGAGGTCGTCAGAGTGGTCGAGGGAGAGGTAGGCGACGATGGAGTCGAAGGTGAGGGGGCGGTCTTTTTCTTTGAGGTAGTCGATGGCGTAGGCGACGTTCATGAAGAGGCGGGAGCCGAGGGTGGCGGCGGAGGAGGTGAGTTGGGCCATGGCGATGGGAGGAAGGGTTGATAGAGGGGTGAGTCCGCCGGGGAGATGGATTCTTAGGAGTGAGAAGGCATGGATTGGATTCAGCCGGCTCAAGGGAGGGCCAATATTGAAATTTGAGAGATGAGAATTTATGGGAGATGTATTGGGAACAGAGAAGTCCCAAGTCCTCGAACAAAGAGTCAAGAATCAAGTGATGGAGGACGAAGGGAGTTGAAGTTAATTGAAGTGAGATCACGTGATCCTCTTTGAGCTTCTTCCTCTCCTAAGCTCAAGTGACCGCATTCGTTGATTTCGTTCATTCATCAACTGCACCACTCACCACCGCAACACTTAGAAGTTTACTTCATTTCTCCCTTCTCCACATTCATTTCGCCCTTTCTTATAATCAAATCCTCCATTCAACCCCTCCCGAACATGGTATAACAATCAGGCACTTGCTTTTCACTTCCACAGCAGTCATGGCGGCGGCTGTGGTGGACATCCCCTACATCGCCGCGTCTTTCCAAGTCCCGGAGCCAACCCTTCAATCCCTTTTGGAGAACCCGACGGCCGACCTAGTGGCATCATTGCTCAACCAGATTCAGAGCAGAGCGCGTGAATATGATGCTCTCAAGTCCGAGAAGCTGAGGTCGGAGGTGGAGTTGGAGAATGCCATTCGGAGCGGCGAGACGCGCGCAAAGTCGCTGAAGGCTTCGGTGGATAAGACATTGAAAGATGTGGAGGAACTCAGGAACCAGTTGAATGAGGAGCGTACGTGTTTGGGATTTTCGTGGTGTTTAAGGCTTGCTCGAAACTAAATATGGGGATAGAAAACAAACGCGCCGCAATCGAGTCGGAGTACGAAAAGTTCAAGGTCTCGAACTCGTCATCGGATTCGAAGATCCAGATCCTCGAGTCCCAAATCGAGTCGCTGAAAGCATCCAAAACCGAGACCGCCTCTGTCCTCGAGTCGAAATCGACGGCATATGACAAGCTCGCCGAAGAACTCACGGGGCAGCAACAAAAGGTTGTCGCGCTGAGACGAGAGGTATCCGCGCTGGAAGAGAAGATCCAATCCGCCGAAAACGCCGCGATCAGCACCAAGTTCCGCGAACAGTCCCTGCAGCAGGAAGTGGGCCTCCTCAAGAAGAACAACGAATACTACGACAGCGAACTCAAGACCCGCGCGGCCGAACACAGCAAATTCCGAAAAGAGAAGGGCGCACGCATTGCAGAGCTTCAACGGGAGCGAGATGAAACCTCGCAACAACTCGATTCGTTGAGGCACATCGAGAAGACGCTCCGAAATCAGCTGGATGAGATCACGCGGAAGGCGGAAGATGCTTTCTCGAAGATCCAGCAGCTGCAAGAGGCCGAGACCAAGGCGGAGGAATCGTTCCGGGTGGAGTTGGAGACCGTGAAACGCATGGCCGAGCTACATCGTCAACGCGCGGAGACGGACCGGAAACAGCTACAGCACGTCCAAGCAAGTTTTGAGAAAACCAAGGAAGATGCGGCCGATGAGATTGGACAACTGCAGTCGGAGTTGGACACCGAGCGAACCGAGAAAGAGGGGGCAGAGGAAAAGATCGCAGAGCTGGAGGAGCAGATCGAACATCTCCAATCCGAAGTTCGCCCACCGCCGTCCGCAAGATCTATTCCTGGTACGCCTCGTCGTTCGATGAATGGCTTGTTTGAAATGGGGACCCCGCGCGGAGGTTCTCCTGGAAGCGCTCGCGGCAAGGGTGGTCTGACACTCACCCAAGTTTACAACGACTACTCCAAAGTTAAGGCAGAGCTTGACGGCGAACGCCGACAGAGTCAAAAACTGCGTACCGATATGGACGAGATGATCAACGCGTTGGAGAATAAGCAGCCAGAGATGGACGAGGTGCGGATCGAGAATGATCGCAACAAGGCTGAGCTCGCGTCGATGAGTACCTTGCTCGACGAAACGAGGAAGGACCGGGAGAAATTCAAGAAGGAGGCACGGAAATGGCAGGGTCAAGTCGAAGGTCTTAACAAGGAGAGCGATCTATTACGACAGCAACTACGCGATTTGAGCTCCCAAGTCAAAATTCTTCTGGTCGAGGTTCAAGCGCGCGACCAAGGCCTCGAGAATCTCAGCGCCGCCGAGCAGCTTCAATTCGAACGTATCGCTCGCGGAGTCGTCGACGAAAAGGCTCTCGAAGGCATGACGGACACGGGTCGCTTCATCAGCCAACGCCTGGTCTTGTTCCGGAACACTGCGGAGCTGCAAGAACAGAACGAGAAGCTTTTGAACCTGACCCGGAAGCTTGGTGAGGAAATGGAAGGCGAGGAGGCGAAGGCGAAGAGGAATCAAGAAGAGAAGGATCGCCATGAGTTAGAGCAGTTGCGCGAGAGGGTGGAACGACATCAGGACGAGATGAAGGGAATGGTCATTCGTTCGGAAAGCTACATCCGTGAACGAGACATGTTCAGGCGGATGCTTGCTCATCGTGGGCAACTACCTGCTGGATCGGACATGGCATCCCTATTCGGACAATCGGTCAACGATGGCATGGCCCCGTCAACCCCCCCCCCAGGTGGTATGGATGGTTCGCAGGCTCAGACGCCGCAGTCTCGAGACATTTCCGACTACACCAAGCTCCTCAAAGAACTCCAGAGCCACTTCGACAGCTACCGACAAGAAGCGCATACCGACCACCAGTCGATGCGAGAACAGATCGACCGGCTGGGCAAGGAGAAGAGCGAATTGCACGCAGAGAATGCTCGGATCGGCAGTCAATTGACATTGGCCCACGAACGGTACGAACTCCTTCAGAGCAACCTGAACATGATGAGAAACGAGAACTCGGAGATCCAGAAGCGTGCCCAGTCGGCGTCGGAGCTCGCAGCGAAACAAGAGCTACGGACTCAGCAGACTGCGGAGGAACTCATCGAATCCAAGTCGTTCACGGAGAGCATGCGGAACGAGCTGTCGAATTTGAAGGCGGAGCGGCAACTCTGGAAGTCGATCGAGACGCGGTTGAGCGATGATAACCGTTCGTTGATGGACGAACGAAGCCGCCTAAACAAGATGCTCAGCGATCTGCAGAGCCTCCAGAACGAACGGGAATTGACCGACTCGGAGACGCGGAGACGATTACAGTCGCGGACCGAGGAGTTGGAGTCGGAGCTGTCAAGCAACAAGCGAAAACTTGACGAGGAGATGGAGGAGTCGAAGAAGACGAACTTACGGCGCGAATACGAGCAAGAGCAGAGCCAGAAGCGGATCGAGGATCTCATCCGAAGCAATGGGTCGGTTCGCGAGGAGCTGGTTGCCGCGAAAACACAACGGGATCAGCTACAGGCTCGCGTCGATGAGATGAGGGTGGAACTCAAGAACGCCGAGGAGCGCGCTGCTGCACTCCAGCCCCGACCAACACCGCGTCCCGATCCTTCACAAGCGGACCCAGTCGACGACGATACCGCGACGTTGACAAGAGAGCAAGAATTGGGCGTCGAAGTGGCCAACCTAAAACGCGACATCTCACTCACCCAGTCGGAGCTCGAGCACGCCAAGGAAAATGTTGAGCAATACAAGGCCATCAGCCAGTCCGCCGAAGAGGAGATGCAGAATCTCAACGAGACGCACGATGAGTACCGTGAGGAAACTGACCGTCTCATCGCCGACAAAGACGCGAAGATTCAGGAGCTGGAGACGCGTGTCAAGGAGATCTCGAATGAGCTCGCATCCACGAATTCCGAGCTTATCGAGCTCCGCGCGACGCAGGAGGAGGGCAGTAAACTCCTAAACGAGCAGAAGTCCCAACTGGAGGAGGAGGTCGCTCGATTGAAAGACGAGACGGACCGCGCTGTTACGACCGCGAAACTCTACCAAGAAGACGTCAAGGCGCAAGCCGAGATCGCTCAGCGCGCACAACAGAGTTATGAGGACGAATTGCTCAAGCATGCGGAGGCGGCGAAAGGGCTGCAGAAGGTACGGACGGAGTACAATGAGCTCAAGACAGAACTTGTCGGGGCTCGTTCAGAGGTTCAAGCGATGAAGGTTACCGCAGAGCAGAACCAGGAAAGCTGGACGGAGACGAAGGCGAGGTTTGAGCGCGAGGTGCTCGAGCTGAATACGCGACGGGACGACCTTGGCAATCAGAATCGGATCTTGCATCAACAGCTGGAGAACGTATCCGGGCAGATCGCCGCTCTCAAACAGTCGCGTGGCGAGGTCGCCGACGGCGAAGAGGCCTCCGCCCCGGAATTCGTCGCGGACAATCTGCAGGAAGTCATCAAGTACTTGCGACGCGAGAAGGAGATCGTCGACGTGCAATATGAACTCGCCCTCCAAGACCAGAAACGAATCAAACAGCAACTCGACCACGCACAGACCCAGCTCGAAGACACGCGGGAGAAGTTGGCTAAGGAACGCCAGAGCCAGACCGACCGCGAACAGGCCGCAATGAGCCACACCGAGCTCATGAAGACGATTAACGAGCTCAACCTCTTCCGCGAGAGCAACGCGTCCCTCCGCTCCGAAGCCCGCCAAGCCCAGGCCCAGGTGACCGAGAAGATGACCGAAATCGAGACCCTACGGGGCCGCCTCGAGCCGCTGGAGACGCGGCTACGCGAGGTGGAGAACGAGCTGGAAACGAAGAAGGGCGAACTGCAGCTCGCGGAGGAAGATCGGAACCGGTGGCAGACGCGCGCACAGCAGATCCTGCAGAAATACGACCGCGTGGACCCGGCGGAGTTGGAGGGGTTGAAGACTCAGATTTCGGAGCTCACAACCGAGCGGGATGCGCTGAAGACGGAGACGGAGGCGATGAAGCAGCAGGTGGATGCGATTCCGGCGCAGATCCAGGAGGCGCGGGAGGCGGAGCAGACGGCGGCGAACGAGCGGCGGAGCAAGTTGATTGAGCAGTCGAAGAACCGGGATCGGGACCGGAATGCGACGATCGCGCAGCTGAATACGCAGCTGGGGTCGCTAAGGGAGGAGCTGGAGGAGGTGAAGAAGGCGCGGGATGACGCGCTTGCTCATGCGTCGGGGGATGTTGCTATGCAAGATGCGGAGGCTGGGGAGGTTACCGAGCACCCTGCAGGATTGGCTACTGAAGAGCGGTCACACCTCGAAGCACAGGTTAAGGAGGCGCAGACGAGCGCGTCGGAGCATGAGCAGAAGGCCACGACGCTATCTGCGGAACTCAATACGCTTCAGGGCCGTGTGACAGAGCTTGAAGGGGAGATTGTGAGTATTCCCAACTCAATATTATCGCAGAAGCTAACCGCTGTCCAGCAAACTCTCAACGGCCAAGTGCAGGCCCATCTTTCTGAGATCGAGGACATTAAAGCAGCCGGGACCACGCAACCTACCGAATCAAGCGAGGAAGTACAGAGACTTCAGTCGGAACTCACGACAGCTCGTATTGAGTTAGAAACTCTGAAAGCGAGTGTCAGCAGTGGAGAGAATGGCGAATCCAGCACCGCACCGGACTCCCAGATCGAAGAGCGAGTGTCGTCTCACCTCAAGTCTCTTGACGAACAGCATGCCACCAAGACACAGGCCTTGGAGGAGCAATTCAAGAAGCGCACCGACAACATGAAGACACAGTTGAGCGAGAAACTGAAGCAAGCGCGTGAGAAGATTCGGATGGATTATGAGGAAAAAGAAAAGCTGCTCAAGGCGGAGTTAGAGCAGGAAATTGCTCGGTTAAGACAGGAGATCGAGCGCCTGGAGCAGGAGAACCAGAAGCTCAAGCAGGATATCGAGGGTCTCAACAGCGTACCTACAACGACTGCTCAAGATATCGCAGTCCCCTCAGAGGCGCCTACGCAACCATCTGCCATGGACACATCGATATTGTCGCCTGGTCCCATCAGATCCGACCCGAACCAACTCCCGGAAGGCCCCCGCCTCCCACAATCCGAAAAGGAAATCAAAGACTTCATCGCCAGCAACCCGGTGGTCAAGAGCATCCTCCAACGCAACATCGTCGCGAGAGTCAACCAAGAAAAGGAGAAGCTCGGCAAGGAGAGCGAGGACCAGCTCACCAAAGTCAAGACGGAGTATGAGCAGAAAATGCAGACTACAAAGGACCAGGCCGTGCTCATGGAGGGCAAACGCTACATGGTCAAGCTAAACATGACCGAGAACCGGCTGCGCATCGCGACGTTCAAGGTCGAGTTGGTAGAGATCGCGGCCAAGGAGACGCCTCAGAAGGCGGTCGTGGAGGTGTGGGAGATTGTGAAGGCCGCGAGGCCGCCCGCTGCCACGCAACCTGGTGCTGCAGCCATTCAACTTCCGGCAAAGCCCGCACAGCCATCCCAACCTACTTTAACCACTTTACCAACCCCTCCAACGCTGCCACAAGCACCGTCCGCGCCAGTCACCCCTGCCCAACCTTCCGAACCACCGAAGGATTCGGTCAACGGCCATACAGCATCATCCACCGATACCCCCGCTGCCGTCGAGCCGACACAGCCGGCGCCTCCAACCACGACCCAAGAACCACAACCGATCCAACAACCGCAACCGGCCCAACAACCACAACCGGCCCAACAACCACAACCGACCCAACAACCAGCCCAAGCTCGGCAAAGCTTCGGCACCGGCCCCCAAGCCCTCCGCGGCCTCGCCTCCCAACTTCCCCGCGCAGGTGGCGCCGCCACTCGCGGGATTCCTCGCCCGGTGGGACGCGGCGGGATACCTATGCCGGGGCAAGGCGGAGGACAACAAGCAGGGCAGGGCCGCGGAGGTGGACGGGGAAGAGGCGGACGTGCGTCGATGGGGCAGGGACAAGGAGGGCAAGGACAGGGACAACAGGGAGGGAGTCCGAGGGGAGGGATGAATGCGGCAGCGAAGCAGTTTGTGCCGGGGATGAAGCGGCCGAGGGAGAGTGAGGGGGAGGGGGGAGGGATGAAGAGGCCTAGGGGAGGGGCAGGTGGGCAGTAAGGGTTCAGTTCGGAGGTCGACGACATGCACGGTTCGGATTTTCATTTGTTGCGTGGAATTACGGTGCTGGCTGGATGCTGGTGCAGCGATCGCAAAAAGGACTGGGTGGGGATTGTATGGTAGTAATATGCATTCTAGGGAGTCGGGGATGGTTGTCCTTGATAGTGGCTTGGTTTCAAGTGCGGTACAGGGACATAATTCATGAGATTCGACTCTCGAAGAACTTCAGGTTCGAGGTATTGCGAACATAGTAGCACGCTGATGATTCTGATGCGGCCATCACACACCTGCCATACGCTAAGACTCCATTCTCATCCTACCGTCTCCAACAAAGGGTATCAATCACGCCTCACACCTACTCCGGCCTAACCCTCCCCCTTCTCTCCCGCATCTCCCGTATCCGCCTCACATCCTCTTCAAACCCAACCTTCAACTCCCGATCCCTCTCCTTCCTCTTCTCCCGTGCCTGGAATCGGTAGAAGTCCGGCCCGATCTTCTTCTCCTTCTCGGCCGCGCGGTCCGCCGCCGCCTGCGCCGCCGCGCTGCTCGCTGGCCGGTGGTGGTGGGCGTGGCGTGTGACGGTGACGAAGCCGTCGGCGTCGGGGACGTTGTGGGTGCGAGCAGCGAGGCGGGTGCGGAGGGATTCGAGGCGCGTGAAGGTGGTGAGGTAGGTGTTGATGGAGGATTGGAGGTGGTGTTTGGTGGGGTGGGTGAGGTGGTGGTGGGAGAGGTAGCCTGTAGGTATCGATGTTAATATCTTGTAATGCGATCGGATGATGTGTACGTACGCTCAATCCCGCATGCCTGACTACTGTTCCACGTCAACTCCGGCGCATCCTTCCCCCCTTTCCAAATCGCCTTCGCAAGCCGACCGCTCGCTTTCAACGCCACGTCTTTGCTGCTTTTGTCCGCGAAGACGACCAGCGCACACGTCCCCCCGGGAAGCAGCTCATCTTCCCACACCTCCGGCAACTGCGCCGTCTCCATCTTCGCCTCCAACTCTGCCTCCTCCACTTCCTCTCTCTTCCGCTTCACCCCCGCGTGCACGGGTGCCTCCGACACCTCATGGCGCTGCTTCCATGCCTTGTCTTCGAACTCGACCCGCTGCACGGCGCCGCGGCCGCCGGCGATGCGTTTGAAGAGGTCGCGGATGGAGGATTCGGAGGCATCAATTGGCACGTTAGAGACAAAGAGGGTGCGGGGGGTGTCGCGGTCCTCGATGCGCGGGTCGTGGGAGCGGAGGTAGAGGTGGTGGTGGACTTTGTGGGGGTAGGCGGGCGTTGGGGGGAAGGTGATGGGGAGGATGGTGTAGCCGGCTCGCTCGTAGAGGGCGCCTCGATTATCGGAAGCCATTTTGTGTGTTTTTCGGAACCCAAGCTCTTATATTTCCGTATTGTTTAGCATCCCGTGCATTGCATGCTCGTAATATTCGTAATATGTCGTGGACTGTCAATATGCGATGGACGAAATTCACGAAATTTTGGCAGAACTACATTCGTGGTCCCTTTGGTCAGACGGAGCTTCTCCACCAGAAAGTTCACCAACGTCCATCCGCGACACAAGAACTTATCTTATATCGTCGCGCTACGAAGAAGCCTAGAGAAATTGTTCTATGGCGAGCATGGTGGTGATGCAGACATGTATCCCGTAATATGGCGGCCCGTCAAGTTACTCGATTGGGCGGCCAAGCCCTGCGAAACGCCGTCCACCTGCACTTCTACCCCCGTCTACGGAAGCTGGACGAGAGTCGAGAAGTCGTGCGCATGTTGGAAACATATGGCCCGCTTCTCACGTTCAAGAATCTGAAGGTATGTGTCCTGAATTTGGATTTGAAGATATTGTTGCTAACACTGCTAGTATGACTTCAATAACCCCCATCCCGGCTCCGCCCTCGCCATCTTCCACGACGCCGCTTCGGCCGCGCGCCTACTCAAAGATTCCCCCTTACGCTTCTCCCTGATCCCCGCCGACGTCGCGCGATCATATTCATCCGTCGACGGCGAACTTAACATGGACTCCATCAGCAAAATCGACCCGTCTCGGCGCCTCGACGACTCCAAGCAGCGCTCCAACATGCCGTTCTACGATCTCGGACGGGACAAAAGCCCTAAACTCTTCGGTTTGCAGACATCGGTGGCGGAAATCACTCAAACGCAGGCTGCCGGTGTGGATGGGGAAGGGGACCCGACCTCTGTGCGCGTCGATACGCTAAACAACCCGTTTGAATACCGGCTGATCGCCGACGTTCCGACGATCAAGTATGATGGGTTGCTCCAGCGGTCGCCGTTCCATGGGCCGTTTCATCCGAATGTCGGGACGATCGAGTTCCTGGATTTGGTGGAAAATGTGCCGAATTATGGATTGGCGGAACTGTCGTTGAAACGGACGGAGACGACGCCAGGGATGCTGAAGAAACGGCAGGCGGCGGTGGAGTCGAGAGTGAGGCTTCGGAAACTCGTTGAGATGAGGGACGCAGGGATGGAGGTTGACTGATTCGACGACAGTGAACTGAGCTCTGAACAATGGCATATAAGAGTATCTGCCGAGAATAATGGGGCCTATGGCAGTCGTCATTGGGGCTCCTGGCGCATGATAGGTGCATGCGAGCATCCAGATGTATCAAAACTTGGATTGGGATGATACCCAAGGAGAGTCATCGACGGCAATCGGCGCACGATTTTATTTCGACTGTACCATAAACATCAAATTTCATTCAAAGAACCCCATCAGGAGTCGTCTCTATTCTGATCCACCAAATCACGGATGATACATCCAATCCGCCGGATTAAACCTCACCTCAAAATCCACCCCCCCATACACCCCCACCGCCGGAAATAGATCATAATTCCCCTCCAACCCCGCCACCCCCCCCTCCGCCCTCTCATCCATCTCTTCATGCAAATCCCACCCCCCCACCTCCCTTCCCTCCCGCGTAAAAAAGACCCTCACATCATCCAACGCCTGCACCAGCCCCTCCCCCTCCCCATACCCCGGCGGCCGCCCCGGCCTCCCAAACCGCATCCCTATCCCCACCGTCTCCCCCGTGCGGAACATCGTCGTAAAATCCGTCCCCCCAAACGTATCGTTCACGAACCGCCGCCCGTCGTCCCCGTGCACCGCCAGGCTGCCCCGCTGCCACCCTGGCTGCCGCCACGTCGGATACGGTGCCGCGACGTAGCCAATCGACACGCTGGCATCGGCCTCCTCGCCCGCGCTCCCCCCACCCCGCCCCATCGCGAGGAGCTTCAGCTCGAAGTAGATGGTCTTCGGGATTCCCGTGCGCGCGGGCGAGTCGTTCATCGCGGAGAAGATCGGCAGGGTGGTCAGCAAGCTCGCGTCGGCACCGTCGCCCCAGGTGCGGGCCTTCCAGGTGCCGGGATGGCGGTCGGGAAGGGGGAGGAGATCGCCGGTGTAGTTATCAGGTTTGAGAAAGGTGAGGTGGCCTGCGCGGAGGGCGGCGAGGGAGGTGGGGTGGACGGGTTGCGGGGGCCAGAGGGGATTGCGGAGGCACCATTCATAGGCGCGGTCGCCATCGGCGAGGGAGGCGTTGCTGGCGGGGGAAGCATCGTAGGTGATGGTGGGGGGTGGGGGGAGGAGGGAGGTGTCGGGGATGACGGTCCAGTCGTGGTAGGGGGGAGGGTCGTCGGTTTTGGAGGGGGGGTTGCTATTGGAGGTGGGGGCAGGTGGAGGTTGGTATTGAGAGGAGGGTTGATGGAGGTGGGATGGGGGTGGACCGGGTGGTGGAGGGTATTCCTCGGTGGCCTGGTAGTATCCTGGGGGAGGTCCTGGAGGGGGTTGATATTGCTGGTTCTGGTTGTAACCCGGGGGCGGGCCAGACGGAGGGTTGTACCTGTTGTTGATTGTTAGAATCTTTGTTCAAATATAATCTACTAATCGGCGATACTGGTTCGATCTAGCTCAATCACCGTCCACGAAGAACGGCACTAGGTTGGAGACCAGGGATTTCTACTTACATTGTCCTTGAATTGATGTCGAAGCTTCTGGACTTTATCCACAGGAGTATGGTTTGTCACGAGTCTTCTTTCGGTTCAACTAGACAGGGAGGAAATGTAGAAGTAGGTTACAGCTTATACTATGTATACCGGGAATTTATAGAGGCGTTGCGAATCGTCGGTTCCGGTTGAGGCGCAGCGGTGGTTCGTACCGAAGTTAAATGATATCACGAATCTATGAATGACAGGACAAGGCTGTGTTCTGCTAACTTCCTAGTCATCCAGTAATATTCCAATTTTCTCGCAGACTCCGGTGTATAATTGTCAGCTAGAATTGGGTATCGGGGAAGGCAGATTTACAGGACAATCTCATGCGTTGGTTGATCCCATGAACCCGGATCGTGATGGACGACGGGGGCCACAGTACCGGTATTGCTCGGTGATGTTGATCGGACCTATTGCTTGCAATGCACATGCTTGGATTTATCAAATGAACCCTCAATGGGTACATGAGGTGTCTATTCATTCTATATGCTCCATTTCTTTGGACTACATCACAGGTTCACTGACCGCATACGCACATTTGCCGTCTTCTGGTTCCTAAGCCGTGTCATCATTCATTTCCCAGCGCCCGGTATTCTATCCATCGTCTCTCTAGCAACAGCTTCCTTTATTGCCATGAGCAGTCCAGGCATGTGTGCTCCTCACGAGCCAATCTGGCCCATCGAAGTATTCAAGTGACGGATCATCAAGAAGAACGGCGTCTTTCCGATTCCACCTCGCTCTCAATCTGCCAAACCGATAATTCAGCCTCTCAATGCACCATCTGTGAAGCATAGAACTCCTGCCTTAAATTAGCACCGAAAATCCCCACTCTCACCCGCCAAACTCACCGGATACTGATTCTGAATCATCGTCGTAATCCGCTCCACCTCCTCCGCCTGCCCTCTTAGATTCCCATCCCACGTCCGCATCTCCCTCCCCACCAGCAAATCTCCCCGCACTACCCCCCGCTCCCCCGTGCTCTCCCCCTCGAAGTAAATCAGCCCGTCCACCTGGTCGATGTACCCCGCCAACCGCCCCTCCTCGATCATCTGCGCGGCGTAACGCTCGGCTTTCTCCTTGTCGATCCCCAGGAGCCCGCCGAGCTCCTCCACGCGGATGTTGTTGTACAGGCGCGATGCGGCGACCATGTTGTGCTCGAGGACTGCTTTTTGGAGGACGGTGAACCCGTCGGACGTCTTGGCGAGTTGGTGCTCGCTGAGCTTCTTCTCGAACGCCGCGATGTCGGTGGGGGAGAGGAGCCGGTCGAGGAAGATTCGTTCTAGGATGCTGTATTCCTCGACGTGCGTCGCTCGCTCGTCCTTGTAGAGTCGCGCGAGCATCTTCGCTCGCTGCGGGCCGGCGGGAGCGAGAACCGCGCAGGTGATGGACGCCGACAGCGCTTGAAGCCGTTCGTCTTCGTCGACTTCCCGCTGCAGGCTGAGGATGTGGTAGGCGGAGCTCGCTTCCAAGAACGATCGCTGCGAGTCCAGGATGCGCGCCCGCGAGAGCTCGTATTGCAACTTCGTGGTCGCATCGGTGACGTCGAAGATGATGTTCTTGACACGGTTGAGATACCCCGTTGCGCTTATTGGGTCCTCCTCTTCTAGATAGCAGCGCACAATGCGCACCCAGATCTTGGCCCGCTCGTCGGCGGTGAAGCTCCGCTGCGAGGAATCGAGGCTGATCGACTGCAGGACGCGGGCGGAGTTGCGGAAGTCCTCCTCGTCTTCGTGGGCATCGGCAAGGATCTCGCGGATGGCGCGGTCTTGCTCTTCAAATGAGACGACTTTGTGGTGGAGGGTGGCGAGGAGGGATTGGCAGACTTCGATGCGCAGGGAGAGGGAGGGGATGGCGCGGAGACGGTCGACAAGGAGGTGGAGGAGGGGGCGGGCGGAGACGATGCCGAGAGCGTCGCTGGTGACGACGCTCGCGAAGGTTTGGAGGCCTGCGAGGACGTCGCGGTCGTTGGAAGATTGGAGGATCAAGTCAAGGAGGGAAGGCGTCTTTTGGAGTCGTTCGCTCTGGGGGGCGTGTTCGAGTTGTTGACATATTTGTTCGACCTGGGAGGCCATGGTGAAGGTGAGGGACTTCACTAGTGGGATTAGGGCATATATTTGGGGTGAGTTTAGTCGAGGCAACCAGCTATGTAGAGGAATTGTAGGATTATGAGAATTTGACTGTACAATGTGAGAGGAGAGTGCATATACAGTAAGTTTGATGTGCTTGAATTGATCTTGAACTGGCCCAACTGGATACCTTGAGCTTCAGTGATCCCCACAGTGACAGGGGTTGACTATTGCGGTCTTGACGTCTTGGGTTTATGCTGCCTTAACGCCTTAGGGTCTTGATGTGAGAGCGCAACAGCACGTGCAAATGCGCCAAGGCATCAAGACGCTAAGGCGCTAAGGCGCTAAGGCGTGGATTACGTCGATTAGAGCGATCCAGACATCACCTTCATATCGCTTTCAATCTTCATTTCCGTTGATACTCCCCACTCTCCTCCCAGTCATTCCACTCACTTTTCACCTTCATAGTCCCTTCAGCATTTGCAATTGGCTCGTCCCACCTTGCCTTCCTTCTACTTCTTCTACTTCTTCCACTCCTCCTCCCTCGCCTTCACACTTGCAGCTCCACCCTCCAGGCATCTTTCCCCAATCTTCGCAACTCTTTCTTCTCACCATATAATATATCTACTTTAATCCTTCTACAGCTACCCTTCTTTTCTCTGTCATCAACCTTCCACCATGGCCACCCATTCTCCCGCCGCGTATCTAGCAAATGAGAAGCCGTTGGACGGGTACGTCAAGACCGAGGATATGGATTCCCAACCTGTCGGCGGGGACCCCACCGGCGGCTACATGGACGACGATGATGAAGGCGACGAACTCAACATGACGAACGTCCACGAGGATGCCCTGCTAATGCGCGTCGACCACGATCTCTGGGTCGCCATCCAAGACATGACCGAAGACGAGCCGATCCAGATGGGCTATGTCCGAGAATGGGAGAACGGCAAGGTAATTCAGCCCCTTGCAAAACCCAATGGACGCGTTTGGAAACTGACGAAATTGGCGGTCAGACCAAGATGTTCCTTAAGGAGATGCCCCCGAACCATTACCTCGTGCCCCGCGAATACGACCTCAACGTCACCGACGCCAACGTCAAGAATCTCTTCGTCTTCGCCGAGAAGGAGATGCCCGCTTTTAAACCTAACATGCTCGGACGATTCAAGGACCAGAAGAAGTCCATCGGCAGCCAAGAAGACAGCGAGAAGGGCGCTCAACGAATGCGCCGAGGAAAGCGCATCATCCCCAGTACGCTCCCTGATCCCTTATGAAAAACTCTACTCACCTCCCTAGAACGCACCACCCTCTACGCCGGCATCCGCAAAGAACTCTCCGTCCTCCCCGTCCAAAACGACACCTTCCATGCCCTCGAAAAAGCCAAATTCTCCGAACTCCTCAAGAAAGAATTCCGCTTCACCACCAAGACCTCCACCAACGATACCAAGATGCTCGGTCTCGACAACATGGAAAACCTCCTCAAATACGGCGCCCGCCCTGCCAAGACCCAGGACAACAAGGCCATCCGCATGGACCGCAGCCTGCTGCTCGAACGCCTGGGCTACTTGTTCGGGCAGTATCGATACTGGACGCTGCGCACGCTGAAGAACGAGCTGCAGCAGCCCGAGGCGTATTTGAAGGAGGTGCTGCAGGGGATCGCGGTGTTGGTGAAGAGTGGGCCGTTCGCGAACCATTGGACGTTGCGGCCGGAGATGGTGGAGACGATTAAGTGGGCGGAGAGGGGGGCCGCGGCGGAGGGGGCCGCGCCAGGGGTGGGGACGGAGAGTAGCGCCGGGGAGGAGGAGGATGAGGAGGCGGAGATGGAGGATGTGCTTTAGGGGGAAGAATGGACAGTGGGGTGTTCGGTGTTGGTGTTTGGCGTTCGGTGTTCCGAGATAATTGAGACTTGGGACGAGAAGTATGCTTGCGCTCATGAGAGCCGGTTCGGCAGTGCGACGAGGACTCGGAGGTATTGGCGGCGCTACTTCGTAGTACAGTAATGAGGCGATGTGATACCCAACCGACCACCGGTATAGACTACAGTAGCTAAGATAGGAGAACAATGGAAACCTCAATAATCATCGTCCCCATCGGATTGGACTGGACTGGACTGGGTGTGACATCATCCCATTCCCTCTCTCATTCTCGTTATTTCCCTCCTCCCCACCTGACATCTATTCCCATTTCATTCCCCCAACATGGTGTTTCGCTATCCGGATATCCTCACCGGTAGGTTGGCTGTGGTCTCCCATCGTCACGCGCGCAAGATTCATACCCAAGGCATAAGATCTCGAGTGAAGCGAAGCCTCAAGTCAGTGACATTGCTGATATTTATCCCCTGGGCACCGCAGATGCCGTACATAGATGTCATACATAATGTAACTTGGAGGGGTACTACTGTGGCGTGCAGGAAGGGTAGGGCGGGTGCTATACTCGCATCCCTTCCGCAAGCGGCTTGGAATATCTATAGGTTCTCGGATCATCATATGACTCCTATCCTTTCTCTACACATAAGACATGGTCAATTCCCCTGTCAATCTTTCCTCCCTCCATGTATCACGAGCTGAACGGGTCTGATGGGCATCAATTTCAGCTTCAGCTCGAAAGTAAGGCGACGATCATACATATCATAGCAGGGGATGCGCATAGAACTCCACTGCACTGCACTGCACGCGCTCTACAGTCATCTCAAACCGCCGTATACCTTACGTACATGGAAAGCATAAGGCTTCGATTACATACCGACCAAAACCCAAAACCGAAATGTCTCACTCCTTCGCCTCGCTCCACCATGGATTTGAGATTTCAGATCTGCCCCGCAACTCGCCTGTCAGTCTGCGAACTCCATGCGTGCATGTCTGCCGTCAGATCAGGATCCAGGGGAGGGAGTAAGCGAGTTGGGCATCAACGCTCGGAGTCTCTGCGCTGAAGAATAAATGAGGCGGTATGGAAGTAAGTCCATCTAGCCCAAGAAGAGAGATCGATTAAGGTAAGGTACCTACGCTTCTGGAGCCCAAGGATATGGAATACGGAGTCGCACGGCGGAGGATCGTTGGTTAGAGGAGTTAGTTGGTAGGTGGGAAAAGGTTGTGGACGGGTTAGTGAAGTCCGGGGTTGGGGACCAATCGATCGGACTAGGGGGTGGATCGGGAGGTTAGGCCCTTGCTACCTAGGTGAGGTCGTTTGCCTTGCTTTGCAATGGCGAAGAATCGATAGTGGTTTCGGATTCGAGAGTTGGGAATGGAGTTGGGATGGACGATGCTAGGGCTGGAGATCGAGGGGCTGCGATCTGGTATGGCTACTGCGCTTCAGGGTGGGGAGGGAGGTATCCAGGGGGTCGATCGATGTCATCGATGACCATAGGGAATATATCCAAAGTCCAAAGTCCAAACTCGCCACGGAGATGTACCAAGGAGCCTCATCACATCCGCCATTCCAGAATCCAGTCGCTGCCCGTACATATCCACCTAAGAGGTACGAACTGCTCCGCATACATCAATTCAGATTACACTTCGTTTGCTCCCGTTCATTACCCCCAATCATCGCCCACCAACCGGACTCCGGCCCTATCCGAATTGCTCTCCGGCCTACCACCTCCACCTGCTTGCTCTCTCGTTCGCGATCCGGGCCCGCTGGACGCGGTGTCCCGTCGCGCGGCCGTGGTGTCGGGACAGGAAGTAGAATCCGGATGATGTAGATAGAGGGTGGGAACATGGTGTAGGAGGGAGCGGAGGCGACGGGCGGTGGGTTTGTTTAGTTGCTCAGTTGGAAAGGGAGGAGGATAGGAATAGAACAGACGGAGTTTCTGCTGGAGAGAACAAAGGATGAAGCGAGGACGGTACATACAGGGTTCCGTACGGAGGAGGCTATTGCTTGATCGACGATGAGAGGAGCGTGTCACGATAACCCGCGGGGTTCCAGGTTGCGATCGACCAATCGCTCGGTTGCGCCAACGCATCCGCGAATCCTGGGAAAGATTTAGTTGTACGGAGCCGATATCCCACCAATCCGGCGTAGAGAAATGCAGATTACACGCAGGTATTTGGGGGGGTGGGGAGCACGGCATTCCTGGCGTCATGTCCGGTTACGGAGTGGAATCTACGATGCTAGACTAGATTGTGGGACGCTGGAATCTGGATTCCGTGGGCGCTGCTAGTATGAGATATTCCGGTATCGTGGGATGGGAGCAGGAAGTTGAAAAGGGGGTTCGCACTGGGGGAGAAATATCAAATACTGATGCGTGAAACGGAATGATGCAAGGGAGAAACGTGCGTATCGATAAGGAATCGCGGGGTCATGTTGTGGTTCAGAAACTCGTCCGCCCACCATCACGGTCATCTGTCCAACGTCATGCGAGCGCTTGTTTGAGACCAGCGACAGCGAACATCCTGCGATACGGTACCGTAAGAGTTATGGTGCGAGCACGAGCATCCATCGCTCCGCGGATTATTGCTGAAAAGCACTGCCTAACCATGACAATATCAGAACTAAGCCGGATCAGGCACATCGCAAGGCAACCCAGCTCGACGTCCCCTCCGCAAAGTGCGAATTGACAGCCAGCACCCAGCATGCAACGAGCATGTCAACCCCATCCCATCACCTCGCAGGACAGACGGGCCGGACCTCTACTTGGGCATTCGTCCTTGTTGCGACTTGCAGTGCGGGACGCTGGGACATCTGCACGGCGAGTTAGGGGAATCACATTCATGGGGATTGGGGTTGGGCGGGCGGGCGGCGGACAAAGGCATCAACGGAACGATGCTTCGGATGCTGATCGGGCATTCAGTTTAGATGGCTGGAAATAGAAATAGAATGGGATCGGAGTGTGGGTTGTGAGAGATCATAATGAGGAAATCGGAGGAGGACATGGCGGTGCGGGGTTGGGATAGGAGAATACTGGGGGATAGGCGCAGAGGTGACCAGTGAGGGGTGGTACGCGTATTACGGCCGAACCTCCAAACACAACAAAGTATCTGTACGAGGCTATGCCAGTTCGCTGGATGCTAGTCGGATCACTGATACTGTCATGAGAGGCTGAGATTGTTATTGGAATACTGTGGGGAATTTGAATTTGAATGCCGCCCCGGAGGAATTGGTCAATCTTGACCATCTTGATTCCAGGACCCTGAATGAATTCAGGATTGACAACAATAAGGACGAGGAAAAGAAAGCGGTCAAGCGGGGTTCGGGACGGCGCGAGATTCCGCCCAGTTCTTAGTTAAGATCGCCTGAGGGCTGAGATAGTGACGGAAGTAGTGGGACATAGCTGCCCGTCCCGGTCTCGCTTGCTCTATCATCAATCACTAATCAGCCCTCTATCGACGACTATCATTGGAATTATGAAGGACGCTGCAAGAGACTGTTGAATATCAGAAATGGCTGTCTACGGCAACAGTTGTCGTTAGGTTATACGATTCAACATTTCGAGGCACTCGCAGCATTTCAACGCCTCCCACCAGTGAAAGGGCGAGCAACCTGCGAACGCTGACCAAACCAGCAGCATTGGCTGACATGATCCCAATCAAACAAGCCATGGGGGAAATCTCAATTCTCCAGTTCTTTCGTGCCCAAGGCTACCGCATTAATCTCATCTGTCCCTCCTGATAGATCTCTTCCAGCGTCTCCAGTCCCAACTTGAGACAACCCCACAGAAAGGACTCGTAACCGCTATCACGATGACTCCCTCTGCCTCCGAAGCGCGAGAACCTGAGGCTGGTCTCATCAGTTGCATGACCGTTTCCTCTCGAACTGAAAGCCACTGCAATCCCGAAATTCGCGAGGAACAGCAGGGCGAAACGGACGGGCGGTCCGCCAATGGACGATGGGGCCTCGATGCATTCGTACCCAATGTGATGGGGCGGCCAGTCAGCAACAACACCAGTGGTGAGGCCGTGATGGTGATGGTCGAATCAAACGGATCGATGATACGTTGATACTACTTTCAGAGACAAATACGCCAATCCGCAGTCGCTAGAAAGAGGATTTACTGGTCCTTGGCTAGGTAATGGGTATATTTGCTAAGCACCGGATGACCTTGTCTCGTCCACTCAACGCTATTCCCGTCCTCCCCCTCCCGTCCTATCACCACTTCATCCACTCCCCCATATCCAATATCCCCCCCATCCTGATCTTCATCCCTAACCCGCGCATCCCCCCATCGCCATTTACTGTCTACTGATTTCACCCATGCCCGCCTCGTACCAGTGAGATCGGGTGTCGGGCTGGTCTCAAATCTTGCCTCTCCCCATCTAGTCTTTCGCCTTGTCCACCCACATGCCCATCCCCCCGGTTCCCCTCGCCAATTCCAGCGCAAGCCCTTGTTCCATGTCCATGTCCCTCTACAGTCTAATTCCGAGTCTTGTCACCCCATTGTATCCCACCTTTGCGTTTCCCCTCCTTGTATGTCGAGACTGTTGCGTAAGGAACTAAGGGAGAGCTCATAATCATCTGAGAGCATCCTTAAACCAAGCCTTTTCCCGGCTTCTCACCTCCCGCATCTTTCCTGTTTCCCACATACATACCGCCCCGTCCTGCTCACCCGGAACCGCCGTTTGTCTCTCCCATATTAACCTACTATCCTTTTATCCTCCCGATCATTCCCTTCCATCGTACGACGGTCATTCTCCTCGTTGATACGATTCCTACGACCTGGGACTCCCGTTGCCGCCCGTCTGGTTGTTATCCGCCACATTTTCCCCAACCCCGCCAACCCTCAAACCTGCTTCTGTACACCGCCCATTGCCGGCCCATCAGAACCCATCCACCGCGAGAAACGAACATCTGACGAGCGAGCGAGCAGCACGCACAATCCATTCTTCCCATTGCCGCCCAATTTTCGGGATTGCATTAAATCATGGCCTTTCCGCACGCCAATTCCCACCAGTCCTTCTACCGTCCTCCCTCCCAACTCTCCATCCACCGCAAACCCTCCACCGCGAGTCTCAACAGCAACTTCTTCGACGATCTCGACGATTCGTTACCGGAATCCACCATGCTCTCGCCCTCGGGCACGCCGGCATCCCTCATGTCTCCTCAAATGTCCACGGTATGGGACGACTTCACAACGTCGGGTCCGTTCTCCCACTCTCAAGAACGAAGCGACTCCGTCTCGACGAATCCGTTCGGGCAGACCAACAATCCCTTCCTTCGCCTCGAACCCGCTCAAGCCGCCATGTATGGCCAGCAGTCAGTATGGACGCCTTTCGACCGATCCGATTCGTCCAGCACGCCCACGCCGGTCCAGAAGTACGAGCCCTTTGGATCGGAGTTTGACTCGGGTGCCCAGCATCATCGTCCCCACGTCTTCCCCGTGCATCCCCCCTCCAATGATTTCGGTGCCGTTCCAATGCAGCAGCAACCATCGCAGCAACCCCTTCCCAATGTCCGTCCCAGCTCCATATTCCCCTCCGCCACCCCTCTCGCGCAGTCACCCACCACCGAGAAGCAATGGATGGCGTTACCCCCGTCGTCGAGCGTGCAGCCCGGCCCCGTCGAGGAACGCCCGGCCCCCAAGCGCATGCGACCCAACTCCCCGCAGCGGACACTGTCGTACGCCACGTTCCCCCGCCCCGACGGCATCCGGAAGAAGAACGCCCGGCTAGACATCCCCGTGGAGCGGAACCTGACGAACATCGATCGCTTGATCCACGAGTCGTCCAACGACGAAGAGAAGAAAGAGTTGAAAGCGCAGAAGCGCCTTTTGAGGAATAGACAGGCCGCGTACGAACCCCCTTCCTGTTCGATTTTTGGTTTTTGGTCCCAGCACCCGTTCCCCGTCAATTTGGTCCACCCTTCCCAACCGCATTGCATTTCCGCGTGTACCCCGCTAACAGTTTTCTGATCTAGACTTGACTCCCGTCAGCGCAAAAAGAAACACACCGAGGAACTAGAGCTGGAGAAGAAGAGCTGGGACGATCGCCTCCAGGTCCTCGAAGCCGAAGTCAACGCCCTCCGCATCCAATCTGGCGACCTCCACGCCGAAAAGGATCAATGGATGCGCGAGCGCTGCGTTATGGTCCAGCAGATCGAGACCGCCCAGTGGGAGAAAGAGGAGCTGGTTCGCAGCCACACCCTCGAGACGGGCGACCTGCGCAAGAAAGTCAACTTCCTCCGCGAACAGCTCGACGCGACCGCCGCCGGCGGGATAGGCGCGGGTATGGGCGACGCCCCGCAGCCGATGGCGACGGGCCATCATGTCGGCGCGTTTAACGAGTTCACCAACGAGATGGACAACCTGACCATGGCGAGTGAATGGGACAACTACATCTACGACTTCTGCGTCGACCCAGACACCCCCGCCACGCCGACTCCCGCCACCGTCGCTGTCGCCGCGTCCACGCCGACCCCCTCCTCTAAATCCACTCCCACCAACTCAACCACCACCCTCGTCGTCTCCCGCCCCAAACTCCCCACCCCCCCCATCGCCTCCGACGACAAACCCGTCAACCACGGCGTCCTCCTCATGCTCCTCCTCTGGGGCGCCTTCGTCGCCCACCACTCCACCTCCTCCTCCCCCCCTTCCCTTCCCCGCCTCCCCGACCACGTCCGCGCTGCCTCCGCCACCGTCCTCGACTCCATCCTCAACGACGACCTCCCTCACCCCGCCGCCCTCACCGTCAACCCCGCCTCCACCTGGCCCAAACCCGCGTCCGGCCTCACCGACCACATCATGGGCAACACCGGCTTGGGCGGCATCGGCGGCGGCGACAATCCCCCCATGGAGCGCCTGCACGCGTCGCTCACGCAACCCACCAAAGCGCAGGAAGCCGAGCAGTTGTTCTCGCTTACGCCGACGCAGTACAGCGCATTGACGGATCCGTCCTGCGGGCGCGCGTCTTCCATCTCCTCTTCTGAGGATACTACCGCGGGGAAATCCGGGGGAGCGAATCGGAGGAATCTGGCGGAGGCGCTGGCGGCGATGCGGGAGCGGAGGGGGGAGTCGGCGGCGGAGGTGTATACGCGGAGTTTGCTGTGGGGGCAGATTCCGGGGGAGGTGGTGAGGGAGTTTAAGCGGATGGTGGGGGAGGGGGGAGGAGGGATGGAGGAGTGAGTTGAGGTGATATTGCGGTGATTTAAAGAGTCGCAATAGACACTCGGGAAGTTGGAGTAGCGATGAACGAGCGGGTCGCGGGAGCGACGCGGAGGGTTGGCGTGGAGCGAGGTTCCCGGAGGGAAGGTGATGACAGATATTGATGACTGACGAGGTCAATTTGTGACAAAGAATGGGGACGATATGATAGTTTACGATCTAACACGAGACGAAGCCATGGGATGGATGATGGATGCTGGACACTGTCCGCACCACCGATGACACGACGTTTTGGCAATTTGTTTTGGGTACAGCGAGCGGCTTTCAGCGGGTTTACAGCGATGGATTTTTCATGTTTGCATTTCCCTCGCATCTCTCCATATCTTCATGGGGTGTGCCGTCTGCTTTCTTCATTTGTTCAGTTTTCAATTTTTACGCGCATATGACGACGAGGTTATGAAATCGGAACGAGTCATTGATCTATCTATCTACTGCGGATCTGACCATGGTTCGGTAATGAATGGGACACGCCGAATGTTGTACGAGATTGGATGGTTCATGGCTCGGGGGGTGGTTGGATGGATGGATGGGCATTGGGACGGACGGTGGCTTTGGCTGTCATCTCAGTGGACTACCTAGGTATACCAGACGGTATCTTTTCATTTGTCTGGGTTTCTTTTGTGAGGGAGAAAACTGGTTGTTGATAGTTGATTTTGATAGTTGGTAGTGGAATGGCATGTGTTCCGCTCTACTCTTCTAGACGCCCGTCATCGATTCTCATGGAACGCTTTCCTTGCACTAAACCGTCTCAAGTGCACGATATTCAGTCTATGTCGGTTGGTCCTAGAAAGGGTGATGATCACTACCACCCGGACCGTAAGGGAACCCCTTCGGGAGAAGCATCGCTGACCGGATGACCATTCTTGGATTCCGATCACGCTCGAACACTCGTCTCATTATTTCCTCCGATGATCAAACTGATATCGTACCATGGCATCCTATTGAGCCCGCCTGTCGTGCTATCCACGCGTCTAATGCAAGGTGCGGCCGCTAGGGATTGAGATCAGGAGGCCGGGTGGATGTAAGGAACGTGACCATCACACGGGCTCCTGTACAGGGAATCACATTCACCACACCGTTCAGCGGCCGCTTCTGGAAGGAGGGAGGGAGGAGTTGGGCTGGGCTGGCTGCTTCCTGCGGGTCGGGTAGGCGACGGGTTGATCAGTTGGAAGCGAAAACACGGAGATATCACTCGGAATGCTCGCTTGGATGATCAGTGTACCTCCCCCAACGAGGAATGGACGTCGATAGAAATGATCCGGTCAGCCTTGCCCTCTTTCGCCCAACGCAACAAATGTCTCCGAGATCGGGGTGCAGTATTACGGACATTGAAAATCATTCCCTAGCATCGGCTTCGTGCGTGGAAATCCCACTCAACTAAATCCCACCCATCTATCATAGGTATCCAATGAAAATCCCCTCAAAATATCATCTTCAATCCATCAAACCGACGACGAGCCTGCCGCTTTCTTCAGCCCACCGTATTTATCCTTCCAGATCCTGTAAACACGCGGAAAAGTCAGTCAACGATATCCAGCACCATCCGCATTTGATACGATTAACGTGAGGGACGCAAGAAAAGGTTTTGAGGGAAGATGGGATGGTCAGCAGATCCGGGCGCCCCTCCCCGGCCGCGAGGACGTCGCAAGAAGGCGGAGTTTGACCGCGGCACCGGACAAAGTAAGCGGATGCGGAGTCCTGATGGTATTGGAGGAGAGAGTGAGCAAGGCTTGCGTCCTTTGGATGGACCCTCGCTCGAAGATCGATGGGTTGTCTCCTAGCGTAGCATCGCATGCAGGTTTGAAGACTTCCGTTCTTGGATGAGGCGAACAGCTGGCTGGACCACGGGAGAGCAGAGCTGTTCACGAACCAGACCATGCAAGGGGATGAATTCCCCAACGGCACGTATCGATTCTCGAATTGTTCCCGTGCTGGTAGGAGAGGGTGCGGGAGGTGTGGTTGGTGGTAGGGGGCCAGACACCGTGGAGCTTCGAACGTCAAGCTAAGCTCATCGTGAATGGTGCCACGTGTACGACGTCGACAGCGAGGACTACATCGCGACCAGCCGTCCACCACCACTCAGCCAGCGCCGAAACGCAAATATGCAGGCGAGATGTCGGTTCGCATGGATTATGTGATTATTCAACGGGTGGGATGGTTGCTGTGCGCATCGCAGGAAATGGGACCGTCTCGTCTATTCGTTGGGGGCTTGGCGCCCGACATTGAAACCGGCCGTTGCGTGGGAACGACAGCAGCAAGCACAAAAGCAGGAACAATGCGAGAACGCGTTCGACGCTGTAGAGTGTAGCGTAGATTTGTTTATTGTTTTGGATTCCTTTTTGAGCCATCTTCGTCGTGATTTGTTTCCCGTGCTCTTTTCAGCTGCGCGATCGTCCGGCCATTCTCCTGGGGATCCGACGTGATGGAGTCCGGTCCTAAGACAGGAACGAGTGTTCCGAAAATATGGCCGTGGATAGGGACGGGAAGGTAAGGTGACTGATGCAACGAAAAGGGATACGTACCAACTGTTGCCCACTGTTTTGTGTCCGCTCTGCTCCGCGCGCCGGAGGTACTGCGCCGCTTTGAACTGAGAATCGTGTCAGCCATATGGAATGCGCATTCTTCTGATACCCAAGATATGAGGCGAGCAGATTGTATCCACTCCATGAATAAACCGAGATTGTCTTTGATCCAAATCAAGTTTGCAAGTAGATCGTAAACAAGGTACCAGAGTATACCGGTAACTAGCAATCGGCACGCCATGAAACTCACCTTATCCTTCTTCGTCCCAAACCCCTCCAAATAGCACCACGCCACCTCATTCATCGCATCCGTATCCCCCAGATTCGCCGCCGTCTCATAATACTGCCTCGCGGCCGCCGGATCCTTCTTGATCCCCCAGCCGTGCCGGAAGCAGTTTGCCAGCTCGAAGATCGCAAGCACCAGCTCCCCTTTCGCGGCGCCGCCCTTCTTCATGCCAGCCGCCAGCGCGAGGCTTTCGATCTCCGCGCTATTGGATGCGGCGAAGGAGAGGAAGGTGACGGCGAGGTCGGGTTGGGGGGCGCAGCCCCAGCCGTGTCTGGGGATGGGGAGGGGGTATCAGCCATACGTCTCTGGAGATGGGAAGGGTGGCGGGATATACCTGAGTGCTAGGCCATAGAGAACTTGACTGAGGGCGTTGTTGGCACCGTTGGGGTCCGCGAGGCGTCCGAACATTGCCGTTGCGCGTTGGAGATCTAGATCGATTAGCGACGAACTTGCGTGCGTCCATGAATTTGTAACATACCGCCTGCTTCGTGGAGTCGAATCGCCTCTTGTATGTTCACCTACAGTATGCGACGGCCATAATCAGCGACCACCACCACCATATCGCGGGCGAGCTGTCCATGTACACTCACATCTCCCCCAGCATCAGCGACACTTATCCCACCACTCTCCGCCTGATAATTCGCACTCGCTCTCCTTGGCCGCATAATCGGGTTCCCCTGCGCCAGCATTGTCGCTCTTTTCTCCCACTTCGCCTCCGCCTCATCCCCCAGCTCATCCTCTCCGATGTCGGGTAAATCCGCCGGTACATTGACCGAGCTCGAGCTGGCCGATCGGGATCGCGACCCTAGGTGCAGTCGCGCGGACAGTCGCCGCTCGCTTTTGGGTCGTTCGGTGCCTTCCGCGCCGTGGGTGGACGTAGTCGATGCGTTGGAGGAGCTGCGGAACCGACTAAGGCGCTTGCCGTCCATGGAAGGGCGTCGCGATTTCTGGGAGGAGGGGAAGGCCTCCTCGACTTGCGGAGGGGCAATAATCTCTTGCGTATGGGTCGTGGTGCGAAGGAACGTGAATTCGGGGACGGGATTCTCATACGATTCCCGCGTTGGCGCCTCCTCGTGCTCCCCGAGCTTGTCTTTCTTCTTGAGAAGGTCGCGGATGGTCATTTTGCGCTCATCTCAACTTAAGATAGACCTTTCCTACATGACAAGAAATCCAAAAGTTTTTGAAGGGAGTGATGTACCTGAATATGCTACTTAAATTAGAATGGCCGGGTTTCCACTTGCGTCACCCAGGCGCAAGCGGGGCGCAGTTATTCTGTGCTGCGACATGGAGTATCGAGTGCCTGCCTGTCGTTAGGGAGTCGGGACATATTGAAGCTCAAGCTATCCCTACAGGTATGCCAGGAACTCTGAAGTGGATCAGGGGAAATTAAGTCCCCAAAGTTGGCCATGAAAAGCAAAGTTTCTGTAAGTTACAACACCCGTATTAATGGATGGGAACATCTTCAAATGGCTTTTGAAAGAAAGCGAAATTGACGTCAAACGAGGCGAGGCAGTACCTTCACCTCTCAGGAGTCTACAGATCATTTACTAGGACCATGGACTTCATGTTCAACTGTTTTTCCATTGATATTATTCTATCAGATAATTGATCTTCGTGTATGCACAGGAGTCCATCCATAGCATGTGGACGTCGGAATATGTGTCCTGTCAAGAACACTCCTGGGTATCATGCAATGCTTCCCGCTCCAGCGCCATGAACGACTGCAACAAAGTACAGGGCAACTTACGACCCGGGCATCAGACGGGAATATAATCCTGCTGCTGCCTCATCTCTTGACCGGTGCCATCGCCAACATCAAACATTGTCAGATCTTCGGTGACACCGTCAGAATCCACGTCGTCATCACTGTCCGAAGACCGTGGTGTGTCCGTAGATGCGTTGGAGCTGGACGCCGCTGCCGCTGCCTTCCTGATCTGACCGGCTCGATCAGGATGTGGAAGACGACAGCGAGGGTTGGAGCAGGTTCCTGTGTTAGCATAATCTGGACACTCATGGACATGGCGTTCAGGGCACTCGGCACCCTTTTCGCAGTACCCTATTGTAGCGAATGGACGACAGACCGGAGCCCCAGGAGCGGGTTTCACATGACTGTAGGGACAATTTTGGTTGGAGCAATTACCCCTTAGGAAATGCACACAGAGTGGCACGCGGTGAGCGGTGGGTTCGTGAGAGAGGTCGCAAGCGTCCCCCTCCGGGCATTCGCCTTTGTGAAGGAAAGTTTTACAGATTGCAACCTTCGACGCATCGTGGATATCGTGGCATCGAGATCCGTGGGCGCAGATACCTATGAAATGGGTTAGACTGAACAACATTGGGCCTTCGGCAAACACGATGAATCTGAATCATCACGTGCTGAAAGCTTGCGCTTTGAAAGGGAATCAAGCTACCAGTCGATGTGAATCTGGGACAGAGCTTGCCAGATTTCACGGGGTTGTGCGTGCTAGAGTCACGGTTAGTTACTGCCTGGTTGCTCATTCCGGACACGTACGGCTGGTTCATCAATCCGGCTCGGATGAGGTTGCCGTTTTTGCTTCGTAAATACGTGACTCCGGCAACATTGGCCGTCTTTGGCGTTGGAACATGCGGATAAGCTCCTGTTGATGTCAGCCCGTCGTGGCTGACAATGGCGTTGTTAAGAATACCGGGCACTCGGATGAGCTTATTCCCACCGTCAAAAAACGTGAAGCCAAGGCCGTCAACAAGAACCTGTTTCCCGTCCCCAAGGCCTCCAGGGACGCCAGGTGTGCCGTTGAAATAACTCTGGAGACTGGCCTTATCTTTCCGGTCACGCAAATCTCGCCGACGCTTCATCGTCTCATCAATTTCCTTGGACCGTTGCTGCGTTCGTTGATCGTAAACCGAAGCATTTATTAGCTGCATATGCCTGTCACGCTTCGAGACCCAGGCTTGCGAGCCATTAGAGTTATCCGAGAGCGATCCATGGCTCTCTCCTGCTGCGGCTGTTTCTAGACCACCCGGTTGAGCGGAGGTCAGAACTAGTGACCGGTTGCGGTATGCGGGTGCTCGGGTTTTGTTGATACGGGCTCGTGGAAATGATGGGCTGGATGGGCTAGCATATGGATGGTGATAACCAGGTGCGGCTATGTCATTGATCAGTACGGCTCAGAACAGTAAAAACACTAATGGAAACTTACTGTGCTGCTTGTGACGGTTGATCTGGCCTGTAGAACTGAGTTAGGACGATGTGAGAATCCACGGCAGCCGAACTTACCAGCTAGAGCAGCGATCTTCGCCTTCAGTTCGCTATTCTCATCAGACATTCTGGTGCTGTTAGGCGTTAGTATGCATGTGAGCTAACGGATAGCAGATAACAAGATCCGGTGGTACGGCGACTCGTGGAAGACGATTGTATGGAAAAGAGGAAGAGAGGAAGTTAAAGTTGGGAGGAACCAAAGGTGAACAAAGGCAATCGATGATAACTGAAGGCGGATGAGTGAAGTTGGGAAGGAACGTCAGTTGGATTCACGTGATTGATGTTTGTTAGGCATCAAGGCCGAAATCTCTTTTGGCTACTTAGTCACGTGTTGCGGCTGATGATAGAGTCACGTGGCCCATCCACTCTGATCAACATATCTTCCATAATTAACTACAATTAGTTAAGTTAGCCCAGGTTAGATAGTTTCTCTTTTCTTCGTCAAACTTTAGAAAAATAATTAAAAGGCGGTGAAGACTATTAGAACAGCTAACTTATCCGTACATTATTCCCTCAAGATCCCTTTAGCACCGTCTTCAATATAAGTTTACAAATGGACTCTACAGCATCTTCGTATGGACAAAAAATCGTTCAAGATGTAACTATTCCTGACCGCTCTCAGCCCCCCATATTTCGAGGGGAATACCTTGACCATTCAAATTGATGGACAGCCATCGAACAATCTGGACGTAACCGTCCTCAAAGCTTTTGAGCCTTTCACCCTTTCATGCGCTTTACTTGTTCAGCTCGACTGGTCGATGTTGAAGTTGAAAGGCCAATATGTACTCAAACTCTTCGATCGACGCTTTGCTACAGAAGTTCGGCGGTATAATAAAGCCTGCCCTTGGGATCCTAAGATCGAGGACGAATATCGCAATTTCGTCTACGACGATGACATATCAGCGCTTTTTACATTCTGTGCGGAACAAGAGACCGATTACAAGTGGACTCCAAGCGCGCAAAAGGACTGGAATGGAGCTCACCTTGAAGCTTATCTACAGTACTGCTGCCGAAACTACTATATGACGGAAACACAAGTATACGACCGACTCCCCGATTTGCAAGGCGAGGATATTCCCCGTCTTATAGCGCGTGTGCTAATAAGACGCCCCTCGAGCGCCGGTCTAATCGATAAATATCTCGACTGTCCGGGCATCCTGTTAGAATATATCCAAGGCTACCACTTAACTGACCTTGAAGAAAACACGCCGAAAGCCGCCTGGCAACAAATATGCGATGAGGCCATCCGCATTGTCAACCGGATCGGCGAGCGAGATATCCGCAACGAAGATGTCAAGACCAGGAATTTCATCATCCGAACAGATCCACGTACGGCCCTGCTTAAAATAATCATGCTAGATTTTGGTGCCTGCGTTCTACGGAAACCAGACCAAGACGACCAAGAGTGGCGAGCACAGAAAGCGGCGCAAGACGAAGAGGGCGCGATTGGCCTGGTCATGGAAAAGAAGCTAAAAGGAGGCTTTCAATATACACGATCTGAGGGATCTGAGAGGTTGATGAGAGAATTTCAGAGCTGGACACCAAAGCCGAGTTGACTCTAAAGAACTTGTTGTAAGCCTTTTGCATGCCGTCCAGCACGGTGGTAGGTATATAATTCGGACATAACTCCATCATAGACAAGGTTAATATTCAATCTTATCCGGAGGGGAAAAAATTGATGGCCCTGATGTATATCCCTAGGGCGTCCAAAACTCTTACCCGTTACTCTCTTTTCGCCTTCCATTACCTCTGGAGTAGAAATACCGTCTTACACCCCTTTAATAAGATTAATCGATAGTTTTATTCCCTTTCCGCGAGGCTGGAGGAGCACGTCAAAGGTAAAGGACCCTCAACTTCTTCCACCCCAGATGCTAGAACTCATAACGGGGACTTCAGTGGTGTAGGTCTGTCATCCAACCTCTATTGTATTTACACTGGGAATGGTCGCATTAATGTCACCCACTCGATAGCTGAGAATTATTAAATGGCTCAGTTCAATCAGAAGCAACTATCGGGGAATTTAATTACTTCTACTCCTTCGGTGTTAGTTTCCAGACTCCCCATGAAACTCTCCAAGACAGCCCAACCATCATCAGCTCGCTTTGTCCGTCTTTTCCGCGAAGCCATGCTCGATCAACTCGCTGTCCGGCACGTCACCAGGAGTCGCACTCTCCGCCAACCCCTCGCGTTGAGCATCGAGCATCGTGAAAGGCGCGGGGTTCGCCTTTGGATCCCCCTCGCCGCTCTTGAACTGGTATCCCCGGATCCTGTGACAATCAGTCAACATCCTTTGAAATCCCGTTGAAGATACGTACCTGGGACCTAGTCCTGTTTGCTCCGGCAAATCTGGTACATAATATCTCTCAAATGCCAATCGATCTTCCTCGAATGTCCCATCTGCGATGCTCTTCCTCACTCTGGCAAAGAAGTTGTCCATCACATGATGGTTATGCATCTGCAATAGGACCCAGGCCAGCATTTCTCTGGCGTTTAGGAGGTGCTGCAAGAATGCTCGATGGTGGGATGTGCAACAATGACAAGAGCAACCCTCCATCACGGCCGAAACATCCGCTTCATAGACCTTATCCCAAAGGTTGAGTCCCAATTCTACCGGACTTGACCGAGTGTCCACAGAAGTAGTTGCAGGGGGTGGGAACTGGAAGGTTAACGCTATCCCCGCGTCGGAGGCAAGGTTGATGAATGGAACGATGAAGACGTCATATCCTGAAGCGATTTGTTGTAGTAGCTGGTTTGGACTTGTCAAAGGCGACATGGATAGTCGCGGGAGCAGAGTCAACGGCTCTGGCAAATTACCAATCGCTTCGGCGTCATATATCGCCAATCCCGATATCTCATCCTTCAGTTCTTCGGAGAGTTTGTCGATATACGCCCATTGACGCCCGATCGGGACCGGCGGGATAGGCGCAAACAGCGTCGGGCGGCTCTCCTGAACCTCCGGACGGTTCAACTGCTCGATCATCTTCGTGACCCAGGAGAAAGTACGGTCTGACACTTTCTCCATCCGTCGTCTGCTCGGGTTATGGTCATACACGACGTCGGCGAGGCATATAGCGATATCCGGACACAGCTTCAGCGTGGCTGTAATATAGTCCTGTACGGGTAGGCTTCGGAAGCCGACAGAGGCGCATATTGATATGCTAGTATCGGTGTTGTGTGCGGATCCAACTACGGGCGTGTATCGACGAGCGCCGAGGACGGCAATGTTATCCTCAGGAAGGCATATAAACCGCTTGAGCGCAGACTCGTTGGGAGCGGCATCTTGGTTGTATATTGGAGGAACGTCACGCGGTATCTTCTCTATAACTTCGGCGCTCCAAAGAGCTCTCTGTCAGACACATTTCCGGTTCCTCAGAAGGGTTCCCTAGACCTACAGTCTTCTAGCGAAAGGTAGACTCCAGATACGTTTGTATGTCTGCGGAAGTTATCTGGAGACAGATGAGGGATAACCCCTCTCGATGCATTCCCCAAGTAATTCGGCGTCTCCAAAACTTTTCTTCCAGCAAGGCTTAAACGACCGAGTCGTGGGCCGGAAGACTCAATTGCCTTCTGGATTGTGAAAATGCGCATCTCATCAGGCAGAGTTTCAAGCTGTTCAGGAGTCAATTCGGCCATGACAGCGGTTCATAACGATGGTCATTCAGCGTGTTCATAATAAGTACGCGGAATTCGGAGCGAACATGAATATCAAAGATCTCGAATATTTGGTCAAACCTCAGGCTGTAAGGCAAAAGGTCCACTTTTTGCTCAGCCCCTTTTCAAGTCCAAACCTCTGAAGCATGGAATCTCACCCAATAATACAGCTTTTCCTTAATCAATTCTCTCTGTGATCAATGGATAAGCCGACAATCTTGATCGTGCCAGGAGGCTTCACACTGCCTGAACTGTACAGTGACGTGATCACCCATGTCGCGAATGAAGGATACTCGGTTCAAGCTCTTCACCTTCCCAGCGTAGGCTACAAAGCCAACGTTGCAGGCACCATGCAAGACGACGCCGCTTTCATCGCTTCAGAAATCTCAAAGCACGCAAACGAAGGCAAAGACGTCGTACTCATCGCCCACTCTTACGGCGGTCTACCTGCTACAGAAAGCACAAAAGGACTCAGCAAAGTTGATAGACAGCGACAGGGCAATTCAGGCGGTCTGGTGAGACTGGCTTATATTTCGTGCATCATTCTACCAGTCGGAGAATCTGATGCCAGCGTTATTATGCCGGACAATATGCTTCCCCGAGCCGCTCCATTCGAGATTAGGTTTGATGTCTGTCTCGCTTCATGCAATTTGTGTGTCTGGGGCTAACGTGAAATATAGGATGATGGATGGTTGCATCAGACGGACATCTCGGCTACTGCTTCCAGTGTCTTCAACGACTTGCCGAAGGAAGACGGCGAAAAGTGGGCAAAGATGAGTACTCGTCATTCGGGTTCTACGTTTCCTGCTAGTCTGAGTCATGCTGGGTTCAAAGATGTGCCGGTTTCGTATTTGCTGTGTACCAAGGACCTTGCGCAGGAGCCCGAGCTCCAGAGAGCGAGCATCGTGATGATGGAAAGGCAGATCGGTGGCAAGGTTGATGTTACAGAAATCGAATCTGGACATGCGCCAAATGCATCTCGGCCTAAGGAAGTCGCAGATTGGATCATCTCCATCACCGAGCGGTCAGCATGAATGTCGATTGCATTTTGGCATGACTTCCAAGATTTCTGGTTGCGTGAAGCAGTGTCGCTTTGAACCACTCCGATCTCCACGGCATTTTCAGGCTATCCCATCTCGACGATCCCTCAATAGTCTCGAACTCACGTATCAAACTGTTCAACTTGTCCCGTACCTCAGCAGGAAAGTGTGTCTGACGCGTCGTGGCCTCCGGCAACCCAGCGAGCATAAAGAATTTCCTGGGCATGGAAATATCGCGACGAGTTCGAATGGCTCTGCTGAGCACGATGACTCTTTTGCAATTGGCGAGAAGTCGTTGCGTATCCGCAGGAGAGACGTTTCAATCTGAGATCTCACCATCAGCATGAATCTCCAAATTCTCTAGCAGTGACCCCAAGACTCTGCCATTGATGATTGGAATTTTCAGCGTGTGCAAGATGTTTGAATTGCCCGAAGCCAAAGTACCTGTGATTTGTCCCTTCACGAAGGGCGTCGCGTAACCCCGGAGGGATGTTAGTTGTTCCTCGCACTTGCCCGCGGAATATAAGTATATTTACATTGCGAACGGCTTGAGAATATACCTAACTTTCTCCAACTAGCAAACTTCAATCTTAACAAGAATTTCTTCCTCTCAGAGTCCTTGCACACTGAACCAGCACGTCGTTTTGTCCTTTACCACTAAACTATTGGGGGTAATGAGGCCACAAGAGTTTAGTAAGAATAACGGCTTTGGTTTGCATAGATCTCCTTGATTGATGTAGGGCCAAATGGATGCGTCTCTGGAGCGGGTACTACCTTTCCGTTGCTGGTCCGTTTCTTTTCCGAATCTGTCGAAATTAGGTCGGCGGGTCTTCGACATTCCGGGCCGCGATCGGAGAAGGAGTTGTCGCCGGTGTTCCATTGCCTTTTTCGACCAATGGTTCTGAATCGTCCCTTCGTGTCGTTCGATGATCGGGTTCAACCGATGGAAATCCTTCCAGATATTCGCCGCCTGTCGACAGGCTTGATTCCTAGCATATTCAGGTGGGAGTTCTGAGACGCCATAGCGACCATGGAATGATTTTAAGGCATCTCCAATATCACTCCAGTGAAAACCTGACAGCTCATGTATGTTGCATGGATTCCGCTGTACAGACGATAACATTTTTGACTGATCGGTTGCAAATGAAAAGGGTCAAACTGTGAACCGATGAACAGAAAGAGGAGAGGTACACAGAGCGCTGGGTGACCAAAGAAAGGATTAACCGTGAGCGACTTATATGTGAGGAAGGAATTATGTTTTGTTCTGTGCCGCCTGCCGTGAAGTTGAGTTATACATGGATGATTATACAATCTATTGTATATTCATTTGCGAAATTGAAAAGGGCAGTATTTATTGCATTTAATGGTACCAGAGACGATTAATAATAGATAGATAGCGTGGTACGAATAGTTACTTGTCCCGGCCTCTTGACTCTAAAATCAACAAAGACGATGATGTTAAAAAGAATCCGATATGATTGGACACGCAAATATTCCAGAATAGATGATTAAGCCCTGATTGCCTCATTGATGCCGCGTTAATAATACAGAAATCACCAGATTGCTATAGAAGGCTTCATTAATAAATGAGAGTCGAGGAGGTTGAATTTTCTGGCTACAGTGAAAGCCGACTTTTATAGTTCTAGAGCCAACCCGGTGGGGGATATCCACAGCAAACGGAACGATCAGTCTCAGCCGTCAATACCTTGGGTACAATAATAATGCCTACCTAATAACGAGGCAGCCACAGGAGAGGTATTATTGTCTGTCCATGACACTGAGTGTTACGGCACGGTAGCTGGATGCACCCAATATACGCGTAGCCAAAGATATTCTAGATTGAGATGAACAGTACAAGGTAACTATGACAGAGGAATCTTGATGAGGTTCCGTCTCTACGCTAGACTTGATTAGGTTGAGGCTCTCAGCCTATGCCAATCATAGGCCATGCCCATAACACTGAGTATCTCTTGCTTCCTACTCTGTCAGTTACCAATGGTTTAGCATGACAGACGTTTCCCTTTGTGTACGTGCAATAAGCTCACAACCAGCATATTGTAGAATGTTGAATCTGATAGTCTTCATTACTCTTCTCCTCATCAGCATATCTCTACCTCTCTATTGAGCGAGTGATTCCCTCCAGTCATCATATTCCATAGCTCATCCATGCCCTCCTCACTATCTCTATGCCCTCAAAAAAAACTGCCACGTAAAACGCCCAGTGGATCATGGCCTGCGCCGACCATGCCATCCATGCATGCATACTCAGATTACCGAATATCCGTCGATAAAACAATCCCATCCGAACTCCTCGCTATGAATGCGATATCCATTCCTCTCGAGCGCACCGCCTGCGGCTGCTCCGTCTCCTTGCTGTCTCGTAGGTTGAACTGCGTCGTCCGTCGTCATCATCATCAGACGCCCATCGTGCGCCCTTGAACTTGATTCCCGCCGAAAACCCTCACCCAGATCCCCCCGCCGACGCGCTGCTTCTTCGCCGGCTTCTCATCCATGGCGTTGACGTCCTCTTTCCGTCCGCGCATCGCCATCTTCCCCGCAGGCACTTCGCCGTACAATCGCCCCGACGGCGCCGGCAACGCGCCGGGCCACCGCGCCTTCCCGTCGATGCGGATGACGGGCGCCTCGAGGTGGACGAGCGACTCGGAGTCGAACTCGACGGGGGCGGCGTCGTACATGGGGTGCGGGAGGTCGTCGGGGTCCGCGTAGGGGTCGAGGAGGGAGAGTGGGGTGCTGGAGCGGGAGGAGCGGGAGTCGGCATCGCTGGTGGAGGTGGTGGAGCGGGAAGGGGGAGAGAGGGAGGGGGTACGGCTGGAGGAGCGGGAAGAGGGGCCCGTGGGGAGGTAGGCGTAGCTGGAGGAGGTGGAGTTGATGAAGGAGCTGTAGGGGGAGGAGTGGGCGCGGCGGTGGGCGTTGACGCGGGCGGCGTGGGCGGCCTTTTCGGCAGCGATGGCGCGGGAGGCGTCTTGTTGGGCGCGGATGGGCGCGAGGAAGGGGTCGAGGTGGGTGTAGAGGTCTTCTTGTGTGATGCGGAGATCCCAGTCGAGGAGGAAGAGGAGCTGCTTCTCCATCAGGTTCACCTCAGTGATGGCGAAGCCCCAGGACTCGTAGCCTTTGACGGCGGTGTAGCGGGCCCAGTGCTTGTTTTTGGGGGAGGAGTCGTTGAGGTACTTGGCTGAGAGGATGAGTGCCGCGAGAAGGATGCGGTGCACGGTACATCGCATGCCCTTGGCAACCGGGGGTAGCCGTGATTGTAGGCGTGAGAGGTAGACGAGGGTGGACATGAGAGTGGGGATTTGGACATGAGAGCGGGTGACAAGGGATGTGATAAATTCCGTGAGTGAAGGGAGAGGAGGTTGCTGTGAGGATGGGTGTGGTGGACTTGGTGATGGTGTTGGTGGGAGGTTCTTGTTAAGAGAGGAGTCGCAGCGGATGACCTGACTGGCCTTGAAGGCGAGGTGGTTGATCATCTCTTTTGAGACGGGAAGTTGGATGAAGTAGTCCAGGGCGGCCTTATTCTGGACCGGTGTCGGGGGTGGTGAGAGCTCCATGATGTCGAGATCGTTTGAGATGTCGAGTCCTAATTAGGAAGGGGATGTGCCAGGGTGGTAGAGGATATATTCAAGGAGAAGAATGAAAGATCGGGAGATTGAAGTAGATTGCCGGGTGGCAAGAACACAAATGATGTATCGGCAGGCTCAATAAACGCGATCCTCGACAAGGTGCGTATTGACTTGAATAGTCAGGCTACAACAATAGTGTTGCAGTGATGACCGGTCGGTGATATAACCCTTATCACGGATCGAATGAAGCCCAGGCCTTATGCGGATGCTGAAACAGGCTTAGTCAATAACGTGAAGCAAGGAAGGATGACGATGAGCCACACAAGGCAGAGTGAGACAGTGAGATGGATAATCTCAGGTCCGGTCACCCTTGGCTGTGTGCAAGAGGATTCGAGGATTAATTCCAAGGACTATTGTCGTTTAGATAGACAAGTCCTGAATAAATCTTCAATAAGAGAGTGGAATTGGAAGAGGTGGATGTGCGGTTGCGAGGGGGATGCAACCCAGGAATGGAAGTGGAGGACCGGGAGATTAAATCCGGAAATGGCACGAATGTTCTGCCTTCTTTCTTGCCGGTGATGCACGAAGGCAAAAAACGAAGGAGAAAAACGCGTGTTTAGAAACCTGTTAGAGTCGAGGTTGGCGAGAAGGCTGACGTGGGTGCAGTGGCTGCTCGTTGTCCTTTTTGGAGTCGAGCTGTACGTATCGCAACCGACCGCAGTAGGAGGGGTTGGCCGGTGCAGGACGTTAAGTGGGAGGCCGGATGCGGGAACGATTGCTAGTCCGGGGTGGTTTGTGTGGTGAGGAGGGAGTGGTGAATGTTGAGTGGTGAGATGGTGAAGTGCCAAGTGGTCAAAGTGGTTGAGGTGGGTTGGTGGGCTCTCTGCGGAAAAAGGAGGCTTGGAAAGAAGGCTGGGAATGCTGGGAACACTGGGAGTGCTAGCCCGATGACGGCAGGTAACGAAACACGAGGAGGATAGGAGGCAGACACAAGTCCGAAACCAGAAATTAATTAAAGCTCTGCAAAACAAAAAGAAGTCGGTTAGTTGGTCGTGGTTGGTGAGAGGTGGAATGGTGGAACATGCACTGACTTTTGGGTCTGTTACGTCCTGCTGCTCAGATCCGGCCGAGAAGAGGAGGTGATGGGACTTGGTCGAGACACTGGGTGATTATATGAGAAAATTGTCTGGCTGGGTGGGATGGATGGCAAGAATGGAGGTGCGCCCCTATGCGGAAGGCCTCCTTGGCTGTGGGCAAAAGGGATACGTACATTATTGCTGTGGGGAAAAAAGGAATTTTTGCCTCTTCTAGACTTGCGTGTCCAGATGGCGATGCGATGCAGCGATGGTGAGGATTGGGGGGTGGTGGGTGCAGGTGACGGGCGAGGCCAGCTGGGGGTCGCCGATTAGCCGGTCGCTGGTGCGGAAGAGGCGGTGCGGGCTGTGCCTTGGATGCCGACCAGGTCTAACCCTTGCGTCGACGATCGTGAAGGATGAACGGACTTATTCGTAAAGTCTAGCTTCCGTTCGGGTCTGGTGATTTGGTGAATGATAGATGGGTCCGTCGTTTGCTTTTCGGGAGCGTCTTGCGTTCACGAGGCTTGGATGATCCAGAGGATGAGGGGAGAGTGAAAGGAGCTGGGGAAAAAGATCGGCTGTCACGCTGATATTATTGAAGTCGCTAGCGACGTAGAAAAATTAAATCCCTTCGACCAGGAAGGAAGGGAGGATGGAACGGAGAAGGCTGGAGGAGGCGGGAATTAATTGAATCGGATGCTTGTGATAAAACAATAGTCATATATTCCTTTCTTCCCAAGACAGGAGAATGTCTGATACTAATACCATCGCCAACCTGCGTCCCCTGGATCAAACAAATCCCTCTCCATCCGCCAAATAAAGAGCAATCTCGAACTCCAACCTGCCAACCGTGACGCAGGAGCGCACAGCGCCAACTCGAATATCTCAGATGTCGAGTCCACCCCCTCTACCATTGGTTCGCAGCCGTCGCGCCAGGATCGAAACAAATGACCCCCAACCGCGACTATGACTTCCTCGCCAGACGCCAACCTCTCCATCGCTAAATTCTAAATTCCATCCTGACTTCCCCCCAAACCCACTCCACCCGACCGCCCGCATTCGCAGTTCGCACATGACGCCAATCAGATCCCCCCCTCCACCCGCTCCACCAACCGCCACACAAGCGCCAGCCCGTCCCTCCGCGTTTCACCAGCTTCCAGTCCCGGCCCCGCGTCCGCCAATCCCGTTTCGGATGTCCACTTCGCGGTTTCGCGCGCCCAAACGTCGCTTACCGATCCGCACTGGTCGGGTTGTAACTCCACCCCGTGTTTGAGGTAAGAGGTTGCGAGCGAAGGATGGTTGCGACGGTGGCCAACGAGGTGAGTGGGCAGTTTAAGGGTGTTGGGGGACGCAGGGAGAGCTGGTGTTGCAGATGTCGGAGCGGAGGGGGGTCGTTTGGCTGTGGTGCGAACTGTCATGTCTCATGCGTAGCTCAACATTGAACGATGTGCGGTGAGTTGGTGACACCATGGCGGGAGCCAGCATAGGAACGACGTGGCCATGAGGCATGAACATTGAAAGAGGCTGGTTCAATACAAGGTATGACTCGGAATTTGGAGATCGCGATCCACGGCCGGAGAACAAAGGAATATTCCCAGTGCTATGCATGGCATTTCTGCCCGAATTACTGAACGACGCGTCGAGACACGATAGGGAAGCCATGCAGGGAGAACAAAGGGTTCGAAAAGCCAAACATCAGGATCCTTGGATCGTCATCCCCTGATTCGATATCAGATTCTCCCTAGTTTCCTGTGTGCTCTGCGATCATGCTTCACAGACACTTGACATGTCCACACTGGTTAATCGAGGGATCAATCATCCTCGGCAGTCGAGCATTATTTCTTGTTTCAACGTGACAGCCCATATTTGTCCCGCGCTCCACCAGAGACCCGACGTACATTGGCTCGTGGCGGTGGTGGCGAGATCGATTTGGTGTCCTCCGTCGCCCATCCGGAGTTGTGTCCCCTTCAGTCGCGCAAATTCCGCCGCAAGAATTCAATATTTCAAACAAGGATGGGATGGCCAATCACCACAACGATTCCCTTACTCCGTGCTCCGCCTGTCCCACGGCTCTCCGTGGAGTATTCACGATCCATGGCATGATTTGTTCCAGATGCTTCGTCAGCTGCCTGGCTCATCTGCCAGCCATCCGAAACTGCGTCGTGGCCAAGACACTGCAGGGGGTCAGGGGTTACCAATTGTGGCTGTGACCGAAGTGCAGGGGTTCTCACTAGCCACAGCGGATCTGCCCTGTCGACCTGTCGGAACTCGGACCCTTCCGACGATTCAACACTTCTATCAAGCCGCCGGATCTGGCACTAGGGTCGCCAATGACCGCAGCGACGCGGCGGGTGAGAGCCCAGGCGCCTCGCGAAATGGAGCCCGAGGCTGGACCGAGAGCCCCATCGCCGAACGCAGCGGGCTCTCCGAGTGGAGGGGAGGTACATTTGGGGTTCCAGACTGCTGGTGGTTAAAATTCTTTCGCTGCAGGATATGCAAATCAGGAGTCGTGGTGCTCGAAGGATCATTTAGTTTAGAATCCATTAATCAACTGCGGAAGGTGCATAGCAAGCAATAGTCTTGCATGTGGACTTTGCCCAGCTGGTTCAACACAGCTGGACGGGGACGGCGATCCCGCTTTTTCCCTGACGGACTCCTTCACGCTTCGATCTATCGGATCATGCACGATGGGATCCTGGGGTAGCGCATCCATCCTCGTCCCTCGATTCACTGCACCGGCTCGACTTGTCCTCGAATTTCTAGGTTCTGACTTCGGACACACCAACGTCGATCAGCAGGAAAGTTCACCCGCCGCCCCAGGGGGACGGAGCATCGTTTGCCCTTCGATCCTCATAATCAGCTGTGCGCTCCGCGGAGGGGCGCTGCTGCGACGGAGCCACACCCGATGAGGCGGTGCCTATCGTGAACTCAGCGGGAGTGTACAAACGTCTCTTTACGCGCGAGAAAGAACACGGGGGATGCATGTGAATTTTTGCACTGGGAGGAAAATTGAGGTCACTTTTTCGCCAATGTCTTAGACATTGGGAATCCTAGCGTGCTGGTCCTGTTCAGCTGGATGGTTGTTCATCTGACAAGGCTCTGTGCTCCGGTGAACGCTCCTATCGTGAACATGGATCATGTGCAGCTGGAGGCGTGCCGCGTGGTCATGATGATCGTGGAAACCTCATCGCAAGGCTTGACTTCAAGCCTCAATAGCCACTACCATGGTAACGCTTCACTCCTGACTTTAGGCAGCATGTTTCCGGAATTTGATATCCTATCGCGCTCTCGAACACAGGACAGCATGAAGACTGTCCTCCAAGCCCTATTTTAAGCCCGCTACACAAGTATAGCGTTCAACTGACCGGTAATAACGCCTGGCTGTGGATGACTGTTGAGGATATGATGGACACAGCCTCCTTGATGTCGTCGCGAAAATTGAGAGTTGAGACACATGGCCAACTAAGTTGAAGCACGGAGTGGAACTTGGAAGTTCTTGCCGAAGGGCTGAGCTTAGTGACAAACAAGTCAGGAGCCCACATGATCTGAGACTCGGGGAATCTCACAATCTTTTTGAATGGCACTTACTCTCAAACAGTGACAAACACAAGTGTTGGGTAACACGATGAAAGATCTATCCTTACTCAAAATGCAGATGGTGCTCCGGTCTGTCAGGGCCTCAACGTGGTGCTATGCTAGCAGTTCAAGGCACCAATAAGGCGACCAACCACCATCCCAACCACCAGACGTGGAATCTTCAATACTCTTCTCTAATACTCAATATTCATACTATACGAAATGAACCTCCATCAACAACTCTCCATCCCATAGGCCATATTATTATCCCAGATCATCCTCATCCTCCATCAAGTCTTCCCGCTCCCCATCCTCAACCTTCGTCGCCCCATCTCCAGCCTTCATCTAAGCGCCCTCCACTTCCCGGCGCTTCCCCTCGACCACTCACATCCCCCGGAGCGTTCGCGGCTGTTGGTTTCAACAAATTCTCCAAACTCCCTCCAGCGCGTGGTAATTGGTATATTCGACCTACTATGAAGTGGAGAGATGAATTAAATGTATACCCACGCAAGCGCCGGGAGCAGGTGGCGTTACTCCATCGGTGGTGGATGGAAGCGGTTTGAGGTATGTACAGGGTGATACGGTTTCATAAAGGTAGAAATGAGGTGGGTTAGAGGAGTTCGGATAGCTGTTTGGGGCATTTCTGAAAGAATTAGAGACCAAGAATTGAAGGTTTCATATCGAGTAGAATATATCCTGCGTTGATTGTAGAGCCTCAATTTTCGGATGGCCTCTTTCTGGACTGTCTGCCTATTTTTAGATGCATGTTCGTCCTTTGTAGAGTTGGGATTCTGGCTTCATATTTCCTCTTTTCCTCAGTCTCTTTTCTTTTCCTCTTTGGCTCCGTCTGCTGCAATCCTTCTACATGTCACTGATTGAAATTGATCACTTCAAACTGATATCTCGCATAAGCGCCACATGTATAATTGTTGGTGTTCTTCGCGCGACTATTTGTCACCGGAGCAGGTCCGTTCGACCTAACGTATGCGCAATACTATCTCGCTGCACGGGTGGGCGGCTGATGATGATGATGATGATGACGGACGTGGAGGCTGTGCTGTTTTGAAGATCCAAAGCTCGGTCGATTTCCCCGGCGAGACCACGAAGGGTAGGGAACTAGAATATAGCGGGTAAACGAAGGTCGACCGACCATTCCTTTCGGACCCGCCAGAGCATTTGCTGCCCCAGGTTGCTGTGTCCACCCAAGTCGGCGAAGTCACTCTCCGGTCCGATGACGTTCACAGGCGTGCGCAGCGCCTGGCTCCAGATCTTCCCAAGAGTCCTCTCCGTCGTCGACATGGCGGCCGTGGTGTGGGATGTCCTCCTCGGCATGGAATGGGCCAGTTCGTGGGGCTCGGGGAACGGGAGCGCGGGCCTGTCGATCTTTCCGTTCGGATTCAGCGGCATGCGGTAGAGAGGGACGATGACTGTCGGGACGGCGTATACGGGGAGCTTGGTCTTCAAATGATCTCGAACATCGTCTCGCAGTTGTCGGAAGCGCCGAAGCCGGTCGACCATGCTATCTTCGCTCGCCTGAACTTCCAGGCTGCGGCCTGTGTCTTGCTCCTTCGCCCAGGCCTCTCATCGTTTCATGTCGGGGACAATGTAGCTGACGAGTTGCGGCTCTTCATTCGGATCCCTTCGTAGGAGGGTGACATTCTCGCGCACAAGCGGATGAGATGTGACGTGAGCATCAATTTCACCCAGCTCGATTCGGAATCCTCGGGTCTTAATTTGATTGTCCGCTCGCCCCGTGCATTCCACGTTGCCATCAGCTCGTCGCCTTCCCAGATCTCCTGATTTATACATTCGATCTCGTGGTCCCTTGTAGAATTGTCTCCAGGGTTCCGGCTGACTCAATGCTTTGACTCGTTCTTCATCTTCGACAACCCACTCTTCGGATCCACAAACCAATTGTCAACGAACTTTTGCTTGGTCAGATCTTCGAGTCCGAGATACCCTTCGGCTAATCCGCCAGCGCGGACATAGATCTCCCCCGTCTCACCAACATCGCAGAGGCGGTCTTTGTTCTCTCGATCGACAATGAGCAGTTGGACATCTTTCATGCCTTGCCCAACAGGGATGACGTCACCGAGTGTGTCGAGATATTTCGGATCTGCGTTTCGGCTTGGGATTTCAAAGAAGCTCACCGCCCGTTGTGTCTCCGTCGTGCCGAAAAGATTGACAATGTGGACGTTGGGAGCCAGCTCTTGCAACCTTGTCTTGCACCAGACCTTCAAATGTGCTTGACGACAAAGACAAACATCGCTTTTCTCTAGCAAGTCATAGCGAGCACCTCGTGGACATATACATGGACCGAGGGCTGGTCGATATCCCAAGAGTCAGGTTGGGCTCACCACACCTGTTTTCGCAATGTGGGAATGCTGCATATCATATGGATGCATATCATATGGCTTCATTAATCTTGTTGCCTGCTATTCGCACTCTACATCGCGAGGGAGAACGATACACGTCTTCTCGCCAAATTTCTTCGATGGGCTTCACGGCTGATATGCCCTGTGACTCATCAATTGCGGCAGTCAATGTTACACAAATTGGGGACTGGATTGGCACTCCAATCTCACCACTGCCTTTGGCCATGATGAGGCTGCAAGTTCCCGTTATTGGAATGCCAGAATATCCTTTCTCGAGTCACCATCAGAGATGCGCATGACCTGTTCAATATTGGAAAACCAGCCTTCTAGAATACAAGGTACAAACTGACTTATACTTTTCATAGAAGCTGGACATCGCAGTTTAACTATCTACGCCGCAGAAGCTATCAGGTTGATAGAAAATTCACAATACCCGAGCAGCCTGCTTGCATACATCTGTCAAGTCTTATTGGATACTGGTGGGTGGCTTGCATACAATTATGCAGCTGTCCTCTGACCGGGTTCAAAAGTCCTTGGTGATAGGACACTCAGTGCACTCAGCCTGATATTGATATCCGGATTCCAAAGCTTTCGACCGCTTTCGAAATGTCCAGTATCTCGTTGATAGTTTGCTCAAGGAATATGGAAACAAAGAGCATCATTTTTATGAGTTATTCGTTTATGTTCGATAATGGCCCTTGCTGGTGATCCTATATCTGAGAATACGGCGCTCTTGTCGTTGTTGGGCCCCGTCCTGGAACCAGTAACTGAGCATGAAATACCCCATCGCAACAAACGTTACGAAAGTTCTTATCCACTCATATTTAAACATGAAAAGCAGCTTGCTCAGGCATTTGCCCTAATATTGGTGAACACCGACGATCCGAAGCGAGTTGGGGCCGTCTGCATAGAAGTCGCGGATGGCGGGCATCTTCAATTAAGGACAGCGGTGAACTCAGGGACTCAAGAAAATCGGAAAATTGCTTTTCATAAGGTTATGAACCACTTGAACTGCGACAACGGTGCGTCTTTTCCCGCTGAATAGTCTCTTGGCTAAGAGTGTTGGGGGACAGTCACTTCGAACTCTCTATTGAACGAGATGATTGATGTTTGCCGGCTGAAGCTCCTGTCTCGATTATGTTCGCACCATGCTCCCAATTCAAGGAAATCGAACAGGCAGCCTATTATTCGCAAGCTGCATGAGTTTGTCCGATTATTCGACAAAATCAGGAAAGCACCGTCAGAACTGATTCCCCTAACTGAGCACACTTCCTCTCTCGTCCAAGATTTTGACCGAATCGAGGAGATGTCCGCATCTGAGGCCAAATTGGGACAGCAGAAAACAAACCTTTTCCAGATCATTCATAGAATTAATGACATGCTGGCTGAAGTCGACTTGTTGGCCGTGTTAGGTCTACTAATGAAGCATGCCGTTGTTCCAAACCTCACTGAAATCACGGCCACTATCAGGAGGTTCAAGCAGCTACAGCAGTATCTCTTCGCTGCACGCACTCTTGTTTCTCTAATACAAAAATACCCCATCATCCGCAACATGACAATTCAAGGGGTTGAACTAGGCCCATTCATGGAATGCAATCAGGGTCCGCAACCTTCAGGGGTCCGTTCCGGCTTGTTCAGGCGCACGCTTGCGTCTAAAAAGTCAAAAGTCTCACGAGCATTGCTACGTCATATATATAAGGAGCTTCAGACTGACCAGGCAGGAATATTAGAGAACATCGACAGGTTTTCAGAGAGGGACAAATTAGTTCACGCGGAGATTCAGCTTCTATTCCAATATGAAGATTCCAAAGATGACATTGCTCTACCGCCCCGGGTCATCTGTTCCAGCAAACATGCATGCTTCTCTTGCAACCTGTTCCTGAGGGTACATGGCCGTTTCTACACGCCCGGCACCCATGGCCGCCTTTACGAGCCGTGGAGACTCCCTCACCATGACGAGCTTGGGCTGCCTGAAGAATCAATCAATGGGCATTTAGTCCAATTCAACAACGCCCTAGAAGATAGGATCAAGACTACTCTCAAGTCTGGAAAATCTAAACTGGCTTACCCATGCGAGAGTACAATTTTCCACTTGGGCTCTCAAGCTTCCTCAGTTTTATCAGTGCATCGTCAGGCGCCACCACGAGCTGTGCCAGGAGCCGGTCAAGATCAGCTCGAAAATGAAGATTCCAACAGGTCACTGGTGCAACCCGAGCCGGTTAGCACGTCTCCAAAACAAAAGCCTTCCTCTGATCACGGTGTCCAGCCCGTCCAAACGGAGATATCCCCCTCCGTTTATCTTGAAGATACGGACGAATTATCGGACCTAGCAAGTCTGCCGACTGTTGACCGTATAGGAAATTCGAAAATCATCGACGTTCCTGAACCAGTGGATCAACCCGCTATTCCTCAAAGATTGGGGACATGCCGTAGTGCCAATGGTTCGTTTGTTTCGATCCTATATAGTCCGAAATCCAGGATTTCGATCGAGAAGACACATCCTTTGATCCTTGGCCCCCCCTTGATACTTCGAGTAGCCCCAGAGCAGTCGGTGCGAGTACACAGTCCACGCATACACATGGAGTTGACATCCGGGGATGGTTGCACATTCGACGACACGTATGGCGAAGTCAGTGTCTTTATTGTAAACGTGGAATTGCTCGAGTTTTCTCAAGCGCTAGAGCGCTATAAACAGCAGGACATGGTGGACCTTAGTTTGCCACATGAATGCCCTGAATCCTTTCATGATATCCGAGAGCAAGATTTAGTCCTTCGAAAAAGACAAGATGTAGTCGTCATTCGGGTCCAGCCAGAGTGAGATTTTACAGCTGCTATTCGACCAGACTATGGGGTTCGACAGACACTGCATAAAAACCCTCAGTGCACACACTGGACGCTTCTTACTTAGAATTGTTGGCGGCAATATCTCTCTGGGTGTACTGGCATTATCCACGGGAATCGATTCCTAGACGTGATAGGACATCGTTCTTAAAGATTGATACCCTAGAACCAGGAGATTATGGGTCCATTCGCAATTCATTACCGAATGATTATCTTCGCGAGCCCCGCACGCTGGACTCCCACGAGGGGGAACGCCAACGCCAAATCCGCCCTAGGAACCTCGACGAACGAGGACTATCGACGCCACCCCAAGGATCCAGCAGTTCGTCACGAGCATCGCCACCCGGACCTCCGCAGGCGGGCACGCTAACGCCAAATCCACCCCCGGACCCCTGAGAAGAGGGACGGGACCAGGAGTATCATCCCAAGCCTCAAGCAGCAGGGCGGCAGACGGCAGACAGAAGGCTCCGTTGCCGCCGGTGCCGCAAGGAAAGCATGGCCGAGGGGAAAGTGAACGGGAATGGGGGCTCATCTGGTGGGAGGGGGTGGACGAGGTGAGATGCTAGGCGGATTAGAGGGGGGTTGGCAAATCACTCTGCCAGTCCATGGCCAGGAAATGCACATATATGGATAGGATGGGGTGGATTTGGATCGTTGCGCGGGATTCAGGGGCTGGTCGGCCGTCACATGTGACAGTCAAATGACATCATATATCTAGGCTGGCGACATTTGAGAATACCATGTCTTCATCTAGGGGAATATATGCACTGGATGGTGCCGGTATAATCATAGCAAAGCGTGTTACTGATCCGGGAGACCTGACTGTGGCTTCAGTCATTTTCATGAACCGGTCAGGAATAAGTACAATGACGTCTTGTGGCCACTCCTCCTAGCATCCGTAGAGCGACTAGGATGATTCCAACAAAATCGAGAGGTATAGAGTAAAGGAAAACGGAGAGGCGGTTCGAAGCGCTCTCATAAATCCTTGAACGATGCTGTACAATGAAATAGACGGAACGCTCTGATGTGCATGAATGAAAGGACCCCGAAATCCTGGGGAAGAAACAGCAATCGACAGAAATCTAACTATTCGCAATGTAAAACACCAGATGATATGGGACACGCTTGCAGAACAGCACCCATGAAACTAATCTAAAATTGCAAACACAAACTGTTCAAGACACTCGAAAGCGACAAAGGAGAGTCGGCGCAAGGAACGGGGTCACGATCATCGTCATCGCCGGTGGACATGGGCCACCGAACGGTCAAGCACTTGAGAGTTAAGACATTCCGTTAGACCCTCCTCTTGTCGCGCATGAAATCATGGGGTGGATCGCGGAGGCGAAATCCCTGAGGATGATGCACTGGGCTCGTGGAGCATGGAGGCACGGGAACGGTTACGCCATGAGGTAATTGTCAGGTATGATATCGGAGAATCTAGATATTCAAGTATTAACAGGTGAAGCGTGGCCTGATTGTTTCGTTCTTGCAGGAGCAATGTAGTGATGGTTGCAGAAAAGCAGTCATGATGTGTAACCATACGGGAGACTGAATCGGGTATGATTCTCGCACGGCATGCAAACAGTCATCCAAAAAGCAAATGAGACACGGTATCATGATGAGGGTCGCATATCAAATTCCAAACGAAACAATGAAGTCTTTGATACTAGCTTCCATCACTGACGTCCGTGTCTCGAAGGGCGATGAAAGGAATGGAGGAGCCAACTCCCGACGTTGGGATTGGCTTAGGTAATCTCCACGCTCCAATCCCGCTGGTCAGAACTTGATCCACATCTCTTCGATCAGCCAATGAAGAGCGATCGGGTCAGGTAACGCCGTAGGGATATTTTGCCGATTGGACCGATTGGACGGAAGAAGTGGCAGGGATCAGGGAATCGACGTCATTCGCGAATTGAGCGTCGATTCGGTCGGTGATCCTACAATTCAGGGGGGAGGGGGAGGACAATTGACATCATCCTTTTCCGGCTGATCGACAGGACCATGGTTGCAATGCCAACTATCCACTCAATGATCGCAAAGGCATCTGGTGAGTTGGTGATAGCCTCGTACAGGTGCTAGGGCGAAACATGAAGAGTCTGCGGACAGAAGAGATGGACTTTTACCATGTGGTAACCGAGCCGTGCACGAGTGGCACCAACAGATATCCAAGAACGAACTGGAATTCCATAAAGGTGAAGAGATTCGGATAGGACGCCCACCAGTATCATCTCATCATGCGCGGAGCAGGAGGACAAAGGCACCGAACGCCCCCCACTGCATGTCTCGGGAAGAGGGTCGGTCAACTGGTCGAGAGCGTCGATCAGCCAAGGAAATGGAGAATGGATGGACCTCCCCGACGTTCTCGCCCCGTCTGTCCACGTCTAGACCGACTGAATGACACTGCTCTAACCCACCCCCCCGATGCCACTGGTTCCATCTATCCATCTCCAGTCCCACCCCCAATATACACTGACCATACCACCGTAACCAAACATTCCTCCATCATCCAACGCCCATGCAAGCAATCGTCATGCAGGGTCCAGACCAACCCTCCTCCCCGGCCGCCACTGCAATGACACAGTTTAGCACTGCTCCCCCACCAATCCACGTCCACGAGGCACCTCTGCACGTCGCCCATTTCATGCCGATGATGCTGCGATCGCCGCGTGGTGCGCCGTCTGCATTGGCCCGCCGTCGTGCAGGAGGGACATGACGTGGATCTTCACTCTGTTCGGATGGCGATACGGGGGAGGAAGGGAAGGAAGGGCGTCGATCTGAGGGATATAATTTCGCTGGTGGTGAGTGAGGACTGTCAGGGTCTAGGGAAACGGGTAGTGGAGTGGTGGCCTTTCTGCTATAGAAAGAGTATGGATATAGGAACGGTGCACGCTGCTCCGTTTCCTATTTCTAGATTCTTATAAATGCTGTATATCCCCACATTACTCCCCAAGTATCTACAGTCCGACCACTCTCCTACAACATCTCACGCTATTTCGTTGCCGTTTCCCCCTTTCGGCTCTACGATTTTCACCTTCCGCAAAGTCATATTTCCATCGTTCAGAAGGCCGCATCCTCGCTCTTTCTCTTAAGAGTCCGCGCCAGAGAAATGGTGACCACCCAGTCCGGAGTTTACGTCCAGGGCCATTACACCGAACCGATGTCGTCCAGCCACGACTTCGCGCACTCCTACACGGGGAACCGTGGTCGAGCTATGTCTACTTACTCGCGGTACATGCGATCATGCCACCACTTACCTAATAACTTCGTCTAATGAAGACGTAGGATCATGCACGAACACACAAGACAACAACTCGACATAGCCACCAATTCCTCCCGCCGACGGTCACAAGTCGAGGAACCCCCCGCAACAAATAGCGATCAAAGTAGTATTAGGAGCGTCGATTCCGCGAGCTCATAGCCGTTGCGTTCACGATCGATTCTCGCTTTGCGGTTCGGTTGTGCATGAAGCGTGGCGAAGGATCAAAAAAGTGCATCGCCTCCACTGGTAGGTGGAGGGACAACAATACTTGGGGAACAATATTTGAGCAACAATAGTTATGGAATAATGCTTCAGAAACAATAATTGGGCTATTTTGGAGCGGTGTAGGTCTGACTAACTAGGCTTTGGCCTGGACCTGGGACTGGCGCCATCAACGGACATGAAATTAGCGGTTGGCATCACGGATAGACTTTGACGGCATATATACGCACACGATCTGCGCATTACGAAATGAAATACGACACCTTAACAATCATCTATTTCATGAGTATCATTCGCACGACTCGTGTGATCTCCGGTACTACCTACTGCCATATAATCCCCATGATTCTAGTATCCGCTAGATGCTCAGAGTCCGTTGTCCTTCTTGAACTTATCCCACGCTTCGTTCAATGTGCTGAACACCGCGGCGCTAATCATCTTCTGCTCGGTCGTCGCGTCCTGCGGAATCTGTACGCCCATCAGCACCGAACTTCTGCCACGAAAAAAAAGCGGAAGCGAATCAAACATACCTTATCCGGATGCACCTTCGCAATCGCCTTCATATACACCACCTTCACCCTCCCGGGAACCACCAACTCCCCCATCCCCACCTTCCGCCACCCCGCCCCCTCCCACAATACCCCCTCCAAACTCCCCAGCAGCGCCCGCAGATTCTCCGCCCGCGACCCCTTCCACGCCACCAACCGTCCCTCCACCGCGTCCACCAGCGCGAACTTCTCGTCTTCCAACCGTTCCGCCGCTCGGTTCGCGTCCCGAAGCTTCTGCACCGCCTCTGCCGAGGAGGCGTGGCTAGGTGCCGGGCGTCCCGCGAGCGCGTCCATCGCGGACATGGCGGGCTTGGGTTTGGGGATGGGTTGCGGGCGGGGCGTGGGTCGCTTCGTCGCGGTGCCCGATGATGGTGCTGACGTCGTGGATGAACCGCCGCCGATCGCGTGGTCGCAGCGGTTGCGGCCCTGGATGCTTACGCTGCCGCCGACGCCCGCCTCGACGGCGATGCGCCACGCGTCGGCAGCGTCCTTCCATTTCTCGAGATTTTCGAGCGCCTCGGCCTTGCGCATGGTGGCGCGGGCCCAGAAGTCGCGCATGTCTTTGCGGGAGGGGGCGGCGCCGGGGGCGTCGGGAGGGAGGTCGATGTGCTCGGCGACGCCGCGGGCGGGGCCGATGAGGGCGAGGGCGGAGTCGGCGTCGGCGAGGGCGGATTTGGGGTCGCCAATTTTGAGGGCGGTGGTGGCGCGGTTGCAGAGGACGAGGATGGTGATGGGATGGGTGCGGGGGAGAGGGGCGAGGGCGGAGGTGAAGGAGGTGTGGGCAGAGGCGTAGTCGCCGCGTTTGAAGGAAGCAGTGCCGGTGGTGCGGTGGGTGGTGGAGGTGGTGAGGGCAGAGGGGGAGACGGGTGGGATTTGGCGGGGTGGTGCTTTCGGGCGGGGAGGCGTCGAGGGACGGCGAGGAGGGGGTGCTGGGCGGGCGCTGGACGTCTGCTGTGCGAAGGGATTCTTCGACTGGAGGGAAGCCGGAGGAGATGATGGTTTGGAGGCGTTGGAGAGCGGAGAAGGGCGACGATCCGGTTCTGGGACTGGGGTGGCCTTCTTTCTCCGAGCTGGGCTTACGTATGCGGTAGCGGTTTGCTCGTCGACTTGTTCTCGTGTTAATTTTCCAGTTGGTGCCTGGCGTTCCGGCTGACTGGAGTTGGGTCGCGAAAAGGGGTTTCGGTCCGGTTCGTCCCAAGGCGATCGAGATGCATTTGCCCTTGCCGGTCGGTGTGGAAGTGCTTCTTGCCTCTCTTTCGACGGACGCGCGCTTCCCGCCTCCAGCATCATCGCTTCATCGGTCACCCCGCTATCTACTTTGCCATTGGTGGCATGTTCCTTAGAACTATTTGTGGCTCGACCACGCGGCGCCGTGGGTCGACTCTCTGGCATTCGTTGAGCACTTTGAGCCTCTCGCATCCACCGAGGTTGTGACGGATCCCCTTCCTGTTGGAATTCCGCCACCGCTTTCTGCATTTTCTTCTGCCCCGTTTTCCAGAATGAGTTTGCAGACTTCAGGAAAGTCGACCCAATCTCCGATGCATATTGAGCCACGTCTTTCTCTTGGTCGTGCCCTGCCTCGTCACGATCCCGAGACCCAGACGAACCTCTCTGGGTTTCCGACCGCATCCAAGGCGGTACCCCCGAGTCATCTCGCTCCTGACGGCCTTTTGACTGCCGTGGTTCAGGTTGCTGGGGCGTCGATCGCCCGGATCCCTTCTCCCCTCCACCTGTCTTCTGTTTTGATTCTTCATGCGCGCGGGTGAGAAGGATCCCAACTGCAGCCTGGACATTCGTACCATTCTCCGTCTCTTCCAGCGCATCCGCGGCCTTGGAGGCATCGAATCCCATGTCGACCAGTTCTGCCACCGCCCTGTCTTTTGGATCCATTCCTAGCGGTCCATCGTCGTCTGAGGAGTCATCTACAGGTTTAGTCTCACTCCGTTGTGGCGGTGGCATCTCGGATACCGGTCGCCCAAGCATCCCCAGGATATCATCGTCGGTGGTCGCAGGTTGTGGTGTGGCTGCTGGGGGTTTTTGAGACATCTGGCCCAGTCCAAACGGATCGTCGTCATCATTGAAGGCCATCGGGTCAGATACTGATATTGCGGGCCTGCTACGCTGATCACTCGTTCCCCGACTCCCATGTTCGCTTGATTGTATCGGAGGGGGCGACGTGCCCTTCGGAGGAGGGAAGTGGCTTGAAGCATCCACCGGAGCCGTAGATTTAAAGGCCGCCAGGATATCATCTTCCTCCTCCTGTGGCTTCTGGGGAGCGACCTTCGGCGCACCCGTCGTCCTTGATCCTAGAGTATCCCAGAACTTTTCCTGGCCGCCAAACTGCGCACCAAACAATTTGCTCTGCTCTTCATCTTTCCGACGCTTCTCCTCCTGTAGGCGCCTCTGTTGTTCTTGTAGCGACAGCTGGGCCGCTGCTGGCTTCGAGGAATTGAGTGAAAGTAGTCCCGCAAAGCTGTCGGTAGCAGGGGTCGAGCTCCGCGGTTGGACCTTGAGCTTCGGTGTATGATTTCCGGTGTTGCTGGACGGAAGGGAGAAGGGGGTCGAGCGACCGGAACTCGACGGTGATGGCGTAGGTTTGAGCGACGGGAAGGAAAGAGCGGTTTGCTGGGAGGGTGGATTCGTGTTACTGCTTGGTTTGGAGGAGCTCCAGTCGAGGCCGGCGAGATCGTCCATCGTGGACGAACGTTATACGAAACTAAGATGGACAAATGGTACTTCCGGATGATGATGACTAAGTCTCCGTTCCATTAATGTCCATGATAAGGGGCGTACAGTGGGCAATTAAGTGTCCGGAAGATATTCAACAGCTCCACCGATTTGTAGGTTCATCAAAGTCATACATGACTTGGCGTCGACAGCATGTTCAGTTTTGGTGTTAATAACGCATCGATGTCAGGGTTCACACTGCGAGAGGGATCTGGACGGTGATGTGGCTTGTTTGTGGCTGGTGCAATTAGTCACGTGGCATCCATCAGCCACAACATGTGCGCATCCACTGGTCTGTGGCACTTGTGGTCAGTGGTGGATGATCGCAGAAATCAAAGTCCCCATCAGATTGTCGCTCGTCTTCGTCAACCCAATTGATAGAGTTACTTGGCAAAGGCCAAAGTTGCTTGACAAAGTTTGGATTTCTGCTTACGAAGGACTTCATTTGATTCGACACATTGCTTCCTGTCGGGCTACGCAATCCGGCAAGCGAATGAACCTCCTGAGTCCTGACTCAACCCCATCTCGTCATCCAGCCGTCGCATGAGGTGTGCCTGATTTTGTACGTACGCATAACGCAACCGATGAGCTGAATCGTGGATGGCTGAATGGTTGTTTGATCGACCCTCGCGTATAAGCGACTATTGAAAAGCCGTCGGAACCAATTGGTGGAAATGGGCCATCGCGAGTCGCCAATGTCCGTCATGCACTCGTGCGGTCGTGGTCTCGTGGAGCATGCAGCCATCCATGGGTTTGCTCCCGCGTCCCAGCGATTGATTAAAGTCGGGGGTCGATATTGTGGAAGACTTGACCCATCGGCGTTGTTTTTGATTCACTGTGATATCACACCTGCAGCGGATGAGCGACGTTGCGCCAATCGAATATCGATTGACAGTATACCGCATACAGGAGATAAATATATCCTTACGTACTGGATAGACCAGTGGTGACATGCAATCAAATTACCGAAGCTGTCGCGAACTTGCGATTCATTCTGATTCCTGACTCTGCAGACTGCAGTCTGCAACTAAGCGTCCACCGGCCCAATGTCCGGACAGCTGGAACCCCGCCCGACGGCTTGACACTTGACAGGCGATGCCCTATCGGGGCCTTCGGGGGGGGGTTATCACAATGGGTTTTACTCTCCACACACCTGTCGACACCTTCGGGTTTCAAGCCTTCGGCGCATATCCACCTCCAAATCGACTGCATACACAAGATGACGATCTTCAACTAAACCTTGCCTCGTAAACCATAACCCTTGACTCGTTTCTGACTTCATATCAACAGAAATCTTCGACAACCGAAAAGGGGTTCAACTGACAAGTAACGAGTCGCTTCGATATTCCCAAGTCCCAACCCCGCCCCATCCACGGCACAGATTGACTGATTGACCTGCCCTTCCAAGTTCTAGCCCACCACTCCCAGATGGCGCAAGGAATCCAACGCCTTCCGGACGCCTCCCCATGTTAGTGGGATCCGTCGCAGCTCATCACGGTTGCCCCGGCGGCCTGTGACTAATCTCCCGTTATCCCGTACCTGCAGGTGGTGCAGGACCCAAATTGCTTGGGATCGGTCGGGGGACAAATTGGGTGATTTGGGCGACGGTCACCGGTCCCACCCTGCTGGCTTGTCCTTGCACATCGAACTGCCGGGACCTCCTTTTGAACCTTCACCCCTGAACACGACTGGGGACTAAGATGCAGATGGAATAATGGATGGGCCATGCCGAAGGGAAGCTCGGGCAAAGGATTTTTTTTGGTACATAGCCATGGCACTCATCAGTGGACAATATGAATGATTAGATATGGCGGATGCTCTCCGCATTTTGTTGGATCGAGCTTTGAGAGAGCTGAAGGCTGAAATAGCATCAAGCCGAGCCTTTGGTCAAAGAAGAATGAAAGAAAGAAAGGCAAATTTGAGATTCGCGTCTTGCTTTCTCTTCTGTTGGTCGCTTAGTCGGATTTAATTAACCAACGTATCTTCTCCTGAGATTCAATTCATCCAAATTCGGTGACCGATGAAAGAAGCGTCCCAAACCATCAACCGTTCCGTTAGCTTCTCTTCTAAAAGTGCCATCGCCTTTGAGTCTCGAGGGGACTAAACCATCGACGGGACACCCTGCCGGCGCATTGCCGCATTCCATTGAAAAGTGCTACTGAAGCTGCATCGGGAATTCTAGATCGTGTGGAATTCAAAGGATTGCAACGTGACGGCGCAACAGAAGTCTCGATTCTCGAGTTCTCGACCAAAGATTCATTCCGACCTCTATTGGATATTTCTCTGGTCACTCACTGTCAGCATCATTTTCTTATTTCTATACCCTACGCGACCCAGGTAGGTACAGAACCATATTATCACTTTCATTTCAGTAGGGGAGAACCGCAATTACTTCACTTCTTCCCCACTACCCCCTCGTGCAATTCCCAAAACAGCGACCAATCCCATCTGCGACCTGCTTCTCCCCTCTTGCACCGCGGATAGCTGACACCTTTTTGTGTGACGATTAGACACCGAGCTCACTGTTCCCCTCATTCATTACCTATTGAGTATTTGATCTATTTGTCCTAACACCTTATCTCCCACCTAAGACACTAGGACCCGCCTCCCGGATCTTCTAATCCTCCGAGCTCCAAGGAGCAGCGAGTGGAGCCCAAGATGGGTCTCTTTAGCAGGAAGCAATCGAAGCAACCTTTATCTTCGACCGACGACTCGAAATCTATCCAGTCCAACCGTTCTTCTTCTCACAAATCTCCCCTCTCATCGATCAACGGACAGCAATTCGGTATGAAGAGCCAGAACCTCCTCGCGGAGATCCCAGACATTCCTCTCCCGAGAGCACCGGATCCGTTGATTGATCCGGTGAAGTACTTGAAGAGTATCTATGCGGTCCGAGAGCGGACCCGGTTGGTGTTGGAGACGGCGAAGAGGAACCAGCTGAAGCATTTCACGGTGGACTTGGGAAAGTTCGACGATGCCGTTTCTTACGTGGTGGCTATCATCAAGGTGAGCCCATCTGGCGAAATGGTACCCGCGAGCGTGACTGATAAGAAGACTGCAGCGCGATTACGGCTCCGACTTCGCATCAATACCTCCCCACGGAAGATGGCAGCATTTCGACGTCGGCGGCCGTCCGCGCGTTGATCAAATGATGCAAACCTGGCCCCTGTCCATCGACGCTCTCGAGCGGTGTCGACGCCTCATCGACCTCTTCGTCGTGTCGGTCCTTCTCGACGCCGGAGCGGGGTCGAAATGGCAATACAAAAGCAAGGAGAACAGCCGGATCTACCGACGGAGCGAGGGTCTGGCCGTAGCGAGCTTGGAGATGTTCAAGGCCGGCGTGTTCAGCAACAATCCGGAGCAACCGTTCCAGGTCGATAGCGAGGGCTTGAGCAGAATCACCGAAGCGGCCATGCGGAAAGGATTGCAGGTCACTGACCAGAACCCGATCGATGGCCTCGAAGGACGAACTCAGCTCCTCATCAAACTATCCGATGCGCTCCAGAACCAGGCCATCTTCGGAGTGGATTCAAGACCCGGCAACATGCTCGGTATGTAATGTCGAACCCCATGCTCGGACAACCGCTTACCATCATCAGATTACCTCCTCAGCCACCCGACCACCCATGCCTCCTCCGTCCCAATCATCCCCCTCCCAACCCTCTGGGACCTCCTCATGGACGGCTTAGGCCCCATCTGGCCGCAAACCCGCACCCACATCGACGGCGTCCCCCTCGGCGACGCCTGGCCCTGCAGCATCATGCCCTCGCACCCCACCCACCCCTGGGAATCCATCGTGCCCTTCCACAAGCTCACGCAATGGCTCTGCTACTCCATCATGGTGCCTATGACCAAGCTCCTCCAGGTGCATTTCGCCGGCGCGGAGCTCCTCACCGGCCTGCCCGAGTACCGCAACGGCGGGCTGTTCGTTGACACCGGGCTGATGACCCTCAAACCGGACGAGACGCAGCGCGGGCTCGAGCAGTATCGCGCGAACGCGGAGAGGCTGGGTCAGCCGAGCATGGAAGTCGTGCCGATGTTCACTGCGGACGACGACGTCATCGTCGAGTGGCGCGCCGCTACCGTGGGGTTCCTGGATGAGCTGCTTATCGAGGTGAACAAGATGCTTGGGTTGAGCGGCAGTGATTGCCTCTCCTTGGCGCAGATGCTCGAGGCGGGGAGCTGGAAGGTAAGAGAATATTCCGATGCGACCAGATCCTCGCTAACATGGTGACTAGGGTGGCCGTGAATTGGCCGAGGTCTCGCGACCGAACACCAAAGAACCGCCGATTATGATCTTCTCGGATGGGACGGTCTTCTAAGCCAGGATGGAGCAGCTACCCATAAAATTCTGGTCGTCCACGGAACCTTTACGTTTGCGCGCCGTTTGCTTGCCTATGCACTTTGCGCGATCATGCTTCGAATTCTGCAAGTGTCCGTGGAAGGGACGGAAGTACTATGGAACCGATAATGAAGGCATGTACTATAACGACAGTATAGAATAACCATGGAAAATGGATGATAAATCGCATGCTGCAATACCAAATAGCTGTGAATAGACAACACGTTTGGAGAGGATGCGACTGGATGGCCTAGTCGGGACGCTTCGCCCCTAGATGTCCCGTCCGCAATCGGCACGCTATCGACCCCGGATCCGCGCCGATCCTTGTCGATCTGGATCTCGGATTTGGATCCGCCTTACGTAAGGTGACCTGACGTTGACCAACTTTTCTCAATTCTTAATATACGTACAATGTCATTCATATCAGTCGCATTGTAATATTTATCCATCATTGAGACTGCCAATTCCTTTCGTTCTACCACGAGAAAACCCATCCACCAAAACCCACGAGTCGAATCCAATTACCGCAGCGTGTACCACCCGGGCTGAGGAAGCGATTCCTCCGGTGGTGTGTCACCATAATCTCATATAAATTCAGATATTGAACATGTACCCTCCATCAATCGGTACGTCGCTGCCCATCGAGGCCATCAGTGGAATCTGTGGCTCCATCTCCATCGCCTGCTGGGTCGTCGTCTTCTCGCCGCAGATCGTCGAGAATTTCCGTCGCCGCTCGGCCGAGGGGCTATCGATCGTCTTCGTCGTCATCTGGTTAGCGGGAGATGTGTTTAATATCGCCGGCGCAGTGATGCAAAAGGTGTTACCGACGATGGTATTTTCAAATGGTATTTCTGGATGGGATTGAAAGACGCTGATTTTCGGTAGATTATCTTAGCCGTGTACTATACGTTGGCAGATATCGTCCTCCTCTGCCAATGCTTCTACTACAAGGGCTTTACCCTCAAAGATGATGTCCCTCCTCCCGCAGCAAATGGCCACTCCAGCGACGCCGCCGATGAGCGTGCCCGCCTCCTCCCTGACTCCCGCCCACCACCCCCGTCCTCGCTAGAACGCCGCCCCAGCTTCCGCGAGCGCCTCCTCTCCAGCTCCGCCGACGGCACGAACCTCTCCCCCGTGACCCCCTGGCACTCCCACGCGCCCGTTGACGAAACCTCACCATCCACCCCGCCATTCTCCAGTCCGCGGTCGCGTGTGCAAGCGCTCCTCTTCAACGCCACGGGGATCATCCTCGTCCTCGCGTCGGGGGTGCTCGGATGGTGGCTGAGCAGTCACCCCTCAAGCGAAGACGCACAGAAGCCCACGGACCCGGGGGCGCTGCGGTTTAGCTGGTGGGGGCAGGTGTGCGGGTATGTGTGCGCGCTGCTGTACCTGGGGTCGAGGGTGCCGCAGCTGCTGTTGAATTACCGGCGAAAGAGCACGGAGGGAATCTCGATGCTGTTTTTCATCTTCGCGGTGCTGGGGAACTCGACGTACGTGTTGTCAATTATGGCGTTTGAGCCGCGGTGTCCGGGGGTGGAGGGCTGTGCGGGTGGGGAGGCGGCAAGGATGTATTGGAGGTATATGCTGGTGAATTTGAGTTGGATTTTGGGGAGCTTGGGGACGCTCTTTTTGGATATGGGGGTGTTTGTGCAATATTTCATATATCGAAAGGACGAGGAGGAAGATTACAACGATGAAGATGTCATTGTAGCTAGGTAGCTTACCTATAGGTCATAGAAATATCGGCTAGGACCGACCAACATCAGTCCAAGTGTGTGTCAGGAAGTCCTGCTCAATTTGGCTCCAAGATGCGGGTATATATTATCGCCGGAGTCAATCTTACGGAATCTCAAGACGCGATCTTCTGTCAAGTACTGCATCATTCACTCTCCCACGACTGGTCGTCCCCTTCCTCTTCTAACAGCATCGTGGCACCACCAGCACCATCTTCCCCGCGTATTTCTCTGGATCAGCAATAAATGGCAGATACTTGTTCGCGTATTCTCTTCCATCGCCCACCGTTTCAATGATGATCATTAGCACTTCCAGATCGGAATCGTCCTCGGGTACGGGGTGATCGAACGTGACGCCGTAGTAGTCAATGCATCTAGAAAGATTGGAAATATGGTTAATCATCAATGCTAGAATGTCTAGAGATAATAACGCATTCTTACCTGGTTTGTCTCGCCTCTACCATCTATCCTATATATCTATGCGTACTACTAGGTCGCCTGCCACTTCTTCCCGCACATAGCTCTTATAAAGAGTCTGACAAGTTAATCTCGCCAGCTCCGGACCCGGTGGTTACGGGAACACTGGGCCATAGGATTCCAAATTCCTGCCAACATGCGGAAGGAACTTTTGGACGGCCACCAGGAGACTCTCAATCGATATTCTCAGTGGGTTTTCTAGTGGTGGAAGGTGATTGGCATGGGATGAGGTACTGAAGCACGGGGGAATATGAAGCCGATGGACCGTGAAAGGCGGATGAACTGTAGAAATGTGTATGGGACGATGGGACTTGGGAGGATGCCGGTGGTGTAGGCATTCTGTAGGCAGCACAGATATATGCTTTGAGACTCATCGTACGCCTGCATGGAGTTATGTCCGTCGAAGTACAATACTCGTACTCGTACTCGTACTCGTACTCCAGCGCACTCAACTGGAACGCTGGGGCGGCTGGTCCTATTCCTTCTATTATTCGATCGAGGTACTGGCTTGAATCAGCGCCGCAACTCATTGCCTGCTTCCCTGTGGTAGAATTCAGGAAGCATGCATGATGCAGATATACAGTCCTATATGCGGGGTAATATGGAAATATATCGTATATGAGGTTCTTCGTCCCCATTCTTCAGGAGCATTCATCGTCTGTCCTTCACCATGTCGCCCTCGAGCGTTTTACTGAGTAAGTAGGAGAAGAAAGTGCCGACCCCGACTCTTTACACCAGAACCCCAGGGAACAGGAGGTATCGGCGTATATCAGTAGTAGGCAAATCATAATTGGAAGTGTCTGTACCGATAGGCAATGTGCGTACATCATGCATACTACCAATTGGACAACCATCCTTTCCGACATGGCGAAAATTCGTGACATTGGCATCATGAAATGGCTCGGTACTTCAGATGGGATGGACTATTCGATGTTGATGTCACCCCCGGATTTACTCCTCCGCATAGCCAGAATTTACCCAATCACATGTCTCTACTTCCCCAAACCCCAAAGCCGAGGGTCTCCGCCGTCAGCCTATTCCTTGCCAGACATTACCGCGACCTCCTCTCCAACTACTACTGTAGTTAAGGTGAGTTCGGTATAAGACAAAATGTAGCGACCCTGCCATCCAGCTTCCGCTGGACTTCTATTCCCTATCTAAGATCAACCCCGATCTTCCACAACCCATCTACCTTTCAACCCCCCAAACCACCACCATGGCCCCTCCCGTCCCCTCCACCGACCCCAAGCAACTCGCCCCCTGGGCCGAACCCGCCTGGGTCTCCACCCTCCACTCCCCCTATTACAACGACTCCCACCGCCGCTTCCGCGACTACATCCGCGCGTACCTCGACGAGCACATCGTTCCTAACTGGTTCGAATGGTCCGAAGCTGGTGTCGCCCCCCACTCCGCGCGCCTCGCCTGGGCGAAGACCGGCATCCCCTTCGCCGACGTGCCGCCTCAATACCGCCCGAAAGACATCCCGGACCCAGCCGGCGTCAAGATCTCGGACATGGACGCGTTCCACGTGCTGGTGGCAACGGACGAGACGTCGCGGGTGAACGGCGGGGTGATGACGTCGCTGACGGGCGGGTCGGTGATCGGGGTGCCGCCGATCGTGGCGCACGGCACGGAGGAGCAGAAGCGACGGTGGCTGCCTGGGTTGTTTTCGTGGGAGACGAGCTTCTGTCTAGGGATCACGGAGCCGGGGGCGGGGAGTGACGTCGGGGCGATCGAGACGGTGGCGGCGAAGTCGGCAGACGGGAAGACGTATGTGGTCAACGGGTACAAGAAGTGGATCACGGGGGCGCCGTGGGCGACGCATATGACCACTGCGGTGCGCACGGGAGGGCCGGGACCGCGGGGCTTGTCGGTGCTGGTGATTCCGTTGAAGAGCAAGGGCGTGTCGATGCGGAAGGTGCATAATAGCGGGCAGAACGCCGGTGGCGCCAGCTACATCGAGCTGGATGACGTGGTGGTCCCCGCGGAGAACCTGATCGGCCAGGAGGGTCAGGGGTTCCGTATCATCATGTTTAACTTCAACAAGGAGCGTTACGTGATGGCGGTCGGGTGCAACCGCATGGCGCGCACGTGTCTCAGCGAGGCGTTCGCGTATGCGAACAAGCGACATACGTTCGGGGAGCCCTTGATCGCGCATCAGGTCATCAAGCACAAGTTCACGAACATCGCGAGGTATCTGGAGAGCCATTGGGCGTGGCTGGAGCAGTTGGCCTACCACATCAACTCCTCGCCGGAGGGATGGCAGGCGGCAGATGTCGCCAGTCAGATTGCGCTGGCGAAGGTGCATGGTGGATATCTGGTGGAGATGGCCAATCGAGAAGCGCAGCATATCTTTGGCGGAAAGGGATATGAACGGGGCAGCCCCGTTGAGGTGATCTCTCGAGATCTGAGGATGATGGTGTGTATTACCTGTTCTTGGTCAGTGGATTTATGCTAATTGATATGAATGCAGACCGTCGGTGGTGGATCGACTGAGATCATGAACGATCTGTCCTTCAAACAGGAAGTGATGTGGGCGAAGAAAAGGGGATGGAAATTGTAGGTCTCAGAAGCTCGGAAAGGACGGTGAATCCGGGTATCGATAAACCTTGTCGATAAACCTTTAGTGATGGAAAAATGAGTGTACAGTGAATAAGTTTTACTTCTGATTTCATGGATTCTGTTCTCAACGGAGTCAAGCAAATGTCTTGTGGTGTGCCTCGTATGACTTCGCTTTTCATTCAACCCCACGATCGCATGCTGAATCTTTTTCCATGAGCCTTGACGCTTTCTTCGCCTTCAAGTCACCAGTACCTATTCACAGAGTCCTCGTTTCTGGTCTTCACTCGGAATCATCCTCGTCCTAACCTTCGCAATGTGCTGCTGGCCATTCACCGACCTGGAAATCGAAAGCCCCCCTCGAGTGGTCTATTACAATCCTAGGTACACGTCTCATGGTGCAGTAAGTCAATACATTTCTATATTTTCTAGAAGATCAATTCGCTCTACAGAAATCCGATCAGTCCCGTGATTCTCGCACCTTCCTGCTTTTGTGTTTTGCACGTTTTAACACCAACCGCTTCTCGCATCTTCAACTTCAACTTCAACTTCAACTTCAACTTCGCTATCACATCTCACTGTCTGTTCAACCTCACACACTCTGCCTTCTTCATTTCTTTCTTCCATTCATTAACCATCAACTACACTCTCCCATTCATCAAAACAAAGATCACAATGGCCAACAATCCATTTACCCAGCCGCGTCTTGAAGATCAAGCGACAACCTACACCTACGTCCCGAGAACCAGTGGCCCAACTTACCCTCCCTCCGCATACGGGTATCAGGCTCCCATCGAAGGATCTCATCATATGCAATACCCTCAATATTATGGCCAGCAGGTAAGGTTTCCACATTGGCGTTTATCCCCAGCATCATGCCACACCGTCCAAGTCTCACCGGCCCGGTCAGTCCTAACTCACAGAAGACACCTCCAGTCTACTATGGCGCCCCTCCACCCGCCCCGATGTATCAAGGTCAAGGATATCCTGTTTACCAATTCCAGGGAGCCGCCCTCGACGGCGCCTACTACACCAACGCCGGCGTCCTCCCCCTCACTCCCGGCCAACCCGGCTACATCCCCGGCTACAACCCGCTCGCCACCCCCTTCTACCCCGCCCAACCAAACCCCATTATGCAGCAACCCCTCGTCGGCAACCCGCAAGCACCCCAAGCTTACTACTACGGTCGCACCGAAGCCGAAGTCGCCGAAGACGAGGCGCGCGCGTGGGTGGCCGGCGCGCCTGAGCGCACGGGCGATATCGCGCCGGACAACGCGAAGTTCGACGATATGTTCTATGTCATCGATCTGGATGGCACGAGGGATCAGCGCAGCTTTGCGACCATCATGAATGCGTGCAAGCCGGGGAGGTGGCATAAGGATATTTATGGGTCGTTTTTCTTCGTGCGTCATCAGCCGGCGCCGAAGTGATGGCGGGGAGATGATATCGCCTTGCGAGTTAGGTGATGACGAGATGGTTTGTGGGCTACGTGGTTGAATTGGGGGAGGGGGTCCATGAGTTGCTTCATCGTTGTGAGGTTATCACTTTTCATAAGGGGGTTCATTACGGTCAAGGTTGCTAGAGGGTGGGGAGTTTCGAGTGAAGTCATCGACAGACCTCAAAGGAGAGAACAGGTAAGCCATTCACAGTTCCTGAAATACGAAAGAACTTGACTTGAGCTAACCGATATGTCAGTCCATAACCATCAGTGGGGATCACTGCGCTTCGAGACAGGCATACGGCTTCGGATGGGCGCGCAACATGTCCGGCTTGCTGGAAATTCATCACCCTTCCTTTCTCGAATTCCCTCGAGTATCTTCTTTCTCAACAGGATGAATTCTCCTTTCAAATTCTCCCCGTACAGCTTCGCGATGCGTGTTAAGTAGCGGTTACGGGACACTCAAACAAGCTTTACTCCTACGGCATCGAGAATCAAAATTCAATTGATATCAAACCCCAGCACCCCGTCCAGTGCAATCAAGCATTATGAGATATCGCTGATTATTCCCGCTACGTTAAAATGCGTGAATTCCTTGAAGCGGGAGAAATGCTCGTCTAGAAGGACTGGTGACAATCCAGTGTCTATCTCATGCCATTGTGATGGCATTCCTACTGCCCCTGCAACTGCGTAAATACAATGACCATGTATTTCGGCCGACCTTGAGAAGATATCCGATATCAGGTATCTCGGTCAATCCCAGGTTGACGCGTGACTAGTTGCTACCATGATGCTCCGATTACATAGTATTTGTACGCTAATATGATTCTAGTGAGAACGCCAAGGACAGTCGACGCACAGAGCTCGGTTTCTCCGCCTCCATAGCCCGATATGCCACAGCATTCGATCACCCAAAACCAAAATCCACAGCCTTAGACCGTAAGCGACGAATTTGACTTTGACGCATCTAACTCGCCAAGCATTCCAAGGCTCCGAGTAGCTCAAGTTAACTTACAAGCCTGACTCGTCGGTTCCCCAGACGACCTCACGTCAACGGTGAAGTTGGTCGTCATTGTTCGGCTGCTGTGGTACAACGGATGACTTCAGGTTGCTTAGGCATAGGCTCAACAAGCTCGCGTTCGAAGAGATGGAGGTAGATCGGCTGCGGGTGGAGCATGTTTCATCGGGCCTTGCGCGTCGGGGAGAGGGAACGAGGACTGGCTCGCGGTGAGATTGGGCACGACGCAGGGAGCAGGCACCGCGACTCGATCGTAGGATGGATCAGATGCCAGGGGAGGCCAATAGAGGAATATGTTAGTATTGAATGCATAGGTGCGTTTAGAGAGACGAAACGACGCGATCCAGGAATGCAAATATGAGGTCATGTTATGACTACCGAGCTAGACGACAGCTCCAATATCGGCGGCTTGGATTGAATGACTGATAAACCGTACTGCGGACCGAATCTGGAGCGACTGATCTAGGTACTGCTTGAGAGAAACAGGTCAAGACTGCTCTTAGGTACACTATAACTAGGATTCAACAGTGTAACCGGGAAGGGAAATAGTCAATAGGATTCTAGGAACTTCTGACAAAGGTGATCGCAAGTTTGAGAGCATCATATATGTCCAACTGTGGCCTGTGTCAATAATAGCTTTTGACAGGCATTTTGGACATGATATATCTTTTTGCATAAAGGTTTGTATCCGATCGAGAACGGGCCAGGCAACAAGAATCTTCGAATCAATGAGAAGTATGGACTCCATCGTCAAGAATAAGAAGCTCAGCGCGTAGACTAGGACACAGATAGTTGCCTTTGTAGCATATCCGCTTTCACAAAACGGCATTTGTTGATGTCCTCTTCTGGTTGCTCAGACGGCTGCAAGCTTCAATCGTATCCCAATTTGTTGGACCACGTCAGAATGCGATGGTAGGTACTTCGGAGTCTCAAGACGTCCATGTCCGAAAGCGTGGAGTGGTCCCGAACGGCGAAGTAAACCTCCTGAACTCAGGAGGTGCAACTTAAACGTTCGCAAGACGGACACGATGATAACACTAACGCAAAGAAGAAAAAAGAAACAGTGCAAGGGATCGTGTCGCACGTGATGTGCTAAAATGGTTGGGAGTGAGGTGCTGTTGTTACAGCAGCGAAGTTGTTGTATTGGAGAGGTTTTGCAACCTCGAAAACCATTTTACAACTCCACTTCAACCCACCTTTCTGTCGGCCCTAGATCCTAATCGGGTTTACGGTGTAAATTTTGATGACCCACAGTTGTAACTCATTTACAACGGTTGTAATTGAGTTACAACTGGTTGTAAATGCGCTAACGAACTTTCGTGAAGTTTGATTGGCCGGAACCAAAGGTTTTGATGCCTTAGGCCACAATGTTGATGCCTTAAAATTATTTTTTACAACTTTTACAACTTTTTGTTGCCTCGTTGCCTCAGGCTTAATATTATAGTTTATACGCTAACCTTATATAGAGATATTAACCGTTTTTTCTGTGGGGTTGTAAATCGAGTTGTAAAATGGTTTTCGAGGTTGCAAAACCTCTCCATTGTGTAAGTTGTGTGTAAGTTGTGTGTTCTAGCTGAATGCCTGGTCCCCCGGCCCTACAGATATACGAGAGTCACGGCAAGATTATTAATGCAGTTTGTAGCCTTGGACTCCTAGAGCTCATGCCTTGGCCTGCGACAGATCGATACGCTACGAGGAGATTGGAATGTAACAATCATCATCTGGCTGGCTTAGCACTGCAGCCTATCGCTCATCCGTCCCACGTGTGTCATTCTGGTCTGTCGATGCCGTACGGTAGCACAGGCTCTATGGACGAGGTTTCCGACCGTAAAATCCCTCGCTTCCACCGTCTAGTCTAAGTCTAGGCTCCAAGGCGCCCATTTGCAATCTACAATCCGTAGACTAGCGCCCGCCATGTGGATGGAGTTGAAATAAGAAACTCCGCGAGGAGTGGGAGCCCTGGTCCGCAATATATTAACGCGGGGAGAAGACTCCGACGCGTGGTTGAAGCCGCGGAACCGCCAGCGTTCGGAGGTATTGTATCGGTTGAAAAAGACCCGATTCGCTCAATCCGTTGAAGGTGCTGAGACTTTGAAAACCTAGGGAAATGTAAAGCAGGGTGCGTAACATGTACGAGATACGCCGTATAAAGGACCTGACAGAATAGTCCGGCACAAGATCAAGGACGTCCACCTTGTGATGTAAGATTGCAAGAGACGTGTACGGTGTAATACTAACAAATTGGAGGAGGAGCAGAGGATACCAGAAAGAGAAAAAGGTATGGGTAAACGGGGCCGTGAAATCGTCAGTCTTTCGAGTTTCAAGTTTCAACGGCTTCCTCCACCCCAAGCGCGACGCCACCGACAAGGGGCCCCTTAATTAGGTGTTGCTTAGAATGATAGAATCGCTTGGCGTGGGGCACGTCCATCGTTATCGAAATTATTTCGAACACCATGCAATATGCATGTGTTGATTGCAACGGGTTTCGCCCGTGGGCCCCCAGTAGTAGATCAATGCGTCGCGTCGTGACTTTCTGAAATAGGGGATAGAAGTTAGGGAAGTGGCGGGTATGTCAGATGCCCGGAATCTCAAGTCTGAGTAATACGAGGGAATAGAAGTTGCCGGTAATATGCCGGATGTCCAGAATCGGGAGTAATGTAAGGGATGACGTTGGATGGCCTCCCAACGTTTTTATCTTGACCTCCTGGATCGCGCTCCCTATGGTCCTTCGCGCAAGGGACGTATGTTAGCGATGTACGCACCTTCACGGTAGTACGTACAGGTATCGAATGCAACATTGAAATAAGACAATAGATTATCATTGCCCGCTAAGCTACGCGCATTTCCTGCGCCTGGGGTATCTGAATGCTTCTCCACAAAAGAGTTCCAGCCACACCAATTAGGTACCTACCCAGTGGATGCGGTCCTCCCAATGCCCACGCTTATGCAAAGAAATTAACGATATGAACACTAATGTACGCCACCAATGCTATATCTAACTCTCTCGAAACGGCGCTATGCGTCTGTTTTTTTGGTCTCGACCTGCTTCTCGTCCCACTCGTCCGAGACACTCGGCGGCGCTGCCGAACTGCTCGGTAGCAGGCTCTCCTGCGAACCTCCTTGCGCCGGAGGGTTGCTTAGCTTGCTGTTTTTCTCGCCTTTCGAGTCGAGCTCCACTTTGCTGTACCATGCCGCGCCAGCCAAGGCGATGGCCATGCCGATGCCGTTGAGTGGCCCGACCTTGACGTTGAAGAGGGTTATGCCGATGATGATGGTGAGGCACTGCTTCACGTTCCCGCAGACGGAAATGGTAAGTGCGCCGGCGAGTTTGTTGGTTTGGAAGGAGGAGACGTTGAGGAAGAAGGCGAGGAGACCGTTGCCGAGGAGCGCGATTGCGGTGTAAGTGGTGACCTCACCACTAGTAGTCGCGGATGCGAATGAGGACATCTCCCCTTTGAGGACGGCGCATAAGAGCGATTGGATCGCGGCGAGGGGAGACATGCGGAGGAGGAGTTCGAGAGCGGGTAGCTTTAGGGAGCCGGTCAAGAGTCGATTCGTGACGATCGTCTGTAATGCATGTAAGCCTGATATCAACGAATCCTCCGCCGATTGAAATGCATACCTTTACGGCGGCTAATATGACGCCAACCATGGTGGCCACGAAGCCAAGGGTGGTGAATTGGTAATCCCCATACGTCGCCAGTCCGACTCCGAAAATTAACGGGATCATGGAAAGGTAGGTCGAGGTGGAGTAAGTGCGGCTATAGACGGTTCGGTATAAAAGAATGGTGGCCACCGGACACGTTGATCGCATGATTTGATGAAAGGGAACGGAGACCATGTTCCTATTTGATAGTTAGCATCCCACTAGACATGGACCTTCGTAGAACGTACAATGAGACATTGGACATGGCCACGTTGAGGGTGAAGAGGAACGAGAACATGGCCAGAATCATGTTCTCCCGGGGGGTCAGCTTTGTGAGCGTGAAGCTGCCCCGTAGCAGTAGAATACCACATCCGATGGATGCGGACGATGTATGAAGAGCTGTCAGTAGCCATGGAAATGACAACTATCCGCAGTTAGCGTCGACGATTCGTTTCTTCGGGATGTTCATCACTGACCCTCCCGAGTACTGCTTTGTTATAGATGGTCAAGGTGAGATTCAACATGAAGTAGGTTCCAAGATATGCGAGTTTCTTCCCCATGGGGACCGTGTATTCGGTTTCTGTCGAGGGCTTCACATTTCTTGGATGCGATGTCTCAGTGCCGGCCTGGGCCTCGACATCCGCGTTTCTGCTGCCGGATAGTAGACTGGTATGCATTTCGCGTTCCCTATCATGGTCGGTTTCGGTGTAGGACGCTGTGTCCAACGAGATCTTGTCGGTCTCGAACGAGCGGCGATCCGCAGCCATCGGATCCTGTAACTACCGATAAGAGATTCCTGTGGGACCCCCAAAACTGGAAGAGCAGTATATTTGTGTGAACATAGGTTGAGAACTCTCGGAAAGTAATAGAGGCTGAGATGGGCTGTGTTCGATCGATCGGGTGGCGACCAGGAAATGATTAGGTACGGAAGTCGAGTCGAATATCAAACGGCCTCCAACATGGATTGTAAAACGCAAGAAGCCTAGAACCATGAAAGACCCAAATATACGATCGGACGGGTAGGAGAATCAGGATGTCAAACCATGGAAGATCGGAGGTTAAGAGAGAGATTTTGACTGTCGATCTGATATGACATCAAAGGAAATGGCTCCCGGTCGGCAAGAGGCAGAGACTTTGGTAAAAAAGAGGAACACATCCTTGGTTGAGATCTAGTGGCACTCCGGCCAAGCCGGCGGCCAGGAAAGGTCGGGACATGGCTGGGAAATGGGATATGCGTTCCCGCTCATTCCCTGTCTAGTAGGGTCCAATAGGGAGATAATATAGGATGTGTTAGACAATGGACGGTGACTGGAGACTGGAGGGGGGAATTGCGGGTACGAAACCGGGCGATTTAATACAGATGAGGGATTGCGTACCATTCCCTCTCCATCGGTGAATATACCGTGTACCATATGACAGTGATTTCTCTATTTCTGGTTCACTTGATATTGTATATTATATTAATAGAGTTCTTCCATCCTCACCGTCTTCTGGTCAGAACTCAGTCAGCACAATCGACAGTCTTAGCTTATTGGTCGCGTGAGTTCTTTGGGGATGTGGAGAATGAACGTGGAGTTTGAAATACGTCGCGCGGCCCCTCCTTGTACCTAACTTGTTAGAAGCGGTTCTTGGCTGTTAGAAGCGGTTCTTGGCGAGAAGACTATCTAGCCCAATAGGAACGTGAAGCAAACGCCTCGTCGGGATTTTTAGCTGCTCAATTGCTTAGCTACTCTCCTTTCCATCTCCATTGCCCCTAGAGTTTTGCAGCTTGCACCCGGGTGGAGTGGCTGATCCGCAGCGTCCACGGCATTTCGGATGTCGGTCTATCATATCGGTATCAATCGCAGCTTCCCAGCTTTCCCCTCGCTGAGTGGCGAACCCGAACCATGTAATAATCCCTGATATAAAGATAGATACGAATACGGTCATCCGATGATATAGCCATCAAACGATCAAGATGACTGGAGGGCTTAGCCGACGAATCCTCAATATCGATTTGAAATCAGGACAGACGACTAGAACAGGGAACGAATTTGCCATCGCGACCATCCATCCCAACTGACTGGAACAAATATACATTGTAGGGGTTATGAAACTGCCACTTGGAGTTCCCGGAGCCAGTTGTACCACAGGCGCCTCTCCTCCTTTTCGGAGGCCATGCCTGATGTAGGCAGGATAGGAAAAGGGATGGATAGCGGTTTGCGATTGGCATAAGGGAGGATCTATTCGCATTGTGTACCTATCCTTGACTTCCTGTGGAGTCAGATGTGTATTCTGTATGGAGTACGACGATGATAATTCCCAAAGACGGGACGATTCGTATCCTCTATTCCTCACCACTCATCAATAATCATCCGACCCCGTCTGTGCTTTCATTATTGACACTGGTCGGACGAATCCAGGGCATGAAACAGCTATGGCCAGTGTCGGCAGTGGGCACAGATTAAGCATTCAGAGAACTTCCGTTAATAGTTAATAAACACCTTTGGCCTTTATCCATTCCTAGTTTCCGCCCCGAAAGCGGAAGGGCAAGCGTATAAGCATTTCGGAAGATGCTACACAGGCCACTGCGCCCGAATTTCGACGAATGAACGACGACGATTTCGGAATCCCTAGGCAAATGGGTTCGAGAAAGAATGAAAATTATCGGATAGAGTTCCGCTATAACGGTTAGCGTCAGGGCGATTGGCCCTAAATTCAGAGCCGCCCAGCATTTGATGACGCGTCACTGCTCCACAGACCCTAATCGGGGGTTTAAGCGTCGATCCGGCCGCCAATGCACGCTTAGCCTGGCCCCTTGGTTGGCTGGCCCGCCTGGGTAGAGTCGTCGGAGCGGAATTCCCAGTGGCTCCTTCAATTTCCTCAAGGATAGGGCCGAGGAATGACGTTGTTTGGTTGTTTGTTAGGCAGTCTCATAATGTTGAAGCAAATTAACCTCTCTGTTACTGGTATCTATTGGGTGATTGAGTCAGCGCTGGATACGATTATGGCCATTTACTCAACTTGTATCAAATTCCCAAATGGCTTAGAGACATGGATTAAAAATGTGTGCTGTTTTTGTAACCTGTTGTGTTTCTTATCAAATTGAAAGCCACTATCGCTTGTTCACAGCAGGGTGGGGTGATTAGGACTTCTCTCGTACCACACCGGTATATGTAAAACGGACCATGCAGCGTCGAAGAAATGTTATCAGCGCATGTACGTAAGTACTCCGTAGCATATCTTGTAGTTCCAGTCTATTATGAGTGAAACATGTGGAAAGCATTGTTAACATCCAATGATCAGTTGGTCCTGAACTGTGGGATCATGGATGTAAGGCTGAAGCAGCCATTCAATTGTCTAACCACCGATGGATCTATGCCGGTGATTAAGGATTTAGCCTGTTGAAAATTAAAAAGACTTGAAGCGGGAGAGCGTCCTAAATTGGCTCGAAGTGCTTATTCCATCTCGGTCCCATCAATGGTCAAGATCGGAAGGCAAAATATCATTTGGTGGAACAGCAAAGCTTCTACAAGTTACACTGGACAACCGGATGCTGGCCTGATCGAAACATATTCGGCCAATGGCCGCCTGGGCTGTGGATCATTTTTGTACCCAAACCGTAGGTAGATCGCTTCCGATATCTTAGCGGACCATATCATTAGGGGGAATTGAGGCGTTCGGTACAAACCGGTATGTCCACAGTACCATTCTTCGCCCCAAGTGCGTCTCTTCGAAGGTCAGATAGTCTGCCTCGCCTTTCCAAACCACTCGACGGCTCGAATTCGGAAAAGGGGGAGGATGATCGGGGCGATCGCGGTAACGGTGTCACGTTGCTCTGAGGCTCTGAGGTTATATTTGGCATTGCAGCTTTTTCCAATTCCCGTGATGATGGACATCCGCAGGCAATACGACGGACATGGAGGGGCTTCGGTGACTACTTTAGTCTTCAGGGCACCACCGGAATACAGGGGGGTTGGAAAATATTGGCTGCTTTATTACTGCTTGGCTAAGCAAAATATTGCTACCTCATACCTGTACTTGTGCTTATGTAAACCAGCACCAGTATTTGTCCACCTTTTATCACTTCATCTGACGTTCATCGACATTCCCCAGCCCCAGCTCACAATCTTTCATTCATAATATCTCCTATCATGGTTATAGAATGTTACTACTTACTAAATAGGAACGAAGATCCAGTAACGGCAACCACATCCCCTCTATGTGTAAGGATGTTCAGTATCTCTAGGAACTATTAACTCAACCAAAGTCCAGAATACACCAGAGGTTGTTTCGATTCTTGCGATTGGGGGGCATATGACTAGACCTTGCCAACCAATGTGTCCTACAGCAGGATATATATTATCTTAGTGTAGTCAATCGACAGTTACCTCCAGAATCCAACCCAACCAGAACTTGCTTGAAATACCACTTGCCCCCCCCCCCATTCATACAGTCATCGTCCCTAGGAGCCAAGACCTACAACATCAGTACGAACATTGCAGAGGCTTATACTACGGACCATGTGGCTGACACTGTACATCAGTGCACCCTACACACTATCATAGGTGAACTATCCATTGAAACAAACAATTGCGGTCAAATCAAATAGCCAACATGTATGCTGATGATTAGAATCTATTGTCCTGCCTGACTCAATCATGATGCACCTCGCCGTCGCCGAACGCCGAGTAAAAACTGTCACTGTCGCTGCCAGTGAGTGATCGCTTCATAATCGACTTGTTCTCTCTCGTACGTTTGCGAGAAAACGATATCGGCGTATTCCCACCAATCCCTCGCATCGGAGTCGCGCTGGAAAACCTAGCACATTCCCACCACTCAGGCAACCAACCAGCCAATTCCAAATCAATAATCGCAACGACTTTCCCGTCTTGGACGAGGACGTTATGAAGATACAGATCGCAATGGGAGAAGACAATGCAGTGACTCCATTTCTTGTAGTTGATTGGTGAAAGCCCGCCGAAGTGGCGTGGATACGACAATGATTTAGGTTGTCGATGATGAAATTGTTGAACGCGGCCTCGTCTGGGAAAGGTCCTCCGTCACAAAATCGGTACGTAAGAATGTCCTGTATGGGGCCGCCGTCTATGGCACAGATGGCATTCAATGGAGGCTGAATTGACCTCATCTTGTCAAGTAATCTCGCAGTTGATATGCGATGCTGGTCTTCTCCTCAGCAGACATAGACGGCCACACTTTGTCTAAGTGATCACCCTCGACATATTCCATCCGGATACCGACGCGGTTATTCGATAGCGTTTGAATATCATAGACGCGGGGAACCGGTATTTGATTCTCTTCCACAAGCTTCTGCACATGGCCTTCTCCAGCTCGTACTCGCCAGCCTGATTTGGCAACAGAGTTTTCGCAGCGCTCGATGAAGGCGCCCCTGGAATCGAGAATGACAGTGGCTTTTTCAAGGCACTCAATATTCTAATGCCCAATTCCAGATGATGTACAAGAGGAACCTACCATGAAATGGGGGTATTCGTGGACATATTAAAGAAGTGAGGATACTCCAAGTGCAGCCGCAGGTTAGTTTCTTGAGTCGATCGGGATTCTGGTACCATAATAGTACGCGGTCCAACGAAGATATTTATACAACTAACGCCACATCCGGAAACCCGCCTGGATGAATGAGGCATCCTCACACATTCCATCTTGTGTAGGCAAGACCTAGAAACTGAAAAGCAACTGAAGGCCCAGCGGTTGTTGATTGGTTGGGATTAAACTGTCACTGGGTGTGGTTATCGATGGATGAAGCTGTATGGATTATTAAGCACGTGATAACGGACAGCGTATTAGATACCGTAGAGGTACCGTATTGAAAGTAATTAAAGATGGTAAAATTCCACCGTCCGAAATTCCCGTAGCGGAGACAAGGTCACACCTTGTTAGACTGGAGCAGCACTGCAGCCGACATGGGCGTATCCACGCGGTGATTATCGATACTTAGAAAGTTACATCAAAAGTATAGACTACAGAGACTCCCTACCTCGAGTCCGCCAGCAGGCCAGCGCCCAGCACCAGTCTTGCTTTTGCCTCTGATGGAATTGGTGCCGGATCGCTTGCTAAACCCCAAATTAGATGTTATCCCCATACCTCCCCACTTGAAGTTCCAAATTTCTGGATTTTGCTTGCTGCAGGTCTCGCATCGCTGTCTCGCCGTTGGCTGTTTGTCCCGTCTCTTGTCCTTTCCTTTTCTACGGCAAGCGTACATGGACAAACAAGACATCTATCCCATTTCTTCTATATCTAAAGCCCACATATAAACCATCTTTTCTCCAAGTCATTGCTATCTTTTATGGTCTGAATCCCTCCATTGAAACCCTGATTCGCGCAATCGCCCCGCCACAGCGCTCATCTCTTCCGCTGCTCAACCTATTTCTATACGTACCAGGGCACCTCGGCAGCTGCACAGCTGTGCCTATGGGCGAATCATGACTCCTTCAATCGATAATCTCCGATGCCAGACACAGCAGACCTCAAGTTCCGCTAAGCCGATTCCGATCCGACATGTCACAGAAGGCTCAGCAATCAGTGATTCCGTCCACGTGCAGAGGACGGAGGAGCTGTTGCGGCTTCCCCATGGGAAGGTGACCAAAGTGTGCTGTATTGGAGCGGGCTACGTAGTATGCATCCAAAACCTTGTAAGGGACCTATCGCCGTACAAATACTGACCGAAGGTGGTCTTCAGGGCGGTCCCACCAGCGCCGTAATGGCGAACAAGAACCCGGACCTGCAAGTAACGGTCGTAGATCTTAGCATCAAGAGAATAGAAGCATGGAAATCGGATCAACTACCTATTTACGAGCCGGGTCTGCTCGACGCCGTGAAATTAGCAAGAGATGGCGATGGTGGCCGCAAGCCGAACCTGTTCTTCTCCACCGACGTCGACACGGCGGTCCGAGAGGCGGAACTGATCCTCGTGAGCGTGAACACCCCGACCAAAATCACTGGCACCGGCGCCGGCCGCGCTTCCGAGCTCAGCTATTTCGAGTCGGCTGTCCGGACCATCGCAGAGGTGGCGACCACCGACAAGATCATTGTCGAGAAGAGCACGGTGCCATGCCGGACGGCTGAGAATATGCGCGAGATCCTCTCCGCCATCGGTCATCCCGGCGTGAACTTCGAAATCCTTTCCAACCCCGAGTTTTTGGCTGAAGGGACGGCCATTCCCGATCTCATGGAGCCGGACAGGATTCTGATCGGATCGTTAAACACGGCGGCTGGCCTTAGTGCCGCCGCTGCGTTGGCGGATGTATACGCCGCATGGGTTCCGCGGGAAAATATTATCACGATGAACACGTTCAGCTCCGAGTTGGCGAAGCTGGCTGCGAATGCGCTCCTTGCTCAGCGGATCAGCAGCATCAACGCTCTGTCTGCCGTATGTGAAGCGACCGGTGCAGATATTGAAGAGGTCTCATATGCCGTTGGCCTTGATACCCGTATTGGCCGCAAGATGCTGAAAGCGTCAGTCGGATTCGGCGGATCATGCTTTAAGAAGGACGTCCTCTCCCTCGCCTACATCTCCGAGACTCTCCACCTACCCGAGGTTGCGGCGTACTGGAGGAGCGTCGTCGATATCAACGAGTACCAGAAGGACCGCTTCACCAAACGCATCATCCAATGCCTCTTCAACTCGCTCAAGAACAAGAAGATCGCCATCCTGGGGTTCGCGTACAAGAAGGATACGGGCGATACGCGTGAGAGCGCGGCCATCACCGTGGTGGAGAGCTTGGTGGCCGAGGACGCGAAACTCAGCATCTACGACCCCCGCGTCGAGGAAGAACAGGTCTGGTCCGACCTCAAGCAGACCCATATCGGCCTCCCGAAGATGAAGGAGAACGTTACCCTGTGCTCGAGCGTCTACGATGCGTGCGCGGACAGCCACGCCGTCATCATCTTGACCGAGTGGGATGAGTTCAGCAACAAGGTCGCGCCGACCACCAGCCGACCAAGCGGTGAATCAGATGGTGAGACCGACCCTGCATCACCACAGGTCGAGGACGACCCCACCGACAGCCCGAACGGCGCAAATGGCCACGCTAACGGAGCGGCAGCGTCGAGCACCTCGTCGGGCATGCCCCGCATGGACTGGGCACACGTCGCCTCGGTCATGCGGCGCCCGATGTTCGTCTTCGACGGCCGCAACGTCGTCGACAAGTCGAAGCTGGAGGATCTGGGGTTCCGCGTCGAGTGCATCGGGAAGCCCGGGTCCGCGTCGTTTCGCGAGCGGGGCAGCGTACCCAGCGGGCGGAAGAGCAGCCAGGAAGGTTCGCCTGTTTAATGCCGGCAACAGGGTTACTAGCTTTCATTCCGAGTGTCATTTTCTGATCCGTAATAATTTGTCGCCGCTGTCGTCGGTTGTTGAACGTTGGTGATTCGGCACTGGATGTCGGAAAGGGGCGGTTGGATCACATGGCACCTATAATATTTCTTCCGAATTTTTCGCTGGGGATTCTTGCGATGGTGGGCATCTGGGGTTTCAACGGATTGGATCAGGAGCGGCATATGATTAAGCGGCGCATCATCGCCACGGGCCATGTGTGGTAATCTTACGGGCAGTTTTCCGACATCACCATGAAGGAGACGGCAAAGTCGAAATCTGGCAGCGGTGTGATGCACACCAGCTCCATAGAATGGTGTTCCATTCATTCATAGACCCTATCATAGACTACTAAATCCTATATTCTCCCCTATCGGGAGTCCGCATTCGGGATCCGTATCGTCGCTCCCTACTATCATACAAAAGTGAAGAAACCGTGCTGCGCTGGTCATTGGGGATATCATCGCTATAACCAGGTATGCGAACGCCAAACGCTGACCCCGCCAGGAGTGCAAGGGAAACCCAAAGGAAATGGAACTCGCTCAATCACTGGAACGGGGTATGCAAATGCTCAAATCGTGCGCGAACGAACCAAACTGGCGTCTCATTTCCATCTTCATGCCCCAGCCGTCTGGACTTGATCGTCAGACTGCTCGGCCTCTTGGGCGGACCTTTCGCCAAGACCTTCACCGCTCCCCTCACTCGGTTCATCGCCGTCATCATCGTCAGTCTGGCCTGCCGTTCCGCTCGGCCCGGCGTGTTTCTGCATAGAGGCCTGCGGGGACTGCGGTTGGGGAAGCAGCCGCTTCACTCCCACATCGAGCTCCTCGAACTTGTGACGCACGAGCTGGATGTTGATCCGAGCCGAGTTGAACATCTGCTCGGACGGGGGAAGATCCACGGCAAGGTTGGTGTTCTCAGTGAGTTGGGTAATGAAGAACATGAAGCGACCAGTCTTGATCTGCAGCTCGGCGAAGTTTGCACTGCCCGCGGGGACGCCGGTATGTTTGCTGTGATAGAAATTAGTGAAGGACATTAAGAGGATTTGCGGATATCTTACGCCATGGATTGCTTGTGGTTCTTCAGGATGCTCGAAAGGCGCTCGAATCGATCTTTGAATGGGTTTTGCTTCTCCAGGCCCCGAGTCACCTTCGCCACCACAAGACAGGTGGTGCGCTCGTAGAGGACCAGCTCCCTCGCATCTATGAGCTCGGCGAGGTTCTGGAGCATCCTCTCGATCTCTGACGCGTTCGGGATCAAGTGATAGATGATTTGGGTCCACGCGCGGTACAAAGATTGGTCCCAGATACTAGTCGCGAAGAACTCGATGGTCTTGCCAAAGACTTCGGAGTGATCGCGGATGACTTGCGAACGCTCGTCGAAGAGACGGCCACGCAGTTGATTCTGAACAAGATCCATCTTGTGGATGAGGCAGAACACTTTGGCGGTGGGGCTCCACTCCTGGAGCGCGTGGATGATGTTGGAGTAGTTGATGACATCCGCCTGGAACTCCGGGGATTCGATGTCAAAGACAAAGATCATGATTGCCACGCTGCCAAACACATGCTCACGCTGGTGAGTGAGGTAGTTCTCAACAAACCCATCTTGGCTGTAGCAATATTAGCGTCGACGTTCATTGAAAACATTCACTGGGAATCGAGTGATGTCATTGATGATAGTGAAGAACTTACCCGCCGCAGTCCCAGAGATTTAGAGTGAGATTCCCCATGAACTTGATGTTGCTATGCTCGACATCGATGGTGGCTCCAAGCCTCCTTACATCCGTCGCGACATAGTTGCTGAAGACGATGGATCTCATCGACGACTTGCCGGCTCCGCTCTTGCCCATGAGAAGCACTTTGCGCTGCTTGAGGCGCTTGGGGTATTGTGACGCCATCTTGCGCTGTCTTCATACTCAGTCAGAATTTGATATTTATGTGAGACGAGGAAGTGAGGGAAAGAAATAAACTCACTCCAATAGAAGTGACAACATCTTGATGTTGATAGCTCTAACACTTGATGAAGCACGTGGATGTATTGGCCTTATCGCCTTATCGCCTTATCGCCTGAAAGAAGGAAAGTTTTCGCCTTATATTCTGATGGACGGTGATATTTGTTGTAGCCTAAGGCGGAAAATGTGGTTGAAGATGAAGGGAAATAGAAAGCTCTGATTGGCTGGAGGCCCGATCCTAGAATTCCTTCCATACATCAATGCTGCCCTCACCTCCGTCATTTAATATTCTCCGTTCAGGCCATTTTCCATATCCTTATAACTGATCCTCACTGAACTTACACTAGCCATAATGTCTAGCGAACGGGAGGAGCACGAGCAGTCACACAAAGCCGAGACAGACACTCCAAAAGAGCAGGACCCCCCAATGCCTTCAGCACCGGCGCGTTCTCCAGCGGAGTCGAAGAAAGCCGAGGACAATTCAAAAGAGCCCACATCGAGCAAACCATCCGAACCCTCAGAACCTCAAACCTCATCTGCGCCCCCTCTCCCGGACGAAGAACCTCCCGCTCCCCTCCCCGATGAAGCCCCACCACAAGACGACGGCTGGGAAGCGGTCTGGGACGCCGCCGCGCAAAACTACTACTTCTACAACCACTACACCAAAGCCACGCAATGGGAGAACCCGCGCGTCCCCGAAGCTGCCTCCTCCTCCGCCCCCGGCACCGGCAGCCACGATCGGGTACCCACCAGCTCCGCACGGGGAACCTCATCACCCGCCCCGCGCAAAGTCGCAGGCGGCTATAACCCCGCAATCCATGGCGACTACGACCCCAACGCGGACTACGCGATCGCGGACCAGCCTGACTCGGACGAGGAGCGAGAGCGGCAGCAGGTGGCATTGCAGGCAGCGATGGCGAACGCGGGGCCGAACCCGTACGGCGCGACGGGGGCATTCAATCGGTTTACGGGGAAGTGGCAGTCAGCGGAGTTGACACCCGATCAATATAATGACGAGTCGAAGAGTCGGCGGCAGATGAATGCCTTCTTCGATGTGGATGCGGCGGCAAATAGTCACGATGGGCGGAGTCTGAAGGCGGAGCGGCAGGGGAAGAAGCTGTCGAAGGCGGAGATAAAGGCGTTCCGGGATAAGAGGAAAGGAAAGAAGGAGGAGAAGCGGAGAGCATGGTTGAGGGATTGACGGGGTTGGGATTTGCATGGGAGTCTCGGGGATGGATCATTTAGGGGAATACAACCTCTTTGGATAGGGAGGAGTTATAGTGGCCCGTTAAAACATGGAGGGTGGCGTATTGCTTTTCGAGCACGGGTCTACTACAGCGTCATCTCTGAGTTTAGGTGTCTGCCATTCCAAAGGCCTGAAGGGCTTTTCAGTTGTCGACACGCATCATGTAATCATACACGCCATTGAAGGCCAACTAGCATTTCCCCTTCAATCATGAGTTCCCTTCGTCATGATCGATGCCTCCATATCAACTCCCGCTCGCAGCATTCGTCGCATCGTCCGTATCCACTTCCATCCCTTCAGCATCCTCTTCCTCTTCATCGCTCTCATCCTCGTCTCCTTTGACAGCAGTATCCAAGCCCAAGCCCTCCTTCAACAGAAGATCCACCACCTCACCCTTGTCATTGAGTTCTGCCTCATATACCGCATCGTGACCAGCGGCATTCAACACGGTGGGGTCGGCTTTCCGCTTCAGGAGGATCTCCACGGCGGGAAGATGGCCGTTTAGCGAGGCCCAATGAAGCGCCGTGTTCCCGGACTTGTTCTTCGTATTGATGTATGAGATCATGGCAGGACTGCTCTGATTTGAAACCTGGCTGTCGCCATTCTGCGGGGCACTGCTGGGCGCATTCGAATCGTCGAATGAGGCAAGGACGGCTTGAACTATGTCTAGGAGGATGTTAGTAATCCACACAAATGGAGTAGAGTAAGTCTCTCGTACCAATATGGCCATTCGCGCACGCATAGTGCAACGCCCCATTTCCAGATTCCTCGTCAACGGCGGCGGTTATGAGTTCGCTCTTGGTGCAAGATTTCTGCCCCGCCAGCTCCGCCAGGAATTGCTCGAGGTCGGCAGTCTCATTTGCCCTCGAAAAGTATAGGATGTCGTCGATTTCATCCTCGCTAAGTGATGGCACCATGGCAGCTGAAGGGGGAAACCATCGGTTGCTGAACGACTCGTCAAAGTTGTTCAACTTCTTGACGAAATGATGGATGGAGATCGAGAAATTCTAAGTGGGGCAGGGCTTTAACTATTTTAGGCTAGTCTTATACATATACGGTACGGTTTATAACGTGAACTTATTACGGAGTATCCGACGAGTTACAACTTCACGATTCCCGTCACTCTCATCACTGCTGGATAAGTGTAGATGATAAGATGATGCAGTATTATTGTTACAACTCTCAAAAAGTCTTAGATCATTAGTTTATTCCATTGCAATATCAAAGCATCCAATCCTATATGACCGCCACTAACCGTGCTACAAGCAATCAAATCGATACTGAACTAGAAGATGCCATCTCTATCCCATCTTCACAAGGTGAGGCAGGCTTTGTCCGGCGGTGACTTCGTGTATGCCACTCATGCTCGATCAGTTCAGCCTTCTGCACCCACTGACTGTCGATGTCCGGCACAATTATCGGTGTCCTGGTAACGTTCAACTCCCTTCCCACCGACCACATGACGACTTTGAGTCCCAAGAACCAAATCAACCCCCACGTCAACGCTGAAATGCCGACCGTTGGAACGATGAACCACTTCACGGGAACAGCAACCGAAGCAGACAAAGATTCGGTCAAAGCAGACGGAGACTCAGCCGGGGGCTTGGCGAACGATGCTATAGCAAGGAAGCCCAAGGTCAAGAAATAGACGACGACGTGAGTAGGCGATAGCCAGGGTATGAAGTTTGCCCTGGATGACCACTGGACGCTCGGTTTGAACTTCAGGTACAGCAGCCCCCCCGACACGATCAGAGGCGCCAGAACCCTGATGGTATAGCTGTATAGATCGACGAGGACAGCATACGACGTTTCGGGCGGAAGCATTGCGGTGACGCCGACCAACAGCACTGACATAGCCCAGTGCAAACCCAAAGCCGCCATTGGGGTCTGCTCAAGGCGCTCATCTTCGCTGTCGGATGCTGGCCTCCTGCTCCATTTTGCCTTGAACCATGCCCACGGAGTGGTCATGCTCGTTGCAAAGAATAGCGAAAATGGCAGGACGCCTTCCTTGGCAATCTCCTGCTTCACTCGCGAGGCGGTGAAGGTCATCACAACAATGTTCCCGAAGATCGAGAAAGCCGCTAGGCCGGACATGGCTTGCTTTGCACGGTGGTCGCCGAACATGTGTTGAAAGAAGAGGGATGCCATGGGTATACTGGGATTTTTCAACTGCACCTCTTTCGGGACAGCCAGAAAGTACGCGATGTTCACAAGCATGAAGAGCGTGGCTCCGATGCATAGTGCGAGGATCGTCGACTTTGGGAAGATTTTTCTGGGGTGGCGGACTTCGCTAAGGACGTAGAATGGCTGCTGGAACCCAGAGTATGGATATAGCACACACATCAACGCATCCACGTAGTGGACGACCGTCCTCTTCGGTCCGCTGAACGATTTGTCCAGATCGAAGTTGTCAGTCGCAGGAGGCTGCCCCCCAAAGCGCTTCCCCCCAGCCTTAATGAAACCGAAAATGATAATCACCACCAGCAGGAGGACTTTTAGAATCGCGAAGGTATTGTTGACCAAAATTCCGCCTCGGCGCGAACAGACATGCACTAGCACCGCGGCTGTCAACGCAACGAGTGCAATGCCTATTATCGGACCTCGACTAGGTTTCTCGTGGCCAGCGGCTTCCATCACGAACTTCCCGATCGCAATCGAATTACCGGCTAGGCTGCCGACAATAATGTACGGGATGCCATACATGCAAGCGGTCAAGAGCTTGGATCTGTAGAATATGAATTGAAGCTGATGACTGGTAAGCCTCGACCGTGGATATCACTCGCTCAGACCTTACATAGTTGAGTTCTCCCCCGCTGCGCGGTACACTCTTCTGCTCGTTGGTGCCTGGGACATTTCGGAACGGCACCGAAAGTCCCAGTTCAAGCCAAACTAATAAACCGCAGAGGTGTATGAGGGCCCCGAAGGCCCACAGGAGTAGCGATGCTCCGACGCTGCCAGTTCCAGCGAGGACCTTTCCCGGGAGCATGAAGATTCCCGAACCTATACTCGTTAAGATTGGAATACTACAGGTAGAGCCCATAACTTACCTATGGTACGGTTCAGAAAGAGGCAGATGATGCTGAAGGGGCCGAGCAACTCGCTGGTGCTGGGGGCGCGATCAACGCGTTGATGGCCTTCGTCGAGATCCCGGAGCACATCTTCAAACTCTACTTGGTCAAAGGCCGCCATAATGATTCATTGCTGAGCTCATTCGAGTGAATCCAACATGAAAGCGAAGACAGCCACCTTTTGTAGCAACGCACCACAGTGCGTCTCCTGATCTGCAGCCTCATCGCTGCGGTGCTTCTACCTTGCCCTTTTTCGCAAGGCTAGATTCGCCTACCCAGTACGCCATTGTCGCGAAGAGCGATACTTTAGGTAAATTGCGCATCCTCAGCTCCAATGATCTCGGTGAGCACACAAGGCTATCTTGGCGGACTGGGCCTAGACTTCTTATTTTGTTGCTCATTTACAACTGGGCATCTCGAACCATCGTGACCGCAGTGATGCAGCGCCTCCATGGTCTCAAGCCATCGGATTGGTTTAGTGACTGTGGCTGCAGGTTTATTGATTAATTTCTCGGCTGCGATGTCGCGCAAGGTTATTACGTTCTCGTGATGTGACTGGTTTGAAGCTCTAAGCCACCACAGGTCGAGCTGGGTCGTAGCCTTGCGGATTGCTTCTTGAGGGCTCGAAGATCGGTTCTAAAAGGCGACTTGTCTCGCAATCAATCCACTTGGTCGAGCAGCTATGCATCATGTCGGTGATTCAAGCAGCTGACATTGTCAAAGGGATCGAGATCTGCATATGGATCCACGAGAATTGCTTTACCCAGGTAAACCGCGCTGGTTGGTCTCCCTTGCGTCTTCCTCATAGGCCCTAATACTGACGAAGACTGTAGATATAAGATATTTGCAGTTCGGTGCCGATGTGGCCAAATTGCAACCGACTTTGAAGAGGCTTCTCTCGGCATTCAATCGTTCCCTACTCCATCGGGGCAGCGACTCTCCCGATGACGACCTTCTCAGGCGTGAAGCAAAGGGGCTGATTGGCGACTTTAACGTCACGCTGAAAGAATGTAAAGAGCTTCTTGAAACCCATAAGGGGATCGTAAGAGATGGTACCGGATTTATTGATAATGTCATTTGGGGTGCGTCGACGAAAAAGCGAGTCGACGATCTGCGAGCTCGTTTGCAATCAGACATCCAGCGAATCGAGTTCTTTTTGGAGTCAGTCAAGCTAGAGCAATACAACTCCCAGGCGGGCGATATTCAAGAGATCCTCACCAACACACGGCAACTTCTCGGACTGTCGACTTATTCCTCGCTGGAGCCTGTCCCGGAATGGCTTGACGTTCGGTTTCAGAAAGCCCTGGAAGTGAATGCTCCGACATCTTTTTCGGGTATGAAAAACATCCCCCTGGAAGATAGCCACGAAGCTTTGTATCGTCATTATCGGGAAAGCGTCAACGACAATTCCCCGAGCGACCAGAGCATGGACCAGTACCTCCACCTTCTGAAAGCCCAGTGGATCCTTGAAACGATCAAGCAAAGCGGCCCCTTCAGAGCGCTCCGTCCCGGATCATGCTATATACGGACCGTAACCCGGCTTGAGCAGCTTATATGTGAACAATTCGCGTGGCCTGGACTGGTCAAGTTCTCCGACGAGGAACTCCAGAAGCTGAACGACTCGGCATTCCTCATCTGGCCTCCGCAAAAGACCACCGCGCCCAAGCAATTGACCGAACCGAACGGTCTAGAGGAGAAGGTCTTAGAGATCTCGCTTCCAGAGTCGCCGTGCGTGCGGAAGGAAGATCTCGTCGTCTTCCAGCGAGGGCCGACGACGTTACGTCTGGCGCGGAACATCACTCCCGTGAACGGCGTACCCCGTCAAGAAAGTGAGAAGCTGAGCACGCATATCGATCGCTTCATCCCGCTATACGCAGTGCCTCCATCAAAAACAGGAAGTCCGGCACTGACATTCAAAATCTGTGACGGCAAGGGAGGTGGCGGCACACCGTACGAGTTCAAGTGCGAGAGAGACGTGTTCGCTTTCCAAAAGGCTGTCACCGGGTTCGAGGTTATGTCCGATATGAAACGGGTGGAGTGGTCATTTAACCGGAAAAAGCTGAAGCTGATGTCCAAGGGTATCGGAAATCTCGGGCGAGTCCAGCTGTGGCGCTGGAATCCGTTGTCCACTGGAAGGTCCCTTCAGATGGGCTCCGCCGGTAGCCGCGAGAGCGAACAGTCGGCATCGCGGAGCCAGAGCTCGGAGAGTTCGAGGCGCTCCGATTTGACGAATCCGACCATTGCTAAGGTGGTCAGAGGAGAGAAGGAGTCCCTCTTCGCGGTGACGGAATCAGATCGTGGTGAGACTGTGCTTGCAGTAGCCTCGCAGCCGTCGCCAGTTCTATTCATCTACGCCAAAGAAGACGGAGCGTATTCCTTGCTGCATCTCGAGCGTAAGTGCCAGAAAACAGACCCTCGTAGAGGTTTTCCCGACATTCACTAACTTCAAACCCAGTACGTCCAGGGCTCGGCATCGGGATAACCTCCTGCCAGTGCCGCAAATCCGAAGAGCGGTGCAAACGCACCGTGATCGAAAACATCGATCCCAAGCACCCTCAGACCTTCACCGTCCGACGTCTTCACGCCCCCCTCGACCTCTGGGACGTCTCCGTCTTCGGCCTCCCGGAGCACCCGGCATCCAAAGATCCGAAGCAGGTCGAGCGCTTCAAATGTGACTACCTCAACCTCGACTTCGACTCGGTGGCCGAGCGACGGAAATTCAACCAGCATGTCCGAGTGCTGCTCAAGCTCCGTGACGACGCCGACGCCGCGTACAACCGCACCGTGCGGCGGGCGATGACTCTCAGCGACAAAGTGAGCAATACGGAGACGTCGAACCGTGCTCCGGCCCCTACGGGCACCCGGACGACTTCGATCTCGACGGGCGCCGACATTCCGAGTTTGAGCCGAGTGACGACCACGCCTCCTGCAGTCCGACAAGTGTCTGTCACGCCGAATTTCACCGACTTGATCCAGACTGCGATGGATCTAGAACGTGGATATCCGTCCTTTGAGAACAGATGAACCCTGCTTTTTCACCGGATGGGGCGACCTGTCAGTGATGAACGAACACGATATTCCGGAGTATGCGCGATCGAGGCAGCAGCGCGTCCCCATGCTTCGGCGGAGGAATCCTCGACAGACTCTGTGGAGTAGAAAGTGCCACGTGCAGTTCAAGTCTAAAGCTCCTGATCCGCGGGAGAGTGGGTTTCCAGCACTATCTGCGTGCACAGGCGTGCCAGGGAAACAGCACGTGGGATGAAGCTGTGGAACGCGATATGATCAGGTACGGTGTGGGCTAGTCCAATGGCGCCGACTTCAGAGCGATAGGAAGAACATGAACGACATAAAAGTTACATTGTGACCAAACTCTAAGCTCTCCTATGTGGTGGGACCGAGTCAAGACAGTCCAATATCCAGACTGCGAATGAAGCACGAGAATCACGATATCAGTCAAATAAGTAGACGGCGCTACTCGCAAGTCTCTGTATATATCCGAATATATCCGATAGGAAGCGAGATACCATCATATTCAACATGCAAGCACCAGCCACACCCGTGAATACCGCGTCATACAGAGTCGTATATCTGCCCGTCTCCGCGAACTGCATCGACTCTATCCGATACGAGAAAGTGAAGACAGGGGTCTATGCCGCCCCCGGCGCCCTCGGCATCGCCCTAATGGCATGCACGACGCAACGACACTATTTCCTATTTCTCCCTCGAGACCATGAGCGAGCGGGAGAGACAGGGAGAAAGAGACAGAGAGGCAGCAAAAGAAAGAGTAAGAGCAAGAGCAAGGAGGATCGCACGCGATAATGGCACCGTTTCCCAGATGTGCGTGTCCGATTTCAAGCAAAATGCAACCCTGCGAAACCAAACCCGCGGCAGAAGGTCCTGCCAAGAAACGCCGGATGAAGGAGAAAGAAGCACCACACTCGCCGAATCCCGTGGGGCCATGGATCTCGACCGATCGCAACGACAGAACAGGAGGGACGGACACAGACGGGTCCACCGATCTCACGACGGCCCCATCCCTCGCACTTCATTCTTCAAACTCCCCCTCCGCCCCATCCCTCCTCCTCGTCCGAAACCCAGACGAAAGCAGTCCCCGTCCCACCAATCCAGAAGAGACAGGTCGAGTGTACGCGACGAAGGGAGATTCATCGATGTCAAAATACGCCGTCGCTTCCCCATCCGAATAATCCGTGGACAGTGTGGTTATAAAAAAAAACACACCCGAAAACGCAAATCAAAATTCACGGTGTTGTGTGTGAGAAATGTGTGTGCGTTAAGTGGGTAATCGCAAATCGGAAAACAATTAAGGCCACGCATGAGTTATGTTATATGGAGGCGTAGGTGACGTGGAAATGGCGGTTCGCGATGCGATGATCGTAGATAGATCCTAGGGCGAGCGGTTATTTCCACCTTTTAGAAACCCGCGCGCGTGTAAAATGGACACCGGCAGTCCAGCGGATGGCAGTCCGCACATATCTACATCTCTGCCGGCGGACGATTGACTTTTATGATACCAGCGAACTCGGCCTTGCGCTCAGCTGCTGCACGAGCGCGAGAGCGGCTGCTCCGCCGAGTCCGTCGAGTCGGGAGCCAGCAGCGCCGGGCTCCCCTGCGAGGGCTTGGTGTCGGTGCGCACGCGGGCCTCGAGCTGCGGGCGCTTGGACGAGCCGTTGGTGGAGGACTCGTCGGAGGTGAGGGCGGTGGGGTTGGGGGAGGGAATGTTGGAGATGCGGGGATCGGCGTTGCTTTGCTCGAGGAGGGGACCGCCGAGGGTAGCGCATTTGAGGATCGTTTGGGTGAGTTGGTCTTCTTTGAGGGGCTTGGAGAGGTATTCCTGGAACGGTAAGTTATGGGGAGTTAGAAGAGGGGGGCTGGGGTGCACCTACGTCCATGCCTGCGGTGATGCATTTCTCACGATCACCGACCATGGCGTGGGCGGTGAGGGCGATGATGGGAGAGCGGGTCAAGCCGTTATCGCGCTCGAAATCTCTGATTTTGGCCGTGGCCTCGAAGCCACCCTGAACAATCGTTAGCATCAATCTTACTATCTACTCCCGTAGATTACTTACCATGACGGGCATCTGCACGTCCATGAGCACGACATCGTAGCGGTGCTTCTTGATGTACTCCAGCGCCTCCGCTCCGTTGTTCGCCACCGTCACCGTGTGATGGTATTTGTCCAGGATGCGGACCGCCAGCATCTGATTGACCCCGTTGTCCTCCGCGAGCAGCACGCTGAACGATTTCGAATGATCTCGGACCGACGGCGCCGCGCGGCCTTCCAACGCGGGGATGAGCGCGTTGCCCAGATCGATCGCCTCGCACGGCGTGGTCATGTAGCTCGCGATGCCGTCCTCGAGGGCCGACTTGAACGTGATGGAGATGATGGGCGTGACCATGACGAAGGGGATGTATTTGAACTTCTCGAAGTCGCGCAGCTTGCGCGCGGTGTGGTTGCAATCGACCAGCACGCAGTCGAAGGCGCGGCCCTTGGTGCCGGGCACCTCCCAGCTGATGCTCTTGTCGTCGCGGACGACGTACGGGACGAGCTGCAGCTTTTTGAGGTGCGCGACGATCAGGTCCGTGCAGCCGGTGTGGCCTTTGTCGATAAAGAGAACGGGGTGCCCGAGGTACGGCGCCAGCTTCGGGAACACCAATGTGAGGTCGGGCGACGCGAGTCGCACCTTGCAAGTGAAGTTGAAGGTACTGCCTTTGCCGTACTCGGACTCGACCCACATGCGGCCGCCCATGAGGTTGACCAGCTTTCGCGAGATGGACAATCCCAGCCCGGTGCCGCCGAACTTCCGCGTCGTCGAGCCGTCCGCCTGCTGGAAGGTGTCGAAGATCAGGTTGAGCTTGTCTTTGTGGATGCCGATGCCGGTGTCTTGCACCGTGAACTCGATCATCCGCTCGCCCGTCCCGACGTTCGGCCCGGCGACGTCTGCTGACGCTAGGCTGATCACCACCTTCACCTGGCCGTCCTCGGTGAACTTGATCGCATTGCCAACCAAATTCAGGATGATCTGGCGCAGCCGGAAATAGTCACCGATGACAAAATCGGGGACGGTGTTGTCGACTTGATACGCCAGATTGATGGACCGCTCGTTCGCGCGGGTGGTTAACGACTTCAACGCGTTGAACACCGTGCTCCGCAGCGAGAATTCGATTTCCTCCATCGTCATTCGGTTGGCTTCGATCTTGGAGATATCCAGGATGTCGTCGATAATGGTCAGTAACTGATTCGCTAGATTGTGGACGATGGTCAGCATCTCGCGTTGGTAATTCGTCAAGTCCGTGTCGAGCGCCAACTGGGTCATCCCGATGATGCCGTTCATGGGGGTTCGAATCTCGTGGCTCATGTTCGCTAAAAACTCCGACTTCGTCTTGTTCGCCAACTCGGCGTTCTCCCTAGCCGCCGTGTTCCGCTCGATGCTATCCCGCAACTTGCCCACCATCTGGTTGATCTTCCGCTTCAGCTCGTCCATCTCGCCGGATGCCTCGATGCTGATCTGCGTGAACTTGCCCTCCGTCGCGGCGTTGGTGATGTCGCCGAACGCGCGCACCTGCGACGTCAAGTTCTGCGCCATGGTGTTGACGTCGAGGGTGATCTCCTTCCAGCGGCCCGCGATATCCCGCGTCTCGGCCTGTCCGCCCATCTTCCCGTCGACGCCGACCTCGCGCGCGACGCGCTTGACGCTCAGCGACCAGTTGTCCAGCCGCGTCACCATGTCGTTGATGGTGTCTTTCAGAAGAAGGATCTCGCCTTGCGCGGGCACTTCCACGCGGCGGCTCATGTCTCCGCGCGCGATGGCCTGCGTGACGTCGGAAATACTGCGCACCTGGGTAGTCAGGTTGCGAGCCATCGTGTTGACGTTGTCGGTGAGGTCTTTCCATTTGCCTTCGACATTTTCCACCACGGCCTGGCCGCCCAGGAGTCCTTCGGTTCCGACTTCGCGCGCGACCTTGCTCACCTCGAATGCGAAGGCATTCAAGCGGTCCACCATGGTGTTGATCGTATCCTTGAGCACCAGTATTTCTCCTTGCACCTCAGCGGTGACCTTCTGGGTCAGGTCGCCTCGCGCGACAGCGGTCGTGACTTCGGCGATTTCTCGCACCTGGGTGGTAAGATTCATGGCCATGCCATTAACGCTCTCCGTGAGATGTTTCCAGGTTCCTTCGACCCCATGCACCGTCGCCTGGCCACCGAGCCGTCCCTCCGTACCGACTTCTCGCGCAATCTTCGTGACTTCCTGCGCAAACTGCTGCAGTTGATCCACCATAGAGTTGATTGTGGTTTTAAGCTGCAAGATCTCGCCCTTGCAGTCCGCTTGGACTTTTCTCGTCAAGTTCCCTTTCGCCACGGCCGTCGTCACCTCGGCGATGTCTCGCACTTGGGTGGTCAAATTGTTCGCCATGGCGTTCACGCTCACCGTTAGGTCGTTCCACATGCCTTGCACGCCTTCGATTTGGGCCTGTCCGCCGAGGACTCCCTCTGTTCCGACATCACGGGCGACTTTGGTGACTTCCGTTGCGAAGGACCGCAATTGGTCCACCATGACGTTAATGGTCTGCTGCAGTTCAAGTATTTCTCCACGGGCGGGTCGTTCGATCTTGCGACTGAGGTCACCGTGGGCGACGGACGAGGTAACGGTGGCGATCTCACGCACTTGGTCGGTCAGGTTCTGGGCCATCAAGTTGACTGTATGTAATTAGCGCAATGCGAAGGACCATTGTTTTCAAGACTCACCATTCTCGGTCAGTTCTGCCCAGATCCCGCGAACGCCGGGGACTTGCGCCTGGCCACCCAATACGCCATCGGTACCGACTTCTTTCGCCAAACGTGTGACTTCCTGGGCGAATTGCAACAATTGATCCACCATGCTGTTGATGGTGCGCTTGAACGATGTGATTTCCGGATCCATCTCTTTGGCATAAACAATAACTTTTTTGCTCAAATCGCCATTGGCGACGGCGGTGACGATGGTTCCGATCTCCCGTAGCGATTTCTGGAACGCGAAGTTGGCCTGCTGGTGCTTCTGCAGCTCCCGCTTCATGGTTCCGATGTCCTCGATACCATGCTTCAGCGTGACCTCCTGGTCGGTTTTCTGCTGCAATATCTGCGCCGACAGGTGCTCGATCTGCTCGCGTTGGATCTTGATCTGGTCCGCCTGCTTGTCCACATGATGCCGGATATACCCCAGTTCCTGCTCGCCGACGGGCCCGACACGATCGGCGCTGATCCCTCCCTCCTTCGATGACAGCCAGTTGTTCACCCACGCGGCACGCTGGTCTTTCGATGCGGCGGGGCTCGGGCGGGCCGGTGCCAGCTCACCGTTCCGCCCGATCTCCGACGTGGGGGCGGCGGTATCATTGTGGAACGGGGATGGAAGGCCGGGTTCGCCGGGTGTGATGGGGAACGACTTGTCGTGAGCGACGGCCTTCGCTTCCAGGAGATTCACGCGGGCGGCCAACGCAGCGAGTTCGTGCTCGATGGCTCTCTTCTCGTCTGTGTCGGGGCCAGGCAGATGGATATTGGCGGCGCCGCCATTACCGACCGGAGCGCCAAAGGACGCGGCGCTGGCCGGGTCATACTGTTTGGCGAGGTTGGAAAGGAAGTGGAGCAGAGCCTGTGATGCCTCGAGATGAGGCATGGTGATGCCTGTGGGGAGAAAAATCGGTCGGAGATGGCTATGCCAGCATTGGGGTGGTTACGGGTGATTTCGCCTGACGTTGAGAAGCTTTCGGCTGTACCGGAACCGATTTCCCCGTGGTTATTCGTCCTGAGGGACGTCGAGATAGGCAGATTGAGGCTCCTGGTTGACTTTGAGGTCGTGGAAGAACCTGGGCACCTGGTGGATGGAGCGGGGCGGGGGCGTGGGTTACAAAGCTGCCCCTTGGGTAACCCTGAGGGTGTCGGGCGACACGGTCAGCGACGGAGAAGATAGCTGTCAGGATGAGTCAGATAGCGACGTTGTCGATGGGAGGGGGTCAAATGGAGAGTGGATGGGTGTCGGGCGATAGCACCAGGGAGATATGGAGGATTATGGACGATGGAAAAGAAAGGTTGACATGCAACAAGTAGTCAGGCGTAGAAGAGAGATCCAGTGAGGAGGTTAGGACGGGGAATAGTTTGCTGATTTGCTAGTGGCTCCTGGTAGTTGGTAGTTGGAGGCGAGTGAACGAGGGAGATCGGAGGATCAGAGGTTCAGAGATCAGAGAGAGTTTAGTGCGGACAGTGGAGAGTTCCTAGTTAGTAGGGACTTGAGGGAATGGACTGGACTGTGCTCGGCAGTCAGGTGGTGTGTGTGGGCAGTGGGAGGTGGGTGGTCTGGTGGCTGTTAGAGTCCGCAAGCTTATTAATCCTGTTCAGCAATAAATGTGAGCCATCTCAACACACTTAACAGTTCGCATTTAACAGCTTGAATTCTCCAGAAGGGGTTATTAATATTGTAGAGTGAGATATTGGATTGGAGCAGAGCATCGCCAATCGTGGTTGGTGGTAACGTACTTTGGGGTGTAGAGTTAAACTAACTATAAACTGCAGTAATTACTAGAGACCTCCGCTTACTCATGACCGTCTAGCATGGAAGTAGCAGCGTATCGCCCCTATGAACTCGTCGCATATCCCATAGGAAATCCGATCTATTTGTCTGGAAATGGCTGGATTGTTATATACAGGCTTAAATAGCCTCAATACCTACTGCATAGAAGGAGAACATAAGGTATGGCATAGAGATTAACTTACGAGTCTCGAGTATCAAAACCCGTTAAGGCACAGGGCACAAAGGCGCTAAGGCATGGAGGCACAAAGGCTCCAAGGCACACAGGCACCAACAACGCCTTACCTTACCTACAGCTAAGCCTTGGGTCCAGACTCTGATGGCCTCCGCCTTCCTCCGCTCCGCCCTGACCGTCTCTCCTCTACGCTCGTTTCAAATTTCCAAAATTCAAACGGCTTGAAAGTCTGAAACTGCATTTGTATATATCCAGTCCCATCAAGATCCACGAGTCCAGGCCCTTCCATGTTTAGGAAAGGTGGTGTCCGACTCCGGGTCGCACCAGACGGGGGTGCCCCTGAGGGGGTGGCAAAGCCGACGAAGGAGGACGCAGCAGAACAGATGACAGAACAACAGAAGACCGGCCTGGAGCATCGGAGATTCACAGGTGGCGGGTACAATATCAATAGCGGGCCCCTCCCGAACCCCGAGGGCGGAATTCCATGTTTGAGTTGTGCTACTGTGCCTCGTCCAGTCCGTGACAGCTTGGACAATGGGAGGTTCATATGGTTTGGTTATTGCTGTAATTCTTAGAGGGATGATACGGAGCGATGAAATCACTCAGGCACTTCTCAGTTCCCCTTCCAATAAAGTCCCTCATCCCATTGTCAATAGTTGCCGAACATCCTAACTCTGCTCGCGGCTGACCCGGAGACGGTTACACACCCCTCTCTTAGCGACAGGAGAATTCTTCGGCGGGGCTCAACGTAGCCATAGTCATAACTCATACCAACGCCACCGCCTAAATGCCTCCCTCCCGCCTCTCACCCACCAAAGCCTCAACGGTCACCAATAAAGCACCTAGCATCTACAAATTCCCAACCCTCGGATCCCTCCCCTCCCTCCCAGCAATCCAGCGCCCCTTTCCCTAATTCCCTTCCGTAATTGACGTCGCCTTCGCCACTCTTCCCACGCCCATCACGCCCCTAAAATCTCCATGAAACATGTTTGGCATCCAAAGCGGCCCATCGCACGGTCGATCCGCGTCCTTCGCGTCGGGTCGACCGCCTTAGTTCGCGGAGATCGGGTCGTCGTGGCGCGCTCGTCGCAATAATCGCCAGCCACGGCGATTGCCCGCTAATACCCAGCCGGTCGAAACGCCCATCTGGCATCTCCACTGGTCGCCGCGCTATGACAGGCGGTTGGCGATGATTGGCGCGCTCAGTGCGCGGGACCGTTTGTCGAGAAAGATGCCGTCGTGCTTCCGGATGCCTGGTCGTTCCAGTTGTCAGTTGTCAGTTATCTAAGGCGTTTTGGCACGCAAACATCTGAGGAGATGACACGACCGGATGTGCAGGCCCGTCGCACGAGTCTGGTTGATAGCTGTCAATATGTATGTTGTCGTTTTTCCGAATTACGCGCAACTGCCGCAAGTGTCACGGGCAAGATTAGACCCGAGTCGAGACTCGAGCAAGTCCAGACCCGGGATCAGGAATGGGGATCTCTGGTCGGCTTGTGAATTGCGATGCAGACGACTGGCGCTGGTTGGTGGCTGGCTGTCGCTCGAGACGAAAGGGGAAATGATCGGCGAGTTGGGGACAGGGTTCTAGCAGCTCAGGGTAGCACTGCAGGAGTATCAGAATTCATATGTCTCTCAATCCTCAGTGAGAGTCTCAAACTCTCAATTGGGTTATGCGAGGTATCGATACTAGAAGACCTGCGTAGTGGCGTAGAGCGTCTCCTCTATCATCCCCTTTATCCTTAGTAACACTGCCTTATCCCCCCAATCCACTGTTTCCGTCCTCCTTAATGGAGATCTTCGTCTATCAGTTTCAGGTTCTTGATGATCCAAAGACATAAACCAAGCCGTTTTCGCTCTTCGTAGCTACTTCGCATATCTCACTCGCGTAATTCGTCCATTGTAGTACCCAATGGATAAATGTTAAGCACCAGCTGCTTCTCGCCTAAGATGTCCCTTTCCATTCCCAGGATCGGCTTGGTGATCGGTACCTACCACACCTATCCAATGAAACCTCCACTGCCGTGCTCGCTTCCGGACATGGCGACTGGCGAGACTGATGGATTTCCCCATCACCAACAGGCGCCAGTCCGCCCCCCAAATCCGGACGCAGGGAATGTGCTATGGCCTATGGATGCTCACGACAGTCTAGGTGACCTTGGCTGCGCGCTGCCGTGACCCTATGATCGACGTACCGTGACCGCGATACAAGAGTGACAAGTGACCTCACCCGCGACACGTCCGAGAATAATCGAGTCAGTCCGGCAGTGTGGCAGCGGAGAAAGGTCGATCGTAATCGAATCGTGCCCGTGGCGCGCGGTTTCAGGCCCCTGGATGACGTCAAGCGAGGAGGAGGGGGGATTTCATAAAAATGTTTCGACGCGGAAGTTTCCCAAGGGGCTGGGACGCGTTGTGGTTTGTTGATGGGATTGGCGAGATGGGTGCTTGGAGTGAATCTGCATGACGAGCATGCGCTGATGCGAAGTGACGAAAGGGCGTTCTCGAGCCGCTCAGTGTGTGCTACCGAAGAGTGAAGCAGGAGTAATCCAACAATTCAGTCATATGAGTAGGTATATGGAACTAAAGCAGCCTCGAGGGAATTCCAAAATCTTCCAAGACTTCCCCTCCGCTCTTCCTCATGATCTCTCCCCCTTCTCCTCCGCCAACCCCACCACATCTACCCACGCCCCCGCCCTCTGCCGTCCCCCTTCCCACCCCTCCCTCAGCCACCCCTCCCCATCAAACCCCCACCGAATCAACTCCTCCTCTGCCCCCCACTCCCCCATCCCCATCAACCCTACCGGGATATCCCCCTGCCCCGTCCCCGGCGCCACATACCCCACCGGCATCGACAGCGCCGGACACCCCGTGAAGTTCGCCAACCACACGTACTCCATGTTCCGAATACTCCGATCCCCATCGCTCACCCCGTCGCTCAGATCCCCATCCCCAATCGCCCACCCCGCCAGTGGCGTCGTCGGAGTCACGATGATCAACCCCGGATGCGCGCGGTACAGATGCGCCAGATGCTGCATCAGCGCGTTTCGCACCCGCTGCGCCGCGAGGAGGTCCTGCGCCCGCGCCCGCCCCGCCACCGCGAGCAGCACCCGGTTCGCAGGCGTGAGGTTCGTGGCCCGCGCGCTGGGGAACCCCGATGCTATCTCCGAGAGGATGGTGATCGCGTGCGCCTGCCCGCCCTCGACGAGGAACGGGATGCTGATGTCGACGAGCGAGTAGCCCTGCTGGCTGGTCATGTGGTTGAGGGCGGCCTGGCAGACGTCCCGCACGGCGGGCTCTGCGCGGTCGAACCATGGCTTATAGATGCCAAGGAGCTTGCGTGGGGGGTCGTGGGGGCGAGCGGGGGGGAGGAAGGTGGAGGAAAGGGAGTGGGAGGGATCGGGAATGGCCATGACGCGGTAGGCGACTTCGAGGTCAACCATGTTGGCGGCCATGGGGCCGGCGACGCTGTTGGATATGGCGAGGCTGGCGGTCGGACGGATGGAGACACGGGAGTGGGAGGTCTGAATAAGACGTAAGTCATCACGTGTTGTAAGGAGTCGCGGAACGTACTTTGAGGCCGTAGATACCGCAGAACGAGCTGGGGATGCGGATCGAGCCGCCTCCATCGGCCCCGAGAGCGATAGGGATCAACCCGGCGCCGACCGCATATGCGCTTCCGCCTGACGAGCCGCCGGTGTAGAAGTCCGGGTTATGAGGGTTATGAGGGGTGCCGTGATTCGGGTTGTTGTTTGTAGTATCTACACCGCCGTCAGTCTGAGTCTTCAAGTAGCTGAACGCATTCTCCTACCTAATCCGATCTCATGCATGCTCAACTTCCCCACCACAACCGCCCCCTCCTCCTCCCACTTCGTCACGCAATAACTCGTCGCGTCCAGCGGATGCGTGTGGTCGTCCTTCGTCCCTAAGCACCGCGTGTACCCTTTCAAGTCCACCTCATCCTTCACCGCGACGGGCACCCCATCTAGGATCCCAATCGGCGTCCCCGCTTGATACCGCTTCGTCGCCTCCTCCGCAGCCTTCCGCACCAACTCCACCTTCGTATCCATCCATGCGACGGAGTGGCTCGTCGGTTCCTCCACATCGCGTCGAATCAACGGGAGCAGCGCCTCGGCGACATCGGTGGGGGTGAATCTCCCCTCTGTGTACGCCTTGTGGAAGTCCAAGACCGAGTAATACCTCCCGGCGCCCGCATCCGCCTCCACGGCACCAAACTCACTCGGCCGCGTATACGTCCCCGTCTCGACCGTCGCACTCGCATCTTGCGCCGCCGGGATGACAGTAGGGTCGAACCGGCACTCGACCGCATCCAACCCCTTCACCTCCTGCAGGCGACTGAACCCGTTGCTGTTGTAGAGGAATTGCTGGATCGCGCCGACGGAGGTGATGAGCGAGGCGCCATATCGGAGGAGGAGACCGCGGACGACGGGGTTCGTGCCGGGGGGAGGGGCGGAGAAGGGCTGGTCGGTCGCGACGGCGGGGGGGTAGTGGATGAATTGGCGGGTTGGTGGAGAGGACATCTTTGGAGAAGGGTGGTGGAGGTGTGTATAGGGACGACAGCTGGAGTTGAGATGCGGGACTTCAAGGTTGTCACTTGCATGTGATACTTGCAGTCTGGGGCCCTTCAATCCAATACCACGGCAAGGTATGTAATAGAATAGTAAGAAATTTAGAGGTGGATTTTGGAAGTTAGTTCCTAAACCATATTAGAACTTCGTATGAGCTTGAAGACGGAGAGCGGTGGCATGTATATAACATGGATTCCTGATGCTGACTTAATACGGCACTGGTATGGGCTACTACGATGCCTTATATCGCCTTGGCCATGAATTATCAACGCTCAACCCATCACGGAGTGCAGTGTAGTGTATTAGGACACAAGGATCGAGTGGATTGTTCCCCTGACAGTACTATGTGTCCATATTCAACATGCTATCTAGCTACGCTTGTAAAAGACGCCTGAACAAGAACAAGTCGTGAGCTCTCCATACACGATGATTTTCATACCCTCCACACCTACACCAACCCTTCTTCTCTCCTTGTTGAGCCAGCGGTAGAAGCAATTCCCACCTCGTACTTGTCGTGATCGGATTCCTCGCGTCTAGCGATCTTTCTTCGGGGCCTCGTCCTGAGGAGAAACTTGATCTCCCATCCGGTTGTATTCACGAGACAGGCCCTCCATCTGCTTTTTGAGGGCTTCAATGTCCCGGTCCTTCTTCGACAGCTCCTTCTTCAAGCGGCCGATGTCTCCAGCTCCCGCCGCATTGTCGAGACGCTCGGAATCCTTGGACTTGAGGGCGTCAGGGTCTCCTTTCATCCGCTTGACCTCGTCTTCCAAACGCAGGATGTCGAGGATGAAGATGTAGGTGCGGTTAAGGATTAGGGAGAGGAAGAGGGTGAAGCCGCAGAGGTACATGTTGCGTTGGGAGTAGAATTTGCGGGCTTGGACTTCGAGACGCTCGGTTCCGACAACACTACTTTCGTTAATATCGAGACATCTCAAGTTTCCCGGCTTTGTCCTTACCTTGCACGTTCGTTGCCATGGGTGAAAGAGGATACTTCCATTTGGACTCGGTAGACACGGTTGACGCTGTCGACGAAGAGGATGAGAATGAATATGAAGGTAATCTGAATCTCGTTAGCTCTGCCATTGCGTCGTTTGGTCCTCTTATCGTACCTTCAAGCCATATTGGAGCCGTGCTATGAGTGGACTTTCCGATAAGAACGTGAACATCTTTCGCTTCAACGAGTATGGCATGGGGACGATCAACAGCATGAAGAGGACCATCTCTGCCATCAGCAGGAGGAAGACCTATTAAGGTGTTAATCGGACGTTGGTCGCTGTACACTTGAACCGAATACAACGTACAAGACTGTAGTAGAGCGTCATCTTGCCCAGGTCAGGACCTCTGAGAAGAAGTCTGGATGAGAAGTTGCTGTACAAAAGGGCACAAAATCTTGTGCTTAAGTTCAGAGAGGAATACACAAAGGTATTTCAAGGACAGCTTTCGGAATATTGCAAGTGAGATGAAGGACAGGTGTTTATAAGAGAAGTTGAAGTGTGAGGCTTGGTTTGCAAAGAAGGATCACGTTGCTCTCTCCATGGTCTCTGTGTGTTTACGTCACTTCCAGTCTGATCACTCAGTCAAACTCTCCAGTGTTTTCAGGGGTGCTAGTCAATCAGCCAATCAGCTGTTGATTTACAGAACCTTACCTATTCTGCAGGGTATTACTTAGTAAGCCAGTATTCAAGACATGGCACCTTGGCATAAATATGAAGAAGTGAATATGTATTCGGAATAATATTCCAGGTGAATTTATTCTAGGAGATAATTCGTCTCCTAGTTAGAAGTTCAGGTGAAGTTAAGCGGGCAGTCATCTATTGCTCAATTGCTACTGTTCAGCTTGCTAGCCCCATCAACGCTTCGCCTCTCGCCCCTCCATAAAATTTTGACGAGATACGCAATTCTTTGCAGCTCTCACATGCAGTTATTACTGGCGGCATTTATTCTCTACGACTGGTATTTTAGGCCGAGCGTTTAAATCATTCTTAATTTCATCCACGGGGCCTCTCCGATAAGAAACCCCATCATCGCCTCCCTAACGTAGCAACGATGGAAAATGAATCCGTCGATCACCCTGTCTTGCCAAAAGTCACTCGCGCTACGCATGGTTTGGACTCGGAAGTTCAAGAATCACCGTCGAAACGGGCCAAATTGGACAATGGAGTCTCAAACAATGACCCCAATCCTGGAACCCAACGTGAACCTGCTCCTAGAGAGAAGGGCGTCGCGCCGGTGAAAGCAGAGTACGCCCTCCATTGCCTAAAGTCATGGCAAAGCACAAATTAACTATTAGAATAGATACCTGATCTTCCCGAAACCGGAAGAAGGAATAGTCAAAGGCCGTCAAGCTGACGATGATGCCGCCGAGCTCACGGGCAACCATGAAGTGGAGCGGCATCGAGGCGAGAAGCCCCCGGCCAAGAAAGACAAGAAGTTCAAAGATAAGAAGTCTAAAGACAAGGGGCAGAACAAAAGCCGCAAATTCGGCAGCTCACACGATGCGTTGAGGCTTTGCACCACAAGAGCGTTGTATCCCGAGTTCTCCCCTCGAGAGTGTCCTTTCGGAGAGAAGTGCAAAAACGAACACGATATCAGGAAGTACCTCGCCGAGGGAAGGCGTGGGGACCTAACTACCTTCGACGGACAGTGCCCCTTGTTCGATGAACTCAATTTCTGTTCCTATGGCTGGAAGTGCCGGTTTGTTGGATCCCACTCGAGCGAACGGACGTTAGAAGACGGGAGAAAAGAACTCTATCTAATCGACAATCGTACCGAGGAGGCCAAAAAAGCGACATCTACCGAAGATCATGAGCATGGAATCGTCAATGTCATCCCCACACAGTCGCGATTCGACCTGTCACGAAAGCGGCTCAAGACTGAGAAATCGGACATTTATCTGCAGTATCTCTCCGGCCTTGCGGACTGGAACGAAATCCGAAGAGAGGGCGGGAAGGGGCCGGCAGATGAAGCGTCGGAGAATGGCGACGCGGAGAAGGCCGAGATCGAGGACAATCGCGCGACATACAAGGAGCCACCGTTCCGAGCGTCCGAGAAGAGGAAGCTTTATTACGGAACCGAGACGCCGATTCTTGCGCCATTGACGACCCAGGGCAACCTACCATTCCGAAGACTTTGCGTCGGACTGGGTGCTCAGGTGACCTGGTCGGAAATGGCCATGGGAATGCCGCTGGTTCAGGGCGAGAAAGGAGAATGGGCACTTCTGAGGGCCCACGAGTCCGAAACCAAGCCACCAGCGTTCCAATCCAAAGGAACGGTGGTCCAAGACTATGACAACGCGCGAGATTTGAAATTCGGCGCGCAAGTAGCGGCTCACAAGCCATGGGTTGCCCTCAAAACGACCGAGATCCTACAAAAGTACTGTCCATCACTTCGGGCCATCGATCTGAACTGTGGCTGCCCCATCGACCTTGTCTACGAGCAGGGCGCTGGATCCGCCCTCCTGGACCGGTCCGCGAAACTGGAGACCATTCTGCGCTCGATGAATGATATATCTGGTGAGATCCCCATCACGGTCAAGATCCGAATGGGGACGAAAGACAAGGAGCCAACGGCACACAAGTTGGTGAAGCGATTGATGCTTGGGGGTGTCGAGGCGCCTTACCCGTGCGGTGTGGCGGCAATTACGCTCCATGGCCGGAGTAGAGAGCAGCGATACACCAAGCGAGCGAACTGGGAATACATCGCAGAATGTGCGGCGGTCATCAAGCGAATGAACCAGGAAATGAACGAGGTCGCCGACACGGTTCGCGAGCCCGATGCCCGCAACCTTCCGAACAACAACGTCTATTTCGTCGGCAACGGAGACGTCTACTCGCACGTCGACTACCAAGAACACCTGACGAACGGTCTCGTCGATTCCGTCATGATCGCCCGCGGCGCGCTCATCAAACCGTGGATCTTCGAGGAAATCGAGAAGGGACAGTACCTCGACAAATCCGCCAGCGAGCGACTCGCCTATATCGAGCAATTCGTCCGGTATGGGTTGGAGACGTGGGGCTCGGACGAGATGGGCATTGGGAGTACGCGTCGTTTCTTGCTGGAATGGCTGTCGTTCAGTTGGAGATATACGCCCGTCGGGCTCCTCGAGCATCTCCCTCCGCACATCCAGGATCGACCTCCTCGTTACCGGGGACGGAACGATTTGGAGACGCTGATGGCCAGTGATAATCACAGAGACTGGATTAAGATCAGGTAAGGGATTCACTTCGAAAATGAACTATCGCCAACTAACTGTCTGCAGTGAGATGTTCCTCGGCCCTGCTCATCCGGATTTCAGATTTGAGCCAAAGCATAAGTCCAACAGCTACGATGTGCAAGGCTAAATCGTGATCAACGATCAGGGGTATTTAGATGCGAGAGGATAGAGGCTGGGGATCAGCTGTCCGAATTACTTGCATTAAGCCTTGCGGTAGGCTTATATAGTTCTAATTCGGAACTTGTACATAAGCTCAGCTTTAGTCTTCCAGCCGCCATCAAAACCCAAGTCTATAGAGGTTATCCCATTACCGTAATATGTATCTGTTCCAGAACACCCGTTGCGCATCAAGACCTAGAGTCTGTATCCCCTAGGCACGAGTGCCGATTTATCCGTATCCAATATGTGCTCTCGCTCCTCATGTCGCTCATTCCTCCGGGCCAGCAATTAGAATCTTGATCCCCTTAGCCGCATTTACGTCCTTGAAAGCATCCTCTGCTTCCTTGAACGAGACCTTCTTCGAGATCAGTGGCTTCACATCCAGTCGATCCGAGGCGACCAGCTGTATAGCCAACCGATAATCATCTTCCGCATACCGGAACGACCCCTTAATATTCAGCTCCTTCACGCACATTGTTGTGATCGGGAATGTGATCTCCGGCTTCCCCATCCCTGCCTGGCAAAACGACCCACCCGGCCGCAACGCATGCATCGCCATTTGAATGCAGTACTCCGCCCCCGACGCATCAATCGCCTTATCCACTCCGGCACCAAAGTCGCCCTCCTCCACTAACCGCCTCCCCGCCTCCTCCGCGCTCTCCCCCCTCTTCGACATAAACCCCTCCGTCGCCGCATACTTCTTCGCGAACTCCAACCGCTCCTCATTGATATCCACGCTCACCACCCTTGTAGCCCCGAACGCCTTCGCCACCGCGCAGCACAGCAACCCCACCGGCCCCGCCCCGAACACCACCATCGTGCTCCCCGGCCGCACGTCCACCTGCTTGCACACGTGCACCGCCACCGCCGCCGGCTCGATCAGCGCACCCTCCTCCAACGACACGGTCTCCGGCAACTTATAGCAGAAATCCTGCGGCAGGACATAGTACTTCGCTAGCGTGCCGTCGTACGGCGGGGTGGCCGCGAACCGCATGTCGGGGCACAGGTTGTAGCGGCCCTCCTTGCATCGCACACAGCTGCGACAGGCGATGCCGGGCTCGAGGGCGCAGCGGTCGCCGGGCTTCACGGAGGTGACGCCGTCGCCGACGCGGACGACAACGCCGGCGGATTCATGGCCGAGGACGATGGGGGCTTTGACGATGAAGGAGCCGATGGCGCCATGGGTCCAGTAGTGGACGTCGGAGCCGCAGATACCGGTTTGCTTGACGGCGATGAGGACGTCGGTGGGGGATTTGAGGTCGGGGACCGGGCGGGACTCGTAGGCGAAGTTGCCGATGGATTTGAGAACGAAGGAGGGGTTCTGGGAGTTTGTCAGAATTGCGTTCAGGCATAGATGAGAGGTAGGAAAGGCATCTTGTTAGGAGAGAATAGAAAGCTCCAGATGGCGGGGTATAAAATGACAAGGCGGGACGCAGATTTCACCAGAATTGAGAGTTTCACATACATCGTTTGCCATGTTGTTAGTTATGAGGAACAGATTCGGGTCTCTAAGCAGGTTGATGAGATATAGACAGAGACAGAAGAAGCGAGTGTCGTGAACATCGCTTCTCTCTAATGTGTGCCCTCATGAAGAAATGGCTTATTATAATATGACGAACCCTTCAAGCATGGATCATGGTCTAAAGGCCTTGATGCTGGAAATATTGCATCTGCTGGTCCGCATTTGGGAATTTGAGTGGAACGGAAATGGCATTTAGCCTTTTATGATTTGATGATTTTATCCGACTCAATCGGAAGTTCCCCTGGACCAATCCGGATATTAGTACGGTATCTCCATGTTCAAAGTAGTAACGACATGCATACACGATGGAATTTGCCGACGATTTAGTATCTTCGAGAGTTTAAGAATTCTATTGCGTATCTACTCTCTAATGAATCTATCGTTCTATGTCGTTTAACGGATATCCATTACATGTCCATCATAGCAATAATCACGCCCAAGTCCAAACCGACCACCAACAACGCACCTCCTCAACTTCAAAGTCATCCCCCCAATCATCCCGACCAACATCTTTCCCTTCGTCGACAACCTTCAGACCGACCCGCTCAAAGCAATCCCGAAAATTCGTAATCTCCTTCTGATATGCCACCCGCATCGGCAACTCGACTACGACCCGAGCTTCGGGCTTTCGCGACAGCCACGCGGTGACCGTATTGGCAAGCAGCATGCCGTGCTCCGTCGAATACACCGAGTCCGTGGCGACGATTGTGTCGAACAGGTCGACGGACTTTTGGACCGGAACCCGCCCTTCGTGGTAGTCGAAAACTTTGGTCGGATCCGTCCAGTCGAGGACGGCCACGGTTGCCTCGCCGCCTCGGCTTTCGATTAGGTCTTTGTTCAGTCCGGAATTGCGCTGGAGGTTGGGCACGATGTTAGGTAGGTCAGTGAGGAGGACCTCACGCCCGAGGATGGCGCTGGCCGCAAACCCGACGAGGCCCGTCCCGGCACCCAGTTCAAGGATCGGTCCGCTAGAAAGGGTGAATGGTGATTCCGACTTCTGGAAATGCCAGTAGAATATTCTGCGCGCCAGGACGAACGCGGACGCCCACGTTTTCCAGCCGAGATTATCGGCAGTGAGGGTAGGTTCGTGGATGATCATGTCCAGATTCTGCTGAGGAATCTCATGATTGAGCGGCTGGATGCGGAAGGTTCTCGTCATTGCGACCATCGCAGTCCTTCCAGAGCGTTCAGATAGTCGAAGACTTGCTCGCTCCCAGACGCGTTCTTGTTCGGACTCATCCCTGATCCACGCTAAGGGGCTGGAAATGATGGAAGTCAGATACTGGGTCACCCCTTCGGACCGGACTCTTGGTCTCTGGCTCTTCTTCCCAGGAGGATTTTCCGATTCTTCGTCCCATGATGGCAGCTCGACACATAGGAGTTCCAGTGCATCCAGTAGATCTACCGCCGATGGCTTTGTATAAAGCTGCGGCAGATCAAACACTAATAACCGGGTTAGCAACAAATCACGATGAGCAGAGAAATCGAGCTAGATCACAAAAATGGAAAATTTTGTGGATTTCCTGGATTTCCTGGATTTGCCACTTACCATGAATGGTCAGCTCGTCCTCGTCGCACTGCGACTGTGATAATTGCACTCCAACCATCGTATATCAAATATCGCTATCTTGGACAGTATATCACCAATGATTGCGAGCAACATCAAGGTTGAAATATTAAACAGGGGCGAATATTCGGAGGGCGTCAAGCTAACAATTTTTGTCCGGAAATTTAGCTCGCTTCCTAAAAGGGTATAGCCGAGGCGAGGCTGGTGCATCCAGACCGCGAGATAATAAGGGTCATTTTAGGGTCATTTTCTGGTAAGCGTGGTTTTGAAACCATTGTAGGCCTGGTTCATATCGAACGAGAACTCTCGGGCTTGATCCTCCGTGAGCTTTTCCGCCGCTCGCATCTGGTTGAGCGTGATAAGCCATTCTACGATCTTGCCCTTGTTGTCGAAATCTTTGTCGGAGACTTCATTGACCGCCTGAATGATGTCGACTAAGAGGGGATGAAGTAGGTCTTTCTCGACCATGCCGACTTTGATGGCATCGAGCAACGTGATGAAGTTCTCGGTGGCTGCAACAACCAAGGTCGCATTGGCTTCGCTACCTTGGGTCGCTGGTCGAGCGGATGGATGCTCGACTGTGGCTGGAAGGCCTACTCGCAACCGTTCAGTTGCTCGCGGGCATTCGATCTGGTACCTTTTAGCAATAGATTCGGAATGGATAGTCTGCTTGACTGACATCCCATGCACCCTTGAACGTTTCAAGATCCACGAACGCTTTGGATACCGTCTCATCGGACAAGTTGGACTTATACTGCTTGAGTAGACGGTTACACGTCTCCGTGTACTCAGCATCAGTCACTGAGTCTTTTAGATAGGCTCTCTCCAAGGCATCTAGAGTGACGATGATGCTATACACCTCCGCGAGAGACTCGTATAGGTCTCGTTCCGCACTTGTGGTGGACAACTTGACTTCCTGTAACGACATATTAGCCACTCCAGTAAATCCAAACCAATTTCTTAAGCCTCTATACCTCATCCAGGTTTATTGTAGCTGATAGATTGGATGTTGGAGTGTATGAGTATGGCGTCGGGGCGTAGGCCAACTGTCTCCTTGACATGATGGCGGTTTCTATGTGATGGCGGACTTCCCATCAACAGCATCCGATAAGGTCGAGATTGTCCAGTATTTCGCAGGATTCAATTTATTGGATATTACCCGTATCTTCACCAGTTTCATTAAACGAAGTAGAAGATTGAAACATGATAGTAGACGACTCCAATGGATGAATACGTCAGGGTCAGAGGTGCGGAGAAGTGGCCCGGCGACAACATCCCTGTCCAAAATTTTCGACGAAGAATTTCGCTTTCCCAACTCTTCACCACTGTACATCCGATCCCTATGAAACCTTCATTCACGACCACTCCCTAAATTCTACACCCGGAGTCCATCCGACACGTCAAGATGGTTCAGGGCAAATCGACCAAGAAGTTCGAGAAGAAACATCTGAAGGATGTCCTCAAGAACCGCAAAAGCTTCGCGAAAATCAAGCAACGCCATCAGCTCTCCGACAAGAAAAAGGCCAAGCGGGCAAAGGATGCCGCGAATGGCGAGGATGACGAGGCCAAGCAGCACGATGCCGCCGCGAATCAGGCTTTTGAGAACATGACCGTGGACGAGTTCTTCCAGGGCGGGTTCGAGATCCCCGAGGCGCCGAAGAAGAAGAAGGGTTCAAAAGACAAGTCGCCGCTTGGGAAACGGAAGCGAGACCAACCAGTCGAAGATGAGGAAGCGGACGAATCATCGGAGGAATTCTCCGACGACATGGGATCTTTGCAGGATGAGCCGGTCCAAGACGAGAGCGCATCGGAAGATGGGTCCGCGCCCGATGAGGACATGGACGACCACCAAGATCAGCTGGAGGCGCTGAAGACCAAGGATCCGGAGTTCTACAAATTCTTGCAGGAGAATGACACCGAATTGCTAGATTTTGAGAAGAGCCAACTCGGCGAGGACGAGGACGACGATATGGTTGACGAAAGCGCCGCTGCCGCTGCCGGGGCGGAGGAAGAGGGGGAGACCACCGGACAAGAAGAGCTGACACAAGCGACTTTGGACAAGTGGAAAACAGCCTTGAAAGAGAAGAAGTCGCTGCGCGCGGTGCGAGAGATCACCGTCGCGTTCCGAGCGGCAGCACATCTGAACGAGGAGAACGGGAAGGTCTACCGATACTCGATCACGAACTCGGATATATATCACGACCTCCTGGTCACGGCATTGAAGGAGATCCCCCCGGTCCTCGAGCACCACATCCCCGTCACCGAAGCGAAGAACGGCAAAACCCGCGTCGACATGAACTCGAAGCACTTCCGATCGCTGACCGCGGTGCTGAAGTCGCACATGATGGCGATGCAGCACCTGATGCAGAACCTCTCGGACGCCGCGACGTTACGCCTGACCGTGTCTTCCGCCGTCCCGCTGCTGCCGTACATCCTGACATTCAAGAAGGTCGTCCGCGAGATCGTCCGCACGATCGTGGACATCTGGGCCGATGCGTCCAACGCCCAGGCGACGCGGATCGCCGCATACCTCGTCCTCCGCCGGTTGACTGTCATCGGCGACCCGGGCACGCGGGACGACGTGCTCAAAACGGTGTACCAAGGCCTGGTGAAGGGCAGCCGCAACACGACAGTGCATACGCTCCCGGGCATCAACCTCATGAAGAACTCGGCGTCCGAGCTCTGGGGCATGGACGCCAGCGTCGGGTACACGACGGGCTTCACTTTCATCCGTCAGCTCGCGATCCACCTGCGCAATAGCATCAAGCAGAACGCCAACGACTCCTACAAAGCCATCTACAACTGGCAATACGTGCACTCCCTCGACTTCTGGTCGCGCGTCGTCGCCGCCCACTGCAACCCCCTCGCCCCTACCTCCGACGCCACCGACGCCCCTCTCCGCCCCCTTATCTACCCCACCGTCCAACTCACCCTCGGCGCCCTTCGCCTCATCCCCTCCCCACAATACTATCCCCTCCGCTTCCATCTCCTCCGCTCCCTCCTCCGCATCGCCGCATCCACCAACACCTACATCCCCCTCGCCCCCGCCCTCTACGAGGTCCTCAACTCCCCCGAACTCCGCAAGCCCGCCAAGGCCAGCACCCTCAAGCCCCTCGACTTCGACGTCGCCATCCGCGCCCCGAAGACCTACCTCCGCACCCGCACCTACCAGGACGGCGTCGGTGAGCAGGTTGCCGAGCTCCTCGCCGAGTCGTTCGCGCCGTGGTGCACGAGTGTCGCGTTCCCGGAGCTTGTCCTCCCTGTCACGGTGACCGTCAAGCGCTGGCTGAAAGACGTCGGCAAGGGCAGTTCGGGGAACAAGAACGGCAAGGTCAACAGCCTGGTCAGCATCGTGGTGCAGAAGCTGGAGGCGAACGCGCGGTGGATCGAGACGCGGCGGGCGAAGGTGGAGTTCGCGCCGAATGATCGGGCCGGGGTGGAGGGATTTTTGAAGGGGATAGAGTGGGAGGGGACACCGTTGGGGGCGTATGTGGCGGGTCAGAGGAAGGGGAAGGAGGAGAGGCGGAAGGTGGTGGAGAAGGGGAGGAAGGAGGAGGAGGGGAGGAGGAGGAGGGAGAAGGAGGTGGAGAGGAGGGAGAAGATGGTAGAGGCGGAGGGGTTTGGGGAGAGTGAGGAGGAGGACGAATAGGCGTTGTAATTGTATATATCAAATACGGTGGGAGTGTTCGACGCTCAGCATCGAAAAGCGAGCGTGTAGACGACGTTGGAGAATATTGGCTTCAATTCATGTCTTTTCCGTGTCTCATCCCATCTATCCGGACTCCACCTATGCAATGCTAATAATACAATCCACCGTGAACGTCCAGTGTTCGTTAAGTTCATACGCATCTTCCTCATCATAAACCCAACTTTTCTCCTTCCATCCCCTCATCGCCTCACCACCAAGCATCCCAAATCCCTCCATCCCAATATCCTGTCTCCACAAGATCTTTCCCAAGACCATCTCATCGACCCAACCCCCCCGACATCTCCGCCGCCGTCGCCGCCCCCACAATCGCCCCCACAATCCGACTAATCGGCACCAACGCCCCCGGCCTCACGTTCTCCTCCACTGTCGCCGGCCCCGTCACGCTCGATGACGACCCCGCACTGCTCGCCGACCCCGGATTCGCCCTCCCCGGCTCCTCGGCCGGCGGGCCCGGAACCTCGCTGGGACCCGGAAGCCTGACCGCAGGATCGGTCACGTTCCCCGCCTTCCTCGGTGCCCCTCCATTCGCGACTAGCAGCGCCTGCACGGCCTCCAGGGCGCTCATCTGTTCGCCGAGGCCCTCCATGCCGTCCCAATCGCCGGTATCCCAACGATGTCCGCAGGTGACACCATCGTCGCCGCCGGAGCAGGAAGTCGCGGCGGCGCGGGCGTTGGTTTCGATGAGGGGGCGGATCTGCGCGGCGAGGTCGGGGAAGAGGAGGGAGGCTTTGGCGAGCCAGCGGAACATATAGGCCTTGAAGGAGCGCATGTCGGTGTTGCACGTGTCGTAGGGCTCGCAGGCGGCCTCGTACATGATGTCGGTGGCGTTGGGGGCGGGGGTGAAGAAGGTGGAAGTGGCGGAGACGAGGAGGCCGCGGGTGCGGTCGGACCAGGTTTGGGTGTCGGGGGAGGTGGGGTCATGGGCGGCGGAGATGTTGTAGAGGTGGGCGGCACCGTGGAGGTAGACGGCGACGTTGTAGCTGAATTGCAGGTGGTTCAGATCGCTGCAGTTTTTCTTGTCGTCGGTGCCGTCGAAGACTTGGAAGGAGGGGGAGATGAGCCCGATTGCTTCGGACCAGTTCCACGCCTTGTTCGCCCACTCGATGTAGGTGGTGTTTCCGGTGTAGCGCGCGAGACGAGCCGCCATCTGGAAGTAGGCGCCGTTGCTGATGGCGTTCTTGTAGTTGTATCCGTAGTCATTCTCCGGGTATATCTGCCACTTGAGCCCACCTCCACAGGACCCCATGTCCCACCGTGGCGTCTGAGTGTTGATCAATGCCTCCACCAACTGCAACCAGCTGGGTTTTCCGGTCGAAGGTGGAGGGTTGGGGAAACCATTCTCAATGCAGTTCAAGAGAGCGAGTCCCCAAAATGCTTGATCATCGTTCCCCTCGTCGAATTTATGCTCGGGGACCATATAGTCGTTGTCCGGACCTGTCTGTGCTAGAAGCGCGGTCGTGGTGGTCTCGACATATTGGGTATCTCCAGTGTATGCCGCATAGTCCACCAGTCCTCCCCATGCTGCACCAGACTGCCACCAATAGTAGGGAGGGTATTCGAAAAGGCCGACTTTCGCTTGCTCGGCGTCAGGACCACCGTTAGGGTATAGAGAAATCAGTTTGCCCGCTATCGTTGAAGCAGCCTCCTTGATCGATGCTGAGATGCATGAGTTTGATGGTTTACATTATCAAGAACGACATGCACACAACTCACTTTCATTTTGTATGTCGAGCTCCAACCCCAGGGTTAGTGACAAGAGGGGCAGAAAAGAAGCAAGAAGACGAAACATGGCGGGGCGCTCAAAGAGTCAACAAACGAATGAAGGACGAAACAGCGAGGGTGGTTGTAATTGTTTGTATCAAGTATAGCGATCTCTGAAGACAAATATCTATCGCCAAAAAGAAGGATTGTATTGTGTGGCAACTCAACACGAAAGGAACGAAGGGACCAGCCTGGCAAAAGGGAAAGTGTGTGATGGTGGATTGCCACGAGGCGCCACTGGATTTTCGTACCTCTAACCCGTGAAAAGCGGAGGTGAATGCCAATGGACATGTGAACAATGACTCAATCACTCTGCGTCGGATCATTCAATCATAATGGAACAATTGGAACCGCAAACCCACACCCAGCGCAGCATGCCACGATATATGAAGTGAAGTCCGAATGTTTGGAAGCGGTGGCAAAGCGACGGTGCATCTCTGCTATTCATAGTTCAGGTCCAGGTGTCTAGCAATCCAGACCATCTCGGGATCCAGGGCAAGAATACGGGCCCTTCCGAGGCTGCTACAAAGAATCATCATGGCATTTTGTGTATCGGCGGTTGCGAATGGTCGTAGACATGTGGTTGAGTGGTGGTGAGGTGAGGAAGATGAAGGATGGGGAGGACAAGGATGTTTCGAAACGCTGGTGGTGGAACCAATCGGCGCGAGTCATGCGGAGAGATGCTTGGTGTTTGATTCACCATTCGTCCTTAACCGCTGCGTGCACACGGAATACTGTCGCGTCCAACTGAATGCCTCTCATCATGATCGTCATACATAATACGATACACGCTAAAGCCCTTCTCCCTTCCTCGCGCTGCGGCGTTGTTACTTGCCTCCCATCGAACTCCCATGAGATAGTAAGCCATCAGGATCACTGGTACCGACAACCACACATGCGGATCACCATCCCAACCGGTGGTTCGCCAATCCATTCGCCACCCGATCCAGGCACCCTCCGCCTCCCATTGGTACCCACCCGTTTCATCACGATGCATGCGCCTCACCGGAGTCGTTTCGAACTGATGGGTGGCGCCGGGCCTGGAATGGCAGTCGGGGATGCGGTCACGCTCGGTACGAGCCAGATCATCAAATGTGAATTATGACTTTACTTTATGAGGGCTTACGGCCGGACGGTGGACATTGGTGTCCAATGAAATCCACGCCAGAAGGATTGCGAATAGGAAATTAGTTATGTACAGGTGAATTGGATGGAAAGAAACAGCCCGCAGCAAATGCCCTAAGTGGGTATCAATACCTGATCAATTTCTGGCCGATGGGCAGTTCAGCGGCGACCTGGAGAGTTTAAAAAAAGTATCTGGAAATTTAGACATAGGATAAAGTGAGTGGAAACCCGGACTCGGGTCGTCGGGACTTGCGTGGAGCCATCCAGGACTGAAATGCCGGCCGGCGATAGCGGCCACGACTTCGAAATGGCCGTGATACGAAATCAATGGAAGAATGGTCCGATGGATTCTCCGATATCTTTGACATTGTCGGGGTACACATAAAAGGCGATCGCGATGATGATATACCTATTCGATGTATCAGTTCCCGCACGCGTGGCACTCGATGATACGAAAACTTACATCGCCAGACACAGGACGCCCTCGAGGTAGTTGCTTTTGCCGTCCTGGATCAGGTAGTTGACCACCAGCACGCTGAGGAAGAAGCAGATGGTTTCGAAGCCTTGGAAGTGGAGAGTCATGTTCTGGCCGATGGCCCAGCCGAGCAGGACCATGAAGGGTGTGACGAAGAGCGCGATCTGCATGCTACTACCGATGGCGACGTTGATGGCGAGATCCATCTTGCCTTTGTAGGCCACGATGCATGCGGTGACGTGCTCTGCGGTGACGTTAGAATAGCTTCCATGACGGGAGGGGAGTCACGTACCAGCGGCATTGCCGACGATGGGGATGAGAATTAGACCGATGAACGTTTTGGAGATGGCGCCGGTGGCGACGATGTCATCGACACTACTTTGGTTAGTGACATTCATAACAACGGCCTCGAGAGACATACGTAGCAACAAGATAGTCTGCGCAAAGCGCGATGATGAGCGTGACGACAAGGAGGGCAATGGATGCCGGAATCGGCTTGAGGATCACCTCGGTTTCCTCGCTGTTCTCCTCATCCGTCCGCTCCTCGTCGAAGAGGTACGCATGCGATCGGAGCTGGAAGAAGAGGTAGAGGATGTAGATGAATAGGAGAACGATAGAGGTGTAGTGGGAGAGGACGAGGATGTTGTTGTCGTTGGATGTACCGCCGTCGACGACGGAGTACAGGGCCGCCGGGATGATCAATGCGCAGACGGACACGAACATAAGCGAGCTCATGGTGCTTGCGACGGTCTCGTTGAACTGAAAGCGCTCGTTAGGACTGGCTCATCAGTGAATCTAACATATGTACTCACTCTCTGCTCGCCTCCGCGGATCCCTGCCGCGAGAAAACAGCATCCGAGAACCAAAAGGATATTCGAGAGGATAGAACCAAGCATGGAGGCTTGGACGATTCGAATCTCGCCTCTCGCGAGCGCGACAATGCTAACCTATCCACCCATATCCGTTAGCGACCGTTTACTCCATCCTCAACAAGGATCCCTACAATCAACTCAACCGCATTCCCAAACGTCGCATTCATCAACCCCCCCAATGTCTGCCCAAGTTTCACGCTCAATTCCTCGGTTGCAAAGCTCAGCAGCGCCGCCAACGGCACAATGGCCAGGAAGTTCAGCACAAAGGTCGGTATGGGTCCCCAGTTCAAAGCGCCCGACAGGATCCCGAGCGGGACAAAGATGAGCAGCACGTTGACGTAGTTGCTCGAGAGGGTCAGCCACGTCAAGTGCGCCGTCGCCTTCGGGAAGCGGGAGAAGATGCTATGGTCTGCATGACCCCAGATACGGGAATCGCCATGGGGAGTGGCGCCGCTGATGGTGCTGTTCGGGATCAAAGGCGCCCGTTCGCCGTTCGTGGGATGAGTCGCTGGCATCGATGCGGTGTCGTGATGTGATATGGAGTCTCGTCGATCGCCAGTCGGCTGTCGCGCCAATACTGCACTTTGACGTCGGAGTTTGTCTACGTGATAAGCGCAAGAGGGGCGCCGGCGGTTAGTGATAGAATCATGAAGTCCCAGGACGCTTGGAAAAGGAATTGACGATAAAGCGGGAATGGATCGACGCTAATCGGCTCGTATGAGGTCACCGGCAATTGATTCAACGGCAACGTTTAGGATAGAAGGTATTTACGGCAGCACGCAAAGTCAATGTAGAAGCAAAGAACAAAGGGACCAGCAGACTCAAATGAATTGAAGGAATGGGAGGAGTGTGTGATTGATATTGTCTTTGTCTGGATAATAATACAAAGGTGGCTGAGGTGTTGCGCGGGTTGTCGCCGTCTGAGTAAGACCCTGCAAATCTGCAACGATGCGGACATGCGGCGATCAATCCATAGGTGCAACCTAATGCCGTGGCAAGAGCTCGGCGACGTCACAGAGGAACGGTGAATTGCGAACGGGACGGAGGATGATCCAAAGGAAATGAAGAATTGAGTTAAAGGGACAGCAGGGACTCACTCATTTGTCACAAGGGAGGCTGGGTCGATGAATATCAACGGTGCCACGATCCCTGGGAATTCTGCGAATGCCGAAGCGTCGGGGTTGCGATTTCGCGCGGAGGTGGAATTCCTGACACTGACCAAGCCTCGTTGCTGTGACGAAACCGAAGGAGTGGAGGCCTTGGTGATGCGACAAGACCTGGGCCGTGGGATGGGAGCTGTGATGGCGAGGGGAAGCGTGTGCCGTGTGAACGGCAATCTGGAATTGGACCTGGATTATGGAAGAATTACACAATGGGGCTGTGCAATTGCTTGGAACTCGAAACCCAGACGCGCGGGAATCCAGACGCGCGGGAATCCAGACGCTCTTGGTATCTTGGTGGTCGTGATCGGCTTGCATTTGAAGGAAGTGGTGAGGTATGGAGAACGGGGGAGCAGGAGAAACCACACGATTGGACTTAGCGAGATTTGTATGATCGACGACGGACAATCCATCGTCGTGCTGCGGACTAACTTGAGCTTGGCCTGGGAAACGTTTGGGCCTCTGATCTTTGAACGTGTTATCGGCCCACATTAACCAGGGTAGCTCGCAGGATGACGATAGATGGTGGCACTAACTAAGATTTGGTTGATTTTATTGCGCATTGGTTTATCCTAGGTAGATTCTAATAAGACATTAATATTCACATTTAACCCCTAAAGTCCAACTCAAGAAAAGCAATCATAACATTAGGAGAGGCACAGAGCAACCTACTGGCTATGTGGACAGCAGTGTAAAACAGTGTAAAGCCGGAGGGGAATTATGAGCGCAGCTACATGGACTGGACTTTTGCCAGGTGCGCGACTCCTCGTTGCTGAGACTACAGCCCCAAACCCCAATCCTACACGTCGATCAATGGTCGCATTGATACATACTGTAAGTCGTTAGCGGACTACCGGGATTTGTTGAGTAGTCGAGACGAGTCTACTCCGTACGGAATATAGGTACGGAATACGGAATACGTTTATTCACTTGCTACCACATGTACGCCCTGCATTCTACCAGCAACCAACTAAACTTTGGCCAACCCATGGTGGAAGACACTAATGGTCTTTGGCTTTTGACGTCCTCTAGTCTATAGAAAAGGAGAATCGTATCGGCTTACTAGGAGGGGTTTCGAAGCTCCAGGGATACGATTCAAGGCCACCAATGATCAATTTCTTCCTCTCCAGAAGGTCCTTGACTAAGGAAACTCAAACATGGCCTTTTCACGATCTCGCACTTGTAAAGTCATGTCATGTCTCTCTTTGTGCGAAGTTTCCTTCCAATACAGAAGCTCGAAGTCTTGCGGGAAAAACCCAGCCATCTCCCAATCAATGATGCAAGTAATCTCAAAGGTGTTCGGATCCACGAAAATGTTCTGACGACCTAGATCGGTATGGATATGGCAAACACATAATCGGCCGTATCTTTGAGCGTGGACGGCCAGACACGCTTGTCTTTCCACTCCCAAAGCCTATGGGGAGGGATGACTGGAAGTTTTGGATCGGGACCTCCCAAGGTATTCCGACGTAGTTGGCGAAGCTGAGGAAGAATTGTTGACTCTAGCTGCTGAGTAACTCACTCAATTGCGGAAGGACGTAGGGGCTCGTCTATTTCTCCAAGCTCTACGCCAGTTTCACAAGTGCGGTTTTAAGATAGACGACTCCATTGTCCTCCCATAGGTCGAGTAACCTAGGGACCGGAATGGTTGTGTTTACTACAATGAATTGTAGGGCGGCGGCTTCATTGCGGAGGCGATTGGCGATGTAAGGTAAAGTACTAGGACAAAAGTCTGTGCATGCCCCACACCAAAATCAAAACAAGCTGAACAACCACCAATCTTCAACCATCAATATTATCATCAAAATGAGGTCATTTGGGCAAGAAATTAGTGGTAATCGACAGAGAAATCGCGAATTAAGCGAACGTCAAAGAGCTGCGATTTTACAGGCCGTTGCGGACGGTAGAACTAAGGCGGAGGTTGCGGAGGAGCATAATGTCGTTGTTCGCACCGTATACAATACCATCAATCGATGGAACCACCACCACGTCACTGCATCCTTACCCCGTAAGGGGACCCCCCGAAAACTATCGCGGTCTAACGAACGACATATCGTCAAAATTGCACGTAGATTCCCAAAGATAGAGTATACAGAGCTCCTCGAAAGCGTCGAATACCTCCGGATCTCGAAGAGGACTATCTACCGAACCCTTAAGAAATATCACCTTACGAAGTGGCGAGCGAAGGAGAGGCCCCATCTTAGGCCTCACCACGTCAAAGACCGGCTCCAATTCGCCCGCGAATTCGTGAGATTCAACTTCTCAAGGACCCACTCTACAGACGAGTGCTCTTATGAGAAAGGGGCCGGCGAAAAACAGGTTTGGGTATGGCGCCTATATCACGAGGCATACGACCCAAAGATGGTCGAGCCTAAGACCCCTGGCAAGGCGATTTCGCAGATGATTTGGGGCTCAATCTCGCGTGAAGGGAGGTCGGAGCTGGTGATCATGGACCGCGACGAAGACTCTCTAAGACAGGGCTATTCCGCGAAATCTTACATCGCTGCGTTAGAGGAGGGGCTGCTCCCTACGTACGAACCCGGGGATGTTGTTATCCAGGATAACGCAAAGATACACACGGCCAAAATCACCCAGGAATGGCTGGAGATTCACGGCATCCGGGTCATCGATTGGCCAGCCAATTCTCCGGACCTCAACCCTATAGAACACATGTGGCATGTGCTGAAAACGATGGTCAAGAAGCTCTACCCTGAACTAATGCGAATGGGGGCATCAGATGAGACACGGGAGGTAATGAATAAGGCGTTAAAGGAGGCGTGGTGGGCGATCCCTCAGGAGAAGATCCGGGCACTGATTGACTCAATTCCGCGACGTTTACAAGCGGTGATCAAGGCAAAGGGCTGGCATACGAAATACTAGGCTAGTACTAATTAGGCAATCAAAAAAGCATACACTGATCGCTTCCTCTGCGGTTTTGAGCGTATCTCACGATGGGGATGGTGGTGGTGGTGAAATCACGTGGTTGACGACCATGCACAGACTTTTGTCCTGTCAGTGTATTACCACTGGATTGCCGTATATGTCGTCGCCGCACTCATCGTCACGAGGTTGCCTCTTTATGAACACCTTCGTCGTGTAGTAGTAGGAAATACTACGGGAGACGACTTTCGTGACCATCGTTCCATCATCTGGCTTTAATTTTCGGGGGAAATTTGTCATCCATGGGACACATCGCTCGGAACCTCTCAGCATATTCAATGGCATTTTTCATGTGCTGGCTGACCTGGGCCATTGTCGAGGAGGGAAAATGGGATATCGGTGAGTTGGTGACGTTGAAATACAAGCGGAGACCCGGGGGGGGACCTAAGTAAACAGTAAACAGTGAACAGTGAACTAATGACCAAATGAAGTCCAAAGCGAAATGAAGAGTGGAACGAAAGGTAGAAGTGGACCATAGGTAGGTATGAGATGATGAGAAACGAGGACAGAACAACATAACAGGAGAAACCCCTTGAATTTTGATACTCAGCGTCTTGGATACCATACGGGATGCTGGATAGTGTCTTAGCTTTCTAAAGGACTTGGAATCCATTGTACACAACCAGAGGGACTTAGGTATCTCATCTACGAGGAGTTCAGTGAGTCGAGGTTTATCAACAACCCCGGATTCGGTTCTGAGCAACCGAACCCATATTAATATGGACAGTTTGATGGGTTTAACTATAAGTTTTTAATGTCGAACTACGGCTACAAGCAAGAGAGTGGGTACTGGGCGGTTACGCTGCCCAGACTAGGCACCTACCAGCCCAAAATGGGTACTGGCCCTCCCTAACACAGCTGCCCAACCACCCACCTCCAGTGAGTCCAGCCTGCACCTTTGACCTAGCGGCTAGCAGCTTACTGCGGGCGCCACGCTAAATTACCCGCTACCACAGGGGCAGTCCCGCCTAGTTTGGAGTGGGGCCGGTGGCATTTGACCCGTCAGCGACTGTTCCCTCATCACTTCCAATTCTCAAGTCCCAAGCCCAGAAACCAGACAGGATTCAAATCTCCTCGTAGGATTTTGTGCGATTCTGATTATTATGCTTAAATTACTAGCTGCTAATTGCGTGACTGGCGAAGGTTGCATAGGATAAATGTCAAATCGATTCTAGGAGGGTGACCGCAGTTCTAGTTTAGCCTCACACCGTGTCGCATGTCTGAGGCAAGGATGAATAATGCTTGGGACTCTGTACACTCATTATCGTTGGATTCCGCTCAAATCGAGCATCAGGAGCCGTTTTATATATCCTAATAAATGCCCCTAACCGTCGTCCCTGCGTATATGTGAAATTCACCGCCCCCGATCCCCAAAACGCCATAATCCAGCCTGCGTAAAGACTTGCGCTCGAAATCGGCCTGCGCCTACCGCTCGTCAATCTCCATCCGATCCGCCCCCACCAACGTCGCCCTTCGCCGACTCGGACCAAAGATCATCTCCAACACCTTCGACTTCTGCCGCTCCCGTAGCTCCTTCAGATGCTCATGTGTTCCCTGGATCCCACGGATCTGCTCCGCGACGCTTAACGTGCTGCTCTCATTGCTGCGCACCAGTGGATTGATCAGTCGTCGCCTCAGATTCTCCAGACGCTCCTGAAGTTGTCGTAAGCGCGCGTTGTGCTCCTCGAGGACCTGCTTGTTGCGGACGGTGCGCGCGCGAATCGAGGTCAGCAGGCGCTTGTTGCGTTCGAACTTGGCGAGGGTGCGCGCGTTGGCGCCCATGACCTTCGTCCAGAGGGAGGAGAGCAGCTCGCTTTCCTCGCGGTCCTGCTGCGCGGACTCGCGGACGACGATGCGCTGCAGGTTGAGGAACTTACGGTCGACTTGCTCGAAGAGGGTGAAGAGCGCGGCGCTGTATTGGAGCTCGTTGTTGATGGACTCTTCGAGGACGTTAAGGAATTCGTGGAACGTGCGTTGGAGGGCGCCGCGGGTTTTTTGTTGGGGGGTTGGACCGAAGAAGGCGGTTAGGACGCGGCCTAAGGCGGTTGGTCGCCCAGTGTGCGCGTTTTCCAGGAGACCGATGTCGGTGAGCATGGAATGGAGGTTGGTATATGCGGACGAGAGGGGCGACGTAGGTGCCGATGAATATACGGACAGCTCACGCCTCGCCCACTCCATTACAATAAGAACGCTACCGGTTGTTAGCAGCGTGTTTCATGGACAAGCGATATGGTCACGCACCTATCGATGTCGCCATCGACATTGGCAAAGAACTTGGTCAACTCAATTGCCAACCGCTTCAGTCCGTCGCCCAGCTCGTCCAACTCTCCGACAATGATAGCAGCGCTAGTCAGGTTGGTCTGCCTAATTGTTTCCCCCAAATCCCACACGGCCACGCCCGTATCTTGCAGGTCCTCGATCTGCTGGACACCATGCTCGCTGTAGTAAATCATCGGCTCCAATGACTTGGCGATGCCGGCCACTTTGACCAAGTCCGGCACGTATCCTTGCGAAGGCAATGTGAAGAGCACCCGAAAGAGGAAGATGGAGAGGAAGGCAATGCAGACCGCGACCACGGCGTTAGTTCGCGACTTTGTGATGAGATCGACTTTGTGTCTGATCCAAGTGACAACGGCTTCGATTGGTTCTGTTCGCTGCTGTACTTCCGCTCGAACGGCGAAACGAATGTCTATTCAATTGAAAATCGTGGTTAGTAACTATACCAGGATATTGCGTTCAAATGCGTCAGACTCACAATTGTTATTCAACACTTCGGGGGCAACACTTTCCGACCGTTCCCTCTCATATTCCCTGCCGTGTCCCGCAGTGTCCCGCACTGGGGACTCTCGCGGCGTCCCTTTCTCAGGACTTGCCGGCAAAGGCACCATGGCCGGTAAGGTGAGATCTCCTTCATCCGCGCTGGCATACTCGGCGCTCCGCTCCACTGACTGACTATTGCTGCGACGGGGGCTAAAACTGGACCGCATGGGGCCACCTTTCCGTTCGTACCATCCACTGCTGGCCTTCCTCCACGCGGGAGGCGACCATTGAGAGGCGGCTGGATCGCTCTCAGGTTCTGAAGATCCGACAGAGTGTCCAGATAAGAAGCCGCTGTGCGCGGAGGGAATCGCCCATAGAGGCGATCGTTCTCGATCGGACGGTTCAAAGTCTTCGAGGGATGCGGTGAGAGAGGGGTGGTCAGAGAAGTGGAGAGAAGAGGGCCGTCCTGAGGCCAGTGTGCCCATTGTGACGCGTGCGAAGAGATACGTCAATGACGGCTGATACGAAACCGGCGCTTAACTGATACAGTTCATATAAGGGGCCGTTGGAACTTTTGAATCCAGACAGTTGTACGAATAAATTTTAGAAGAGAAAAGAACAAAACTGAGAGTTGGACAAAACTTCTAAACCAGTGACAGAACTCGACAAGGCGAGGCTGGTATCCTCTGATTCACCGATATACCCGAGCGACTCTTCCTGTCAAGAAACCCACTACTGATGCCACTGACACACGAGATTCTTTCAGGGGTATGGACGTTCTTCCCTAGTTCTTGACTCGATTTCCAAAACGAACGGATTTTGACCGGAAAGCAAACGGAATATACAGACCACAAATCGACTACAGCCATCTCCAGCAAGATGAAACAAGAAATGGGGAGGTTGGTGGAGGGATTGGTGCATGATGTTCCCTTGATTGCTGCGTTGGCGGGGAAGATACGGGAGGATGGGGGACAATGCTGGGAAATGCAGTTTCGACGCGTTCATTGGACGAGACGGACGGGATGGTTGCACCAGGGAACCTGACTAAGGAAGTGATTAGATGCCTCAGGCAGTTTATTACATTTATGCCTCAGGCTTCAAGGCAAACAAAATCCAACTTCGAAATCAATCAATCAGACCTCAATTTGTTCATTGTTCGGTCTCCAGGAATACTTTTCCGCGATTGAGATGCCACGACATCCAACCCGTGCATCGAATTAAGGCCAAATATACCGTTCCCATCCAAACAAAGTCTCTCATCACAGGCTAAAGCCGGCCACTATGGCAAATCCACGAATCTTCCGGTCGTTCACCGCGATCGCTCTCCCTATCCGACCACAGACAGCTCGGTGTGCCTCGCAAAGATTGGCGCCGGTTTCGATTCAATGCCGACGGTCCACGCGTGCATCGTCGAGCAACTCAGGAGAAAAACGACCGAAGGGACCCGATACTGATTCATTGCCCCATGTGTCCGAGGAAGCGGCGGCGACGGCCAAAATCACTGGAGACAAAGGACCGGATATCCAGCAGGGAACGCCCGTGCAAGAGGTCATCAAAGGCAAGAAGGAGCTGCACGACAAGCTACCCAAGGTGATGCAAGACGAGAAATCATCTACCGAACCACCAAGCGGCACCCGATCATTCTCCACCGTCGCGAGGAGACAAGAAGACCTCCAAACCCTTCCCTCCACACCATCCTCCCTCCCCCCAACCCTCATCCCTTCCTCCTCCCTCCCCCTCTCCACTGGCGTCAAATTCGGCACCCCCACTCTCCCCCTCCCCCCCCAAACACACCTCAAGCACCGCGACGACCCCATCGTCCAACAAGTCACCACCCTCCTCATGCGCCACGGCAAGCTCTCCGTCGCCCAACACAACATGTCCTTCATCCTCTCCCACCTGCGCACTGCGCCCCCCCCCAAGCTCAACCCCGCCCGCCCCCTCGTTGCCGGCCACCCGCCCCCGCACCAGCTCCCCCTCGACCCCGTCATGTACCTCACCCTTGCCATCGACTCCATCGGGCCGCTGGTGCGCATCCGCAGCCAGAAGGGCGCCGCGGGCGGTGGGCAGGCGTTGCAGATCCCCGTGCCGTTGAGGCAGCGGCAGCGGCGGAGGCAGGCGGTGATGTGGATTTTGGCGGCGGCGGAGAAGCGGGCAGGGAAGGGGGGGACGAAGAATATGTTCGCGCAGAAGGTGGCGGATGAGGTGGTGGCGGTGGTGGAGGGGAGGAGTAGCGTATGGGAGAGAAGGAATCAGTTGCATCGGATTGCGGTGTCGAATCGGAGTAATGTGGGTTATAAAAAGCAGCCGGGGAGGAGATAAGTGGGATTTTGGGAGCTGGATTATAGGATGCGTGGGAGCCTTTGGGGACGAACCGCTATTTGGGCGCTGGCGGTTGAGATACTTGTATATTTCACCAGCCATGTCCTTCGTTCGCGAACTAGTCAGGATGAGGTGAAGGAGAAAGTTGTTGCCAGTCATTTAGAATCACTATGACGCCGGAAGCATGTAAATCATTGGATAGATATCGGGACGATTCAGCCCGCCCGCACATTACTGTACACTAGGATAAGACTTTATATACAAAACTTAAAAGGAGCTCGAAGCCCGGAAAACGATTCTCATATTCATACATCAATCCCGGTACGTCCAAAGGGAATATCCCACCATTTCCATCCAGCCGTTGCAACATCATTCGCAACCGAAATCCCGCCCAACCATTTTTCCAAGCATCATTATAAATACCGAAACGCCGTCCAGATGCGTGGAATGCAGAGACCGCACTCTCGTTGAGCCTCGTAAACGGTACTAGGAAACATCGACAAAGGAGATCGATACATAAGAAATCCGTGAATGGGTATCAAAAGTTACATTATCGGACGAACCGGGATGTCTAGCAGAGTGGTCCCGCTCCTTTCATGCGCCGGTCAGCGGCACCTCGTCGAGTGACATCAGCGACGTCCGATGACTTGCCGTCTGCGCTTGTGACAGCGGCTGTGTCCCCTCCATCGGGGTGTCGAAACCGCCGAACACGCGCGGCTGCATCGCGCTCGTCGGCGTCATCATCTGCTGCATATGCTGCAGGGCCTGGGCGGGCGGCTGCGGATGATGCGCACTGCCGTGGCTGTGGCTGCGGCGGAGGGACAGCGAGGAGATGCGGCGCAGCTTGGAGAGGGTGGGGTGCTGGGGTTGGGGGGTGGTCTGGACGCTCATGCTGGTGGGGGAAGAGGCGGAGGTAGGGTGGAAACCGTGGCGCATGCTGTGGTGGAGGTGGGGTTCGAGGGATTTGGCGGAGAAGCCGGGGTGGGAGCCGGCCGGGGGTGCGCTGAGGGACATGGCGAGGGATTGATTAAAGGGGTGGGCCTGGAGGGGGAAGGGATCTCGGGAGGGGTTGTACATGTGTGGCGAGTCGAGCTCCTCGGGGGCTTCGTGGACCTGGGAAAGGACCGGGGAGGAAGGGTCGGACATCATGGGGTGGGATAGCAAGACGGGCTGCGGGAACAAGGGATGGTCGGCATGCTCTGAAGGAGTGGGTGGTTGAGTGGAATTGAGGCCTCGAGGGGAGTGCAGCATCGGTTCGTCGAAGTAGAAGCTGGACTCCGAGTTGGCAAACGACGCGGGGGTCATGACGCCCGCATCGGCGTCGGGGATGAACTTGTCCGTAGACATTGGCAGCGGCTCGGCGAACTCGTATAGTTGGCGGAGGAACGTTCCAATGTCGGGAGCAAAGGATGAGGTCTCGAGTCTCTCCTTGAACGGGGCGGTCCGCTTCGGGTCCCACCTCAACTTGGGCCAGTTCTTATGCTCCTTCGGTCCATGATACAGTTCCAGGAGCTTCCTCCACTGAGGCGCCACCAGATCCTGCGCGAGCAGGTTCCGGATCTCAAGGGAGTAATCCCATTGGTGCTTCTTCAGCCTCGACTCGGTATAATGCTCGTCTCCGATATGGTTGAATCGAGCCTTCTCGGACGCCAGCAATTTCTTGCAAAACCCGCATCCCCAATACCGCTTCTTCTCCAGGTTCAGAACCAAAGGTTGCGGTAAATAGCAAGGTCGTCCCGGGTGATGGCTGCTGTCGTGAAGACGGAACTCATCTAGGTCTTTGAACGCGACGAAACAGTCATCATGGGGGCAGTGAACGATGGATGAGGGGTTATGAAACTTGTTCTCGTGCTTTTTCCAGTCGGATTTCTTCCCGAATCCGGTGTCACATTCTCGATGCGTGCAAAAGAACAACTTATTTAGACTTTCGTGGCCCGCTTCGGAAGGCGTCTTACTCGTCGCCGACCTGGGGTTGACTTGCGATAGCTCGGTTGGGGCAGGCGAGCCTCGCTGAGTTACAGGGCTTGCGGCGACTCTGTTATACGCACAAGCCCGAGCTACGGACCTCGGTGCTTGAGTCGTGCCGGATTGGACAGACCAGTTACTTGATGCTGTGCCGTAGGATAGTGAGGAACGGACAGAGTCAAACGTGCACACCGAAGCTCGAGGATCTGATGATGACGATGTGCAGAGGCTTGGAACTGAAGGGGTTGTTCGACCACTATTGCTAATGAATTGAGGATCTAAAGATCATCAGTCTTCGGTTTCCCACCCGTATGCATCGCATGATCTGCGGTTTTCTAGGGCTGAGTGGTGGAAATAAAATCGGACATACCACTGGTAGCTTGATAGACTAGGCTCATTACAGCCTGAGGCCCGAGATCTTGTACAAGAGCGCAGATGGTCTGCCAGTCCTCAGGCGTTGGATTACGTGGATAGGAGGGAAGGTTCGACATGGTTCATGGAAGAATCGGGGCTTTGTACCGATGTCCTCGATTTCCCGAAATGCAGGTCCAGTGCGACGTTAGAAGTACTCCAAGCTAGAGATCGCGATCGGAGGCGTGCCGCGGGGCAGTGGAGCCGGGCGCAACAGGACACAAAAAGCAAAGGGACTTAAAGATGGAGCGCGGATAGACCAGACGAGCGCAGTAAAGACAGGATAGGATGCAGATGTGATGCGCAACGAGCCGACGGCAAAGGGTGATACAACGCGAAGCAATGGAACAGTGGCGAAGGAAAAAGGGAAGGGGAGGTACAGAACAATTGATATTTGAATGGTTGGACACGATATCTTAGACAAGCTGCTCGAGGCTACGGTGCGGTGCCCCATGGTGGACTTGGGGGATGGTGTAAGGATGGACGGGACCATGGTCCATGGGGATGCGGATGGGGGTGCGTCTCATCTGTAGACTTTTGGGCGCAGAATTCAGTCCACTCGAAGCCTCGAACCACCTGCAGTCATGACAGGCCAAACAATGAACTGTCTAAACACCACTGCATCTGCGCTTCTGCAGGTGCAAAAACCGCTGACGCGACCCTGCCCATTCACCTGCAGGAGGTTAGCACTTAGCCTGTCGTCGTCTCGTCGAGGAGCAGGCTACGGGGTGAACCAAGTGTTAGAGAATTTTCCATGGCTTCTTCCATGCTTCTGGCGTGGCTTCTGGAAGCTTTCCCCGTTCGTCTAGTAACCTTTCGGGAACTCGGAGACGCTGTGGGCCGACTGGGGTAGGCCTGGGGGAATCGATCGCGAATGGAGACTGGCGTGCTGCCAAACTCAAATGCTGCCCACTTCTCAACCGGCTCCTAACTTCGTTCACTATACAGCGGCAGTCCGTAGAAAGTAGAGACTCGGAATTGACCCTCTTCGCCCGCAGGTATTTGCGTGGAATAGGTAAGCAGCAGTGGTATTTGGAACGGTGAGCGTTCTCCTTTCTGGCTTCATCTAACCCAAAAGTCGGAACACCACCGTGACAGGCACCAGTTCCCGCCAAGAAGCCCAAGACGACAGCAGCTTTTTGGCTTATTGCTCGTGCAGAAACGTACTGGGGATGTCATATGGTGAGGTGCAGAAATTCATCTATCTGCGACACACCACACAGACGGGAAATGACGAGAGGGCGCGAAACGACCAGTAGCCGCTCTTGGCACGTCTTCTAGAAGATTGCCGGAAGGGTTATAGGCTGATGCACGTATGAAACGCTCCCTCTATCGAAACCGGTGATTTGTTCATTGGCTCGCCCGTCTTCGCGTTTCTTGTACTCTATCGAGCCCCTGACCGGGTTCGTTCAGCCTTGTGGTGCAGGTTTGATGCGTCACCTCGCCCTAGTGCCGGCGGTCAGATCTCGCCGCAGCCTGTGACCGACATTCTCACTTTACCGTCGGTTCATCGTGAATTCATGGCCCGGATTCCAGGAGAAATGCGGGTGGACCAGGCGATATACCATGTAGGCGGCCAATTTTTAGAGTTTGGAATGGAACGTTTGGAAGCTTCTCGGAATACTCAGATTCGCCTAATAGCGACAAGGTCCAGCGGCACACTGAGGCACGGAGGTTCGCCGTTGTGACATGCTGATTATAGCCTTCGCCGGATGCTGGTCCCGACTGGATAAGCTCTAGTAGTCTGTATGACTTGCATCATCGCTTAGAAGAATTGTATGGCCTTCAAAGTTTCAACACGTTTCGAGCGATTCATCCATAGTCTGACAGGCTTCTGACACCAGAATGCCTTAAGACGTTGTTAAATGACGGCGAACCTGCATGCTATCCCAACACTCTCGCGTTCCCGGTAGACATAATTAATATTATTACGGAATATAGTTACCCCTAACATGTGAACTGTGGCTTCAATTGCTATATTCTAGCATCTGATTCTCGCAAGCGACGTCGGCCTAACCCGCCAGAAACGGCAAGGCTGCCGACCGGTTTGATGGGTAGTCCCGACTTCTAATGACGCAGCAATTAACTTCAATATCAACGACAACGGTGGATAAACTACCGACCATGGATTCACATTGAGGCTCCGCAGCTGTCAAACAGCCGTCATCCCATGCTCAATATACCACAAACTGGTGGCTTGTGAAACGAGTCGGAAAAAGGGGTAACGAATCGCAGCTCGATCGCGGTCGAAGATCACGTTGAGACGATTGAGAGGCCACCGGGAGACTAGAAGAGCATGAATCGGATAGCTCAGTCGTATCATTTCATTCGTTTTCTTTGTTGTCTATGGTAGAATGGAGAATGTCGATACGATAGTCGTCTGGTTTCACTACTGCACAGTGCACACAGGCTGTGGCTTGACGCGTGTGCGGCGAAGGGAAGAAAAATGGTGCTAACTTACCTAATAACGGGCAGAAATAACGGAATGGAATAGAGGAGAACGGGTGAGCCAGTACCACCGCCCATTGCCCATCACTCAGTGTGGTAGGCTGCCCGTAAGCAGGTAAGAGGAGGGGGTCATGGGGGCACCGAGGCGCCACACAACGAAAATACGAAACAGAGAAAGAGTAAATTCCTGGTACCTGCCCGATTGGGTATGTCGAGGCAACCGAGCGGAATTTAATCCCGCCTTCTGGCTTTTACACCAGACAAGTGATAAGTGACAAGTGATGCCAACATGCGGGATTCACGTTACCTACCTGGAGATGAAACCTCCAGTATTCGGCGGTTCAGTCTACCGTGACCGTGCTGTCAAACTCGGATAGGCATTCTGCTGTACAGGCGGTAGCGAAATAGAGTTTCAAGTTGACATCTGATGATCTCATATCGAAGTTTCACAGGAGGACATGGTTTTCCACAGATATACTCTGGTATCAGCTACAGTCAGGTATCAGGTATGCTTATGTCGCTTCCAGCTTTGGAAGATAGTTGGCTTCAAAGTTCAAACCACATGAGCAAAACCATCAAGATGCGAGAAACCTGCGGAGTTGTCATCCTCCTCGCAAAGTCGCGACATCCATGCGGGAAAGCGGAGCCATCGATCACAGGCGATGGCATCGAAATCGGCCCCTCCTGAGCATCTGATTATAATGCCCATCCACAACCCGTTCTAGGTTCCAGGATATTAATACCGGCTTCCTGCACCAACATATGCAAGCAAAAGTCGGAGTCATCAGTTCGTATTCCCTTCTCTGGTATCTCCACATTGATGTCAAGATTTTGGGTCGAAACAGCGCCGTTCCCTTAGACGGGACTGGGAGAATGACCTGATTCAAGGATGTCCTCTATTGATATGAGCACCACAATATTGCGTCAAAATTCCAGTCGTCTGAAGGTTCGCAACCCATTTACAACACAATGGATGAACCGTTCCAAAGGCCAACTGGGGTCGTGGTGGTATCAACATTGCAGATCTGGTGAAGGTGGTGCAATCCATTGAGTATTATTAATCCCGCGTCTTTGCAGCATTCACACATGTTCGGTTCTGCTGCCCGCACCCAATCCTCGTCGAGGCATCAAAGTCGAGTGCGGTGTCTCGAACGAGAATAGCGCGCCAACCTTTCGAGCGGCGGGGTTCGATCGATCGCATGGTGTCCCAATTTAGGTTGGTTCACAGCACTGCCCGCTGGAATGGCGGAGGGCGATTGAAGATTCAAAAACTGTATGGCTCCTCATCTGGAGCTGACAAACTTTTGATTTCTTCAATTCTCATCTTCGCTCCTCGATTCCTAACCAGATCTCTTCTTGGCTGGAGCATGTTAATCGTGGCGAGTCTCAGCATATGATCTGGTTTGGGGATACCGATAGTGATAGCGAACTCTACGCGTCAAATTGACCTTATCAACATTACAAATCGTCATTTCATCCTTCGTAGACATTTATTACTATTGTTCACAAAACAAAACGTTCACATCATGTTGGATCAATCTCAGCGAGTTGTTCCCACGCGCAATTTCGTCGTCTACCGGGCATCATTAGATCCGGCAGACCCGTATGATGCGTGCGCTCCCCTCGAATTCTATCCTGAGCGTGATTCGGACGAGCTGTTCGAGGCTCTAAGGGAGGCTTTCCCTCATGTTCGTACCCACAAGGAACGTGTCCGAGATGCAGTCATCGAATATCTCCTCATGGAGAAGGAAGAGCTTAGGAAGCAAGAAGATACGACCATGCCGTCCGCCTCCAATTTCGACTTCGCCATGTTCCCCACCCCCACGGACAGCTTCACTGAGGCTGGGCCTTCAAATCCGCTTGGGAGCATGGACATATTCCCGCAATCTTCCAACATGATCCCGTCCCTCTCTGCAGACGGCTTCGAACTCGACCTCTCCCTCACCTCCCCATCCGATTCTTTCCTCTCCTCCCCCGATTCTTTCCTCACCTTCACCACTCCCGACATGACCCCATTGATGTCGGCTCCTTTCGACTCTTTCCCAAGCGACGATGCCTCCCGGAGCGTTTCACAGGCGTCCTCAGTCGCCGGTCCCTCGGCCAGCGCGACACCAGCCATGGAGCAGTTGACCACGGTGTGGAGCATCTCAAGCGAGCCGCAGCCGAAAAGGCGGTCTCGACGAGCCATGACCGAGGACGAGAAAAAGGCGTACCGAAAGAAGAGGGTCGTTGGCGCATGTGCCGAGTGCCGGAGGAAGAGGAGGAAGGTTAGTCACTAAGATCAATCGTGTTGAATCCAGGCTAATTCAGTTCAGTGCCAACATACGGGCGTCGAAGCCCAGTATGCGAAGGTGGCAACCAATGATCAGATACCGATCAGGTATAAAGTCCGTCAGCCAGACAAACCACAATCTGTCCGACTCGATCGCTCCAGTCCGGGAATGGTGTCCGATCGTCTTGTCAGCTCCGCTGGCCTCGCAAATCTTCCCTCCAGCGACATCAACGAACCATGGCAGGCCATACCATTCAAATCGGAAGGCGACCTTGAGAGGCATTACGAAGACCTCTATCTCACCCCGATGTCCACCAGTTCGGAAGAGAGCGCAAACCAAGTACTCCAGGACGAATTCGGCCTCAAGCAGAACGCCATCAACATGTCCCACAAGGCTCCAGGGGCAATAGTCATGAGAAACCAGCTCAGCCGCAATCCATTCCCACTCCCAACCGACGACAGCTCATCGCTAGATCCCCGTGGACTATCGCCCGGCTTCGTTCGGCCTCCTGCCGCTACATCGATCTCGGAACACTCGTCTCCAGGACTTGGGTCGTCATTTACGGACCTGTCCTTTTCACTGTCGGGAGACCTTCTCCATACCAGTTCTCTCCGTCCAACCGCTAGCCAAGGAATCACCGGCCTCGGGGAATCCGTTGGGCTCAGCTCTTCCTCCTCTTCCCAGTTCACCGATGAAAATGTCCGACGTCGCCCTCGTTTGTCATTCCCCGCTACGGATGGCCTCGGGGATGCGGCCCGCACGGCTCACGTCTCCCGCCAATCCACCGCCGGGCTTACCGACTCTGTTTGGCCAAGCTCCTCCCTTATGCGGCAACTCACGAGCGACAACGTTCGGCGTCTTCCTTTGGCGTCCGGCACTCCGGATGTTCACCAAGATTCTGTTCGCGGGGTTCCCGTCTCCCGCCGCGTAATGGCCGCTATCTCTCTCCCCACCCCATCCGCACCGTCAGCAGCGCGGGAATCAAAGGGCGTATCCGCAATCGCCGGCCTCCCGCTTTCTGCCTCACCTGGCGTAACCGCTCCCTCTCCTTCCCCCACGACCTCAGTGTCGTCAAATGGTGGACTTATCTCCACCCCGTCCTCCGTGGCCATTCGACGGTTCAAGAACCCCTCCCCCCCTCTTCCGGTTCTTTCATCCCCGGTGGCCACGGCCGTGTCCGGCAGCGCCGACAAGCGCGCTGCCACGACCCAAACGGTCGCCTCCCTGGCCCACAGTGGTGTCATGGGCGACCTGGTGTCGGCGGCGAAGATTTACTTCGCCGTCATGGGCGCGCTCTGTGTGCTCTGCAATATCATGAGTCAGCAGAATGCGCAGGCCAGGAAGACAGCGCGGATGCCGATCGACAGTGTGTGTCGTGCTGTTCGTGTACGGTCAGGCAGGATGTTCTGGGGGTCAATGCACGGTCCTATCGCTGTCGTTTAACCCTACTGGTAAACATTTGCCGTAGGTGGGGTTGGCCTGGTGAGCTGGGGTTTACTTTGATGCTTTGCTCTTTAGCGTGGCGCTTGGTGTCGTGACTCGTTTTCAACCGTCACATTGGACTGTCTCAACGAAGTCTAATTCCCCATTGAAATCGATTTGGTTTTATGTATCGTAGGCCTTGGTGGCGGTTCTTAGCTGCCAACCGTGATGTATTACATCGACCTGAATGAATCTATAACTGAGGCTAGAATCTATCTACATGTAGCCTGTAGTGCGAAAGTGAGCCGTAAACGCGGCGTATTCCGTCCAGGGAGATGATCGGTCATTTCCCGGCGCGGTCAGTGCCTGCCCATGATCCCAATGACTTCCTTGCGACCGGCAGTGTATGTAGCTTGGTGTGACTCCATTCACAGGTTCAGCTAGTCCTAAAGCCAACCTCAATGGAATTCAGGTGAAATAGGTAAAAGGGTATCATCCCAAATCTTCTTGTTTTCAAAACGGACTTGCGGCTTCTAAAAGCCCGGCCGCCTTGAATGTCCGAGGCGACGAGATGACCACTTCCACGGGGTATTTCCACTCCATATACTTCCCCCAACCTAAAGCGCTGCGGTCAGCCGGCGATCATCCTAAATCAGCGACGTGAAGTACATACCCCAATAAGCACACTTCCTCCCAAAATACTTCCCCACATACGGCACCACAACCATCGTCAACAGCAGCTCCAACTGCTGCAAGCTCTCCCTCCACTCTCGCTCGGCGTCGCTCTCGTCCCCGACGTCGGTGTCAGATCCGTCGTCCGTTGTCGCCTCGGACGGGAGGGAGTCGAAGTCGTTCTCGGAGGAGGGCTGCCGTTGCAGGAACTGGGAGGGGCTGTAGGATTCGTGGGGGGACGGGAGCTCGGAGGGGGTGGGGAGGATGTAGGATGAGGAGGTGGTGGTGGAGGCGCGGGAGGGGGGCGAGGGGGATGGGTCGGTCATTGTGTGGAAGGATAGGGGTGGAGATATATGCTTTATAACATCATGGACTTGAGATGGGAAGGCCCAGTTGCGAGCTGCGCAAGAGGATGGTTCAAGTGTCGACGTTGCTGCTGAGGTGAGCTCTCCACATCCTATCACGGGGATGGGGTTCAATTCACGGTCACATGACTGCCAAGGCTTTGCATTAGCTCGACGCGTCTTCGTCTTTAAACGCGTCGGACTTTAGTGCTCGGATTTCCACTCATCTTCCAGATATGCTGAAATTCCCAGCCCATGAGACACGCTTCAATCCACACCAACTTATACGATCAGAGAATTGAGTCACGCAATGGCCAACTTCTTCGATCTCAAGGCCCGCAAGGCCGCGGCAAGCGCTGGTGCATCATCAAAAGGAACGCAGAAAGCAGACCGAAGCTCACTCCAGCCATGGGTCGAGAAATAGTATGTCCTTCCTATGCACCGATGCCAGCCAGCACCCGTTCTCACACCTCCCAGCCGTCCTAAATCCCTCTCCGAAGTCACCGCCCAAGACCACACCATCTCCGTCCTCCAACGCACCATGCAAGCCTCAAACCTCCCGCACATGCTCTTCTACGGGCCCCCGGGCACCGGCAAGACCTCCACAATCCTCGCCCTCGCCAAGCAGCTCTACGGGCCCGAGCTGTTCCGCTCCCGCGTCCTCGAGCTCAACGCCTCCGACGAGCGTGGCATCGCCATCGTCCGCGAGAAGGTCAAGGACTTCGCCCGCCAGCAGCTGTCGAACCCGCCCTCCGGGCCAGCAGGGGTGGAGTATCGGAAGCGGTATCCCTGTCCGCCGTTTAAGATCATCGTGCTGGACGAGGCAGATAGCATGACGCAGGACGCGCAGAGTGCACTGCGGAGGACGATGGAGACGTATAGCAAGATCACGCGGTTCTGTCTGGTGTGCAACTACGTCACGAGGATCATCGATCCGCTGGCGAGTCGGTGTAGCAAGTTCCGGTTTAAGAGCCTCGATCATAAGAATGCGAGTCAGCGGCTGAAAGACATTGCGGGGACCGAGGGCATCAGGGTGGGTGATGGGGCCGTCGATGCATTGGTCAAGTGCAGTGAGGGCGACCTACGACGAGCGATCACGTATCTCCAGAGCGCCGCACGTCTCGTGGTGCCGACGAAACAAGCCGCAAAAGGGGAGGATGAGATGGACATCGACGATGCCGAGGGGTCGCAGCTGGTCACGGTGACGATCGTTGAAGAAATCGCCGGAATCATTCCGGGGCAGACGATCGAGAGTCTGCTAAACGCCATGCGACCCATGCCCAAAAAACAGGCGTACGACTCCATCGCGACGGTGGTGCAAGATCTGATTTCGGACGGGTGGAGCGCGTCGCAGCTGTTAAATCAGATGTACGAGAAGGTGCTCTTCGACGAGCGGATCGCGGACATACAGAAGCAGACCATCGCGATCGTCTTCTCCGAGACGGACAAGCGGCTCGTCGACGGGGCGGACGAACATCTCGAAGTGCTCGATCTGGCGTTGAAGGTGTCCGAGTGCATGGCATGAGGAGTCCATGAAGCATACATGACCGTCACGAAATGAATGGGATGCACGGCGTTTCAACATTTCATTATCATCTGCCGAAGTCCAGGTTGTGATGAATCTTGCCAACTATCCAGGCTGACCTTCCTCTACACAAGACCCCTCGTTATTGCCTTGCGGACGCATTCGCATGCTATGTATACTGCGCTCGAACGGACCGGAACGATCTAAGTATGGGTTTGGGCCAAGATGTGGTCGACCGATCGGTCGGTATCGTCAATCTATTTCAAGCTAAACCCCTTGACCCTCTTAGCAAGCTGATCGGTAGAAGGACTGGCAGTGGCAGTGCTGGGGCTTGGGGTGTTGTCGGAAAAGGGCTGATGGTCTGAAAAGGGACGCTTCGGGGGTCTCTCACCGCTGTCATGGACAATTGTCCGGAGTGTGGCCCAACCGGGAGCGTTCTGCAACTGGTAGCCGTCGGCGAGGTCGTGCTTGGATGCGAGGCGGCACAGGACCTCCTCCTCCTCCTAATCGAATAATATTAGCGAGATATAGACAGCGAATGAAACGTGTACACACCTTGCTCAGAATGTTCAGCGAATGGATGTAGCAGAGCAAGTGGAAGTCCGAGACCAGGTTGGTCCCACCCGCCTGGTTCAGCAACGGCGCCGACGACGAGGCCTGGATCTGCTTGGCTAACGCATGGAAATCCTGCGCCGCTCCCAGAATCTCGCGGTTCTCGATCGGGAACCCGGTGTGCGTGAATTGCGGCTTTCCATCCGTCGGGAAGCCATGCGTCAGGGCGACCAGCAGATACTCGACCGGGAACGCGGGCTTCGCGTTCTGCTGCACCTTCGCGCCGTACTCGTTCAGCTTGCGGTAGAACACCTCGGGGATGTAGCGCACGCGGCCCAGCGACTGGTCCTCGGTTTCGTTCTGCACGAGCATCTGCCCCGGCTCAGCGGATGGCTCGATGATATCCGCGTGGACCATCTCCACGGCGGAGTTGCTGGCTTGGTACGCGGAGATGCCGATTTGGCCCGATTGGTCGCCGCTGACGACGCAGGTGACGAAGTTGGATCCGAATTTGCCGGTGTCGCTCCACTTGGTCGGTCTCGGATACCGGCCCTGGTATCGTGCTGCGAACACGATCTCGAGTGATGAAAGGAAGTACGAATCGATGTGTCGTTTGCACACGACCGTTCCATCGCCCGCTCCAGCGTCCAGCAAATCGGTGAAGATCACGCCTATCCTCTGCATCCCGCACATTCTCGCCACCTCGTCCACTGCGTCTTCGTTCGCCCACTCTCCCAGACTGATTCCGTCCACTTCACAGACTTGCGGGGGTTCGTAGATCGCCTCGACGACCGCTTTGGTCCCGAGCGGCACTTCTGTGTATTCCTCGCATCTGCCATATAAGAAACCCAACCGCTGGGACCCCGAGTGCCTCCAGAATTCTAGCAACGAGTTGACCATTCCCGACGAGGAAAACTCCACGTGGTCGACCATCCGGAATTCCTGTGGTTGTAGTGTGATTGCGCTAGGCTGGCATTTCGTACAGATACCATCCGGCCATGGTGGATGACCGGAGGGACATTCCGGCCGTACTCGGAAATAGGGCTCGGTCAGTGGAGGCATATATGACGAGCCGGACTCGGGTTTGTTCTTGCCGTGGTTGATCTTTCGGAGATAGCTGTGGAAGGAGAGGTGTTTGATGTTCTTCTCTTTTAAATGTCCGGCATCGTATGGCTCCAGCGGCATGCAGTAGTCGCACATGCCCTTCGCGCCGTGGCGGCACATCTTGACGTCTTTCGGCCGCGAGATCTTGCCGTCTTGCTTGTCAAGGGCGTCATCCAACGGGGATTGTTTCACGACGTCCCACGGATTCCTTATGGTGGTTGGTGCGGTGTTTGACGAAGTGGCCGTGGCGGTACTTGTGCTTCGAGCCGGCTGTCCGTTTAGACTTCTCCCTCCTTCGGGTGCGGAGCCATTTGCATGCCCATTGCCGTCGACGTTGGTGGTCGCATAGTCGTAGTATAGCATATCTCCATGGCTAATGACAAATGTTAGCCGTCTCTAGATACTGGTGGTATGAGGCATTATAGCCCTACCTCAGTCCCACTCTCTCAAAGCTGATCCCTTTGAGATCCCGGATCGGCCTCTCATCCCCACCGCGGGGCTTATTACTGAGCGTTATAGAACTCTTATCGACGTTTGGCGGTAGCTTTTCGGCAAGCTCATTCTGGATGGACGGAAAATCCCCCTTGGGATTGACATTCAAGCGGAACTGGCCATCACGACCTTGGAAGCGGAGGATTATCTTGCTCATAGGGGGATGATGGGCTCTCGCTGAGCCAGGCTATGGGTATCAGATCGGAGCAGAACGAGAATGAAAAGTCCAGAACAGCTACTTTTAGTTATGTGAGGGTGTTTGAGCGGTGTTTAAAATGGGAGAATGGGAGAGATAAACTTCGGAAGAGGCAAGAGGCAAGTTGTCAAGTGTTATGTATTAGAACCGAAGCTCCAAGTTGAAGCTCCAAGTCGAGGTCGAAGCTTTGCGTCAGCGCGTTGCCTAATTATTTACTCCACAGTCCACACATCGCCACTATCCAGGTTCACTGTCACTGGCTCAGTATCAGAACCTCTGCCGATGTGATCACGGACATATTCATTCACAGACATGTACACATAATCGCCTCGTCAGGTGTTGATAGAATCTACTGTTGTGTACCTATTTCCTACGAAGAAGCTGCAACACTCACCAGAATGGGCAGTGCATTTCTCCTACAGCATTGTGTATGCGATTCCTATCACCTCCATCGTTGAGCTGCGAACCCGCCCTGCACCCTACCAAGCTTCTAGGTCGCCTTTGATGCGTGTTTCCTAGCTCCCATTGACAATGGCGTCCAGCGATCGATGGATATGGCTCGGAGTTGGCGTGTTGACCTTCGTCGCTGTCAAGAGCGTCTCCTACGCCCTCGGAGACATCCTGCGCTTGACCGAAATTCAAGACCATAAACGAACTCCAGGTGTCTCGCAGGAGACGGAAGATGGTATGTATGCCACGTCTTGATATCCAGAACTACGGCTCACATTTGCCTAGCGATCAACCTCGAGTCGCTATATCTTCTTGCGACCTGCCCAAATGTCGATATCCGGAAAGCGTATGTATCCCTTCGGTTTGCATCGCAGCAACGCTAACCTGTCCCAGCGCTCTCAAGATTTTCTGCGACCGCTTCTCCCAGAACAACACAGCCAAGATGCTCCTAGGCGACGATCTCCTCCACCCCGACCCCGAAACCCGCACCATGGCCGCCCAAGCGGCCGCCGTTTTGGAGAAGTACGACGTCTCCCACGCTATCCACCAACTGCCACTCCCCTTTCTAAACCCGCAGAACCCGAGCGCGCGGACGCGGACGCGGGAAGAGAATCCGGAAGAGCTCGCGCTCCGGCGACGACGACGGGAGGCGATGGTTCTGAACGAGGGGGATCACCCGGTGCGGCAGGACGATATTATTCAACGAGGGGGGCGGGCGAGAGACGACGAGACGGCGATGACGGAAAGAGCTTTGGCAAGTCTGTCGGAGGAGCCTTCTGCTAGTACCTTAATGAACCGGCGTCGGGGGAGGCTGTCGGAGGAGACCGTCGGCATTTGATATGTGATGCCATGCTTAGATGTCGTCCAACGGCACTCCATTTGTTGCGACTGGCGATCTATTGAATGGGCATTCATGAGACGACGCGATACCCCATTACCCTAGGGGCTTAACAGTCATGCGTTGCGGGTCATGGCGAGCAACAGGACGCTTACACATTACACCGAAGCAATCCTCCAGCCTCCAAACCACTGAAGATTGCATGTTGGCGTGCTCAGCTCACGCCAACACTTGGACCTCGAAATCACAGTTCGAGGCATAAGACTTTGGCTCGAAGCCCTCCATTTCCGAATCTCGAACTCCTGGTTGCAGATGCCATTTACACTGACCAATCTAATGAGCCTCGGAGCTCAGCCTGCGCTATCTACTTCATGGGCATGGCGGCTACTTGTAAGATCCCGTAACGGGGCCGGTAGATTCCCTACCGCCATGACTTCGGATCCGATAGCCGTTTATTATGCTCTTCGAAGCCCACCCTCATGGCTTCGCAACATCTTCGACGAATCTCTGTGGATCCCCCGTTACTGTTGAGACGACAGTTCTTTAAAGATGATCAGCTACCCCGCTCGAAGCGATTAGCTCAACAAGATGTATGGACAGGCACAACATTAGAGCGTTCTCTTCATTAGTGAACTATTCACTCGGAACACGGATTGGACCGATGTCTATTGAAGCTAGCGTCTCTCCACGGTGGCGTTCGAGGGCACACCCAGGCTGTCGATACGACCGAGCATGTATTCCATCATTCGATACGCGGCACTTGGAGCGAACTATTTATCCGCATTAGCGATTCGATGCATCTCAGAGAATGCTGGATTCAAAAAACTCGCCTGCGGAATCATGTGGCCACTCAAGGATATCTCTACCCAAGTCAACCCTCGCTCCGTCCTCGTGTTCCCCACCGTCCCCGTCGAAGCCAACCCAGGGACATAGTCGTAATTCTGATTCCAGTACGTGTCCGGAACGTAGACGGGGTCCGACGGACGCTTGGTGAAACCCTGGACGCCGTTCCAGGTCATGTTTTGGATGGTCATCAACGTGCCGTTCGTGAGCAGGACATAGTCGAGGTTCCCGTGGACGATCATGGTGCGGTTGGTCTTTTCGATCACCCGGGGCAGGACGCTGATGCCGCTGGGGTCCGAGGTGTCGATGTCGAGCACACCGTCTGAACATTCTTCCCATAGGCCGATGGGCGCGTTGATGGCTTTTTGGACCTCTGTTGCGAGGTTAGTCGGCGCCAACATCAGTGCCTAGGAATATCCCTACCTTCCCGATTGAAGAAAATCTCCGTGCCTGGGGGGGTGTACGCGAAGCTGCCAGGGAAGCCGAGAACATCCCATAGGACGGGGCACGTCGTTGAGATTTCATAGACGCTAAAACAGGGGTTGATCAGAGAGACCGCGGTGTAGATGTCACCCCAGAGGTCGCAACCGGGATCGTTGCCGGTTTGGGGCGGAAGATCCATCTTTCCGACGGGTGGGAAGGTAAAGTACTTGTTGAAGTAATCGGTATAGCCGCAGGACTCTGCGCGAGCATGAATGTCGGCCATGAAAGTCTCGTTTAAGCTGAACAAGTGGGGCCAATGATCAACGAATGGTACGGCAGGAACTGGAGCAAGTCAGTGATTTACGCTGCTATATACGACTCGAAGCCATACTCTGAGTTGCAAAAACGTCATCTCCAATGACGGGACTGCGGAAAGTTAGTGTACGGGTTCAAAGTCTCTATTCTGCCACTCACTCGTAGATCGTAATGCCTTGGACATCGAAGTACTTCTCATTCGTTTCGTTGAGCATGGCATCCGCGATATACGGAACATAGTATCCAGCATACGATTCTCCCACGACGTAGATATGCTTGTTATGGAGCTTGAACGTGTCCATGAAGTTCTTCCAGAATCCAAGGAACTGTTCCGCAACTTCTTCCTCTGAGGTGGCAGTGGGCGTACCCTGAGAGAAGCCAGTGCCGACGGGTTGCTCCACAAAGACGATGTTAGTCAGATTCTTGAACGCCCACGGATTGTAGGACACGCCGGCGGTGCCCCATTGCCAGAGAAAGTGGCCGGACTCTTGGAGCAGACCTTCGAGGGAGCTGCAGCCCGGTCCGCCGTTCAGCCAAATCGTGACATCATCTTTCCCGACGGGATTGTCGGTTGGGAAGTACCAGAAGTAGAGCTGGCTCGCATTCTTAGACTCGGAGATTGGCATCAGTCCAGCGTAAGACTCTCCTATGTCGAAGGGGACATCGGGAATCTCCTTTCCGTTGACTTTGTACTTCCTCGCTCGGTCCGTCTGTTCAACATAGGGCTCTCTGGGGGCCAGCGGGGCTGTCCGTGGCTTGATGGGCTTAGGATGCGGTCGCTCCGGCAGCTTCTTCCTCGTCCCAATGTTCTTCGAGCTACGTGCAGCAACGTCGCTGAACAAGACTCCAAACAGCAGAAAGAGGGAGATGAGATATCTCATTGTGACCGTATGGATCTGAACACCTATGATTGATCTTCAGAGTGTTGCATAGATGGAAGTCGAAATCAGAGGAAGGGGCCAAAGAATATCAAATCGGATTCAGGACCTCTGTGGTTTGAGAAAGCCGGTGGTACTCAAAGTGCCACTCCAGGCTAAAGCACCTGTAAATCACTGATGAGGCTCGAAACGAATTGACAGAACTGAAAGAACTGAAGTAAACTGAGGTGTTAAACGGATACCTAAGATTCCATCCGCCTACCTGGAACTATATGGGATTCCTGCAAGGTGAACATCGACTGTGACTTGTGTTAGTCCCTTACGTCCATCCAGCATCCCCAATATTTTCGAACCAACATGCTGATCATTGAAGCAGACTCCACCGACGGGAAGCAAACAAGAACAAAGCTGCCCATGTTTACTATCATGCTAGGATGATTATCGGGATACTGGCGTAATATTGCATGTGGATAGTCAATGGGACCTCCCAAGATGGGGATAGTTGACGGCAGGGGGAAGACTAGCAGACGATAGACGGGGGCGCGCCGGCGTAGAGCTGCAACATCCTCCTGCTGATCGGCATGATGAGATACGTTCTAGGTAGGACGCAAGGAAACTTAGCAAAGATTGAAGGGCTGAAGGTCACGATGGCATTGACGAATACGAAGTGCTGGATTCCTGGAGGCTGGAGATAAGAGACTTATCCAAACCTAAGGGCCAAGACTTAGGAGTTTGGAGAATGGAAGCTAAGCCTGTGGGAAGCAGACAAGCTTTGGCTCCCCCGCTTGAGGTCCCAGCATTGAGCATATTACTATATACTACGAAGTAGTATATACATAGGGCAGAGATAGATGGGTAGTTATGTAATTATGAACTACCTTACGGAATACGAACCGTTCATAGTATGGTTGAATAAGTAGAGATATGGTTGTATGAAAGCTCCCAGATTTGGCTCTTTCCCTGTTAGAGGTATCCTTCTTCGACTTCCCCACCATGGTCGAATATGAAGGTAGTACGGGAGGTAAAGCAGCATATTGCGAAAGGAATGCCGTCGCGAATCAACTTAGGCAGGATTGGTTTCCATGTAGAACTTGAAGTCCCTCGCTGACATATGAGCAAAGTGCTGTCGCAAGCGGCCTGAAATTTTTCCAGGTCTTCAACTATGCTTATGCCTTATGATGCTTCATGATGCTTCGAATCAGCTGCAGGAGATGAGCGACCGCGAGAAAAACGCGTCAAGACTTGCAATTCGACGCCACGCGACAACAATTGGGGTATATCGCAATTAACGATTTCCTACAGACTGTGCGCTGGGCTGGTTGACTCGGGAGTCCCTTTTCCCATCCGTTCCTATCTCACATGAAGCTGGCATAGCAAACTATGCCCAATCGTTCAGGCAGACTCTAGCTTGCCCATCTCAAAAACCGGCCTGGTGTTTCTCTAACGCTCTTCATACTGGCTTTTCCCCGTGCTTTTGCTCTACCACCTGCAAGTCATGGCATGGGTGCATGTCCTCGGCAGTAACATTACACATAAGACACAAATCGAAGTCGTTGCATACAGTACAGTGAAAGCGGGGACCATATATATCCTGCCTTGCAGTTAGAAGAGTCTTCTGGTTCCTGACTGGACTTACATGGAAACAGCAGTTACACCAAAAGGAATCATCACCACGAACACCTTTCGTCGCCATTGCTAATGTCGAATTAGAACTGGACTGCGCAATGAGAGACGAAGATTCGGTTGTTCCCAACACTGCGGACAGTGACGCTTCCGTCCCAGGTTCAAAATTGGGGTTCCTGTGGAACAGAGCCATAGAAACCGGGCTCCATATTCCTGGAGGGCGTACGGTATGAACCAATGTTTCATAACCACCATTCTTAATCAGAAGCTTGACGACATCCAGGTCGCCGGTTCTGCAGGCCCAATGCAATGGGCTCCATTTGTTTGCATCCGGAACCTTGATGGGATCGAGTTCCAACACCCTCTGGATGACCTCTATCGAACCACTAGAACAAGCATAGTAGATTGTGCTATTGCCCGCGAGGTCAACATCGCTGCAACGGAGCCCTTGGCCTAGCAGATAATTTACGCAGTGGACGTTCCCACCGCGAGCCGCCACATGAATCGGCGTGCGTCCCATTCGATCCCTAATGGTGATATCAGCCCCGTAGGTTTCCACTAGAGTCTGAAGCACTGTAAGATAGCCTTTAAATGCTGCAGCGTGTACAGCGGTACCATAATTATCGCAAGTGGCGTTGATATCGAGAAGGGGCTGGAGCGAAGAGTCGATAGGCGGAACTTTTTGGCCAGCTAGAGATCGGCCTGATGAATTGCGCGGTACAGTCTCCGGTGGGACCGTGGAACGATGTCTGATACCGAAGAGAAGGTTCACAATTTGGATATTCCCAGAAAGCGCTGAAGAATGTAATAGACTCTGTCGATTTTTGGTTAGAGTATTCGCTTCCGCTCCGCGGTCGAGCAGCAGCCGGACCACTTCGATGTGGCCGCTATCAGCTGCTGCGTTTATAGGCGTCCATCCGTCCTTGTTTGGAGTGTTGGCATCTGCTCCGCGGTCGAGCAGCAGACGGACCACTTCGATGTGACCACGGTTCGCGGCTGAGTTCACAGGCGTCCATCCGTTACTGTTTGG